GATTTTGTGTTTTTGTTCAATGTAAAGTGTAATTAGAATTGGGAAATTGCGCCGGTTAATGCGCAAATAGAGAAAGCATTCAAAAGCTCAAAAACAAATCAACAACGTCAGTTTTTAGACACCTTCAGTATCTTCGAATTGATGATGCACTTCCAACTTATATGGTGGGTGGTCTACTAGTCTTATATTTGGGTGTATTTACAAACATGTATATCGAGTGAGAGACACATCTCATGGTCTTATGCGTATGCAAAAAAAAAAAAAAAAATCTTCTTCCTTTTTTTTTAAAAAAATAGTTGAATTCAATTAAAAAAAAAATTGTATAGTCATACGGAATCACTGAAATGAAGTGAAATCGTGGCCAAAAAAATATAATTTAAAACACAGTTTAAATTTAAATTTTATATTCAAATTCAATGAACCAATACTTCCTAAATATGTACGGTGTGTAGAGGCATTCATTATATTAATAGACACCGAAAAATCTTCCGTCAAATTCAAAAGTCAGTAATTTTATATATAATTAGGGAGTTGCTCTCTCCATATAGAGTGTCCACATCAGCACAAAAAATTCATTAAATTGTTTTTAAGATATTTAATACATGACTTTTCATATTTCTTTGCATATATTTATATTTTAAATATAAATAAAACTAAGAAAAATACACAACTAAATTACTTAATTAATATAAAATATGTGATAACTTGATGTTAAAATTTATCAAAAAGTTTGAATATAAGTAAAAATATATGTAACTTGAAATGGTATATATTTACCTTTTTATTAAAAGAATTTATCCTATTTCAAAATGTTATAATGTGTTTACAAGTTAAAAAGTTGAATATAAATTAATTAAGATAATAAAAAGCCAATGAGAAATTAGAGTTAGAGTTTATTTTTAAAAAAATAGAAGTCGAGTTTTTATATGTAAATTTAATTGCAGTGAAAAACATGAAAATTTTAAGGATTGTGATATGTTTGTCTCAAAATATAATTAATATTTACAAAACTAACATAATAGAAAATAATCAATGGTTATGAGGCTCATATGCTACCACAACAAAGTAGATATGTAAAAAAGTATATATATTATTTTTTTCATCTTATTTCGGGTCCAAATGCTATTTTACATTATGCTTACAAATTTTAACGTTGAGTCCAATGCATATGCATGTTTATAGTCTAACAGAAGTAAACAAACATAATATTTATAACATGCTAAAATTTTAGAAATAGAAAACTCGAGATAAAGTGGGAGTGTTAACATCCTAATAAAATAAAATAAAAGACAAATTGTTCATATTTTTAATGTTAGTGATTGGGTTAACTCAAAATATAAACAAAAACATGAAAGTTAATACAAAACCATCATAATTCAAATCAACAAGTATAGATAAAACTAAACAGAAAACTATCGCAAACAACCCCGCGCTTGCTTCAAACCTAGTAGTATATAATTAGGGAGTTGCTCTCTCCATTTGAGAGTGTCCACATCAGCACAAAAACATTAAATTGTATTTAAAATATTTAATAAATATATGACTATTCATATTTCTTTACATTTATTCATATTTAATAAAAATATACAAATAAATTGATTAATTAATAGAAAGTATGTGATAATTTGATGTTAAAGTTATCAAAAAGTTGGAATATAAAATAGAGATGGAGTAAAGAAATATTCAACTTCAAATAGTATATATTTACTTTATTATTCAAAGGGTTTATCCTACTTAAAAATGTTAGAATGTGTTTACAAGTTAAAAAGTTGAATATAAATTAATTAAGACAATAGAAAGCTAATGAAACATTAGAGTTAGAGTTTGTTTTTCTAAACAAATAGAAATAGAGTTTTATATGTAAATTTAATTGTAGTGAAAAACAAGAATATGTTTACAAATTTTAACCTTCAGTCAAATGCATATACATATTTATAAATTTTAACCTTCAATCAAATACATATACATGTTTACCGTCTAATAGAAGTAAACATAATACTTATAACATGATAAAATTTTAGAAATAGAAAACTCAAGATAAAGCAGAGTGTTAATATCCTAATAAATTAAAATAAAAACAAATTATTCATATTTTTTAGTGTTAGTGGTTTAGTTAACTCAAAACATAACAAAAACATGAAAGTTAACACAAAACCATCATATTTCAAATCACGAGTATAAATAAAATTAAACAGAAAAACTATCGTAAACAACCCCGCGCTTGCGCGGGGCTTCAAACCTAGTTTTATATAGTTTTATAGTTTCACCAACCGGCACATGATCCGCATGCAAATCTTAAAATCTGCTTGTGCTTAATATAACAATTAAGAACAGTACTTAACACAATAAATTTATGAAAAATTCTCCGTGTGGGTTCTAATCTTTAGATTGCATGTTTATTTTACTTGTATTATACTTATCTACAAGAGTTGAGACACACTAAACATGTCATGATCCACTATTACTCATATCCTCGTAGATAATGGTTGCCACAACCCACAAGAGATGATGTTAGCACTTTTTCTTTCATGTGGTGGTTGGATCGGGTCAATTCCGATTTTAATTTGTCGATTGAAGTGCCAGGTTAATATTGCAGAGCCGAATTATGTTCAATAGAAATATTAAAATTTGATGTTGACCAATAGACAAACATGGACTATAAACATTTGTCGAGGTTTTCACATGGATCATTCTAAATTTTGGATACTAGTCATGTACTCCTTTAAATTATTTGTTTTTCTTAGGTGCCAAATGTTTTAATTGAAGGACAATAAGAAACTCTTAACAATTTAACAAACCAAGTTCGCATATTCGTTTAGCCATAAAGCAGCAAAATACTAGACTTCACACTCGCACCGTCGCACGCCCAAGCAGCAAGCACCCACACAAGTAGTCACACATATCTATAATTTATTACATTATGCTAAAAATATCTCCTCTGGATAAGATTTAATACTAATATCACGAGAACAATAATTGATGATTGTTATGATATAAAATGTCTTATAATCATGATGATACGAAAATAGACATAAATGTACTTTCAGTCCTTTTTTTTATGGTCCTTTTATATCTTTAATATCCTTTGGAGTCTATCTTTATTTTTCTTGATAATGTTTTGGAGTCTATCTTTACACCATAGTAAAGGTAAAAAGGAGACATAGGAAAAATCATTTAAATCTTTCTGCTTTATGATATTATCCTAATAAAAAAAGAAACGAAAACAAAGAAATTTGAAATTCACTTCAAGATAGTAACTTCTTAATCAGACGAACTTTAAACCATTTTTTTTCTCTAGTACTTCTCGTTACCTTGAAATTTGTAAACCAATTAGTCAATAGATATATTTTTTAATGGACTAAGTCAAAATTTTACAAGACTATATGGTTAATTATAATGAACACTCTCGAGCACATCATTTACTTTTGTTAGAAATGCTGCAAAACAAAAAAATATAAAGAAGGATTTATATAAACATTTACGAAAGAGAAGTGTATATAGATGACTAGATGTCCTAACTATATTGCCTAGGAAAACTTTAAATTGGAATGTTGACCAACGAGGGACATGAGTTTAAACCTTAAAGGCATTGGTTACCATTTTTGTAAACCACCATCTTCCCATCCATTTCTTTTTCTCGCTGACTGACAAAAACTTCAAATTTACATTTACTGAAGATTGACTTCTTTTTAATTCTTAGTTAATAAGTTTAGCCATATATATAAGAGTATACGGACTAGATGCCAACATAAAAGATGTTAACTTAATGGGTTAAAACTTTGAATACGTTTTTCAATAATTTACCATGTTTTTTCCTAAACGTGTTACTAGTTGTACGTGGAGTTATAAGTTACCAACTACAAGTTTTGGATGATTTTACTCATGTCATTTACCAAAATAATCTTTAAATCTCATTCATATTCTTGTATTATGATTCGAATGAAAAAATTACAGAAGCAAGATCTGACTCATCAAATAGTTATATCCAACTCTTATCTTATATCTTAATTTGAAAAGACATGCAGCAAAAATATTAATTTTTAGTGTGAAAACTACATGTTGACAATTTAAACTTGTAAACCTCACAAGACTTTAAACTAATGGGCCTAAATATGGCCCAATATCCACTAATTTTGGCAGCTTAACATTTCAGCTCTCACGCACAATGTTTCAGTTTCAGTCCAAGTTCATCATCTTCGTGACTTCATCTTCTGATCTTCTCCAACTCCAAGCAAATCAACTGTAGAATTTAAAACGAGCACACATACCAAACATTTCACAATCCAGCAAAAGCGAGATAGAATCATAAATCGATGCCGAAACTTCCAACAAACCGTGAACTCTCCGAAAATTCGCCGGTCTCCAATGGATTAAACCGAAATATCTCCCAATCGCCGCGCCGGAAAAAGCCTCCTGTATTCCACCGCCGTGTCTCAGCCAGTAAGCATTTCTTCTCTTCATCCCATTATACTCAATTAGCTTGAAATTCGAATTATTAGCTTTAATTATGCTTAAACTGAGATCGGATTATTCTTCCGCAAAAATTCGAAAAATTCAACGGAAGATTGCTGAAAAAATTAACCTAAGCACGTCATTTTCCCCACGTACAAGGACGGCGAGATTTCTTCGAAATCTGGTCTCCTTCTTCTTCCTCTCTTTCGATAAACAACAAATTAAAAAAATGCCAAAAGAAAGGGAGAATAGTCGTCTCTCTGACTTCTCTTGAAAATGATAAGTCAACAAAAACAAAAGGGAGCCATTGATTCCACGGCGCTTCCTCTTTAGCTTGTGAATGGTATAAATAAAATAAAAACACATTCTTAACTCTGACTTTTTCTACATCTTCCATTGCTTTCAATTCCTTCTCCTATTTACCAAGTCTTCCTTTTTGTCCCCACCATAGTTGCAATTCTTGATTTCTCTCAAGCTCTTGATTTTATTTTTGTATAGCTTATTTGGTCTTGTTTTGTTTTCCCTGAGAGATTGCTTGCAGAAGAGAAATGGGAGGCGTTTGTTCTTGTGGTTTCAAAGATGATGACAAGAAGCTAAGATCCACCACCGATGATGATGATGATAATAAGTCAAGAGGCTTCTCCGGGAAACTCAAGTCCATGAGAAGAAGAAAAACCTCTGATTCTTATTATTCAGATAACAACTACGGAAACGAAAGCTCAAAGCGGAGAAGTTCCAAGCCTAATGAAAAATTCTTCAACTTTTCCGGTGAACTCCTGCCTATGCCTCCATTGAGGACCGACTCTACCAAGGTGCAATATCTCTGGAAACTCATATGAAATGTGAAACTTTCATCTTGTATTGATGAAAATTTTGGTTTCTTGTTTTTTTCTTTGCTCCATAGTTTATGCAGAGGAACTCTTTTCTGGGGCGTGCTGGGGTTATGGGGCTAGAGAAGGCGGTTGAGGTTCTGGACACGCTAGGGAGCAGCATGTCTGGTATGAACCCGGGAAACGGATTTCACTCTGGTGTTACGTCGTCACGCGGTGGCAAAGTCACTATATTGGCCTTTGAAGTGGCCAACACGATAGCTAAAGGTGCTGCTCTGCTGCAATCTCTCTCTGAAGAGAATCTCAAGCTCATGAAGAAGGATATGTTGCGCTCCAAGGGAGTCAAGAAGTTGGTTTCTACTGATACCGCAGAGTTGCAAATTCTTGCTGCTTCTGACAAAAGGTTTGCTTCTTTTTGATCAATTTGTTTTGTCTTATGTTTGTGTATTTTCTTTTATTCATTATCTCTTTTTTTCTGTAGGGAGGAACTTGATCTTTTCTCTGGAGAGGTGGTCAGGTTTGGCAATATGTGCAAAGATTTGCAGTGGCACAATCTTGATCGATATTTTGAAAAGTAAGTTTAATTCTGCGTCGAGCAAAGTCCTAATGCAATGCTTTCTTATAGTTACTTGATATGCCAGTCTATAACGTTTCAGGCTTGACACAGAGAACGCACAGCATAAACTGCTCAAAGATGAGGCAGAGGCAAGGATGCAAGAGCTCGTCGCTCTTGCCCGATTCACTTCTGTATGTTTTTTTGTATTTTCTTTCACTTCAAAACTCGTCATTTTTTATTTTCTCTGGGGATTTGAAACTAACTTGCATTGGCTTTATCAGGAATTATATCACGAGTCGCAAGCTTTGGATAGGTTTGAACAAGATTACAGGAGAAAGCTAGCAGAAGTAGAGTCTTTAAACCTCCCTCGGAAAGGTTAGTCTCGCTATTTATTTGATCAGCCTTTGCTCTTTTTAGGACTCCAAATTTCATTTTCTTTTCCTACGTGTAGGAGAGAGTATCATCATCTTACAAAATGAACTGAAAAACCAGAGGAAACTCGTGAGGAGCTTACAGAAGAAGTCTCTCTGGTCCCGGAATCTGGGAGAGGCAAGTGCTTATTGAATAGCTTTGTCTTAGTGTGTGACACTGGTATAAAAGCCAGTTGTTATAATATTTTCTTCTTCTGCTGCAGATAATTGAGAAGCTTGTGGATGTTGTTTGCTATATATGTCAGACGATTGTGGAAGTTTTTGGCAACAATGGTAATATGATTCTTTGTCCTTCTGTCCTTCTGGTCATCTGATAATGATCCTACTTCTGGAAAACCAAATCTCATCTTATCATGGTCTTATTCACCAATAGGTCTACGAGAGAATGGAGGGAAGCAGGGACGAGAACGATTAGGTGAAGCTGGTCTTTCGTTACACTATGCTAATCTAATCCAACAAATCGATAGTATTGTAAGCTTCCAGACTCTCACCACTCTTATTCTCATATATATTGATCTCTTTTTGAAACTGATCCTTGAAATTTCTAGGCGTCTCGGCCTTCATCACTACCTTCTAATGTAAGGGACACCCTGTACAATGCTTTACCTGCTACCGTCAAGACAGCTCTTCGTCCTCGGCTTCAAACTCTTGACCCTGAGGAAGAGGTTTGTCCAAAAAGATCACTGTTTCTCAATTTTTGTGTAGCTGTTTTTTTTTTTTTTTGGGCCTAAAACTTGTTTGTTTATGCAGCTATCAATATCTGAGATCAAAGCTGAAATGGAGAAGTCGCTTCAATGGCTTGTCCCATTCGCCACAAACACCACCAAGTAAGCTTTTCCTTCACCACCATTCTTGGTTCAACATGTTCCTCCTTGTGCGTTCTTGTCATAACTTTCATCCGTTTCCAACAGGGCACATCAAGGCTTCGGTTGGGTAGGCGAGTGGGCAAATTCAAGGATAGAGTTTGGGAAGGGAAAAGGAGACAACAGCAGGAATCCAACACGACTTCAAACGCTTCATCACGCAGATAAACAAAAAGTTGATTCATATGTGCTCGAGCTCGTTGTATGGCTTCATCGACTAATGAAGTCATCAAAGAAACAAGTTCACGGCGTGAAGCTTCAGGAAACCAACCATCATGGCTCTCATCAAACCAACGACATGACCATCTCCAATACGCAACTATCTCTCTCCCCTGACTTCACCTACAAAAACCAGCTCTCTCTAGAAGACAGGTTGCTGTTGGACAATGTCGAGAGCAAAAGATTTCGTCCTAATCTAAGCAAGAGTCAGGAGTTTTTCGGCTTGAAGAAGAACAAGAAAGGAATCAAGATCTGGGCATTGAGCAGAAGTACAGGGAACTCTCCAAAAGTCGATCTTTCAGGTGACAACTCTTCTAGTGATTTGGATGTTCTTGATGGTTTGGATTTCGATTTCCGACGCTAAGGTTTGAGTGAGAACCGGGTTTTTGATCCATTCTTGTGTATTTATCATTTTTGTATATAGCATATAAAGTTATAAACAGTAAAGTAATAGTTGAAACAGAACAAACATGGTTGGTTTAGTTGGAATTTGTGTATCAGGTCAACTGTTTTCTTTGTTCTCCATCAACTCCTCAGACAACCTTAAAGAAGTTAACAACTCCATATTTGTCTGTCTATAAGATCTCATGTTAAGTAAACCGGAAATTGCACTGGGAAATCTAAAAGAAAATGGGTATGAAATTCGCCAAAATCCAAAAGAGGATGCTTACAATCATTCTTCTATGCCTTATGGTTTCATCATCTTCTGCTCAACAAACCCAATTGGCTACACCACTAGAACCAACAGGAGGAGGAGAAGTCAACACTTCACCAACAAAGCCACAAGGTTTTCCGATTGCAAACCCGAACCAACCAATTCTCGGTCAGCCATCTTCTTCTGTAAACCAGCCTTTAACCGGGTTAAATCAACCATTAACTGGATTCAATCAGCCATCATCAACTGGACTCAACCAACCGATTCTTGGTCAACCATCTTCTTCTTCTCTTAACCAGCCATTAACCGGGTTAAATCAGCCATTAACCGGGATTAATCAGCCATTAACCGGGGTTAATCAACAACCATCATCAACTGGAATCAACCAACCAATTTCTTCTACTTCTTCTTCGTCTAACTCTGCTCTCAATCAGCCATTTGGGAATCGACTCAACCAGAACAGTATCTCGGGAAACGGTGTTCCTTTTCTTAATGGAAATTCGAAGCTGGAGGTCTCCATTACAAAGATTGTCTTTATCTGGACTGCTCTTCTCCTAGCTTTGCATGGTACAGACAGGAACTAAACCGAACGTAAACATCATCTGGCGCTTCTGTATAATTTGGTTTTCATAATATTTTTTTCTATAACTTGTCCTTTTTCTGTCTTTGATTCTAGTTTAAGAGCGTGTAATGTGTATAATCTACTGAAATGTATTTTCTTTTTCTTTTTGCTATTGGATTAGTGTTCGATCCGGTTTGATGTCCATGTGTGGTTCAGTTAAATTTGGTTTTCGGGTTTTGGTATATGGAATTATGGGAGTATATGAAGCAAATTAAATTCAATATATGATACAGATGTAATTTTCATTAACTTCAACTCAACTTAAGTTTGATCACAAATGTAATTTTCAAACTTTAATCGTACAAAATAATGTTTTCTGTTAAAAATAATATGCTTATTGTCTAAAGAAGGGGAAGATTAAACAACCGGTTAACGCTTCTAGCATAAAGATGTTTAATGTTTCCGTCCAAGATCATCATCAACTCAATAGCACAAATAAACACAATGTTGCTCGAGTTGCACAAGAGAGTGGCTGCTTTTTTCGAACTTGTGTTAGATTCACCAAGCTGAACCGGTTCGAAAGATGGGTCGATCCGGTTTTTATAGGCAATGGCTAAATAGTTGGACCGACTGCAACACAACTTTACACGTGACATGTCCTTTCCATGTGCATTTTCACGTGCTCCACTTTTCATTTCAACTGAAGGAGAAAAAAAAAACTTATCCGGCTAGAGACTAGGTATACCGAACTAATCCGGTTTAAATATGGTAGTCGACCGGTCTATATGGTTAAACCGATACTCAATCGAAAAGTTTCCATTTTTTGGGGGTCAACGCCTCTGTTTTTGAGTGTTAAGTTGTTTAGTCATAACACAGAACACTACCCAAAAACTCAAAACAAAAATGGGTTCTTGGATACTCAAGTTACTCCTACCGATACTTGTGCTTGTGTTGTTGACTCATCATGGTGATTCAAGCTCTATCATTAGACATCTTCCTGGTTTTGAAGGCCCTCTTCCTTTTGAGCTTGAAACCGGGTTTTGTTCTGATTTCATTCATCTTACTCTCCATCATTAATTAATTAGCACTGTAATTGAATCTGTGTTCTGACCTTTTGGAGTTCAAAATCAAATTTCAGGTACGTTGGTGTTGGTGAGGAGGAAAACCATCAAATGTTTTACTACTTCATCAAATCTGAGAGGAATCCAGAAGAAGACCCTCTTCTTGTTTGGTTAACTGGAGGACCTCCCTGCTCTTCTTTCTCTGGCCTTGTTTTTGAGAATGGTAAATCTTTTTTTTAACTCATTCTTATTTGTGTCTTGCAAAGTTTAAATTACTTGTTTGAATTGAAAAAGAAAAAAAAATCCACCATTCATCAGGGCCTATTTCTTTCAAGGTTGAGGCCTACAATGGAACTATCCCCTCTTTGGTCTCTACTACGTATTCATGGACTAAGGTAAAAATGATTGGGATATATATACATAGTAACATAGAGAGTATATGGGATGTAAACACTGTTTTATTCAGAATTAATTTTAGGGATCATTGCTTCTTCTTTTTTTCAGGTGGCGAATATAATATATTTGGACCAGCCTGTTGGGGTTGGCTTCTCCTACTCAAGAAACCCACTTGCTGAATTGCCAAGTGACACAGGAGAAGTTAAGCTGATCCATGAGTTTATTCGTAAGGTAATGTGAAATGTAAGCTTCACTTGTTGTAACAATGACTTTTAGGGTTTGAATACAAAGTTTACATTCAAATGTAAGCACCTGACTTTATGCAAGGACTTATGGAGAGTATTTGTTATGCAAGGACTTATGGAGAGTATTTATTATTGTTGTTTGTGATTGTTGTGCAGTGGCTAGACAAGCATCCTGAATATTTCTCAAATCCTTTCTATGTCTCCGGAAACTCTTATTCCGGTAAGGTGATTCCGGCCATCGTTCAAGAAATCTCTAATGGTAACTTTTTTTTATCACTTCAATGCCTATGCAAGCCTATTCTTTGACTAGGTTTCTTGATCATTTAGTATACCAATTCTATCACAGGAAACTATATATGCTGCAAACCTCAGATAAACCTTCAGGTTCATTAGTATTTGCTTGCTTCTTACATTTATCTCCATATACATTTTCAAGCAATAAGAATTGAAGAGTTTTGTTTGTCCCTCTCAACAACAGGGCTATGTGCTCGGAAACCCGGTAACAAACTTGGATGTTGACATAAATGCTCGCGTTCCGTTTGCTCATGGAATGGCACTCATCCCTGATGAACTCTATGAGGTACATTTACAAACATCTAGGATTATGTTCTCTTTTCACCACAATGACGTGGTTTACACTCCCAAGTGTCATTAGCTCAACTAGAAAAATACCAAAGCAAAGTCTATAGGTCATAAGATGTTCTAGTAATAAAAAAAATATAAAGTGGTTAACGACCATTTCAAAACCTTTTACATTTGCAGTCAATGAAGAAAACCTGTGGAGGAAAATACTTTGATGCGGATCCTCTTAACACAGAATGCTTGAAACTCGTTGAAGAATTCAAGCAGGTGTACACACAATCTTGAATTTTAATCTTACGAATCGAATTCAACCATCGCTAAGTTATAAACTTTTTGTTTATATTTACAGTGTGTTTCTAGAATATATGATGAACTTATTCTACAATCAAACTGTGACCAAACATCTCCTGATTGCTATGTAAGCTTCTTGGTATCTTTGGATCAATGGCTAGCCACTTTACAAGAAGATTGACAAGGTTTGCATTTTGCAGTCGTATCGGTATACGCTATCCGAATACTGGGCTAATAACGAGAGCGTACGCAGAGCACTTAAAGTGGTGAAGGTAATATGGCATGACAAGTTTATTATTGATCATTACCATCGAACTTTGTGATGATTTTAATTTTATTTTATTTTCAGGGGACTAAAGCGAAATGGGAACGGTGTAACTGGAATGTGCATATTAATCAAGACATTAAAAGCAGCATACCATACCATATGAACAACAGCATCAAAGGCTATCGATCTCTCATACTCAGGTACACCACACAAAAAATTAATATCTTGTTTCACAAGCTTGCCTCCTTAATTGTTTGTAATTCTATTCTCGTGAACAGTGGTGATCACGATATGACAATCCCTTTCCTTGCGACTCAAGACTGGATTAGGTCTTTAAACTTTTCTGTTACTGAGAAATGGAGGCCATGGATGATACACGATCGAGTCGCTGGGTATATAATACAATGTTTTTTTATATATATACATATTCATTTTTGAATAAGCTGATCAACCTTTTTTTATCTGCAGATACACTAAGACTTATGCAAATAAAATGACATTTGCCACTGTCAAAGTAAAGTTTCCTCTTTTTATCCACACTTTTGTTGACATAATTAGTGATAAAATTTCTTAATTGGTTTAATTAATTAAGGAGTGTGGTTTATAGGGAGGAGGGCATACGTTAGAGTATAAACCAGAGGAGAGCTCAATCATGTTCAAGAGTTGGATAAGTGGCCAACCTCTTTAAAACACACATAAAAACCTAAATCTTGGAAGTTATCTGGTTAATCTTGAAGCCGAAAATTGTTTGTTTTTCGTTTGTATTATCATCGTTGAGTATCCGGTTCAATACATATAACTTTTGGCAAAATCTGTTAAAAAATAATTATTCCAAGTTTAATGAAGATACAATAGAGACAACAATTGTCACATGAACTAAACTTGGTCTATCTTCTCGCTAAACTTGGTTTGTATACTCTACTTGAACTAATTTATCTTGGACTGACTGCAACGCAACTTTGCACGCGACTATGTCCTTCCCACGTGCATTTTCACGTGCTCCACTTTTCAATTCAACTGAAGGAGAAGAAAAAAACCAAAAAACCAAAAACAACTACCTTACCTACTCGGTTAGAGACTAGCTATACCGAACTTATCCGGTTTAGATATGGCAGTCGACCGGTGTATATAATATGGTTAAACCGATACTCAACCGAAAAGCTTCCATCTTTTTTTCTTGAGGGGGTCAACGCCTCTGTTTTGAGTCTACAGTTGTTTTGTCATAACACACTACCACCAAAAACTCAAAACAAAAATGGGTTCTTGCATACTCAAGTTACTCGTACCGATACTTGTGCTTGTGTTGTTGACTCATCATGGTGATTCAAGCTCTATCATCAGACATCTTCCTGGTTTTGAAGGCCCTCTTCCTTTTGAGCTTGAAACCGAGTTTTGTTCAGATTTCATTCATCATATTCTCCATCATTAATCAGTTAGCATTGTGATTAAATCTGTGTTCTGACTTTTTGGAGTTCAAAATCAAATTTCAGGTACGTTGGTGTTGGTGAGGAGGAAAACGATCAAATGTTTTACTACTTCATCAAATCTGAGAGGAATCCAGAAGAAGATCCTCTTCTTATCTGGTTAACTGGAGGAGCTCCCTGCTCTTCTTTCTCTGGCCTTGTTTATGAGAATAGTAAACTTTCTTTTTTTAATTCACTCTTATTTGTGTCTGCAAAGTTTGAATCACTTGTTTGTATTGAAAGAAAAAAAATCACCAATCATCAGGGCCTATTGCTTTCAAGGCTGAGGCCTACAATGGAAGTATCCCCTCTTTGGTCTCTACTACATATTCATGGACCAAGGTAAATATATTGGGATGATATACATAGTAACATAGAGAATGTATGTGATGTAAACACTGTTATTTCTGAATGATAATTTTCTTTCACCGTCAAGTTTTAGGGATCGTTGCATTTTTTTTTTTTTTTTTTTTTTTTTGCAGGTGGCGAATATAATCTATTTGGACCAGCCTGTTGGGGGCTGGCTTCTCCTACTCAAGGAAACCACTTGATGAATTACCAAGTGACACAGGAGAAGCAAAGCGGATCCATGAGTTTATTCGAAATGTAAGCACCTTTCTTTACGCATAGACTTATGGAGACCATTTGTTATAGTTTTTTGTGATTGTTGTGCAGTGGCTAGACAAGCATCCTGAGTATTTCTCAAATCCTTTCTATGTCACCGGAAACTCTTATTCCGGTAAGGTGGTTCCGGCCATTTTTCAAGAAATCTCAAATGGTAAGTTTTTTTTTTTTTTTTTTTTTTTATCACTTCAATGCCTATGTAAGCCATATTCTTTGACCCTATGGTTTCTTGATCGGTTAGTTTACCAATTCTATCACAGGAAATTATATATGCTGCAAACCTCAGATAAACCTTCAGGTTCATTAGTATTTACTTGCTTCGTACATCATCTCCATATATACATTTTCAAGCAATAAAAATTGTAGACTTTTGTTTGTCTCTCTCAACAAAAGGGTTATGTGCTCGGAAACCCGGTAACGTACGGACTTGGATGTTGACAAAAATGCTCGCGTTCCATTTGCTCATGGAATGGCACTCATCTCAGATGAACTCTTTAAGGTACATTTGCAAATCTAGGATTCTGTTGTCTCTTGTCACCACAATGAAGTGGTGAACACTTTCAAGTGTCGTTAGCTCAACTAGAAATATACCAAAGCAAAGTCTATAGGTCTCAAGATTTGGGATGGGACCATATAAATGTTCTGGTTATAGGCTTCGACAAACCTCTAGTAATTTAAATTAAAAAATAAAGTGGGTATAATATTTATTTCGAAACTCTTACTTTTGTAGTCAATGAAGAGAAGCTGTGGAGGTAATTATTTTGATGCGGATCCTCTTAACATAGAATTCTTGAAACTCGTTGAAGAATTCAAGCAGGTAGACACACAATCTTGAGTTTTAGTTGTACGAATCTCGAATTCTAACTTGGAAGTTTTTTCGTTATCTCTACAGTGTGTTTCTAAAATATATGATGAACTTATTCTACTATCAAACTGTTACAAAACATCTCCTGATTGCCATGTAAGCTAGCTTCTTATTAGTATCTTTGGATCAATGGCTAGCCACTTTACAAGAATATTGACAAGGTTTGCATTTCGCAGTCGTCTCGATATTGGCTATCCGAATACTGGGCTAATGACGAGAGCGTACGCAGAGCACTTAAAGTGGTGAAGGTAAATATGACATGACATGCATGTTTATCATCGATCGTTACGATCAAACCTTGTGAGGATTTTTGTTTTATTTTCAGGGGACTAAAGAGAAATGGGAACGATGTAGATGGAGTTTGCGTGTTAATCAAGACATTAAAAGCACCATACCATACCATATGAACAACAGCATCAAAGGCTATCGATCTCTCATACTCAGGTACACTACACAAAAAACTAATAACTTGTTTCACAAGCTTGCCACCTTAATACTATGTAATTTTATTCTCGTGAACAGTGGTGATCACGATTTGGCAATCCCTTTCCTTGCGACTCAAGAATGGATTAGGTCTCTAAACTTTTCTGTTATTGAGAAATGGAGGCCATGGATGATACACGATCGAGTCGCTGGGTATATAATAAACTATTTTCTTTTCTACTTGGTTTTTTTTGTTCATTTTTGAATTTTGCATAAGCTGATCAACCTTTTCTTAATTGCAGATACACCCAGACTTATGCAAATAAAATGACATTTGCCACTGTAAAAGTAAAATTTCCTCTTTTTATCCACACTTTTGTTGAAACAATTACTGATTAAGATTTTCTTAATTGGTTGATTAACGAGTTTGGTTTTATATAGGGAGGAGGGCACACGTTAGAGTATAAACCAGAGGAGAGCTCAATCATATTCAAGAGGTGGATCAGTGGCCAACCTCTTTAAACACATAAAAACCTTATTCTTGGAAGTTATTTGGTTAATCCTTGAAGCCGAAAATTGTTTGTTTTTCGTTTGTATTATCACCGGTTCAATAAATAAATTATCTTTTGGCAAAATCTATTAAAAAATAATTATTAAGTTTAATGAAGAAACACAAGAGAGAAGAGTAACAATGGTCACATGGACTAATCTTGATCTATCTTCTCTTAGAAGGTAAAGTTGGTATACTCTGCTCATTCCTAAAGAAATTATCCGGATCAACCGCGGTTTTCACCCGAACCAACCGGTCGAAATTCTCGCCAAAATACTTCCTCCCGTAGATTTCTCCCTTCCGATAACCATCCGCTCCATGATCATTAACCCCAATGTCGACATCTCTATAGTTCAAATACGAGCTCCTAGGGTTTTTAGATACGAACGGTGTCATGATTTTGTACGTCGTTCTTAGATTACCAACGTAAAGCCTGTCAGCTTCCGGTCCAGCATCGGTCCATGTCACGGAATGTTGTATCTTGTATAGTTTGTGCCTATGCGGAAACGCCGTTGCGTTCGTTGCGGTCGCGTTTAGATTCCCTCCGTATGGATTCAAAACCAAACCGGTTCTGTTTAATGTCGCCAGTCTCTGAAACAGACGGTTTAGTTCTGGTTTGGTCATCTCCTTCTCCACGTAATCCGATTTCCTCTTAAGAAATTTAGCCGAATCCGGTTCTCTCTCGAGTAAAATTTCCGGTTTGACTTTGTCCACGTCAACGTGGTTCAGCCACCACAAGAGTGATTGGATCCACGTCATCTCTCTACAGTCTTCTTTCTTCAAACCCAATTCGGGAAACTCCTTCGCCAGCATCGAAACGACGTCGTCTGCATTTCCCAAATACAGAGCTCGTAATTTCGCGTTCACCGTTGTTGTGTTGTTCTTCCGCGTCGCAGAAGATAACAGCACTCTCATGAACAGACCCGGGTCGGTTCTCGGAGCGACGAACTGCCATTTATGGACCATGTCGAGGGCATTTTGGTCCGCCGATTTATCTACTCTGAAGACGGTTACGGTTTTCGGAACCTCCACGAGTTTCACTTTGAAAGCCAGAATGACGCAGAAGCTTCCGCCGCCGCCGCCTCTAATCGCCCAGAAGAGATCCTCTCCCATCGATTTTCGATCGAGAATCTGACCCTTGGCATCGACGATCGTGGCGTCGACGACGTGATCTATCGTGAGTCCGAATTTTCGTATCATGTGTCCGTATCCTCCGCCGCTTAAGTGTCCTCCGACGCCGACGGTAGAACAGAGTCCGGCGGGGAAAGCGTGTAGCTCGCTCTTCTCCCAGATCCGGTAGTAAAGCTCGCCGAGCGTCGCGCCGGTTTGTACCCAAGCGGATCCTCCGTCGTCGTTCATATCAACGGTAATGTTTCGGAAATTGGAGAGATCGAGGACGATGAACGTTACGGCGGAGACGTATGAGAGACCGTCATAGTCGTGGCCGCCGCTACGGATTTTCAGCTGTAGGTTCAGCGTTTTGGTGCAGATCACGGCGGCTTGGACGTGGGATTCGACACGTGGCACGACGATGACCGAAGGTTTCGGCGTTGAGGAGGTGTTGAAACGCGCGTTTCTGATGTAAGCGCGTAGGACGGGTGTGAAGGAGACGCTAGTGCGGGACAAAACGACGTCGGATAGTTCCTTATCGGAGATACTTGTCTTGTTAGTGAAACATCGGACAAAATCTTTGTAGACAGTCACGGAATCTGCAGAAACCAACGATGAGTACGATGCAGCAAAGAAGAGAAGGAAAATAAGATACGTTTTGTCCATTTTTTTCTTTGTTTTAGTTTTGTGTTAGAGATTTGGATAAATAGAGATTTTTTTTTTGGCTTTGTGAGGAAAGGGCGCGGTTACTTTGAATTTTCAGTCAGATATTTCCAACTTTAATAATGGTAAGTTTATGTCAATCAAAGATAAATTGACATAATGTAAGGCATCTGTCCACCCAATCATAATCATTAGATATTGTCCAAATCCTGAAAATATCAATTTGTTTGGTTATTAAAGGAAAATAGCATATATGTTAGCAGAAAATATGTAAGGGTTTCAACTTCTCTCTTGAAGTTGAATAAATTTTGAAGAGAGAAAATGGTAGAATATCAAGAAAAATATTTAATTATAGAATTGTCCAAATCCTAAAATCATAGTCCAAATCCTGAAATCATAATCCAAATATGTAAACAAAAACCAATAGCATGCATAGATGAAATAAGCAAGATACGTGTGTTAAATGAAACAATCCCTTTGTTTGAACAAAAAATAATTACAATCCTCCTTTTTTTTTGTATTACATTTGTATGCATCCTCGAACCAAAGATCTGACCACATTTCACAACGATTTATTAAACCAAATCATATAAGTTTCTTGCTTTATTTGCTGAAAATTCCAATACATGTCACAAATCACACAACACTGTGTCGTACATATTATTTACGAACCGGAATACTTTGTTCGTTCCTCCAAAAGTTTATCTCATCATATGTGGTTTTGATATCCACTAACCTCTCGAAATTGTCTTTAAAATACTTAGCCCCGTAGATTTTACCTTCTTTGTAAGTGGATTAACACTTGATCCTATGTCAAGATCACGGTAATTCAAATACGCCCCTCTCGGATTACTAGACACGTACGGAGTCATGAATTCATACATCTCTCTTGCACGTGCCAAATGATCTTTCTCCACGTGATCTCCACTTTCCGACCAGTCTATGACATACTCAATGTTGAACAAATTGCCTGCTCTATGTGGGAACGGTGTCCTCGAACTCGGATCTCACCCATTCTTCCTCCGTACGGATTCCAATTCATTTCAACTTTCTCAACCTCCACCAATTTCTTGATCATTAAACCGAGACCGGTTCTCGAAATCGAACTCTTCACGTAGTCCGATTTCCGCTTCATGAACAACTTATTCCCGACCGTCGGGTTTAGCAGTACGGAAGTCGGTGTACCGATCGGAAAACCGGCCCAAACAGAACCGAATCGATCCATCTCATTTCGGTACAATCGGTTTTCTTCAGCTTCAACTCCGGGAAATCCCGGTTCATCACGTTCAAAGTCTTATCCGACCGGCCTAAATACATCCCAATAAAGAAGCTAAAACCGTCTTCTCACCAGGCTTCGTACCGTTGACTACAGTCAACGTCACCTTCACGAACAGATTCCGATCTGTACTGTGAGCGAAACTCTGCCACTTCATTAGAAGATCGACGGCTCCTTCTCCGACGGTTTTCCCGACGCTGAAAACGTTAACTCTCTCCGGCACCGGAACAAGTCGGATTTTGTATCCCAGCACGATGCCGAAACTCGCGGCACCACCTCCTCGAACCGCCCAGAAAGGTCTTCCCCCATCGAAACCCGATCGGTGAATATATTCCCAGTTCGAATCAACGATTCCGGATCCGACGACGTTATCCACCGACAATCCGTACTTCCTCATCAGATTCCCGTACCCTCCGCCGCTGAAATGTCCACCGACGCCCAATGTCGTACACAAACCCGCCGGAAATCCGAGGACATTGCTCTTCTCCGCGATTCGGTAGTAAAGCTCTCCGATCGTAGCGCCGGTATCAGCCCAAGCCGTTCCTTCGGTGAGATTGACGTCGACGGATTTGAAATTGAACATGTCGATGATGAAGAACGGGACGGTGGAGGTGTAAGAGAGTCCTTCGAAGTCGTGGCCTCCGCTTCGGATCCTGACCTGGATCGGGAGGTCGCGGGCGCAAGCTAGCGCCGAACCAATGTGACTCCAAGGTGGGGGTGACGATGGCGAGGGGTTTTGGGGTTGTGGGTTTGTCGAAACGGAGGTTGGTATGCGGCGGCGGAGGACGGCGGTGAAAGAGGAGTTTGTTGGGATGTAAGTGACTGTGGAGATGTTATTCTGTGGGTTTGATCCTTCTCGTACGAGACACTGGAGGAGAGTCGCCGAATCTGTCACAGACTGTGAAGTTGTAACTGAAACTGAGATCAGTAGCAGATAAATTACGACTAGTGTTTCCATCTTCTTTTTTGCTGTTTATTTTTTGAAGTTTGGATATGTTTTTGTAAGTTTGTGTGTGTCTGTATTTATACAGAGGAGATTTAGTGATCCAAGCTTTTCATTGGTTCAATAGTACTTCAGTAGTATAAACTATAAACAATCCATTTTGTATTTGATTTTTATTTCCTTTGGTGGAATAATTAATCATCACATGTCTGTCGACAGGTAGACAAACGAGCAATTATTCAATGTCAAAGCTTGAGAAGAAATTGAGAAATTCTTAGTTATTAGTCCGACTATATTATCCAAACCTAAGTGAAAATAACATTTTCTAAGTTAATTTATAGGTTCGTGAGTCATGAGAAACCGTTCAAGATCACACAAAGTGGCAAACAGACAGAGATTAGTGTCGATTTTTCTTTTTTTCTACAACGATTAGTAGATGGTTTAATTGAGATTTTCCGGTACATACAAAAGAATATACAATTTGTTTACACGTTATATATTTACAGCTTAAGTGTTTTTGTTCGTATAATCGTATTAATGCAGCACACAACTACACATAGTGGACTTAATATATTTGATGCGATAGCCAATAACGTGTGATAATCTGAATACTTGACTTTTACAGTTTGTCGCATGCAGTATTCATATGAAAGATTTGGCTAGATAGATATATGACTCACTTATGCGTGCTGCAGTACGGATCGAGTATTATTTTTTCTTTATAAAACTAAGATCAGTCAAAGAAAATGTATTCGATCAAATCTGTGTATCGTGCAAGTCTTGCTTATCAATTCCCGCGTTGTCCATTAATGTATAGATATATAGAAGCGTTGAATTAATGTCTTTGGTCAAAAAATGTATACTTCTTTCGTGCATGTGACTTGAAACGCCTCATTATCCGGTAAGGTTTCAACGAAGCATGAGTTGACTCGTGAACAAAACCCGTGATTCATTGTGAAAAAACGAATATTATGCCGTCTCAGTATAGTTCTACCCTACTGCTTGCCGTATATTTAATTACAGCAGCAACCTTAAATCGAAACTCATTCTTAAATCGAATTCCGGTTTCTACCGGTTCTCTCAGTCATCATCAATGATTAGTTGATTACACTGAAGGCTGAAGGCTCCATTGAAAAGAGGCGGTTCAATTCCATTTCAATCATATTGATCCCAATAACATTTAAGATAACAATATGTGATTGTGTAGAGCAGTTTGGTGAAAGTTGATAACCTTCGTATGTCTACACATAATCATTGGAAGCATATATATTTGTATATAGGTGTTCTTCTGTCAATAAATTTATTATATATACTAGGTTTAAGCCCCGCGCTATGCGCGGGTGGTGTTTTTTTTTTAATTCTTTTTCCGTATTTGTAAAGTTTATTTTATAAATAATAATAATATGATAGTCTCTCCGACATAATCTTTTATCATTCCTCGAGTTTTTTTCATTTACCCCCTTTTATAATTTATTAGTTGCAATTCCGACATCATACAAAGATTTGGCAGTATTGAGTATAATTCGATTTTCTAGATTTGTACCGAAATAGACTTGACCCAATACCAAACCAAAATTTGTTCGGCACCTGTATGTGGGTATAGATATCACATACCCGATAGACCCGGACCTGATCAAACCCGACCTGAATACGATCCGATCATTCAAAGTCTCATACCTAATCTCAATTTATTGATGATGCAATTGTCTTTTAGGTTCCATAGTTTTCACAAAGACCAAAATTTTTGTATGGTGATAGAGTTATAAATATATTCACAAATCATTTGTCACCAAAAAATGATATACTTGTCTTTTAGTTTTCACTACCTCCAAGTAATTATTATTATATATATATTTTTTAAATGCATTGAAAAGAAGAAAATTCATGTATAAAATATTTTTTTTTGATATAGTTTGCTTCTAAACCAGTTTCATATTATACTAGGGGATTACCCACGCCTAATGCGTGGGATTGAGTAAACTTTAAAATTTTCATATTTAAAATAAATATTTATTGAATGGACATGTCATTTTAGAATAATGCGTGGAATTGTTTTGAATAATACATAGATATTTAGTTATTAATTTATGTGTATTATTATAGTAAGGTTTCCTATTTTCAAATGCGCGAAACTTGAATTAACTTTATTTATTCACATCTTAAATAAATATTATTTGATGGATATGTCATTTTCTATATTGTATGTAGATTCATACTGTACATGTTTTGTTTCTTTATCATTTCATATGAATATTTTTAACAAATAATAAGTATATTGGTTCCGTTGTTGATTAAGAATATTTTAATTTGTTTTTTTATAATAATGGATGGATATTTAGTTATTTATTTACGTGTATTATTATATCTTAATTGTTTCACATTTTCAAAATACATTTGTTATATGATTTGTATAAAAGATTATGATTTAATTAAATCTAAAAGACCTTTAGAAAAATTGCCAATAAAATTTAGTTAGGCAAACCTTTCTTAAAATTCATATTGAAAAACAAATAGCAATATCCACTACATATTACATTCAAAATACTTGTCCAAAAAAACATTGTAGGTTTTAATGCAAAACATAGTTCTGCTAATTTTTTACCAAAACATAAGTTTGTAAATATCCCCATGAACATATTTAAAATAGAAAAATTGTTTTTCCTTTTTTTTCCAAAAATACCACCATGTTCCCACCAATATTCTAAAATATTTTCCCCAAAGATGGAATTCCACATATTTTCTGCCAAAATGAAGAATTCACAAAATTTTGACCATAAATTTGTAAGTTTGAAATGTGATTTAAAAAAACTATCTAAAACAAACTATTCCACAAAATTCACGCCAAATAAAGTCCGATTAAATATTAGTGACTCTTTTGCAAGATTGATTCTAAATTATTTTCTCAAAATGTATGATTTCAAAAAAAATTCCGCAAAAGTACTTATTTAGGTTCGAAATTATGTGTTCAATATACGATATTTTTAAAAACTCAAAAAATTATTATTCTGCGAAGTTCCTGCCAAACAAAATCCTTATCAGCAAATTTTCTTTCGATACTGTATAGGTGTGAAGGATGCTGAGATGTGTACCTTGGTAGAAGTGAGTTATATAGACATACTCAAGGTGATTTTGCTTTAGGTTAAACCAACTTCGAATATTCGATGCATTTACTGCCAAAGAGATGATATAGTAAGTAATAATACTCTTCGAATTTAGTTTTAGTTCGAAGAATATTCGAATATGAGTTTTTGGCACTATAGTAATGGAGTGGTAATCTCCAAAATAATAACAGGTCTAACTTAGGGAAAAGAGTAATTGCAACGTATAGGATAGGAAAGTTTTCGAACTTGTCAATCATCTCCATTATTTTCCCAAAGTACGGGCCCATTTCTATAAACGAAAGCCAATATTCATATACAAAAGGATAAACGTTCACTGGATTAAAAGCCCATGGCGAGTACAATGGAATTTGAAGCCCTTTACAAACTCAAATTAAGCCCATTCCCTTTGAAAATCGTTCAGCGTCGTCAATCACCGGCGGTCAAGATTCCGATAAGCTTCAGCGAGTCTGAGATGGATATCAAAGAAAATTCATCATATTCAGCCATGCAACTTCTTCTGCAGAACTTGCCGAGCAATTTTGGTCGGGATCTATGAAGCTCCAGCTCTGCTTAATCTGTTCTGAACCAACCGACGAATTTCACACACACAATTTCGTAATGAGAAGGAGATACTTAATCCGCAACCGATCTTACGCCCATAAAGGAGGCATGAAGATTGACACTTTCATGAGAGGAATTGGGCAGGCGATGAACCAAGGAACCAAATCCATATATACTCTGGATTTATTTCCTCCATCTTAGATGAGATTGCACTTTCTGCAACAGAAGAAAAAAATTAAAAAACTAAAAATGAAAAATGAAAAAAAAATGATACATAAAGAAAACTGGTCAAAGCCGGATGAAACAGAAATCAGTGTTAGCCGAATATATAATACGATTCAGATGAGGAAGACATAAAAAAAGGATTCGAGCTTTGTCCGTTCTAAACATGAGCATCCTTCTGTTTGGTAACAGAGATAGAAGATAAATAACGGATCTACAGTGTCGGGTTTTTTTAATTAGTCGGGCATTGTTACGATCCGCGTCTTTTCAATATAGTTATCTAACTAATTAATTAAATAATTCAAAAATACTCTAAAAAACTGTGAGATTGACACGTCAGCAAAAATGCATGATCTTTAATATATTGTAGGATACTCTCAAATTTTTTTTTTAAATATGAATTTTCTCAGATTTCAATACATTTTTTATTAAGTAATACTAAGTAATTATAATTTTGAAGAAAAATAACTGAGATTATTGAATTGCGATTGGTTAATTTTTTTTAGAATTTGTTAATCAAAGATAATACATTTAGAGCCTAATTGTTAATATAGTTTTTTAATATATGTCAAAATTCTTAGAGAGTATATTTGTCTTATTTTTTGTAGAGTTTGTTTTTAAACATTATTCACATTGAGTCATTGCATTTTATAACATCAAATTTCAATATTTTGAAAATAAGCTACTAAATTACATAGAAACCTTTTGTTTTGGTTTAAATGTTAAGTTTTAAACCACATTTTTGATTCTGGACAAAAGTTATAAAGAATACAGGAAAACTGAGATTACAAACAAAGCAAATTACAACTGGAAATAGAGACAGAAAAAAGTCAACATGATAGACACAATTCATAGTTAACACAAAGATTTTTGAAGAAAAACACCTATTCCAAACCTTTAAACTCAAAATTTGTGCTTTTTGCCGAAGATTTTAAAATCTTAAATATGTCATTAAATCTCAGAGTTAGTAATGTCTACAGTTTCTGGAAAGAGTAACACAAAAACAATATCATTTCAAGACACTACTATACATTGGCAGCAAGCCTCTTTGCACCTAGATAATTCTCCTGTTCGCAGGAGAGTTTACAATTACATAAGAAACTTAACTCTTGCATGAGAAACCGAATGTTTGAAAATGTGATTTTAAAGACCTATTAACCACACCGAATGTTTCAAACTTAGCTCTTGCAATTATATGGAGACCCATTACCCACACCCTAATTTTAGAAGAAACATAACCAAATTGTCAATCCATTGGAGATTGATGAGTTTTACCTGATCAACAGTCTCGTGAAATTTTATTAAAAGTAATTTTTCAAAAAAATAATCTTTTATATATCATGATTTCTGAGAATAAATTAAGAAGGACGTGTCTTGCTTGATTAGACCTTTTCGGATTACAGAACCACTTTGATTAATAATGTACGGTGTTAACATTATGCCAAATCTTAAATTTTATTGATGTAATTTAACTATAAGTACTTTTATATATTTTTTCAAATATTATTATTATTATTATTATACTAATGAAATTGTTTGTATAGTGATTTTAATTATGAAACTACAAAAAATAATGATTTGAATATGTTAATATATTGCAACTTTTATAGAATATGAATTTAAAATTACAATAAAATGATTAATGCTTTATTTTAATTTGTTTGTTTGTTTCAGATTTGAGAACTATAATAAAATAATTTTATGCTTTTTTATTTTTCTACAATCTTGTTCTTGACATGTGTTTTAAACTTTGTAAGCTTTGTAGCATTTTTTCTTATTTTATGACTTCAGAAGTTTGAACTAAAGATGAATAACTGTCATAAAATACTTCAATAACTAAACAACGGTCAAGGAACCCCCGCGCTCTCCCCCGCACATTCCACCTCTCCGGCGTCTCAGCCCAACGTCGACCTTATCCCAACTTCCTCTCCCTTTATTTCCTCCTTTTAAGCCCTTCTCCTTCCCAAGCCGACTCCTCCGATCATCCTTTCCAGAAAGAAGAGAACCCCATATTAGTTCAACTTAATTAACAGTTTATGATCTCTTATCTTGCCATATGAGAAAAACAAATCTACACATGCAAATACATCTTATTCACTACCAAATATATACATATATGTATACTATGTACTCGGTTCATGCATTGCTAAGGCATGTGATGGATTGGAGTTTAAACTTGCAGAAATTAGTTCAAAATCAATACAATCGAGTCTAACATTTGCTAGTACCATAATTTATTTCAGCAAGATATACTCACGCAATAACCTTGATAAACCCGAAATGGTTCCTAACTAATTGTTTGATATACCACTATGAGGCCTAGCACACAAAAACAAAAACGTTTCACCACTACATGGGAGTGATTTTCTTATGGCATACATAGTTCGTAATGGTACATAGCAGTCGTTTCTAGATTTAAGAGGAATAATCAGAGGGACCCCGACAAAACAATTTTCATCACCAAAAGGAAGACAACTTACTAATCCAGGGAGAAATTAAAGTAGCCAGAGTGTTCTATATATAGGGGAGTTTAAAAGAAGAACCTCTCTCTTTACAGAAGCATAATAAAATGTTGGAAAGACTGAAAATGCAGGGAAAAGCATCTAGAGAGAATAAGGATACCATTATTGTATATCCTCTGCATTTTCCAAGATGGACAGCGAAATGGAGAAATCTCACCGTGTTGTGCATCTCTGCAGGCCGAGGAAGTCGGTTGATATAAGGGACCCATGGAGAGTTCTGATTCAGAAACAATCAGAGAGTCAAGTTGTAACCAAAACAGTCGCATCAGAGGGAGACTTATTTTAAGATGACATTAAAACTAAAGATGTTGACGTGAGCTTACTTGAACCTTTTTCATCTCGATCATAAGAAGAGCAGCAAGCTTTCCAATGTTTCCAACTTCATCGGAAAAGCTTTCAAAGCACATACTGTGTAGGAATGATAAAAACTGCGTTACAGGTTCTATCTTACCTGACGAAGAGTCTCACAGAAGCCCATGAATGTTATGTGGTCACCATCATTGTCGGTTTTCAGAAAGGCAAAAGCATCTTCAGCTGTTAGTGAAGCTCGCCTCAGTAAATACTGCAAAAGCAAAATGCTCAAATGTTAGAGAAGATGTAACATCACTTTAAACAGTGAAATGCCCCCAAGATATTGAGGAGCGTCTTACCCTGAACATGCCAAACACTGCCTCACTCCAACTTGTTTTCAGAAGCTTTCTATACCGGTTTGGATTAAGAAGCCATATGAAATCAACAGCGCATATGTTACCACGATGATTCCGGTGGCTCACCCACTTTAAAAAAAAAGACAAAAGATAAAAACAGCAATTTTCAGAATCACAAAAAGCTACAGTATACCCAAAAGTATTCTCCATATGAAGAAATACAGTGACCTTGTGAGCATCTGGATCTGTGTACGGATGAGCAGTGTCGTACGACGACACAAACTCCTGTGACCACAGAAACTTGTAGACATGTCCTCTCTTTCTCCCGTTCCAATCTCTGCCACAACAGCACAAACAGAGGACTTTTGAGTAAATCTCATCAGATGTAACTCATGAAAAAGGTAGTTGTTAGTTACCCGCAAAGTATAATAGGCATGGGACTGAGATTGACTTCTTTCTGATACGATTCTACATACTGAAGAATCTTATATACCTGTGAAAAACAAAATCTTGTTTAGAGAAAGATGCAAAATCATTCATCACAATGGCACTGGAGTTGGTATAAAAGATTGAATTCTTTACCTGCTGCAATCGTACTATGGACAGTGTTGAGTCATGAGGGAAGAGCAAATGAGTGTTGACGATCAAGACTTGTTGATGAGCATCGTACTGAGAGTAAGGAGGAACTAATTCTACGTGAAGCAACTGCGCGACTCTGTCACCACAATCGTTGAAAAGCAAATCTCTCAAGTTCAAAACTCTGAAATAGTCCTTCTGAACAGCCGTAAGACCTATTTTACCAATGAAAATGTCATTTTTCTCATCATCTGAAAACATCAAGCCAAGAAGATTCACAAAGATGAAGCTTTTACCATCGCCAGATTGTTGGTACGGCCAAGCTTGTAACTGAGATAACCAATTCGACTTTGTCAAATCTATAAAAAAATGGAAGAGGAAATTCGTCGAACAACCTGCAAACATATGATTGAAGACCTCTCGTACAATAACCAATCGAGGATTCTGTGATTCCTTCCAAGCCAATACGCTCGATTATCCCTCGAAAACTTTGATCCTGCATTCATCCTTATAACCAAAAACCCAGAGAAACAGCAAAATGAGATAAGCGTTGATGAGAATTGAGAAGAAGAACTTTTTGAGAGAGGCGTTTGTAGATCAAGGAATCTAGGGTATTATTAAACACAAGACATTGATCTGTGCTATCAAAGCCAGTAAATCCAAGGGGAATTGAAGAGGCGTTTGAAGAGGCGTTGAAATATTTCTACCGTTTGAGGAAAAAAATCAGAGAGAGGAAAATCAGATAAGGCGCCACGTGTCCATCTCTCCCATGATGACGTGTCAGTCAGCTGGAGAGAGATGGGCAACTTTTATAGTATAGGATTCTGTAATTGTGAAAATTAGAAAAACATTGTTTCCTGTTAGTAGCGAATACATTGGCTTTTAATAGCTTGGCAAGATTCCGAAAAACAATATCAGATGCTAAGCTAAGCTTTTTTATTGCGTTATCATCTCAGATGGTTTTCTTCTTCTTCATGATCCCAGGCTCTTGCTTAAGACTATTGTTAATGAAAATAGACTACAGAAAACTAAGAAGAATAGTAAGATGGTACATTGAAATGTGGAAGATAAAAGAGTTACATACATTATTACATGTTCATCGACTAAAGTTATTACATACATTGTAAGTGGGATCACGGTAATAAACAATGATGGGTACCAAATATGGAAGAAAAAATGAAAAAATAGGAAAAGTGTAAATAAATGAAGAGAATTATTTCTTGTTCGTAGATTGGCAAGATTCCAAAAACAAAACTTTCACCAAAAAGGAAAGAAAAGAGCAGAGAAAAAAAGCTTGGTAGACACGCCTGTTGTTCTCTCTTTCTCTTTGAAAAAAAAAATGATTGGTAGAGACTTCAAATACATCAACTTGATTTTTGGTTTTCTTTTGGTTGGTATCTTTCAATAATGTCTCGGCTTCTCTCCAAACTCTCTCCCCTTGTAAGCTTAAGCTCTTTCTTGCTTTTGTTCTGTCTTTAGATGGTTTAATTTCACTTTTGTTTTTCTATATATCTCATTCAGCTAAGAAAATTGATTTCCTCACTTTTGTTTTGCTTACTTACTACTTGGCAGATTCAAAAGAGCAGGAGCGTTCGTTTGTTTTCATCGTCCAGGACCGGCCCGTCTATTTCGATCTGCAGCCTTGTGGAATCCTCGCCGGACGGCGGCAGGAACAACGGAGAAGTCATGTTGTACGACGTCGCCAAACTCGAGTTAGTTACAGCGGAAAAAAAATATCCCTACGAGTTAGAATCGGCACAATTGGTCGGAGCTTCCCATGGATGGGGTTTTTTCTCCAACAGAGACGATCGCTCGGTAATTGTCAGCGACTTTCTCAACCCATATTCTTCCAAGACAGCACCAAAGATGATTCATCTGCCTCCGTTCACTACAATGCCCACTTGCCAAACCGAAGTCATGTGTAACGTGGCCATGTCCACTTCCCCCAAGCCGTACGACAAAGACTAGTGCGTTGGCGTCAAGTTCATGGGTAAACAGCTGAGTCTCTGCATGCCCAATAGTGACATGCGTTGGACTAACATCACAACACCGTTCGAGTCATGGGACACCTCAAAGCTAATGTATTCCAAGAGAGACGAGAGGTTCTACATGCTTGCTCCAGGAGGCAAGTACTTATGCTCATGGGATCTAAACTTCAAGAAAGATAAAAAGCCTAAGTTCCACGAGCTGTTGCTGCACGATGACATTCCCGGAAAGATGACAAGTTCCATATGGAAGGATATGGATTCCTGGTGCAGGCAGGATCACTGGGTGGAGTCACCTTCCGGGGAATGTTTCCTTGTCAGTTGTCAAATGCTACTCCGAATACACCACTGAAGGCGTCAAGCCACCGACGGTGATGGTGTTTAGAGAGGAGGAGACGATATGTGGGAAGAAAAACATGCGTCACACGAAGGACATTGGAGATCTATGCATTTTCATTTCAAAGGGAGAGGATTTCTGCGTTGAGGCCAGCTCTTGCAACCTCGAGCCTAACTCCGTCTTTGTCCATGGCCGTTTGTTTGGTACGTTTAATCTCACTGAGAGATCATTCGCTCGCTATGAGTATCCAGAAGGTACACCAGACATGATTCCACACTCACCCTACTGGCTTCCTCCTTATTCTAGCTAGCTTTTGCCCTTCTTGCTTCATTCGCGTTATTTGTGTGTTTGGTTTTGTCCTCTTTACCGGCTTGGATTACTAATTAATCACATTACGATATCATTTTTAGAAGAAATATTATTATTACCTTAGACCACATGTATTACTTTTATTTACCATCGCGTTAGGTTTTCTTTGAAATCGTTTCTAGTTCTAGAGTGGATCTTTTACAGCTCTATAGTGGTGTGTACACAGTTTCAAACAAAAAAAAAAAACAAAAAGGAAAAATATTTCGCTTATACCCACGTTTGAAATATCAAATAAACAAACAAAATTTCTGTTATCCATGTATCCAAAACCATTAGAAGATGGTGTTTTATTTATATGTATCAAAAAGTTATAATTATGCTTATATGTATCAAAGTTTTATTAAATATATTTATATAAGCTAATAATATATTCCCTTTATCCCATATTATAAGCAGTTGGGCAAAATATATCTGGAAAAGTGGATGTATTTGGATCCATATAAAGTGGATGTGTTTGGATTTATCTGGATCCATAAAAAATGTATATATATATCCCATCCAGATATATCCATTTTTTTTCAGATAATCAAGTATTACAATATGCAATCTATTTTTCTGATTGTATGGTTCAGCAAATGATTATTTACGTCAAGTATTATTAAAAATTGAAATTTATGAATATATTAAAGTTATCTAACTAACAATTAAGTTACTTTGTAACATAAAAACTTTTGAAATAAATTAATATGTTTAGATGCGATGAAATAATTATTTACTTGTTACAAGAACATATAACTACTACCTATCACAATGTATTTTTTGATAAGATTTTATAACGTTTCTTTATTTTTTTGTTTTCTTCAAATAAAGTAATTCTTTTTTAACCATTGTAATTATTTTTCTTGTTTTAGTTGCAGAAACAATGGAGGAGAGAGATAAACAAGGAGAAACTGCAGTGTTTTTAAACCCGGACCGGACCGGGGGTCCGACCGGGTTCGACCACGAACCGGCACCTAATCCGGGTTGGGTTGATATGGAAAACCGGAGATAGTTGAACCGTAAATCAACCCGCTTTAGACCGGCTAAAAACCGGAACCCGACAACCACAGAACCGGATTGACTCCGGTTTAGGGTTTAGTCACTAAATTAGTAAATTGATGTTTACGCAATGTTAGGTTTTTTTGTTTCTCTTCTCATTTTGAAGTCTCTTTTCTGCAACTCACAGCCCCTGGATAAGTCAAGCCTCAATGCTTCTGAATTTAACTTCTATAGTTCTCTCTTATGTTATACTATAATTCTGTTTCATCATGATAATTGCTAATGAAAAGTGGAAGCACATACGACCGTGAACTTATTTGCAGAGCATAATAATATATGAGCATAATAATGAAAAGTGGAAGGCTGGAAGCACATACGATCGTGAACTTATCTTTGGTTTTGATACTCTTTGCAATGATCCAATCTCTTTTAGTTTTAAGGGATGAAGTATTCTTTGGTTTTCAATTCATACTCTGTTTTGAGCCTTTTGTTTGGCTTTGTTTTTTTTGCCTTTAGTTTTGGTGTTTGACTGTTTTCTGAACTTTTCTGGTCATAGAGTCAGAGTCTTCTTTTGGTAACAAGTCTGTGAACTTTGTTTTGAAAGGAATTCGTTGTTTTGTTGGCTTGTTTGTGTCTTTATCCTTATGTGTTGTTCATAACTGCTTTGTTTTCCTTACTCTATGTTGTCTTGATATTCTTATATAAATTTATATATATATATATGATATTATTATGCTTAAATTATTATCGAACCAGGTCGAACCGGGTCGAACCGGGTTGAACCATGACCCAAAAAGTTTACGGTTAGATCACCGATCCGGTTTTAAAAACATTGGGAGAAAGAAAAAGAAAAATGCATCAAATTATTTTGGAGGGGCCCACTCACAGAGGTTTTTTTTAGTAATTATATCATGTAAATTGTATATGTATTTTTATACCGACCATTTTTTTAGCTAAATAGGGTGAGTTTTATGTCCATGCAGCTAATTAACCCTTGTATTTATAACCTTCGTGTTTCTGAAAGAATGTTTTAACGCTTGAAAGCTCTACCCGACTAAAAGTAATCCATATTGTATCCTGAAATGAAACTCATATATATAGTCCTTGTAAGAATCAACTATTCAATCGGAATTACATCAAGCTCTCAGACAATTCGACTATACAACCTTATCGATCACTCAGTTGGACTTGGAGAAGAGAAGCCATTTTGAGACCAAAAGGAAAAAAAAAAAAAACAAATTTTCATTTCCTACTATGGAAATTAAATTTGAGATATCAATGTTTCAAAATCTACTATGGAGAGATATAGGTTCCGCTGATTCTGAAGGAATAGAAAGTTACATGAGCTCCCAGATTTTTAGGTTTCTCGAAACGACGACGAAGTCACACACACACACACTTACTTATATAAATATTACACACAGTTTTTAAGAGTATTTAATTAGTCAACGTCGTTGTTTTTTTTTGTAGTGATATCTGTCAATTGTTGCAAGGGCAAAATCGTCTTTTAGCTCAATTCGATTTTGAGGCGGCAACAGTTGCGAGGGCAAAATCGTCTTTTAAATTTCGAGGGGCAAAGTCGTCAAACTCTCTCTCTCTGTTTGTTAAAGAGCTGCTAACAAACTCTCTCGGTCTCGCTCTCACTCACTCTCTCTCTCTCTCACTCGCTCTCTCTCTCTTTCTCTCTCTCTCTCTCTTTCTCTCTCTCTCTCTCCCTCTCTCACTTGCTCTTCTCTTCGAAATTCCTCTCTATTTTCCCGGAAAATTTTGTGAATCCAGTAAAATTGTGAAGGCGCGCGAAATCGACTTTAGCGATTAACGGAAGTTTCTTGGATCTCAAGTAAGTGAAAATGCCTCTGCTATTACCGGTTGTTTCTAGTAAATCTGGCTAGGTTATCGACTAAGTAATTCTCTGATTCGTGGATTTTCTCGTGCTTCTCCTTGTGGAATTCTGGGGAAAACTTGATTAAGTGGTTATCGTAGGGTCGATTATTAAACTGTAGGGTAATTTCTCACAAGCGAAATCGACTTTAGCGATTAACGGAAGTTTCTTGGATCTCAAGTAAGTGAAAATGCCTTTGCTTGTTTCTAGTAAATCTCGCTAGGTTATCGACTAAGTAATTCTCTAATTCGTGGATTTTCTCGTGCTTCTCCTTGTGGAATTCTGGGGAAAACTTGATTAAGTTGTTATCGTAGGGTCGATTATTAATCTTTAGGGTAATTTCTCACAAGTACTCTCCAAGATTTTCTGTTTCGTTTCCCTGCTTCTCCTCCGCTTGTGAAAGTCTCGAAAACTTGCTCTTTCATGTAGATCGCTAGAGTTATTTTCTCGTTTCTCTGTTTGCTAAAATCTTTGTTTGTTCTGTTTTAGGTAGGAAACGAATATGTGGAACGGCGATGGCTTTAGCCTCTTTAGTGGCCCTCCAGCGACGGTAGCCCAAGCAGGGGTCATTGGCCGGCTGCGCCGGCAGGTCCAGGTCAACATCCGAGGAACAATTACCTTTGCTAGTGATGAGACGGCACAAGAGTTCATCCGAAGAGTACCAACCAGCCTTATGGCGAGTGGAATCAACATTCGCGTAGACGAAGCCAATGCGGTCCCAGAGGTCCCAATCGCTGCACAGCCAGAGAATGTGGTAGCTGCGCAGGTTCCAGTACAAGAAGTTGCACAGCCGGTGGAGGATCAAGCCAATGTAGTAGGTCCAGTACAAGAAGTTGCACAGCCGGTGGAGGATCAAGCCAACGAGGCTCAAGTACAAGAAGCTGCACAGCCGGAGAATGTGGTAGTTGATGTGATCCAACTGAGAGCATATGCGGTAAAGGTGAGGAGAAGAAGCCAACAACGCAAACGTAGAGCTCCGATCATCGCTCCGATCGCTCACAGACCTCCGTCTCCGATCTACGAAGAAGAAGAAAAGCCGATCTTCTACAATTCTTTGAAAAAGATGCCGAAGCTCCCCCACAAGCTTATAGAGTGCAAGGATCTGGTTGAGATCTCGCAGTTTCTCAATACTCACTTCTATGATAAGAAGCCCCCCTACCTCTGTCCGTCTCACTCCCCTGCTTCACTCCAATGGTCGCTGCAAACAACCAGAAATGAGAGCTTGCTTCTTGGGGTAAGAGGTCAGAAGCGTAACGACCTTGTTGGTTTTGTTTCTGCGGTTCCTTCAACGATGTGGAAGGCTGGTGAAATTGTGGATGTAGCCATCATCGGTCTTCTCTGTGCAAAGAAGCAGTTGAGAAAAACCTCTGCCAACATTGCTCGTAACCTGATCCAGGAGATGAAGAGAAGACTCAAAGCCAAACGAATCTCTTTTGCCATCTTCAGCGCAAAACATTCCTCTCCCGCTTCCTTCTCTAGGTCCCTTAACACATACAATAACTTCTCTATGGTGATAGATGAGAATTTTGTAGGCGAAACATCCATTCCAGGCTTTAGGAAGATGGAACAAGGTGATGTCCACGAAGTTACACAGCTACTGCAAGGTTATTTCTCCACGTTCCAACTTGCGCCATACTTGATGGAAGATGATGTTGCCCACTGGCTATTACCGAGAGAAGGAGAAGATATGGTGCACACCTTTGTCGTGAAAGACATTGAAACCGGTCACATCACTGACGTTTTCAGCGTTTACATCGTGTACTATACCTCCTCCCTCCAAAAACCGGAAGAAGAACACTACCTGAAGGTGGCAAATTCGTATTACAACGTGTTGACGAAGACGGAACCTCAAACTCTAGTCAGAGATTTCTTAGTAAGCTGCAAGAAACTTCAGTTTGATTGGTTTGTGGCTTTCGATACTTGATATCTTGCGTATTTGACGCATTCTAACACTTGTTTTCACGAGTTTTATCGAGTCTTTCTAGTCTTTATCGAGTCTTTTCAGGTCTAAAGACGTTCCAGGGAGAGCTTTGGTCACATGGACCAACAGGAGGAGAAAGCAGGCAAAACGGAGCCCAAAGGAGCTCGATCGAGTCGCCACGGATCGATCGACTCACACGATCACCACTCGATCGATCCCATGCAAAGGAGAGCTCGATCGATCCCATGCAGAGTGACGAGCTCGATCGATCCCGTCAGTCTACACTCGATCGATCCCATGCAGAGAAGCTCGATCGATCCCGTTCTGTCTCAGCCGTTCGATCACCCGGTCAGATGATATCACAGCCGTTCGATCTACTTGGTGCAAACCGACTTGATCGAACCACAGCGAACCGGATTGAACCGAAGTCGACCCCGGAGCTATTTAGACCTATCTTTAGCCATTGTTTAGGCTACGCCGTTTTTCAGAGTTTTACACTGTTGTTCATTGTTTCCGAGGGAGAAGAGATCAAACCTCTGTTTTCACAGTTTGGAGAAGATTTCTGAACCCTTTTTTTGCTATTTTCTTATTTGATTCAATGACATTCATTCAGTATTGTTTGCTGTTTCACATGTCTGAGTAGTCACCCTGCTAGATCTAGGTTTTTCAAAGGGATTCATGTGTTAATTGACTGAATACAGATAGGGCTTTAATACTGTCTTCGCCATTGTTGCACTTACTGCTTAGATCGATCTGATCACTCGATCTCTGATCTCAGATTACCTGTTCATCAAAAGTGCAATAGGTTGTTAGAACGAACTGTGGTGAGCGAATCGTCCTTAGCCTGCGAAAGTTGATGCTAAGGCGATTCGTGAACTTATCGAACCTGAGTTTATTGCTTGTCATCAATTGCTAGATTCAAACGACAGTTTAGACATCTAGGTTGTTAGATAAAGTTATCATTATCGCGAAAGTGAATTGACATATTTTTGTTTGAGTTCGAGACCTGTTCTCATCTGTGCCCTGAATAGTTGTTTGGTTGTTAACTGTGAATCTCTGCGAATTGCCTTGGTCTAGTCCCTGTTTATTGAATTACATCATCGTTTACATTCGTTACCTGTTACTAAAACCAATCATCTTTGTCTTAGCTCTGTTTTGAATCTCCTAGTTTCACAGTGTAACGCTGGTCCTCTGGATTTCGAATCCTTTATATTACAATCTTCATCACTGATAATTTGCAGTAGAGAAAATGACCTATTTCTAGTTTATCAAATTTGGCGCCGTTGCGACGGGGACCAATTCGTTACCTTTGATTCTTGATTTAAAATTTAGTCTAAGATTTACTAACTTGTTCTCTCTTGTTTTTCTTGTGTGTGTTTCAGGTGCATGATCACTAGATCTCGACGGAGCAACCGCAACGAAGAGCTTTTGATCCTGTCCAACGCAGAACTTGCAAGAGCAGAACGAGCAAACAGACAACGAAGGCCGAATCCAGCCGACATGGGCGATAACGGCAACCCGAACATGGCTGCTCAGTTGCAGCAGCTTCAGCAGCAGATCGAGCAGATGCGGAAGGCTCAACAAGATCGAGAACCGCAACCTCGTCCTGCTATTGGAGACAAGGACAATCCGCACACCTTTATCAAAACCGGTCTGCGATTGTCCCTCCAAACGTCAGAGGCAAGACTTCGAGATCAAGCCCGGCATGATCGCTCTAGTCAAGGATCACATCTTCCATGGACTTCCTGCTGATTCCTGCGGACCATATCCAGAACTTTGAGGAGATATGCAGCACGACTGGTTCGAATGGAGTACCGGCTGACTTTCTGAAGTGCAAGCTATTCCCGTTCTCACTTGCCAACAAAGCATCTCGCTGGCTGAAGTCATTACCACCTGGTTCTTTGACTTCATGGGACCAAGTTAGAGCAGCTTTCCTGGACCACTTCTACACGAAGTCCAAGAATGCAGCTCTAAGGACGAAGATCGCATCTTTCCAGCAGTATGATGGAGAAGCTTTCTGCGAAGCATGGGAGAGATACAAGGAGTGCCGAAGAGAGTGCCCTCATCACGGATACTCTGACGAGCAGATCCTGAGCATCTTCTATACGATGGAGTCAACTGGGACTACAGGAACGCTTTGAACGCAGCCAGCAATGGCGATTTCATGACGAAGTCCAAGGAAGGTGCATTCGAGCTGATCGAGAATCTTGCAGCGAGCTCGAGCAACAAGAACGCTGAGTACGACAGAACAGTGAGCACTGTATCTGTCAAAGGAAGCAGTGCTGACGCGAAGAAGATTGAGGAGCTCACTGCTAAGGTGAATCTATTGATGAAGGCGCAGCAGAAGTCTGTTCATTTTGTTGACGAGAACGATGATGCACCTATCTCTCAAGAGTTTGGAGGAGAGAGGACGACGATGATCAGATGGAGGTCAACTATGTGAATGGGCAACCTTTTGTGCCGAACCGTGGTTTCAACTCGAACTACAGAAACCATCCGAACATGTCCTACAGGAGCACCAACGTCGAGAACCCTCAGGATCAGGTCTATCCGCCTCGATCGAACCAGAACCAGCAGAGTTATCAGAAGAGCTATCCTAACAGCTTCCAGGAGAAGACCTTTGCCCCAAACCAGAATCGTTCTCAGGGAGGTAACCAACAGAAGGCGCAGTTCAGCAATCAGCAACAACCTTCAGGTTCATCGAACAACTCGAACGATGAGCTTAAGGGTATGATGCAGCAGATGTTGATGAACCAGCAGAAGTCCACTGCGGAGACACACTTGAAGATAGACACCATGTACAACGATCTGAATGGGAAGTACGAAGCTGTGTGGACTCACGTGAAGAAGCTGGATGTCCAAGTAGCTCAAACCGCTGAAGCTGTGAAGAGACCTCATGGAACCCTTCCTGGGAAAGGAGAGCAAACCCCAGGAATGAGTATGTTGCACAAGTTGAGCTGAGAAGTGGAAGGAAGCTACAACCTGCTGTGATTCCTCTGAAAAGGGCAGGCAAGGAGAAAGCCGACGAGAATCTGGAGGAAGAAGCCGAAGTCGATCGAGCTGCATCCAGCGGACTCGATCGAGCTGGTGAAGACGCTTCGTCGTCTCAGGAGCTGATTTACCTACTCCTGCAGCTGCAGAGACTGCTCCAGCCCGAGCTTACGCACCTAAGGTGCCTTACCCTGTTCCACGGAAGAAGTCCAGAAAAGACTTGGAGGATGCTAAGTGTAAGGAGATGCTGAAGGACTTGACTGTGAAGCTGCCTCTGTCTGATGCTGTTCAGATGATTCCTGCTCTGAAGAAGTACATGAAGGAGCTGATATCTGGGAAGTAGCTGAGGATGAGAACGTCATGCTAGTATCGGAGGAGTGCAGCGCTGTGCTGCAGAACAAGGTGATCAAGAAGAGGAGCGATCCAGGGAGATTTGTCTTGTCAGTGCAGATTGGCCATATGACCTTCGCATGCTCTCTCTCTTGGCTCGAGCGTGAACCTGATGCCGTATTCTGTGGCCAAGCGACTGGGATACACAAGTTCAAACCCACGAAAGTCTCCTTGGTTTTCGCTGACAGATCGACCAAGTTCCCAGTCGGTATACTTGAGGATCTACATGTGCAGATAGGGAACACACTCATTCCAGCAGACTTTGTAGTCCTCGAGCTCGACGAAGAGCCTAAGGATCCGCTCATCCTAGGGCGAAACTTCCTATGCACAGCTGGTGCAATCATTGACGTGAAGGGAGGAATCATTGATCTCCATCTGGGAGATATCGTCATGAGGTTCGAGATGAACAAACTCCTCAAGAAGCCAATGTTAGATGGGCAAACTTATGTGATTGAAGATGGCTCAAACTTGGTGGACGAAGTGAGTGAGGAGATGCTTCTTGACGACCCTCTGGAGGTAGCTTTGACTAAAGCTGAAGGCGAGTATGATTTCCTGAATGAGGAAGCCGATGGCTTCGGGAAGATGATGGATGCGAGCGGCAAGATGGAGAGACTGGTGGCGTTCATGAGCTTGGAGGAAAAGGAAGATCGATCGAAGCAGTGCCAGATCGATCGAATGACCTCAGGAGAGTCCAGTCAACAGCCCTTGGAGCGAGTCGAGTGCGCCTAAGCTCGAGCTGAAAACACTCCCTGCGGGGCTCAGGTATGCATTTCTGGGACCTAACTCTACATACCCTGTGATAGTGAATGCTGAGCTGAACAATGTTGAACTTGCTTTGCTTCTCTGTGAGCTTAGGAAGTATAGAAAAGCTATAGGGTATTCGCTAGATGACATCCCTGGAATTTCTCCTGATCTTTGCATGCATAGAATACATCTAGAAGATGAATCGATGACTTCTGTAGAACATCAGAGGAGGTTAAACCCGAATCTAAAAGATGTTGTCAAGAAAGAGATAATGAAACTTCTAGATGCTGGTGTAATTTATGCTATATCTGATAGTAAGTGGGTCAGTCCTGTGCATGTAGTTCCTAAGAAAGGTGGTATAACTGTTGTTAAGAATGATAGGAACGAGCTGATACCCACTAGAACTGTCACTGGTCATCGCATGTGCATTGATTACCGCAAACTGAATGCTGCAACTCGCAAAGATCATTTTCCTCTCCCATTTATTGATCAAATGCTTGAGAGATTGGCTAACCATCCATACTACTGCTTTTTAGATGGTTACTCAGGTTTCTTTCAGATCCCCATCCACCCAGACGACCAGGAGAAGACGACATTCACATGTCCATATGGCACTTATGCATATCGCAGAATGCCGTTTGGACTGTGCAATGCACCGGCGACGTTCCAGCGCTGCATGATGTCTATTTTCACTGACCTTATTGAGGACATAATGGAAGTTTTCATGGACGACTTTTCGTCTATGGAAGCTCCTTTGCTGTCTGTTTGTCTAATCTGTGCAGGGTATTGCAGCGGTGTGAGGAGAGACATCTTGTGCTGAACTGGGAGAAATGCCACTTCATGGTGAGAGATGGGATCGTGCTGGGACATAGGATTTCAGAGAAGGGAATCGAGGTCGACGAGCGAAGATCGAGGTGATGATGAGTCTACAGCCGCCTAATTCTGTCAAGGGAATCCGCAGCTTTCTGGGGCATGCAGGGTTCTACAGGCGATTCATCAAGGACTTCTCCAAGATCACCAGACCTTTGACGATGCTGTTGTGTAAGGAGGTCAAGTTCGACTTTGACAGTACATGTTGGAGGCCTTTCACACGATCAAGGGAGCTCTGGTGAGTGCTCCAATTGTCCAACCTCCTGACTGGAGCCTTCCGTTCGAGGTGATGACAGATGCTAGTGACTATGCTGTCGGAGCGGTTCTGGGCCAGAGAAAGGAGAAGAAGCTGCACGTGATCTACTACGCCAGTCGCACACTTGATGAAGCTCAGTGCAAGTACGCTACGACTGAGAAGGAACTATTGGCGGTGGTGTTTGCATTTGAGAAGTTTCGGTCCTATCTTGTTGGATCGAAGGTGATTGTCCATACTGATCACGCTGCCTTGAAGTACTTGCTGACGAAGAAGGATGCGAAGCCGAGACTCTTGAGATGGATTCTTTTGCTTCAGGAGTTCGATCTGGAGATCAAGGATAAGAAAGGGATTGACAATGGTGTAGCTGATCACCTGTCAAGGATGAAGATCGATGATGACGTCCCTCTAGACGACAGTTACCTGATGAGCACGTCTACGCTGTTGAGGTGATCGACTACGGCGAGCCCCTGCTCGCAGATGATGGAGTTCGATCGAGTGCACAGAAGGAGATCGATCGAATGGTGATGACGGAGATCGTGCTTTGAGCTGTAACGCCGTTACCGTTCCAGTTTCCCATGGTTTGGAGAGATAGCGAATTACCTCGCTGCTGAGCATGAACCTACTGGTTTTGTAGGGAACAAGAAGAAGAAGTTCTTGAGAGACATCCGGCGCTATTTCTGGGATGAGCCATACCTGTACAAGCACTGCACCGATGGAGTCTACAGGAGATGTGTAGCTGATGAGGAGATACCTGGGATCTTGTTCCACTGTCATAGCTCGTCTTATGCTGGACACTTCGCCACGTACAAGACTGTATCCAAGGCGCTGCAAGCTGGCTACTGGTGGCCCACCATGTTCCGAGATGCTCACAGATTCGTGTCTAAGTGTGATGTATGCCAGAGACAGGGGAACATCAGTAAGAGAAACGAGATGCCACAGAACTTCATTCTGGAAGTAGAGGTTTTCGACGTGTGGGGAGTTGACTTCATGGGACCCTTCCCATCTTCCTATGGAAACCTGTACATTTTGGTGGCTGTCGACTATGTATCTAAGTGGGTAGAGGCTTTGGCCAGTCCCACTAATGATGCAAAGGTCGTGATGAAGATGTTCAAGTCGGTGATCTTCCCTCGATTTGGTGTGCCGAGAGTTGTTATCAGTGATGGAGGTTCCCATTTCATCAATAGGACCTTCGATAATATGTTGAAGAGGCACGGGGTGAAGCACAAGGTGGCGACTCCTTATCATCCCCAGACGAGTGGCCAAGTCGAGCTATCTAACAGAGAGATCAAGAACATCCTTCAGAAGACTGCAGGCACGACTGGGAAGGACTGGGCTGCAAAGTTGGATGATGCACTCTGGGCCTATCGAACTGCCTACAAGACTCCTCTTGGTACGACACCTTTCAACTTGGTCTATGGCAAGGCTTGTCACCTGCCTGTGGAGTTAGAGTACAAGGCTGCGTGGGCAGTGAAGCAGATGAACTATGACATGAAGTCTGCGGCAGAGAGGAGGAACATGCAGTTGGTCGAGCTTGACGAGATTAGGCACCTGGCCTATGACAGTTCGAAGATCTACAAGGAGCGGACTAAAGCTTACCATGACAAGAAGATCCTGAAAAGGAACTTTTCCCAAGGAGATCAAGTCCTGCTGTTTAACTCCAGGCTGAAGTTGTTTCCTGGAAAGCTGAAATCAAGGTGGTCTGGGCCCTTCGTTATCAAGGAAGTCAGACCATATGGAGCTTTTGAGCTATGGGACAAGTCTGGTGGACACTTCGTGGTGAACGGTCAACGCCTCAAGCCATACCTTGCTGATACCGACATCACAGAGAGGGAATCATTCCTCTCAGTGATCCATCTCCTGCCTGAGAGGCATTCAAGTCAAGCTAGTGACTTAAACCAAGCGCTTGGTGGGAGGCAACCCACTGGTAAGTGTACATACTCCTTTTCAATTTGATTTCCTGCTAATTTTGTTTTCTTTGTTTGAAAAAAAAAAAAAAAAAAAAAAAAACAAATCAGGCCGAACTCCTTTTCTCCATCATCCTCTATTTCACTCTTCTCAACTTCTCACCACCTCATTGATTCATCATCACTCCATCACCCTTATCTCTCCAACGAATTCGACCGAGTTCACACTACTACCCACTAGATCGAATTACCTCTTGTACTGCAATATCTTTTTACCACGACATGAGAAGGTAAATTCGCTCTCATCTGTATTCGGTCGTTTGTGTGTTCCCGCAAGCGTTCTCAATGAGCTCGGTCGAGTGAGAGTTCGTTCTTGAGCTTAAACTTATTTGCTGAGTCGGCTTTTTGATAATGTGTCCATGTGTTCTATTGAGTTTGAAATTGAGATTGATAATGTATAAGCGAAATGATTGAGGATGTTAGTGTTGTTAGATGGGTCTCGCTTGTAACCGTGTCGACCGTGTGGTTTTGGTATAGATCGAGTGGTCGATGTTGATGCTTAACTGAAGTCGATCGAATTGTTTACCATGCGGTCGAAGTAAAACCTCTCTTACTCTCGCTACTTGTATGAATTTCAGGAACAGAGGATATGCCGGATCCTCACGCCGGCGAGAGGAGATAGCGCGGGGGCAGAGACCCGCCGTGGAGACCGATGACGACTTTGTGGAGGACTCGACGATGCGGGATGCACCTTTTCCTGAGACACCGGGAGACGACGAGACCGAGGACGCTATCACGGCAGACGAGATGCAGCGCTTCCGCACCCTCCTCGACAGAGGCACGATGCAGACGCTTCGCATCGACGAGGACATCGACGAGATGTTCCAAAACTTATCGGAAGGCGACTTGCCTTTCCTTGCCACTCTCGAGCACGAGACCTGTGACCCCGGCAAGACCACACCCGACGGCAGTGACGGGTACATCATGTTCTGGGCCACCGGACGGCGACACTATCTCTCATACAGAGACATCGACCGAGCACTTTTCCTGCCGCCAGGCAACCGTCTAGGCCTCGACGTCGACCGCGACGAGATGTCCTCACTTTGGGGGACGATCGCGTTTGGATTACTTCTCCTCAAGCGCGAAGTCCGCTCAGATCAGGAGCCCGCCGGTCCGCTACTTCCACAAGGCGATCGCCAACACGCTCTTTTCCCGACAGGCCACCGGGAACGTCACAGAGACAGAGATGGCCATGATCGACGTGGCACTCACAGGCATCACGTTGAGACTGATCAACGGGACCGAGCTCCGAGGCAGCAGGTCCTACGGAGGCATCACGGTCGCCCTTGCTACCCAGCTCCGCTCTTACAGGGACTGGGCTTCGAGGAACAGGACCATCCGGCACAAGTGCACACTGCGGATGGGTGGCTTGGTCACACCTCTTCTACGCGCCGTCGGCTTCACACCTGACAGAGAGGACGAGGTCGCGCACCCGAGTGGCTCGATCTCGAGTACCTGAGGAACAGCGTCTTCTTGCAGAAGACGTCAGACGCCAGCCGACTCCTGTACCAGTTCACTCACGTTCAGCTCGGTGCTCCCGCATGTTGCTCCCCAGCCCCAGCTGGACGACGATCAGAGGTGGGACCAACTCGAGTTCAACCCACCTCAGTCTGCTCTCTTCACCGGAGATCGCTCGACCGCCAGAGACTACGCCACACCTCAGGCGACCACACACCGCGGCGACCCGTCACACGAGCTCGACTCCATGCAGACAGACGAGCTAGACAGACCGCCGGACTGAAGGCGGCTCACCAGCACATCGGCATTCTTCAGCGGTGGAACAAGGCGCAGGACAAGATCACCAACAAGCTGAAGAGCAAGGTGAAGAAGATGGCTGATCAGATCCGTGCCTTGCAGGACAAGATGAGCTTGTACTGCCTCAGCTTCAGGAGGTGTCCACAGGACCGCAGTCGGTCCACGCCAGGCGATCCCCTCTGAGGACGACGACGAGCCCGACCACGACACCACCGGCGGACGACCACTGCCTCCTGAGCCACCACGACACTCTTCCTTCGAGCCGCGACAGCAGCGGAAGAGGCGCTTTGGAGAGCCGCATACAGCGAGACCATCAGGCGCAGCAGCTCCGGCAGACTTGCCATTCAGGCGATGCAGCTCCACTTCGAGGCCGACAGCGCCGACAGATCACACACCGCCGATGAGAGCTCCGCCGGACCAGTACGTGCCTTACACCACGGAGCGAGCTGCGCCCACCACCGTCCCCTTACACGCAGGAGAGCATGCAGGAGGATCTCGACGACTTCATCTACGGACGCCGCTGATGCTCTCTCCTGACCCACTCGACCGACCACCACCACTGTATCATTCCATTTTCCCTTTTCTTTTTCTTTTATTGAGTCTGTTTAACTCTCTCCTTGGTTTCTTTTCACACCGGGTCGGTGTGAAGTAAGTCCGGGGGAGGGTCTTTGTGTTTACTAACGTCTTTTTCTTTCTTTTGTTTCACCTTGAGTCATTTTGATGTTTTCTTTGAGTCAGGTTTTATTGAGTCAAAAACTTGTTGGGAATAAACTTATCTGATGAAACCATTTGTGCTCTTGAATTCTTTCTATCTAGTGACCAATTTTGCAGGGTTTGTTATGTGTAAAAAGCTGGATTACCCTTTTGGTCAGACTTCCCCCAGGAATTTTCGTTTTGCAGAGATTTTGGTGAAACATTTGGTTGACTCTAATGCTATTGGACCACTAATCTGACATCAATTACCTCTCATTCGGAATGTCATAGCAGGGAAACGGACCATACACTCAGGACTTCTTATTCATTTTACCACTCTCTGTTGATCCTGAGTGGCCAGCCCATCTTTGGTTGGTACCCCACCTTGAGCCTTACCTTCTTTCTGACTTCATGCACTCTGTTCTTTTTGTCATATATGCAGATATGTGCAAAAACGTCGGAGAGAAAGGTTCGACACAGCTTCCCAACCACATTCAAGACGAGTGTTCATCTACAACACTGAGAATGGGAAGTGATGGTGGAGTGTGGAGCCTGAATCGATCGAACTGATGGTCGTTCCTTGGAGAAGCACGAATACACGGTAACATTTACGAGCCATTGACACTAGTTCCCCTCAAAAAAAAAAAAAAAAAAATCAGAAAAACTTGAGGAAAGGAACTAGTGGTTCAATAAAATGTCAAGCTCGACCGAATACCTCCAAGGAACACCACCGATCAAGGCGAATTGGGAGTTAGAGCTGTTCTGGATAAAATCCAACATACAAGGAGTTGAAGAGTGAAGTGGTTGGGAAATGTGGCTATCAACAGAACCATTCTCTCTTGCTGTTTTGCGCGATATCATGCATCCTCCGGCGTATCTGGTAACCCTTAAACACTTTAACCTCACCAAACACAGGCCTTTTGATACCCAACACCGTCGACCCTGTATGATGTTCTTGATGAGAGGTCCACGCCAAAACTTAATGAATGTAGAGAGTTAACCTATGTGTAGCTTGAGTTTCTGCAGGATGGAGGTTCATCACGGGATCAGGAATGCGAGACTTCAAGGGGACTACAGTGATTATGCACTGACCGAACCTTGTCCTTTGAGGTCTACTGATGATCCTTCGGGGTATGGTTGCTGATGATTTGTGAGTTCCCGCGTTTTCAAACTTCTTCCCTATTCTTGGAATTTATGTTTGCTTGAGGGCAAGCAAAAGACCAAGTCCGGGGGAGTTGATATCTTGCGTATTTGACGCATTCTAACACTTGTTTTCACGAGTTTTATCGAGTCTTTCTAGTCTTTATCGAGTCTTTTCAGGTCTAAAGACGTTCCAGGGAGAGCTTTGGTCACATGGACCAACAGGAGGAGAAAGCAGGCAAAACGGAGCAAAGGAGCTCGATCGAGTCGCCACAGATCGATCGACCACACGATCACCACTCGATCGATCCCATGCAGAGAGTCGATCGATCCCATGCAGACGACGAGCTCGATCGATCCCATCGTCACACTCGATCGATCCCATGCAGAGAAGCTCGATCGATCCCGTTCTGTCTCAGCCGTTCGATCAATCCCGGTCAGATGATATCACAGCCGTTCGATCTACTTGGTGCAAACCGACTTGATCGAACCACAGCGAACCGGATTGAACCGAAGTCGACCCCGGAGCTATTTAGACCTATCTTTAGCCATTGTTTAGGCTACGCCGTTTTTCAGAGTTTTACACTGTTGTTCATTGTTTCCGAGGGAGAAGAGATCAAACCTCTGTTTTTCACAGTTTGGAGAAGATTTCTGAACCCTTGTTTTTGCTATTTTCTATTTGATTCAATGACATTCATTCAGTATTGTTTGCTGTTTCACCATGTCTGAGTAGTCACCCTGCTAGATCTAGGCTTTTCAAAGGGATTCATGTGTTAATTGACTGAATACAGATAGGGCTTTAATACTGTCTTCGCCATTGTTGCACTTACTGCTTAGATCGATCTGATCATCGATCTCTGATCTCAGATTACCTGTTCATCAAAAGTGCAATAGGTTGTTAGAACGAACTGTGGTGAGCGAATCGTCCTTAGCCTGCGAAAGTTGATGCTGAGGCGATTCGTGAACTTATCGAACCTGAGTTTATTGCTTGTCATCAACTGCTAGATTCAAACGACAGTTTAGACATCTAGGTTGTTAGATAAAGTTATCATTATCGCGAAAGTGAATTGACATATTTTCATGTTTGAGTTCGAGACCTGTTCTCATCTGTGCCCTGAATAGTTGTTCGGTCGTTAACTGTGAATCTCTGCGAATTGCCTTGGTCTAGTCCCTGTTTAATTGAATTACATCATCGTTTACATTCGTTACCTGTTACTAAAACCAATCATCTTTGTCTTAGCTCTGTTTTAAATCTCCTAGTTTCACAGTGTAACGCTGGTCCTCTGGATTTCGAATCCTTTATATTACAATCTTCATCACTGATAATTTGCAGTAGAGAAAATGACCTATTTCTGGTTAATCAATACTCTGGGTAACTCTGCTTTCCTCAATGGCCCTCGCTTGAAATTCATTGATGGAAATGATTTTCGTCCCCACTATCTCTATCCTCTGCTAGTTGATCTGAATGAATTGAAGCCGGAAGAAACCACCTTCTCGTTGATCTTACCTTGAACTTGTAAGGTAAGCTACGATCTCAAGCTTGGGTATCTTTTTTGACTAGTCGTTGCAAAGGTTAAATAGCTCTAAACAATATATTTTTGCTTTGTTACACTTTCTCTACACCATTAAAGATCTCTAGAGACCTTATTAAAACAAAATAGTTACAGCGTCTTCAAGTGTTCTCGACCTTGTTAACATGAACACGATCATTTCCTTCACATATGAGTAACATGCATAACAGCTAAAACTACAAAACTACACTGGACTCCGTGCCATGCAATTTTTGCGCTATAAAATATAAATTTTAGTTTTTAAGCTAATTAAATTGATACTTTTGTCAACTCCTTGAGAAAGGGTTTTTGTATTTTCGTAATTGTGTCATATATACGCCGCCATCTCTTCGTGGTTCGAACAATACTATCTAGTTCGTAATCACTTAGCTACTTTCTACAATCATACATATACAATATATGTGTATATACGGCTTGAATAATTGGATCATGCTGCATGCATACAATTAGTGACCGTTGACCGTTCTCGAGCATGCGGTTCTTACTTAAATGATTTGTTTTTGTCATGCTCAAAGGATTTCATGATGAACTAGGACTTAAACGTAAATCGTAAATGTAAACAACTTAAACAAAAAACAATAATTTGGATATTTAATAATTTAATATCAAGTCTAATGTTTTATGCACTACACAAGTTACAGTTGCTCGGAATTAATTACATCTTACAACTCTGAGACACACCTCAAATTGTCATAGACCACCAATTCCTAATCTAAGTTACGCAAATCCAAAACACACACAGGATAATTACAAGCTAAATATCACACAGGAAATCACAATTGGAATAAACTCATGAGATCTTCTTATTGTATGGAATTACAAATTTGTCGTAAGCGATTGCAAAAAAGGTAAAAAAACGAGTTACCAAATGTTATATTAGACCAGACGCATCTAACTTTATGGATTCTTAACAAAGCACTTAAAGTGAACAAACTTCCCACCACAAAATGAGATCTAAAGAATAATTAGGTGAATAAAAAAACTTATATGAAGGAGAGTTTCTGAATCAAACCGTAACAGCTAAACATGTCTTCATGTAAACGCCCCCATCATTATATACAACATCACACCATCGCATATTGCCCCAAATCTCTCCTTCTTGCCGTCTTTCTAAAGCCATCTCCGCACACCAAATATCTTTTTTTTTTCTGAAAGAAGATTGCCAATTTCCCTCCGTAGCTAACCGTCTTGGAATAGGATAAACCGGTCATCTTAGACAACAAATCTTCCAAACCACTCACCACACTCCAACACCTCTGCTTTGGATCATACGCTCTCAACTTATTCGTGTAATAATCATGATAGTACAAGACATCCTCAACAGCACACGCATTACACCAGCTCTTAGAATTCAACATCTCGTCCGGTTCCATTTACTTTCCTTTGGCCCATAAACAAAGCTATTCACAAAGCCTCTCATGTAAATCTATATGATAAGACAATTTTATCCTGATTTAATTTTTAAATTATAATTTTTATAATGAAACAAAATAAAAATTCGAAATAGTAATTGTTATTAATGGTAATCTTATTTTTGTTATAGATAATCTGATTATATAAAGCTGGATGCGCCCGACTTGGTCGCGACAATTAGAATTTTTATAATTCATTAGATTGTGACATGTGTCATTATTAGTTTTGAAGGTATTAAGATTGTGACATGTATCATTAATGAAAATAATAAAATCTACTAATTTAAAAAATGACAATAAAAATAAAAAGGTTGATACTTATGGGAAAAAAAATAATCCTTCTAAAAAATGACAAATAAAAGGTTAATCCTTATGGGAAAGGAAAAACAAAGTAAAAAGAAAGAAGATAAAATATCGGTCAAGGGAGTTTCAAGTTAAAAGTCGTGGAGCAGCTGGTTTTGTCGTTTTGCGGCTCAGAACTTGAGAGAAAAAGAAGAGAGGCGATTGTGGTGATTTTATCATGAGAGATTTGAAAATCTATTATACGCCCACAAAATCTATAAATTCTAGCTAAAATTTATCCATTGTAGAAAACATTGCTTACGGAAATACCGGACGCCGTAAATTTTGGTAATCAGTCAACATTTTATTTTCTTAAACGGATGTAAACAATTTTCTTAGTACGGACCGACGATGCACTTGACCTTAGTCCTAATGGACTTACGCGGCGAATAGAAAGAAATCCACAAAACTATGTTCTTTGTGTTATAATTGATGCAGTCTGTGCTGGTATAGACTCGACCCGATATTGGCCAGATAATCATATAATTAGTTTTTATTTTATTTTTTTGCCAACAATCATAAGTTTAGTTGTAAAAGTATAAACGATTTTGTAAAAAAATGCTCTAGTGATCACGATACCATGACGCATGTATGGCATCATCATGTTTAATTACGTACGTTTATTTTTGTTTGACAACAATTACGTGCGTTAAGATGATGTTTATTTACGTGCGTTAAGATAATGTTCAATTACGTGCGTTAAGATAAGTTTTATTTTTGAAAGTGTTTCGCTATCACAGAAAAGAGAAAACGATGACTAGACGCACTGATCCTTTTTTCATGTGTAGAGTTATTTTAATAGAAAGAAATGGTAACTTGCGACATATTTGCACTTCTCCTCATAAGTCCTAAATGCTTTCGTCAAACATATTTTGCTTTCGTACGGCAAAACAATCATTTCTCAGAAACAAAATACGTTTGATCATTTTTTTTTTTTTTTGAAACTGAATTTGTAATCTCTATGTAAAAGACACCTTCTTCTTTTGTTTTTTTAATCTCTTAAGATTTTTCTTTATCTGAGTGTGAGATTTCTAAACATTTGTTGCATTTTTGTAATGGACTTTAGAATTTTGCTTCTATCGAATTTATAGACTAAAACCTTAACCATCCGAATAACATGTATAAGAATGAATGTGGAATATCAATTTTAGTTATCAGTATAATAATTAAAAAGAATCCACTTATAATTTATTTTATTTATTTAGGGCTCCAATGATGTACTAATACTTAGGTGGTCAACCATATGAAAGTCAAACTAGCCGCTCAAGTGTATCCTTCATGTTATATTTCAGTCAATAATTCTCATTTATAAACACGTATTCAACCTCTCTACCTTTTATTTTTTTAACAAAGCCTACGCAATATGTCTTTTGTTTTTTTTGTTTTTCTTTGAAAAAGGGCTATGTCTTTTGGTATTTGTATGATAGTTTACGAACATTGATGCAATCTTTTTTTAAAAAAGTATTGATTTAACTAATTGATTTATGCTTTCACAAGTATTATCAACAACTGGCTCTGGACCAAAAGAGATTACGGATCTTTAAGTTTGAACATTCGCATTTTTTTTTTTTAAATCTGGTCTTGTGAAAAAAATTTAACTAGTGCATTCTAATCTTTAAATTCGTTGGTGGCTGATTAAAAAGAATTAATAGTAATACATTTTAATTGATGAATCCGTTAATGAGATTTGTTATCGCACGTTGACATGTTGCGGTTGGATACACTCTTTTGGATGTGAAGTATTAAAATATTAATTCTAGAACATATTGCGATCATCACACAAAATCAAAATCTTTGGGACAACTTGAACCCACAATTTGACTTTTCTTGGTCAAACATTTTGGCGTCATGTAAAAAATGATATTCTCTATCTTTATAAATACCTTGAAAAGCCTTAACCACATACAAAAACACGATAACTGGATTTATTTTTTATTTCATTGTTCAATCTCAAAAATGAAACATTCAAGAACCACATTGCTTGCTTTTATCTTCCTCGTTGTCATCATATGGGAATCAAACTCATCATTAGCGAATGCAGAGACTTTCACACAATGCCTGACCTCAAACTCCGACCCCAAACATCCCATCTCCTCCGCCGTGTTCTTCTCCGGAAACCCCTCCTACTCCTCCGTGCTAGAAGCCAACATCCGTAACCTCCGCTTCAACACCACCGCAACTCCAAAACCTTTCCTCATAATCGCGGCCACACATGAATCACACGTTCAAGCCGCGGTTACTTGCGGCCGACGTCACAACCTCCAGATGAAAATCAGAAGCGGTGGCCACGACTACGACGGCTTGTCATACGTTACGTACTCTGGGAAGCCGTTTTTCGTGCTCGACATGTTTAATCTACGATCGGTTGACGTTGACCTGAAGAGTAAAACCGCGTGGGTCCAAAGCGGTGCCATTCTCGGAGAAGTTTATTACTATATATGGGAGAAGAGCAAAACCCTAGCTTATCCCGCCGGGATTTGTCCTACGGTTGGTGTCGGCGGCCATATTAGCGGCGGAGGTTATGGTAACATGATGAGAAAATACGGTCTCACCGTCGATAATACTGTCGATGCAAGAATGGTCGACGTCAATGGTATGTAATACTCAATATCTCTAGCTTCCTAACTAATTTTTTTTAATACTTTTAATCAAGGTTTTGAAATGAACAAAGTACTAATCATATTGACCAATTCAATTTATATGTTAATTTATACTCCTTAAGATAACCATGCAGAAGTTTATAACCGATTAAATTGAAGAATAAACGTTAAATATGTTGGAGGGCAAGATTAATTTTAAATTTTTAACTAATTTTTTTTGAACTTTGGTATCGTATAAAAAAAACAGTTATAATTTTATTAATCTAAAATATATTCTATTATCTATAACGTTGCTATTAAAAAAATTCAGGGAACATTTTGGATAGAAAATCGATGGGAGAGGATCTCTTCTGGGCAATCAACGGAGGAGGAGGAGGAAGCTACGGCGTCGTTTTGGCTTACAAAATAAACCTCGTCGACGTCCCTCAAAACGTGACCGTTTTCAGAGTCTCCCGAACATTGGAGCAGAACGCGACGGAGATCGTTCACCGGTGGCAACAAGTCGCGCCGTTTCTTCCCGACGAACTCTTCATAAGAGCAATCGTCGACGTCGTAAACGGCACCGTTTCGTCTACAAAAACCGTCAGGGCAAGTTTCGTAGCCATGTTTCTCGGTGACACGTCGACGCTTCTGTCCATATTAAACCGGAGATTCCCAGAACTGGGTCTGGTCCGGTCTGACTGTACCGAGACGAGCTGGATCCAGTCGGTGCTTTTCTGGACGAATATCAGAGTGGGAACGCCGGAGAACGTTCTCCTCCAGAGGAACCAAACCGTGAATTATCTCAAGAGGAAATCGGATTACGTCCGCGAACCGATTTCGAAAACCGGTTTAGAGTCGATTTGGAAGAAGATGATCGAGCTTGAAATTCCTACAATGGCTTTCAATCCATACGGCGGGAAGATGGCGAAGATCCCGTCGACGGCGACTCCGTTCCCATACAGAGCAGGGAATCTCTGGAAGATTCAGTACGGCGCGAATTGGAGAGAGGACAGATTAACGAACCGGTACATGGAACTGACGAGGAAGTTGTACCAATTCATGACACCTTTCGTTTCCAAGAATCCGAGACAGTCGTTCTTCAACTATCGGGATGTTGATTTGGGAATCAACTCGCACAGAGGAAGAAACAGGAGCTATGAAGAAGGTAAGCGTTACGGGGAGAAGTATTTCGCCGGGAATTTCGAGAGGTTGGTGAAGATCAAGACGAGAGTTGATGGTGGTAACTTCTTCAGGAACGAACAGAGTATTCCTGTGTTACCATAGTGCATATATATACATGATGATGATATTGGTTTAGTGAAATTGCTGTTGTACAATGATTATTCTGTAATTGATAAATCAAGTTTGATGATACTTTGATTTCATATGTTGATTAAATAAATTTCTGAAATAATGTTTGTCCCTCTGACAAAAGTAATCATTCAAGGAAACAGAACACACAAACGGAATAAAATACTTAATTTGTAAGAAAAAAAAGAAACAAATATTTAATTTGCTAGTGACGCTAAATATAATTATATTTTCACAACTCTATTTTTTAAATAAATACATGTCTTTTTCCTGTTTTGGAAAGAAGGATTTTTTAGAATATTGTTCTATGTAAATAATTAAAATTCAAAAATAGATCGGATCGATAAGTTAAGTTTATATATAATTTAGGATTTAAAAAGGTAGGGAAATAAATCGCCATAATAAGCATCAAAATCTCTAGATGGAGTAACTGACTATTGACTAATTTACAAAGATACCAATCTACTAATTGACTCATTTACAAAGATATCTACCAAAAAGATTTACATTTCCAAGAATAGCTATTTGTCTATTCATATCAGATTATCAAATATATAAAGAATGCTCACCCCTACACGAATCTTACAAACCACATCATTAGAAAAGAGACACAGAACAATGAGATCTCTAACTTTCCAAACCCTAATCATCACCATTTTTCTCTTCACAATCCCAACATCATTCGCATCACCACAAACGCTTGAAAACGTTTTCGAGCAATGCATCACCGATTTTAAACCTTCAAATCCAATATCTCCAATCCAAAACTTCACATACACTCAACAGAACCCTAACTTCCTCACAATCCTCAACAACTACGTTCGTAACCTCCGTTACTTCAACAACACGACACGTAAACCCATCGCAATCGTAGCCGCCGCAGACGTCACTCACATTCAGGCCACGATCACCTGCGCCAAGAAACTCGGCCTCCAGCTCCGGATCCGCAGCGGTGGCCACGACTACGATGGATTGTCGTATTTGTCGACAGTCGATTTCGTCGTCCTAGACATGTTCAATCTCCGATCTATCGAGTTCGATGCAAAGCTCGACACCGCGTGGGTCCAATCAGGTGCTACGCTTGGAGAGATCTACTACGGGGTCGCCAACAAAAGCAATGATCTCCGTGGATTTCCAGCCGGAATCTGCCCGGGTCTCGGCGCCGGCGGGCATTTTAGCGGTGGTGGTTACGGAAACATGATGAGGAAATACGGTTTATCGATCGATAACATTATAGATGCTAAGATCGTCGATGCTAAGGGAAGAGTCTTGGACCGGAGCTCAATGGGAGAAGATCTCTTCTGGGCCTTACGTGGCGGAGGAGCCGCTAGTTTCTGTGTTGTCTTAGCCTGGAAGATTAAGCTTGTTCCGGTGCCGGAGAAAGTCACAGTTTTTAACGTCGAAACCCTCGGAAACAGAGGAGGCGTGAGCACCACGGAACTTGTAGCGAAATGGCAAGAGATCGCAGACAAGATCGACAACGATCTTTACATAAGGTTAACTTTAAGCACAAGCAACAAAACCGTGAAGGCTTCTTTCATGGGAATGTACCTCGGAAACTCATCGAAGCTTCTAGAAATCATGAACGCGAAGTTCCCTGCGCTTGCTCTGAAGCAAACCGAGTGTATAGAAATGAAATGGATCGAGTCGGTTCTGTTCTGGCTCAATATCCCACCCGGTACAGCACCAACATCGGTTATGCTAAACCGGATCCCGCAAAAGCAAATCTACCTCAAGAGAAAATCCGATTACGTGCAAGAACCGATTTCAAGATCCGGTTTAGATGCGATATTCAAGGTGATGTTGGAGAACGAGAACGTGACAATGGCATTTAACCCGTACGGAGGGAGGATGAGTGAGATTCCAGCGACAGCGACAGCGTTCCCGCACCGAGCTGGAAACATGTTCAAGATTCAGTACTCAGCGAACTGGTTCGTGCCAGGGGAAGCAGTGGCTAACGATTACTTGAGCCAGACGGAAAGAGTGTTCGAGGCAATGAGCCCTTACGTGTCAAAGAATCCAAGAGAAGCGTTTTTGAACTATAGAGACGTTGACATTGGCACAAGCTTGAACTCGACGTACGAGGAAGGTAAAGTGTACGGAGTGAAGTATTTTAAGAATAACTTCGAGAGATTGGTTCAGGTTAAGAGTAGAGTTGATCGAGACAACTTTTTCCGGTACGAGCAGAGCATTCCAGTGCTCTCCAGCCGCTAGAGACTAGAGACAAGAGACACATGTAATCTTGCTTCAATTGATAATTTATACCAAAAATTTATAATTTAAAATTAAAACTGAAAGAAATAATATAATCAAATTGATGTAGAAGGCTAAGGGTTTTGAGCTATTTGCTTTTATCGAAATCAGACTTAAAACCTTTGTCTTAGATTAGAAGATGAGGTACTCGATTGTTAAATTTCCTGTACATGTACTTTCGAAAAATATATGTATGGATAAGAACTATAAACCAGTTTTTAAACTGTTTCCATAATTGTATAGTCTCAGTCAATCGCTATGTATAAAAAAACTGATATGTCAACTTATGAATACAGAGATAACACACTCACATCACAGACAGTCATACATGAAAGATGTATACAATTATTGACCAACATATTCAACGCTTCTCCCTAGCTATATTAACGGGATAATTAACACGGGATCTGATAAATAAGACTTGCACGATACACTGATCTGATCAAATACATATCCTTTAAGATATTTCAGTTTACCATAAAGAAATAAGCGATCCGTATTGCAACACGCATAAACTACGAATATATATATCTTGAGAAGTATCTTCATATGAAGATGACTGCGAACAACAAAGTTTAAAAGTCATATATATTTAGATAACTACGCGTTATCGCCTTATCGGCTATCGCGTACCATTGTGCTCATAAATACAATAATGTAGAAGTCAAAGTCCAATATATTTAGTCCACTGCAACATTTAATCGGAAAAAAAAACAAAAAAAATACTTTAGCCGGCAAAACAAGATGAAATAAACGAAAATATTTAGCTTGGATAAGTATCCTGAATTTTTGGATAATAGAATGATAATCATGATTTGTTTTGGCTGCAGTTTTCTTTCAAAATTCCTTGACAGCCTTTGACATTATAAAAGAGTAAAAGACTAATTAAACTTATTTTAAAATTGCAAAACCAACTAAACTGGATTAGTTAATTAAGCACGTACGGACTGTAGTGAACACTAATAAATCTCTATATAAATATTCACACATGAGCTTTCAAAAATATAATGCAAACTCCAAAGCAAATGGAGAAATTACTCGTAATCACTCTGCTACTGATCTCATCAACATCAATAGCAACCTCACAATCCGTGACTGACCCGGTGGCTTTTCTCCGATGTCTTGATCGACAACCAACGGACCCAACAAGTCCTAACTCCGCCGTCGCATACATTCCAATGAACTCCTCTTTCACCGCCGTCCTCCGCCGCCGCATACCAACCTCCGTTTCGACAAACCCACAACACCCAAAACCCCTCGCCATCGTCACCCCACGTGGAGTCACATTGGTTCGGCGCTAGGATTGCGCCCGCGACCTCCCGATCCAGGTCAGGATCCGAAGCGGAGGCCACGACTTCGAAGGACTCTCTTACACCTCCACCGTCCCGTTCTTCATCATCGACATGTTCAATTTCAAATCCGTCGACGTCAATCTCACCGAAGGAACGGCTTGGGCTGATACCGGCACTACGATCGGAGAACTTTACTACCGAATCGCGGAGAAGAGCAATGTCCTCGGATTTCCGGCGGGTTTGTGTACGACATTGGGCGTCGGTGGACATTTCAGCGGCGGAGGGTACGGGAATCTGATGAGGAAGTACGGATTGTCGGTGGATAACGTCGTCGGATCCGGAATCGTTGATTCGAACGGGAATATATACACCGATCGGGTTTCGATGGGGGAAGACCGTTTCTGGGCGGTTCGAGGAGGTGGTGCCGCGAGTTTCGGCATCGTGCTGGGATACAAAATCCGACTTGTTCCGGTGCCGGAGAGAGTTACGTTTTCAGCGTCGGGAAAACCGTCGGAGAAGGAGCCGTCGATCTTCTAATGAAGTGGCAGAGTTTCGCTCACAGTACAGATCGGAATCTGTTCGTGAAGGTGACGTTGACTGTAGGTCAACGGTACGAAGCCTGGTGAGAAGACGGTTTTAGCTTCTTTCATTGGGATGTATTTAGGCCGGTCGGATAAGACTATTGAACGTGATGAACCGGGATTTCCCGGAGTTGAAGCTGAAGAAAACCGATTGTACCGAAATGAGATGGATCGATTCGGTGTTGTTTTCCGATCGGTACACCGACTTCCGTACTGCTAAACCCGACGGTCGGGAATAAGTTGTTCATGAAGCGGAAATCGGACTACGTGAAGAGTTCGATTTCGAGAACCGGTCTCGGTTTAATGATCAAGAAATTGGTGGAGGTTGAGAAAGTTGAAATGAATTGGAATCCGTACGGAGGAAGAATGGGTGAGATCACGAGTTCGAGGACACCGTTCCCACATAGAGCAGGCAATTTGTTCAACATTGAGTATGTCATAGACTGGTCGGAAAGTGGAGATCAAGTGGAGAAAGATCATTTGGCACGTGCAAGAGAGATGTATGAATTCATGACTCCGTACGTGTCTAGTAATCCGAGAGGGGCGTATTTGAATTACCGTGATCTTGACATAGGATCAAGTGTTAATCCACTTACAAAGAAGGTAAAATCTACGGGGCTAAGTATTTTAAAGACAATTTCGAGAGGTTAGTGGATATCAAAACCAATATGATGAGATAAACTTTTGGAGGAACGAACAAAGTATCCCGGTTCGAAGATAATAAAAAAGTGTTGTGGTTTGTGACATGTGTTTTCTGAGAAAAGGTTAATAAAGAAAGGAAACTGAAAAAATGTATAAGATCTTTGGTTCGATATATTGTTATGAAATAAATGTATGTTCCAATATTAAGTTGATGAAACAAATTAACGTACATGGCTAATTGTGCTTCTATACATTTATAAATAGGAAAATCGCATAAAAAACCGTCAAAATAGCATTCACTTACACTTTATACCTCAAGAGTTTTTAACCATTAGTTTAAACCTTCAATCTGAAACTTTTAACATATATAACCTTCAATTTAACACTTATGTTTGCACCGATATTTTTTTCAACGATAACAAAATAGTATTCTTCAACAACAATATATTGGTTCTCTAATCAAATCTACTTAGATTTTATGCAATTTGAACCACCAAACGAAGAGGATTGTCTCTGTTAGCAACCCAAACGTAGGTTTTCTCGGATATTGTCTTGTACCAAATCCCAAGATACCAACGATCATTACCTTGAGAGCTTGTTGTGGTTTTGAAGAAACCTAGCTCGAAGACTTCACCGGGAGAGACAATGGTTCGGTTGGCTGAGATCGTAAGAGTTTCTGTGGGGGATAAAGTATTGATGGAGAAGACATGACCAAGCTGAAGTAAGAGAATGTAAATGAAGAAGAAAGTGTAAGAGTGGTGATACTTGGGTAATACGCCACTCATCTCTCTTCAACGCTTAATTTCATATGCTCTGTCTTCTTCCTTTTTGTCCTTTATTTATAGATTTTTTTACATTTTGGTTATCAGATTGTTAAACAAATGATTAAGCATAGTTTTGTTTTGAAATTGCATATCTTATGTCTTAATCCTAGATTAGTTATTTCCAGCAGACAAGAAAAATGTAATTTCCACATTCTTTGACTTTTCAGCGCTTCAGTAACTCATTTGAACAAACTCTTGTCTATCATTGGTCAATAACTTTGCCACGTGCAATTAATTTCTCATGCAGCAACATAGCATATGTTGGTCAACAAGATAGTTATTTAATATTCATCCATGATCCTCGTCCCCAAGAAAGCCATGCTAGGGTCTGGCAATTCGTAATTGCATTTTCCGATTCGCTCGAGGTACTCTTGAATATCATGGCAACGCAAAATGTATTATTACATTTTTGTGGACCTTGTGTGTTATAAAGTTATATTAAGTTGGTATAGTCATGTATTGGATTTTTCTTTATATATACAGTCATGTTAGTGGATTTTTTTTATTATTTTTTTTTTATAAAGAAGTGGATTTTCCCTTATATATACAATCTCTAGTATCCGAAGTTTCTCCCCGAAAGCAATTATAGGCGTCAAATTGTGACCTAGATTCCGAACTAACCAGATTATGGGAGCAAGATTGCATCAGAGATTGACTATGTTTTTTTTTATTTTGGAAGATGGGGTTTTAGTTGTTGTGGTTAGATATGTGTTTGAAATTAAATTCGCCATTGAAGCAACGGTAAAATAAAAACCGCAGAGATCTTCGTCTTATGGAGTCAGGAGCGTAAAAGTAAAAAATTTGAAATTTGAATGATTGGACTTTATTGGGTTTTACTACATCGAAAACCATCTAAACCTGCCAAATTGACAAAACCGGGAGTCGTACACTAACCGAGAATCATGGAGAATGTCGACCGTCCGATGGGGTTCGTGGAACAGATCAACGACGGAAATTTAAAACCGCTTTGGTTTTGGTTGGGCCAGGCCCATGATAATTAATTCGGTTTGAAAATACGTTCGTTAAACGGAGCTGGCGTCTTATCATCTTATTCGATGTAACTTATAACTCTTCGCAGTTGAACAAAAAAAAAAACTCTCCGCAAAACTGTATTTTCCCCCAAATTGTCAGTATCGGAGGAAGAAGATGGGGCTCATCGCAAAACTTTCCCCAAATCGTCTCTCTCTTTCTTTCGATGAATACTCTGAGGTAATTACTCTCGATCAACTCTTTGACCATTCGTAAACGGAAAAGTCCGTTTCTTTTCTCTAGATTGTTCAATTTTCTTAGGATTTGATCTTATTTAGGGTTTTCGTTTCTGAATTTGATTCTCCGTGAAACTGATGCGATCGATTGCGTTTTCCCTCTTCCTCTTCGCGATTTTGTTTCAGGGTTTTCAAGTCTCCTAATTCTTCTTATAGAATCGTATGCGGGTGATCTTGGACTGAATCAACCCGGAGGCTTGAGTCCGTGTGAAACCCCATCATCGAACCGAGGTATTTCTCTTTCTAAATTAGGGTTTCCTGATATGTTGGTTTTTTTTGTAATCATCTGCATAATTGGGTTTTCTATTTTTTGGCTACAAACGCATATGATCTGTTCTCGTCCATGAGATTCGTGTTTATGCAATTGAAATCGACGGTGTCTTAGGATTTTTGAAAATAGGATGTGTTTTACAGAAAGTCAACAATTTACACATGGGCTTTACTCGTATAACAAATAGATATTGATTATGATTAAGAAAGGAACCTTCTTTGGCATCAAGTCATACTTTCTCTGCCTGATCAATATTATGCTTGCGACTCTTTACAGTTTCTTTGTTCTGCATTGTTGCAGGTAATCCTATTCAGAGATGAGCTAATAAAGAAGTAGCAGCAGCAAACAGATAAGCTCTTTTCCTTTCTCTTTTGCTGGTTTAGAGAAAGACTATGGGATTGTTGCGTGGAATGGAAAAAACGCTTATAAAAGGCTTATTTAAAAAGAGTTCAAGACAAAGTGAACAACCGAAAGAGTCAAACCCAAAAAAGATATCAGGCAGACACTAATCTAATAGTGTCCTGTCATATTCTTATTTTGGTAACATTGTCCCGTTGCCTCAAGATTGTGATGGGAAATGGCTGGTAGTGCATGTCTAAGGAAGGATGGGAAATAAGACACGGCTTAAAAGTCTAGTGAAAGACTATGGGATTGTTGCGTGGAATGGAAAAAACGACCACGGCTTATAAAAGGCTTATGAAAAAGGGTTTAAGAAAAACACTAGAACAACTGAAAGACCCAAAAAGATATCAGGCAGACACTAATCTAACAGTTGCCTCAAGGTTGTGATGTATGGGCTGGTAGTGCATGTCTAAGGATGGATATAAGGGGATGGGAAATAAGACACGGCTTAAAAGTCTTTATGGGTTTGTTGCCTGGATTGGAAGAAACGACCACGGCTTATGAAAAAGTCTAAGAACAACTGAAAGAGCCACACTTTAATTTTGTACCCACGGCTTTAGTGAAAGTAGTGAATCCATTGGCTAAGTACCCTCGGCTTTTGAAAGTCTTAAGACAAAGACTGAACTGAAACAGATTCACTACTTCACTACTAGTACAAAAAGTCTTTAAGACTATAAATTGGATGGAGAAAGTGACAAACGGTTAAGATAAGGCTTGAGGGCAAAGACTTGTTATTGCTTGATAACAAAGGAAGTTTGGGGATGCGAAATAAAACACACGTCTTAAAGAAAAAGACTAGAACTCAGAACAACTGAAAGAGACTAGGCTTATGAGAAAGTCTTTTAGACAGAGAAGAACAACTGAAAGAAAAAAAGTCTTATGACTAGAACTTAGAACAACTGAAAGAGACTAGGCTTATGAGAAAGTCTTTTAGACAAAGAGAAGAACAACCGAAAGAAAAAAAGTCTTATGACTAGAACTCAGAACAACTGAAAGAGACTAGACTTTTGAGAAAGTCTTTTAGACAAAGATAAACAACTGAAAGAGTCTTTGGAACCCACGGCTTTTGTGAAAGTAGTGAATCCATTGCTGACTAAGTACCCTCGGCTTATGAAAGTCTTAAGACAAAGACTGAACTGAAACAGATTCACTACTTCACTACTAGTACAAAAAGTCTTTTGACTATAAATTGGATGGAGAAAGTGACAAACGGTTAAGATAAGGCTTGAGGCAAAGACTTGTTATTGCTTGATAACAAAGGAAGTTTGGGGATGCAAAATAAAACTAGAACTTAGACTTGTTATTGCTTGATAACAAAGTCTTTAAGACAAAGACTAGAACTTAGAACAACTGAAAGAGACTAGGCTTATGAGAAAGTCTTTTAGACAAAGAGAAACAACTGAAAGAGTCTTTGGAACCCACGACTTTAGTGAAAGTAGTGAATCCATTGCTGGCTAAGTACCTCGGCTTATGAAAGTCTTAAGACAAAGACTGAACTGAAGCAGATTCACTACTTCACTACTAGTACAAAAAGTCTTTAAGACTAAAAATTGGATGGAGAAAGTGACAAACGGTTAAGATAAGGTTGGGGCAAAGACTTGTTATTGCTTGATAACAAAGGAAGTTTGGGGATGCAAAATTAAACACACGTCTTTAAAGTCTTTAAGACAAAGACTAGAACTCAGAACAACTGAAAGAGACTAGGCTTATGAGAAAGTCTTTTAGACAAAGAGAAACAACTGAAAGAGTCTTTAGACAAATAGAACAACTGAAAGAAAAAAATAGAACAACTGAAAGAAAAAAAGTCTTAAGAAAAAGAGTCCTTCAAAAAAAGTCTTAAGACAAAGACTAGAACTTAGAACAACTGAAAGAGACTAGGCTTATGAGAAAGTCTTTTAGACAGAGAAGAACAACTGAAAGAAAAAAAGTCTTAAATCTTAAAGAACAAGAGTCCTTACTTACACACGGCTCACAAAAAAGTCTTTAGAAAACTGGGTCGGTTTAAGTCTAGAGATATAGACTATGAACCGTAAACTATATAGTTACTATCCCCACAAGGCTTAACGAAACCTTAAGACACAAGACAATGAATGGTAAACTAAGTCTTGACAAACACAAAAGAACGATCAAAGGCTGGAAATGTTTTTCAGACAAAGACATTGTTGGTTGGAAAAGACGACCAAATATGAGATTATGAATAAAAAACGGATTCATATGATCTGTGCGTGAAAGTGATGAAAGTGACAAGGTAAGTATGAGATATTTAACATGAAGTAAAGACTAATTAATTCTGATTTTCTCAGGTATGTGCTTCAGAAGGTGTTCTGTTTGCTAGAGACTTTGAGGAGATTTCAAGTGTAGAAGACTTCTTTAACAGGTATGTGCTTTTCAAACTTGTTTGTAATTTTAGTTGATACAATTATTAAAATCACGTGGAGACACATATGTGAACTAAAGACTACTTCATTTGTTCATGTATGTATGTCAAAACCTGTTCATATTCTCATTCACCCGAAGGAGAGTTCATATTCACATAGAAGCCAAAGAGATTTCTCATCGTAGCGAAAGCATGTGATCAGGTATAAGCTTTTCTGAACTTTTCTGTATTAAATTGATCTTATTACATATGAGAATCGCAAATTAAGTTAAGTAATATATGCACGTTAAGTTACAAATACCGATTTAAGTGCCATTCATTGTTAGATATATTTCTCAGATATGTAAATCACAAACAATGTGAAGTGATATACGTATAGGTAGAGAAGTACTGATCAAACGGACATTTATAGTCACTGATCTTAGTCTTTCTCAGTTTCTAGAAACTTATTGCTAACATACCCATTGATAAAAAATGTATATTTTACATTTGGTATCGACACATTAGATTGTGTGTTTATCGTGTGATCAATCTCTGTCTTAATTTTACAAGCTTACACGTTTAAATTCTGTTTTGGTGCTTTTATGTATCATAAGGTCTTTCATTTTCTGAAATAGATGTGTCTTGTCGTCTCCTAAAGATATTTATTTTGAATGCAAGTGAGACTTGTGTATTGTATTGTTGATTGTTAGTTTTGGCATCTTCTTAATGGACAAGAAAAGAACATTTATTGTTGATTGTTAGTTTTGTATGTGTTAAGTTACAAGATAAGTCTACTGAGCATACTGTTTGCATTTTGGTTTGTTGTCTGATTGTTAATTCTTTGTTAGCAGCGATTGTGATCTTTGCTTCCCTGTTATGGTTGGATGATACCATCTTGACTTTTGCTTCTTGATTCTTAAAATATTTATTTGAGTTTTTTAGCAGCGATTGTAATCTTTGCTCCCTGTTATAAGATATGTCTAGTGAGCATATTTTTTGCATTTTGGTTTGTTGTTTGATTGTTAATTCGTTGTTAGCACTTAGCAGTGCTTGTGATATTTGCTTCCTTGTTATGGTTGGATGATACCATCTTGACTTTTGCTTCTTAATTCTTGAAATTAAGTTAGAAATATACACGTAATTAAGTTAAGTGATATATACACGTAAAGTTAGAAATACTGATCTCTAAGTGCCATTCATTGTTAGAAATATTAATTGCATAGTTGTCTAATATTATTACCTATGAAAATCACAAGCTATGTTAAGTGATATACGTATAGGTAGAGAAATAATGATCAAACCAACATTCATAGTTTGAAATATCTCTTATATAGCTGTCTTGGTAACTTTACTATCAGTCTATCACTGATCTAGTTTTTCTCAGATTCTATAAACTTATTTCTAACATATCCATTGATAATAATGTAGATGATACTTCTGGTATTGAAACATTAAGTTGTGTGTTTATCTTGTGAGAAATCTCTGTTGTAATTTTAGAAATTACATGTTTAATTTCTGTTTTGGTGCTTGTATGTATCATAAGGTCTTTCATTTTCTTAAATAGATATGTCTTGTCGTCTCCTAAAGATATATATATATATATATATATATATATATATATGAATGCAAGTGAGACTCGTGTAACCAGTCTCAAGTTTATATGTTTTGCATTACCCTTTTAATCTTTGGTGAGTAATCTAAAGATGAGAATTATATCTTTGCAATTCTTGCATTTTCTTAATGGATAAGAAAAGAACATTTATTGTTGATTGTTTGTTTAAAATGGACAGTTTGAATTTCGATGTCAGTTTTGTATGTGCTAAGCTGTAAGATGCCATCTTGACTTTTGCTTCTTGATTCTTGAAATAGTTATTCGAGTTTGTTAGCAGCGATTGTGATCTTTCTTCTGTGTGATAAGATATTTCTTGCATTTTGATTTGTAATCTGATTGAAAATTCTTTGTTAGCAGCAATTGTGTCTTTGCTTCCCTGTTACAGTTGGATGATACCATCTTGACTTTTGCTTTAGTAAATTTAGTAACCTTCTTGGAAATATTTACATTCTTCTATGTTTATCTTAGATTATACCCGATTAAGGGTTCATCAATATTTGTGATTGTTTTGTGTTATGTTTTAAATTCCTTGATGATCATTTTCAATATGTGAAATGACATCCTTGCAACTGAGTAATCTTTGGGTATAAATCTATAAATCATTTTTAATGATTATATTTAAAAAAAGTTAAAAAATTTTTGGAACTTTATGTTAACAATCTTAATCTCACCCATTCAAACTGGATTAAACTTTATATATATTTAAACATATTTTTGAATTGTATATAAACAACCTTAATCTCACTCCCCATTTAAATTGAATGAAACCTTTTATAAATTTAAAATTTATATACATTTTTTTCTCTTTTGAAAAATACATCTTTTATACTAAAAAACTGTTTTAATAAAAAAGAAGACAATTTAAAAAACGAATTTCGAAATAATAGAATTAATCATATTTTTATCCACGTAAATAAATGTTAATTTTTTAAAAATGGATAAATCTATCAATCATTTTTAATGATTATATTTAAAAAAGATAAAATATTTTTGGAACTTTATATTAACAACCTTAATCTCACCCATTCAAACTGAATTAAACTTTATATATATATATTAAACATATTTTTGGAATTGTATATAAACAACCTTAATCTCACTCCCCATTGGAACTGAATGAAACCTTTATAAATTTAAACTTTATATATATTTCAATTTCATAAGTTATTAAAATTTTAAAATGGATAAATCAATCTTCCGTTTTTAGCATTTATCTTTAAACAAATTTAAATATTTTTGGAACTTTCTATAAACAATTTTAATCTCACCCTATTTGAACTGTTTATAACATTTATATTTTTAATGATTATATTTTTTATTTGAATTTCGTTTTTATTAAATTAGTTGAAAACTTCAGATTAGGATAATTATTTCACATCTAGAAATGTATTTTTCAAAACTAACAAAAAATAAGGATAGTTTTCACATGTAGATTCTTAGCTAGCTGTATCGTTTAAGTAGTCGGACAAAGCCAAGAGTGTGTTTTCACATGTAGATTTTGAGATTTACGTCGAATCTCCTGACGAATCTCCATTGGAAGAAGCCGATTCACCCGCAATGGAACATGACATGGAGCTTGCGGATCATTACTCGTATAAACGTCTGGATTTTTTTCAAGATTGCCTTGAAAAGCAAAACTCGAAATGCAGAGATAGTATTTTCAAAGACTTGTTGGATGAGACAACGCAGATATTGACGGATGAATGTTGCCGTGATCTATTGAAGATTGGCAAAGATTGTCATCTAGGATTGGCTCAACTCATTTTCTCAAGTTATAAATATAAAAACATTGCATTTAAGGCTATTCCAAAAACCAAACAGTCATGGAACGATTGTGTTCGAAGAGTTGGGAACCAAATCAGTGTTCCGGTCTCTTTGGAAAACTAATGCTGATGTTTTACATAAAGCGATTTTGTATCCTTTGATTGTTACCATTACATATGTAAAATAAAAATTAAGGCAACACATAATCCTGTATGCTCAACATGGATCATAATATTAAAATATCATATCATTATTTTTAGATACGTTTTAATGGGTAACAACATATCACATATGCAATTTCGTAATATCCGATCAATGTTTTGTCATAAAGATCTTGATCTCCGGTAACGTAGTTACGCATATCGACGAGCTCACCGGTCCAAATCACACAACCCGACCCGCCATTTCGGATATCCGTATTCGCGAACCCGATACAGTAACAATCCTTGAGACACTTCTCCTCACATTCCTTCAACCCAATTCCTCTGTCCACAATGACTCTACTCGTCTCCGGCAACTTCATCTTCGTCAACCGCGAAAACACATTTCCGCTGCTGCCGCAGCTCAGTGGCGACTTCCTCACACAACCACTGGACGTATCTCCCGAAGCCCACGCCATCGGATTCTTCGGAACGAAACCTCCGATACAATTACATGTCGGTGACGTTTTCGTGTCACAGTAACTCTTGTCAGGTTCGTTGACCATACAGGAGTATTGTATTGGTCGAGGAGGACGAGGCTAGCGTCAGAGATTTTGAGAGTTCCAGTAGAGTTGGAAAGAGGATTGTCTCTATTAGCAACCCACACGTAGTTTCTCTCGGAGATTGTCTTGTACCAAATCCCAAGATACCAACGATCATTACCTCGAGAGCTTGTCGTGGTTTTGAAGAAACCAAGCTCGAAGACATCACCAGGAGAGACAATGGTTCGGTTGCTTGAGATCGTAAGAGTTTCTGTTGGTGACAAAGTATTGGTCGAGAAGACATGACCAAACAGAACAAAGAGAACGTAAATGAAGAAGAAAGTGTAAGAGTGGTGATACTTGGGTAATACGCCACTTATCTCTCTTCACCGCTTAAATTGCATACTTGGGTAATACTTGGGTAAGTATTCTTTTGATTTTAAATTGCATATCTTATGTCTTAATCCTAGATTAGTTATTTCCAGCAGACAAGAAAAATTATATTTCCACATTCTTTGACTTTTCAGCACTTCAGTAACTCATTTCAACAAACTCTTGTCTGTTATTGGTCAATAACTTTGCTACGTGAAATTAATTTCTCATGCAGCAACATAGCATATGTTGGTCAACAAGATAGTTAATCATCCATGATCCTTATAGTTAATCATCCATGAATAGTGACTAGAGAGAAAATGTTAAAAACGAAGCAAGCCAATCGTAGTACTAGCTAGAAGATGGAGGAAACCAGTGAGGGATCGCATTCCCATCCAGTAGTGACTCTTCGGGAGTTTGTAAACTAGAGGTGGTTTTGCTGGCAAGATCGTAAAAGCTAAAGCCAAAGCCTATAAAATAGATGGTGTTTGTTAGGAGTCCAGGGAACGACTCGTTCGTGAACGGGAACGAGCTTGACTGGACGCAAAATGCCTCGCCACCCTTTGAAATGAAGATGCACAGATCTCCAATGTCATCAGTGTAACGCATGAGTTTTCCCTCTGGTGTCTCCTCTTCTCTAAACACCATGAACATCTGCGTTTCATATGAGACTTTTTTCGAAACCAAATTGCTGTCGGCGTACCTGCATGCAAGAACCAAACGATATATATAGTTTAACAACCAATGTATATATATATATATATATATATATCTTTATATGCAACTAGAGAGACTAAAGTGTAAGTATGTATGTATATACCATTTGATGAGGAAACGTTCCTCGCCGGAGGGTGACTCCACGAGGTATTCAGTCCTGGAAGAAGAACAAAACAGCTCCGGCAGATCATACTCATACGCGAGTGACTGTGGAATGTCTCGAAACTGAAACTCATGGAACTCAGGCTTGTAGGGTTTCTTGACGAATTTGAGATCATAAGACAACAAGTGGTGGCCTCCAAGACCAGGCAAGTAGAACCTCTCATCTCTCTTTGAATACATGAGATTTGAGGTTGGGAAGTAGTCAATAGGCGTTTGAATCTTAGTCCAACGCAAGTCACGACGGGGTCTAAAGAAACATGAGCTGGTCACCCAACGACTTGATGGCCACAACCCAGTCTTCGTCGTCATCAGGAAAAGAGGACATTGCTACGCTCCAAACGACATCAGTCTGGCAAGAGAGAAGAGGTGTAAGCGGAGGCAGAGTGAAGAGCTTTGGGTTTGATTTGCAGGACCTAGGGTTCATGAAGTCCGTGATGAGTACGCAACGATCTTGCGGGTCACTGAAAAATCCCCATCCCTTGGAAGCTCCGAGGCTTTTAGCCGTAATAATATCTCCAGGGATTGTTTTTTCCGTGAGCTCGACTAAATCTGCTTTGGCCACGTCGAATATAACCACTTCTCCAATGTTGCCGCCTTCCGGCAGCGGTTTTACACTAATACTAGTTGTCAAATACGGACCGGTCGTGGAGGATGAAAACGAACGAAGGCTCCTGCTCTTGTGCAGCTGCCAAGTAAGCAACACAGAGATCAAAACCAAACAAAAGAAAATAAATCCTGGAGCAATATCAACGATCCGATCCTTATCTTCTTTTTTGTAAAACCAAAAAAATATTTTAAAACCAAGAAAAAACTTCTTCATTGTTTTTGCTAAGGAGAGAGAATCAGTTTTCTTAGGTCAAAGACTTGTAGAAAAGTGGCATTCTCTCCATAAAAAAAATAAAAATAAAAATAAATCATCTAAGACAGAACAAAAGCATGAAATTAAAGGGCTTGCGACTTACGAGTGGAGAGAGTTTAGAGAGAAGCCGAGACATTATTGATCAAAGATATCAAACTCAGAATGAAGCTGATGTATGTGGAGTCTCTACCAATCATAAATTGTTCAAAGAGAGGGAGAACAATAGGCGTGTGTACCAAGCTTTTTCTCTGGTCTTTTCTTTCCTTTTTGGTGAAATTTTTGTTTTGGGAATCTTGCCAATCTACGAACTGGAAACAATTCTCTTCTTTTACACTTTTCTCTAATTCTCATTTTTTCTTCTTTATTTGTTACCCCATCATTGTTCATTACCGTGGTCTCACTTACAATAATAATAACTTTGTTGCAGAATAAACAAGTATAAATTCTGACTCAACCACATTTCCCCACGAGAACTATGACATGTTAACTCGACGAACATGTTACAATGTATGTAACTCTATTATTTTTCGCACTTCAATCTCCCATCTTACTATTTTTCTTAGTTTTATGTACTCTCTTTTCAATAACAATAGTCTTAAACAAGAATTTGGGATCATGAAGAAAATAAATCATATGAGACAGAACTAAAGCAAAAAAAGAGTTTAGCTTACGAGTGGAGGAGATAGCCGAGACATTATCGAAAGATACCAACACGAAACCTTGAAACCCAAAATCAAGCTTTATGGTCATTAAAGCGTAGATACCAAGCTTTTCTTTCCCTATTTTTCCTTTTTAGTGAAATTTTTGTTTTCGGAATCTTGCCACACGCCAAGGTAGTCTCCTCATTCCTCAACAAAAGCTTCGTTGAAACCTTAACGGATGATGAGCCGTTTCAAGTCACATGCATGAAAGAAAGGAAGTAAACATTTTTTGACCAAAGACATTAATTCAACGCTTCTATCTGTATTAACGGACAACGCGGGAATTGATAAACAAGACATGCACGATACACAATACACATATTTGATCAAATACATTTTCTTTGACTGATCTTAATTTATAGAGATATAAAATACTCGATCCGTACTGCATCACGCATAAGTGAGTCATATATCTATCTATCCAAGATCTTTCATATGAATACTACAAGCGACAAACTGTAAAAGTCAAGTATTTCGATTATGACGCGTTATTGGCTATCAGCTTAATTAGTGCTCATAAATAAACAATACAGTATGTAGTTATAAGTTAGTCAAAAATATGTAGTAGTTTATACTGAAGTACAACTGTTGAACCAATGAAAAGCTTGGATCACTAAACTCTCCTCTAATATAAATACAGATACGCACAAACTTACAAAAACATATCCAAACTCCAAAAACAAACAGCAAAAAAAAGAAGATGGAAACACTAGTCGTAATTTATCTGATACTCGTCTCAGTTTCAGTCGCAACTTCACAGTCTGTGACCGATTCGGCGACTCTCCTCCAGTGTCTCGTACGAGAAGGATCAAACCCACAGAATAACATCTCCACAGTCACTTACATCCCAACAAACTCCTCCTTCACCGCCGTCCTCCGCCGCCGCATACCAACCTCCGTTTCGACAAACCCACCACCCCAAAACCCCTCGCCATCGTCACCCCCACCACGTGGAGTCACATTGGTTCGGCGCTGACTTGCGCCCGCGACCTCCCGATCCAGGTCAGGATCCGAAGCGGAGGCCACGACTTCGAAGGACTCTCTTACACCTCCACCGTCCCGTTCTTCATCATCGACATGTTCAATTTCAAATCCGTCGACGTCAATCTCACCGAAGGAACGGCTTGGGCTGATACCGGGCTACGATCGGAGAGCTTTACTACCGAATCGCGAGAAGAGCAATGTCCTCGGATTTCCGGCGGGTTTGTGTACGACATTGGGCGTCGGTGGACATTTCAGCGGCGGAGGGTACGGGAATCTGATGAGGAAGTACGGATTGTCGGTGGATAACGTCGTCGGATCCGGAATCGTTGATTCGAACTGGGAATATACACCGATCGGGTTTCGATGGGGGAAGACCGTTTCTGGGCGGTTCGAGGAGGTGGTGCCGCGAGTTTCGGCATCGTGCTGGGATACAAAATCCGACTTGTTCCGGTGCCGGAGAGAGTTACGTTTTCAGCGTCGGGAAAACCGTCGGAGAAGGAGCCGTCGATCTTCTAATGAAGTGGCAGAGTTTCGCTCACAGTACAGATCGGAATCTGTTCGTGAAGGTGACGTTGACTGTAGTCAACGGTACGAAGCCTGGTGAGAAGACGGTTTTAGCTTCTTTCATTGGGATGTATTTAGGCCGGTCGGATAAGACTTTGAACGTGATGAACCGGGATTTCCCGGAGTTGAAGCTGAAGAAAACCGATTGTACCGAAATGAGATGGATCGATTCGGTGTTGTTTTGGGCCGGTTATCCAGGTACACCGACTTCCGTACTGCTAAACCCGACGGTCGGGAATAAGTTGTTCATGAAGCGGAAATCGGACTACGTGAAGAGTTCGATTTCGAGAACCGGTCTCGGTTTAATGATCAAGAAATTGGTGGAGGTTGAGAAAGTTGAAATGAATTGGAATCCGTACGGAGGAAGAATGGGTGAGATCCGAGTTCGAGGACACCGTTCCCACATAGAGCAGGCAATTTGTTCAACATTGAGTATGTCATAGACTGGTCGGAAAGTGGAGAACAAGTGGAGAAAGATCATTTGGCACGTGCAAGAGAGATGTATGAATTCATGACTCCGTACGTGTCTAGTAATCCGAGAGGGGCGTATTTGAATTACCGTGATCTTGACATAGGATCAAGTGTTAATCCACTTACAAAGAAGGTAAAATCTACGGGGCTAAGTATTTTAAAGACAATTTCGAGAGGTTAGTGGATATCAAAACCACATATGATGAGATAAACTTTTGGAGGAACGAACAAACTATTCCGGTTCGTAAATAATATGTATTTTTACATTCGTTCAATACTAATAATATATAAGCAAATGTAACAAAAAATGTATATATGTGATTAATATATGTGACATGTATTGAATTTTTCAGAAAATAAAGCAAGAAAGATGTATGATTTGGTTTGATAAAACGTTGTGAAATTTGTTGATATCTTTGGTTCGAGAGGATGCATACAAGTGTTTTCTTTTATCGTACGCTACTGATATAATTCTATGTAATACCCAAAAAAAGGGATTGTTTGAACCTTTTTTTCAAACAATTAAAGGGATTGCTTCATGACTTCATCTAACACACGAATCTTGCGTATTTCATTTGTGCATGCTGTTGACTTTTGTTTACATATTTGGATTATGATTTCAGGATTTGGACAATTTCATTACAATAATAATAACTTTGCTGTAGAATAAAACTATCAATTCTGACCCAACTACATTTCATTTTCATACATCTTTATCTGAAACTTAAGTCGATGAACATGTTATACTACTGTATGTAAATCTTTTATTTTTCACATTTCAACTTCCCATCTTACTATTCTTCTTAGTTTTATGTAATCTACTTTCATTGACAATAGTCTTAGGCAAGAGTTTGCGATAATACAGAAAATAAACCATCTGAGATGAGACAGAACTAAAGCAGTAAATTAAAGAGCCTAGCTTTCGTATTCTCTAGATCCACGGGTGTGGCGGTTTCTCTCTCCGCTCTGATCTAGTAAATCTATCCCAAACTTTATGTTTTAGGAACCAAAATTTTCGCCAATGCTTAATTCTTTGCAAAAAGAGTTCTTAGTTGATTTGGTTTGTGTATAATCTCTGAACAGATTGGAGACTTGGTTTACTATCGAAAATAACCTAATCTATATGGTATTTGCAAAGTTGCTACGAATGTCTCACTTGCTTGTGTCGGCTGATTCTTGACCAAAGTTTTCTCAGTTTTTGGGTATATACTCGGAGTTCACTCACGAACTTGATCTTAACTATTCTTAGTGAAAATATAGTTTGACAGAATAACATTAAGGACTTAGGGATCTTTCTTGAACCACCGTTTGACATGGATAGCGAGTGTTCCAGAAATCTACATGCAAGAAATATAACACTTGATGAATATGTAATGTAAGTGACATATATCTAGAGATGTCAACTTGGGCCGCAGCTCGCGGGTTCGGCCCGTTTAGGTTTGCTACGGGGCGGGTTCGGGTTGGCATTTTCAAACCCGAAAATTAGCGGGCCTCGCGGTCCAGCCCGATTTTGGCTTGCGGTTGAGGCGGATATATCCGCAGCGGTTGGGCGGGTTTTCGGGTCGACCGCAACAAAAAATAAAAAAAAATAAAAATAAAAACTTTTCTTCCCAAATCCCAATCTTCCGAATGCACAACTTAGCCAATCTTCCCGATCGACGATTTTCACTGCACGTTTCTCCGACGAAGATCGTTGTCAGCTTGATCTCATTGTAATATTGAGTCGCTCTTTCTGTTTCTCTGATTTTCAAATTTTTTTTTCTTCTTCACCCTAATTATTTCGATGTTCTTCTTCAGCTTTCGGAAACGGTTCGAAATTCGCAGCAGTAGCTTTGGTGGATGTTGATTCGGAGGAATTTCAAGTTTGCTAAGTACTTCGACATTACTTTATCCCCTTCCACTGTCTTCTTCTTCAACGCTCATCACATGAAATTGGATTCTGGGTAAATTCTTATTCCCAAGATAATTTTCTAAAGCTTTGATTTTTAAGTTAGTTCTGATTTGGTAATTTTTGTTTTTCTAACAAAAATGCTAATCATACGAAGTCGATAGGTAAATTGCAGTGCTAGTGGTAGTTAATTTCATTGTTTCTTTAGTTGATGTGTGATTGTTTAATGCATTTCGTTCAGTTGGACCTGCCAAAAGTGTTGCCTCTTTGTTGGTAGCAATCAACTAACACATATTCATACTTGTCTCAACTTGTGTTTGGAAATTGTTCCTTCTCTCGTGATGAGATATATGAGCATATTCATTCATAGTTTGGTAGCTAAGAAACCAGAAGATGAAATCGATGGTACAGTGTTGTTGACAAAAAACTGATCCCTCACTTTGCCATATGGTATGTCAAGTGGGAGAAGAAAGTGGTGGAGTGGAAGAAGTTACGTTTGATTGATGCATGTCCTAAAAGGTATTGGATCTCTGTTTTTTCTTTCATGGTTAGTTTGATTGTTTGAATAATGCTTTGTGTTACACAATGAAGATTTCAGTTTTTGATTATGATGTAATGACTCATGAGTTAGTTTAATCATTTGTAACATATGTGCTTTAGTTTGATCAACCATATGTGCTTTAGTGTATGAGTTCTTTGCCTCCATGAGCATTTGTTCTTGCAAATAGCTTCTGTTTAAGAGTTTTTGCCTCCATGAACAGGCTTATAAAAGTCTATGGTTCTCTTAATATGAAAGTGAAAATCCAAAACTCTATTACGTGGAAAAAAAGAGTTTACTAACAGTCATATCATATGATCTCTAAGAGATATTACATCAATTACAAACTGATTCCATTATGATTCATGCAAAAGATTATTACAAAACAACATAAATGCTTAAACATGGTGCAAGTTTCAGGTTTGGTTAACACATGGTCTTTACAGGTTTGATTTCAGCTTAATATTCATTGAACCCGCAGGTTGACCCGCATATCCGCCAATATAACGGTGCGGGTTAGGGCCGAGCTTTTGGAGACCGCGGCCCGCAGCGGTCCGACCCGCCTGATCCGCCGGCAAAGTGAAACTGCGGAGGGCTGGCCCGTTTGGGTGCGGGTTGGCCCGTTTGACATCTCTGCATATATCTGAAAAAAATGTTATGCATTGGTCGAACGGGGCTGAAGTCTCACAATGGATCATAACGTTGACAAGTTAAACTCAGTGGGCTATTTTTAATTACTTTAACCATCAGCCCATATAATAACAATACTCGGTTGAACACATTTATTTTTTTAGTACAAATTTAATCCAATAAATAAATAAATCAAATAAAAACCAGAAGAGAAAAATATCTCAATAACAAAAAGCAAAATATTGAATTTCAATGAAACAATGGAAGTTTTGGTCTCTTTCTCACACGTTATATGTATCACTCCAAAAAATAATTATTATATCCAGAGACTGCTTTAGAATCAGATGATGATTGATGAAAACCCTCTGCTTCAGGAAGAGGTTCCCCTCTTGGTCTTGTACCTGTACAGAACTCTCTTCTTCTTGCTGGAGACATTGTCAACTGTAAGAACAATCTTACCAGAAGACCCACTGTTCTTGTAACTGTTCCTGATCGGTCCTTCACTAGAACCAATCTTCTTCCCCTTCTGGACAATAACGGTGTAAGCTCCTTCATCTGCTGGCACAAACTCCTCCTTGTAATTCACTTCCCATCCCAAAACAGCAACGTCCCAAACCAATGTCCCTTCACTCTACAAGAAACAAAAAAAAACATCATTAGATCAATCTTTAACAAACTTCTCCTGTAAAACAAGACAAGGTTTGGTTTTCAAGTTATTACCTCAGGAGCAGGGATTTCAATGGTTTCAGTTGATCCAGGCTTAACGAGAACTTCAGAAACAGCTTCGTTGGAAAACTCTGTATCATCATCTCTCTTGAATCCACCGTGCTGAATCGGAATCTCCTCTGCTGCAATGTACTTGAGGAGCGTCTCCGTGACCTTAGCCGGACGAGCCACAACAAACTTGCTCTTGGTCCGTTGCGTCAAGAACGGAGAGAGGAGAGACGTGATGGCGTAGAACCAGAATGGAACGTTAATGAAAACGTTCCTCGACACGAACTCGGGGTAATTGTCCTGCAGAACCAAGATCGCGTTCTTGACCGCGATCCAGAGCTCTTTCCTCGACAGTCCAGAGGAGTTTTTCAGGTCGTGGATCTGGAGAAGAGAGGTCACGCCACCTGGCTTCAGGTCAAGCTTCTGGATTCCCTTCTCCATCAGCTGAAACCTCCACCTGAGCAGCTTCTCTCTGTTCTCCTCTGAGCCGAACGTCGTCTGGTAAAGCTCCTCGTTCTCGAACACGTTGTGGACGTTGTAGCAAACGGGACGGGACTCGCGGTCCACGCCGTTCATGTACGCCGCGGAGGCGAGCTCCTCGCCGAAGTCTTCTCCGAGGATCGAGTCGATCTTGTGCTGCTTCCTCCACGTGAGGGTTTTCTTGAGCATCTCAAAGGCTTCGTTGACTTTGAAGTCTCTTGCTCTCAAGAACTTCAAGAGGATCACGTCTGTGCCTTCAGCTCCTTTGCTTGGAAGCAACGGCACTCCCCATAGCTCAATATCTTTGTCCACACTCTCTTCCTCTTCCTCCACCTCAGCAACAGCCTCAGCTTTCGCTTCTTCGGTGACTACAACCTCGCTCTTCTTCTCTTCCTCTACATTCCCAGCTTTGACCTCTTCCTTAACCTCATCCTCTTTGACAACAACAGCTTCAGTCTTCACTTCTTCTTTAGGGCTTTCCTTTGCAACAACAGCCTCGGTCTTGGCTTCTTCTTTAGGGCTTTCCTCAGCAACAGTAACCGCCTCAGTCTCGGTTTTGGCTTCTTCGGTAACAACAGCCTCAGTCTTCTTCTCGTCTTCAGCCTTTTCCTCTGCTTCCTTCTTCTTCTCAACCTTCACAGGGGTCGCTTTCTTCTTCTTGAAGAGAGTGTTTTCAACAATGGCTTCCTCAAGCTTCGACTTGAGATCGCTCAGAGCCTTCTTCTCGGATTCTTTCAGGTCAGAGAAGAAATCGCTCTCTTCTTTGAAAGAAGAAGACTTCTCCACACCCTGAGGCTTGCTCTCATCTTCTTCCACAGCAGCTTTGACTTCTCCTTCTTCCACAACAGCTTTCACTGTTGTCTCCTCCTCCTCCACTGGAGTAACAGCAGCAGCGATAACAACCTCTGACTCCACCTGCTTCTCCTCAACCTTAACTTCAGCAGTCATTGTCTTTGACCTGTAACCAGATTCAAACAAAAAAAAATAAGCTTAATATAACATAACCCACTTATAAAAACTCAAACTTTTCGTCAAAATCAAGCAAGAGTAGTAACTTGTAAGTAACCTTACTAAATTTGGATAACCTAAGTCTTGTACTTAATTCCCAAAAAAACCTAATTCACCTTCTTGAGATCTAAAAGAAACGAGCTAATTTTCTACTTCTTGATTCGTTGAGATCTCAAATCGAAACGTGACTCTAGCTAAAACCCTGACGATTAACGGACTCAAACAGAGACGAAAACACCAGCTCAAAATTAGCAGAGTACTCTGTTTTTTAACATACGAATCGAGAATATAAGAGAGACAAAGTGAATTAAAACTTAAAAAGGATTCGAATTTAACTGATTCGGGAAAAGAAAAGAGAGAAACCCACCTAAAGAAGATTCGACTTTCTCTGATTGAGCTTCTGGAGAGATTCGTCTTCTTCCTCTTGGTTTTTTAAGTTTTGGCTGCAGAGACAGAGAGCAATAATAAGGTATTGTGAATATAAAAGAGAGGAGGAAGAGGAAAACAATGGAGCTTTATGCAAGAGAAGAAGCCCTAGCTATGGGCTGGACCCCACCGACTCTCTTAGCAACGGTCACATGATTGGGTCCACCACTTAAAAAAAAAGGAAAACAAAAAAAGAAACAGAAGAACCATCACCGTTGGATCAATTCTTCGATATCTCTCCTCCATCCAATGATCCACCCTGCCCCCAAAATTTGCCAGGCTGGCAGCTTGGCAATATTTAGAAACAAATATGTTACGAAGATATCCGGAGGGTCCCACATTCGCTTCGCATGTTCCAACGGTCGTCTCTGCTGATCTGGTCGTCGAACGAGAGAAGGACACGTGGGCTATTCGACAGAGTATGTTCGGCGCAACGGACGGATATTCAACCAAAGTCACCTTTTTATTTCTTTTGGGCTGACTGTAAAAGTATGAAATGAAAAAACAATTCAATATGTTTCTTGTTTTGTTTGATTCTAGTTTTACAAACTGGAGCTACCCAAAAAAGAAACTGTAAATTATGTTGATTTGATTATATATAATTAGAAAGTACCATGTATACTGATATTCGAGAATCTCTTCGTTGTAACGTTCCTATGTTTTTCACCTGTCCTTGTAATAGTGTGATTCATCATCATTATTATAAGAAAAACTAATCAAACATGAATATACGTCTTCTTTATTGGTAAGTAAATATTCTAGTGTTTGTAGCTGTTGACACCCAATACAAGCCAACAAAGCAACTTAAAGACTATACTCAAGACTTTGTTCATGTGAATGTGCTTCTATATCATCAAATGTGTGCATGTAAATCAGGTGATTGGATTGGTCACTTTCTAAATTTAGCCGTTCTCCGAAATATGTCATAATATACATGTTTTCAGTTACAATTTCTTTAGATGGTGTTTATGATACTTAGTAAAATTATCAGAGTTATTAAATGTGTGATTCGAAACAGACTTCTCTTTTGGTTGACGAAAAAATAAAGTAGTTACGATTACAGAGAGATCAATAGTCAGTAATTGAATACATTACAGACATTCATATAAGGTATCAATAATTATGGTCTTAGTCATATCCTTGACTCGAATATAAAATCTCCACATTTCTTCTACATTAGCAGATTCTCACATTTATTTACATCGCAATGATTATATGATGACATTTATAGTGCACCGCCGAAACTAACTTTCCTTTAAAACATATATTTGCGTGACAATAAATTATATACTCAAATTTTCAATAATTTGAAGTAGTAATAGGCAAAGTGTTGCATAATGATAAGAGAGGTGGTTGAAGTCAACCGGTACAGCTAATTTACCCGCCAAATCAGCCGCAACAAAAGGAGGAGACAGAAACAGAAAGAAACAGAACAAATTACAGATAAAGACAGAGCACAAAAGATCACCAGATCGAGCTGTACAAGAAGAATCGATATTAAGTCACGTTTTGTATCAGACCCCACCAAACATTAGAGAGAACACGAAAACCATCCACCAACATTACACATAGACAGTCTGTTAAATCATACAAAGGTAAAGAATCTCACACGAAGAGATAAAATTTAGCCGACAAATGTCACACATGCGCTATGTCCAACGTGTTCGATGGTCTTTTAACTCACCAAACCGATCATGACCGTTTGCTTGATCTCCTCTCAGACGTCAGAGGCGTTACGTTACAATCTGAGTACACACCAGTTGCCCTGTCAAACATATAAAAAAGAATTCATTACTCAACAAAGATCCTCTTAATAATTAATCTAAACTCTTATTAGAGCATAAAAAGTACAGTCCTAAGTTTCTTGTGAATCTTATTCAGTACATTAACTTGGATTATTAGCAAAAGAGAGAAGTTAAAAAAGAGTTAGTGCACCTGTCGTAACGCAAGTAGGCATCACCAATTTGTCCTGCAACCTTGTTCCGGACTTTCCTGACACAAATCTGATACACAAAAAGGTTAAGACAGGAGAGTACAATTTTAGAAATGAGTCACAGATGAAGAACTTGGTACTCACTTGGACTAGATCAAGAGGTCCAGCGTTTTCATCACGGTTTCTGTGTATAACAATCCCATTGTCACATTTGTTAATGAAATGTGCACTCCCACTAATATCATAAAGATTCGGTGGACCTCCGTCCCATTGTTGCAACTGTTTCGGGTGTGCAACAAACCAGACATGACACGAGTGATGTTGTGCAAAGCGTTTTATCTTCGTTAGTATCTGACTAACATATTCCGTTTCCGTCCTATTCAGAAACGAACAAAAAAAAAACTGTTTCAAAAAAGGAAACTGTTGTAAAAACTGATGAAGAAAGTGATATCATTTTCCATCACTTACTGGCGTATAGTACGTTGATGATCAAGCTCGTTGTATGGATCTATCACAAGCCCTCGAATCCCATACCGAAGAACAGCAGCTTTTGCACGATCCAGAACCCATTTAATGTTTGGAAGTGAATCCATCTCACATCTGATTAGTCATGAAAACACAAAACACTACCATTTATAAGTCTGAGTATCAAATAACATACGGCATAGAGTGAAGTTCTATAAGAGCTGAAGATTTTACCTTATGAGAGCGAAGTTGTCATCTAACCACTGTTTCCCTTCATCCAACTCCTCAATGCTCATCCGTGGGACAGTTTTGCCATAACTGTTGAGAGAAAATTAGGAGAAACATAAGCTTAAGATGATACATTCCACGCCACTTTCAGTAAAAAGTTAAATACATGGCCAGAGATTACAAGAGCATTAGTGCTTGTGCTTGAATCAGATACCGTAAAGAGTCTTACTTTGCATCAAAGAAGGGTTTCTCTACATGTTTCTCCAAGAGTTTCCTGGCATGATCTCGTACCTGCAAGAAGCAAAGGACAAGAAACAATCAGGCCAAAACTTATATAAAGCAGTCTTTTTTCCATTCAAGGACTAATTCAGCAACATACTCTATTCTCCATTGAGCAGAGCGCAAATTTCCAGCCAACGCTGTGGTTGAGATTGCATAACAGCGCATCAATCCATTCACTCTTCCCGGAATTAGGAACACCTGTCACAACAGTCAGCTCCCCCGGCACAACCTGATCAGAAGCAAATTGAAAATATCACATCAGATGGTGAGCCTACAAGAGTATTATTGTTCTTTGACTCCGATGCTTACACTGTAGAAGTTGTCCAAAGTGTTCCACCCGGTTGAAACACCATACTCGTGTCCATGAGTCCGATGATAGAAAGCATCAATCTCATCAAAGAAATCTTTAAAGGCGAATAAACCTTGTATAGGGTATGGCTCAGCGTTTTGAACAGCTTCATTGAGTGACTGAGGTCCCAAAGCCATAAGCACCTAAGAAAAAGAAAAAATAAGCATTAGTCAGCTTCATTGTGGTCATTTAAACTGAAGTAAAACACGAAAGCAACTGCATAAAATTTATATATAATCTAATCTGACCTCATTTGCATCTTTGAAATATTTATCCTCACCGTTCTTCGGCCATTTGACACGCCAACATCTTTCTTTCCCCAGACGTCGCGCAACTTCTTCAGCCAGAGCTTGTCCAGGTCCATCTCCATCAGTAGCAATAATAACACGAGATGCCTATAGATAAATAAAAGTACTTTTAAACAACACAGATCCTTGGAATCTTGACATTCAAAGAGTTACGTATCAAACCAAACACTAAATTATCACACACCTTCTTTAGGTAGTCATTGCAATTCCACAGAAACTTATACTTCGTGTCCTAGCTTTACAGAACAGTAAAGTGCTTAGAGAATCATATAAGAGAAAATGAATAGAAAGGCATAAAACCTAGAAGACCAGAGTCACCAGACAAACCTTTTCTTCAGGTGGTGTTTCCTTTGAAGAAACAGTCGCTGGAGCTCCATCAGGAACGGACACACAGTTTCGAAAACCAGCTTCTTCCATCGCAAGTTTGTCTATTTCTCCTTCAACCTAAAGTTAAAAATTCCCCCAAAGAATTTAAATACAGTTCTTCACAGTTTAGCTAACGACCAATGGCCATGCGATCATTTGATAGAGGATGTAAAGGCAGACATACTATAATGATTTCAGATGCCTTTTCAATGTCATCAAGCCCATAAAAGATCCTCCGTGTATTCTTTTCCTGAAGGAACACACAAAGAACAAAGTATGTAAGCAATGGTCATAACAGAAAGCTTGAGAGAGCCGCTCGAGGATAATATCAGAAAGGGTATTTGAATGAGATGGACCTGATAGAACTTCTTGGATAGGAACCGGTACTTGCAACTCACAAGCTCCCCTCTTTGCCAGTAAGTAAAAGCAATTACAATCTGCAACATGAAACGAAGCAAGAAAAGGTTAAAAAAAACAAGAGTCAGACCCACAGGACTAGAACCAAGCGTGTTCCTTTAGAGATGAATGTTACTACATAAATCAGGATTCCTAAATTGCAGTAAAGATGGAACAGTTGAGTGCCAAGTAAGATCTCCTTAACATCTCTACAAAAATAACGAATTCAGAAGAATACTTGTGAGTACCTCATCATCACCTATTCTTTTCTGCATAACCCGATTTCTCGCGAGTGTTTCTGCTGAAATCATTCTTGCAGCGAAGTATTGCTGAATCTGAAGCATAACCAAGATCAAGATTTCAAATTTATCAGACTCATATAACTACAAAGAAATGAAGTATCAATTTCACATAGTTCAGTCATTTTCTCAAGAAAGGAGTAAACACAGAATAATAATAAGTATGTTGAAAGAAAAAACATATATAAAAGAAGAGAACAACCTCATCACAGAGAGGCTCTAGCCCTAAACTCTCCACCGTGAGTTTTCTTTCAACCTTCTCTATCTTCTCTACTGGAACTGCAGATGTAAACCTGCTATCTCCCTGCAAAGAGAAAATAAGGATAAGTCTAAAACATAATCAATTTTTGTAGTTTATGATTTGTTAATCATTGCACATGTCGCAACTCACCCGTACTCCACCTTTTAAACCACACTTCCCCCGAAAGCAATTCCATGTAGCTGACGAACTACAATTTTGTTTTTAGAGGACATGATATTAGTTACAGTCTCGTGAACAAGAAATTTAAAACCAAAACTTATTTCTTAGAGTTATTAAGATAGCATACCCATCAGGGGCAATGTAAAGAGACAAGCTTTTTTCTGCAGAGCCGCCACCTTCACACTGATCAAGAACAGTGGACAAATATGAAGTTAGTTTTTTTTCCACATACTCAACATGAAGATTTTACAGTAAACATTATAAAGGCAACATTTTACATAGTACTCAAGCCAAAGGCATGTGAAGAAGGCAATGAGACAGAGAGAAATGTTGTACCTTGGGACATATCAAGCCACAATATTGTCCCGGGGGGCAATTTTCAGCATCAATTCCATTTTCCGCCAATTTACGCCTCAAGTTTGCTAATTTCGATTTAACATCACTCTTGTCTGCTTCTTCTACTTCAGGATCATCTACAAAAGCGTTGGAAATTCATCAAAAATGTACCAATTAACTAGTTTGCAGACATGTGGAAACTAGAAATCTCAAGAACAACAAGTCGTCAAAAGCATTTAAACGGAATCAGAATCCATCAAACCCCACCAAATGTCTTACATTTTCCAAACAAATACAGAAATCGAAACAGAGGACTCAAGCATTCAAAACACATACCAGGAGTTTGGAATTTGGGGATTGAAGTGTAGGACGATAAGCCATTGGTCTTATGTTGATAAGGGCTGTTTTTGGACACTGGTCTCGAGGCAAAAACTGGGCGAAATCGAGTAGAAACGGAAGATAGGTGCCTTTGTCTACCAAGTGTATAAGAAGGAGAAAGAGAAGAAGAAGGGTATGCGGCAAAAGAAGGAACAAGGCAAAATTCGAGGAATTGCTTCGAACCCATTAGCACTGACATCGAGCTCGACAGTCTCCGCAGCTGGGTTTGTGGAGCTCGGAGCAGAAAACGCATATCGTTTTGTGATGAAACCCTTCAGTTACTGAGCTGCATAGTGTTTCTTCTTATTTCTCGCTCCAAGGGTTTTAGGTGTTTTCTCTTTCCCTCCTCTGTCTCTGTGTATGGAGAGGACGAAGGAGAAGATGAAAGAGGTACAAAGGAGATTTTGATTTCGCTCTCTTTGAGATAAATGGGCTTCGGAGCAAATAGGCCCATTAAGTGTTAGTTTGTGGCCTGTTGCATTTATTTCGGGTCGATGTGTTGGTAAGTTACCAAAAACAAATACTTGGCGACAAAGTCAAAGATGTAATTGACACGTGGAAAAGAATCACGTCCTTTTATTTTGGGCCTGGCCCAATTGTAATTACAGGTTTAAGGTAAACTTGGCGGAAAAGTCAAAGAGTGTAAGCACGTTGAACCACCAACCCAAGTATAGCCGCTAAAACCGAGGTATTTTACTGAGTCAATTACGCGCCAAATAAACAGAAAAATGCAAATATGACAAAAATAACTAATTATAAAATCATAAAGAAATTATGACAATAACGAGAACATTGTAAAATTATGATGATCGCGAAGAAATTATAAGCATATTGGGCTATGATTGGGCTAAAAACTAATATACATAGTGAAATTTTAAAATGTCGTTTGCACAAATGAACTTCAAAAAGTAGTCTGTATGATGTTGCGAATTTGTATCCATGACGAAAGAAATTCAGTTTGTGAATACGCTTTTTATCGTACAAACATATCTTTATAGGAATTAGAGTCTACTTTCTCTCTTGTATGTAAGTATGGTGTGTTCTTTCTTATTCGTAGAATTTCAAAAATATTAACAAATGCTGATTTTTCTTAGTAGTAGTAAGTTGTATAACCTTCAATTAGTTCTTTGCATGTACAAAAATAAAAAATGTCAATGTAATTACAAACAGCTAGCTGGCCAAAGTAATTACAAACGGTTACTCTCTAAACTCTACGTACGATTTAGAGCGCTACAAAGTAAGTTAATTAACTTTTAGAAATGCAGTTTAAGAACAAAATTAGAAAAAGAAAAGAAACAAGGCCTAATACTTAGGAGGTAGTTACAGTAACCCCTCCTTAATCCTCGCCAAAACCCTAACTTCTCTCTCACTCTCTTCATATATATTTTGTGACAGTTACTGTGGTACAACTTACAACCTCCTGAACCTGAAGTCTTACCTCAGTAAAAAAGCAGAAAAAAAGACAGAACAGTAGTATCTTTGATCTTCTCGTATATCTTCTTTTGTCCTTTCTTTTGTTTTCTACGTTTACTCTCTAAGCTTAATTAGTAGCAGTTAAAGCTATTAATTAAGACTTAATTAATCATTTATTCAAATCCCTTCCATCTGTAACTCCTCCTGATTGCTTCGCATTCTTCATTCTCTGAACACACAGAAACGTTCATCATCTCAATCGTCTCTATGGACTGCTTAAGCTACTTCTCCAACTCAGATTTTATCCAGCTCCAGGATTGCTTTATCCCTGATGTGGATATGATTCTCCCGGAAACCGACACGTTCTTCTTCCAAGCGCAACCGCAACATCAACCGCTTCAGCCATTGCATGACGACGAAGCTCTCTCGCCGTCCTTCTTCGGGTTTAATCACTTGGATCCTTTCTACGAGCCATTTCTTCCTCCCCAAGAAATCTTCCTCCCTAGCCCTAAAACCGAAGTCTTCAACGAGTCACAAGACTTAGATTCCTTCTTCCCTACGCCAAAACACCAAAAGCTCATAAACTCCAGCTTCCATTTCAACAACACCCACGACCCTTTGTTCATGAGCCCTAACCATAATCTCTTGGAATCCAACATCACCGAAGCTCCTAAATTTTCCGAGTTTCGAGTTCCTGATTTCTCTCCGGCGTTCAAGGTTGGGTGGAGTGATCAAAACGACACCAAGAAACCTGAGCTTTCTGCTCAGAGCATCGCAGCGCGAAAGAGGAGAAGAAGAATCACTGAGAAGACTCAAGAGCTCGGAAAACTAATCCCTGGAAGCCAGAAACATAACACAGCCGAAATGTTCACTGCCGCAGCTAAATATGTCAAATTCTTGCAGGCGCAGCTTGAGATTCTTCAGCTGAGGCAGACCAAAATTCAGGTATAAGATAAAACCCCTAGACTTTTTCTTTTCGACTAGTCTATATTTATGTAAGATAAGATTTATTTGATTTTGCAGACGCAGGAGAGTTCAAAGGTGGAAATAGAAATGCAGATGTTGCTTGGATCTCAAGACATCCAGGAGAAGCTATCGACAGAAGAAGTTTGTGTGGTTCCAAGTGAAATGGTTCAAGTCCTAAAAACCGAAGAATGCATCTTGAGAAACCCTAAGATTTCTCGAGACATTAACAAGCTGATGTCCACAGATCTGATGAATTAGTTTCGATTTTATGCAGAAACTCCACTGTCTAAATCCTTTATTTTGCTTGTTGTTTTGTCTGTTTCTAATTTCTCCCTAGTGCTAGTTTCTATATTAGCTAGAGTTTAACCATTAGTTAATATTCTTCTTAACTAATGTAAATCAGCTTGGTTTTATCCAAAAATGGTAGCTACTCTATTTCATATCTGGAAAAGTTTGATTAATAAGTTGGTTTTGGTTAATCTTATTTATATTACAAATAAACGAGTGTGTGTAATTTTGCTGCTTATGCTTATATAATTACGAGCTATTTCTGCAAGTAAATTTAGAAGACAAACATGCATGAAAAAAATACAAAATTAATTATGTCAGTTGTTAGCACAAATAGGTGTAACTTTTTCGAAATTATCACCAAATTCACCACTACAAGACTAAAATTGGAAGGTTTAAACTTCCAAATTTCGTGGTAGTTTTTTTTTAATTTAATATCAGTATTCCTAGAACAACAACTTTTATTGTATTTTAGGCTATTTTCATAGTTATTCATGCTTTATTCTGATAATTAATATTTCTGTAAGCAAAAAAAAAATTACAACAAATTACAGTATGTTATATAATCCACATTTACTAAACAGGCCTGAAAGGAAATAAACTTGGGCTCACATCTTTTATTTAATGAAGCCTACATGGCCATTTCCCTATGTTACTTTGTATTCTATGATGAATGAAATTTAGAGAGAAGAAAAAAAACAATTTTTCCAATACCATATTTGTACTTGACGGATATTTTAATGCGAACAAAATGAGTAACACGTCGACGCGAATACTCCAAGTAAGATATCTAACCTTAATCAATTTATTTTTAGTTTAGCTGTCACTCATATTAAAAAACCAAGCCACTAAATTATTATAGTGTTGACGTAATTACTATTCCGTCAAATTACTGTTCAGTCAAAATAATAATTTAGTCAATGATATGATAGACGTCAAGCTTATCCCCCTCTTTTATTTGAATGTCTTAACTAGGATCACTAGTCATAGTTCTTTGATTTAACCTTTTTGTTGTGTGTGTAATAAATAACTAGTCTTTATTATTTGTAAACCATCGTTTTCACAAAGGCATGTCCTCTTTAAATTGATTTGAGGCAACAAAGAAACTACTCTAAAAAGCTTTATGATGGGACATCCCACTAAATTTATTACATTATCGAACGAGAATGTCAATTTTCTAAACAACAACCAAATGAAAAGCTAGCTTTGGATGGAGCTCCACCGCTGAAACAAACTAACAATCTTCTAAGCTCAACCGCTTTGAATGTAATTCGGTTACAAATTGGTTTATGGAAAATTCAAAAAAGGTTAAATAGAAAGAAACGACTCAGGAGGTGTTGAGCTTCATCTATTCTGATATTTCCAAATATGACAGATTGTAGTTTGAAAACCTAGGCTGATGAGGATATAGTCAATAATGTCACACCTTCGGTTAATAAAACTTCAGAAGAGTAAATATCCCAGTTCAGAATAATGTGAGAGCCTTGGATAGATTCACTGAAAATCATCCCTACAAGGCTACAATGAAAGAGAAATAGGGTATATACAAACAAAGAAGAAATGAACACAGAGATCTTTTGGCTCACCAACAAATCAAAATTAAGTTATGCCCCAATATACTAATTAATACGTAGTATTCACTAATATATCCTAAAACTATTTCTGTCCATAGATTTTTAATCACATTTGAAAACTTTTGAGTATCGATTGTAAGTGACTATTGTAAAATTGGCATTGTAAATAATAATAATATTAAAAGATTTAAAACTTGACATGTATTTATAGTCGATCTATTCTCAACGTTGAGCTATTTCTTGTCATGTTACTTGTATCCAATTATATATCATTTACCTTAACAAATATTTTCTTAACCATCAACTCCATCTATAAAATCATTCTCCCCACCATAATTGGCTTCTCTAAGTCCCATCATTGAAAAAAATATAATAGCTAGCAATAAAATGTTACGACTGTTCTTTTCCACCTCTCGTCAAATCAAAACAACTTATTTAGGAAACAAAGAGTTGTGATGAATTTTACTTTCTATCAATCAGAGTGGATGGATGATTTGACTTAACTTAAGGTCACTGTTCCCATTATATTCTCACTCTCTCTCAAAATCCCACATCAAAAATCTTGGTACTTATTACCTTTTCTTCTTCTTTATTCTACTTCTATTTATAAAATCTCCACATCAAAATTGAAGTATTATATGATTTTGATGGTTGACAAAAACAAATTAATTTGATGGCCACTAATGATCTAACAACGGCCAACGGGTGTAGTATTTATGTAAATTTACACATTAGTTAACGCACAATTGCATTCTTTAATTTATCCAGGAAGTTATCTTAGACCGATGGTATAGCTCACATCACTTTAATTAGATATATATCTTATATATAATAGGAGAGTTGCTCTCTCCTCCTAGGCTATCCACATCAGCAAAAAAATCATTAATTGTATTTAAGATATTTAATATATGTGTATTAATATTTTTTATATATATTCCTATTTTACACATAAACAAAACTAAGAAAAATACACAAACAATTTAATTGATTAATATAAAGTATGTGATATCTTGATGTTAAAAGTTAAAAGAAAGTTGTAATATAAAATGGAGATGAAATAAAGAAATATTTAACTTGAAATAGTATATAGTTAGGTTTTAACTCAAAGGATTTATCTATTTAAAAATGTTATAATGTGCTTACAAGTAAAAAAGGTACATTATAAATTATTTAACATAGTAAAAAGCTAATAAAAAATTAGAGTTAGAGTTTGTTTTATTAAAAAATAGAAGTCGAGTTATTATTTAAATTTCATTGCAACGAAAAGCATGAAAATTTTAAGAATGGTGACATGTTTGTTTCAAAAATACAATTTATATTTACAAAACTAACATAATAGAAAATAATCAATTGTCATATGCTACCACAACAAAGCATATATGTAAGAAGTTATACATGTTTTTGTTTTTCATCATATTTTGAGTGCAATTGCGATTCTACATATGTTTACAAATTTTAACGTTGAGTCAAATGCATATTAAATTTTAGAAATAGAAAACTCGAGATGAAGTAAGGTGTTAATATCTTAATAAAAAAAATTGATCATATTGTTAGTGTTAATTGTTGGGTTAACTCAAAATATAACCAAAACATGGAAGTTAACATATAACCATCATAATTCAAAATTTCAAATCAATGAATATAAATAAAATCAAACAGAAAAATTATCGCAAACAACCCCGCGCTTGCGCGGGGCTTTAATCCCTAGTATATATAAAAAGAACCTAAGTCCCAACTATATAACTCGTGTAAATTTGGATTGTAATTTATAACAAAAAAAATATCTGGTAAGAGGAAAAGACAAAGATGGAATTAAAGTTGACATACATGTTGGTTGGATCGATCGCGCAAATAACGCGGGACAACATATTGATAAAGGCTGCTCTGAGCCTCTGACACTCTCATGGATCATTTCATACAATTTAGCTGTAAATAAAATAATATTATATCGTATATATTAATATTTGTGTATGATTAAGCCCCAAAAAAACAACATGTGTATCATTGACAGTGTATGAGAACAGTGCTGCTTCGATTTTGTTTTCTTTACATTTAGGACATAATAATTATGCATTTCTATACAGTTAGGACAAAAATTTTACAGGTTTCGAATCGTTTAAAGTTTTACGTTCTTAATCATTGTTTTCAAAAATAATTCCACTTGAGAACCGACAATTCTCATTCAATCTTATTGAATGGTAGATTGGACACTGAATCATCTTGACCAGAATCAATAACTTAAGCAATGTTTTTCTCACATATTCGACTTTCGTCCTTTCACATAGACTTGGCTCGGATGTAGAAAGTCTTCCAAAAGAATAATCTATGTTTGTTCTTCATTGACCTTTTTAACCATGTTGTTGTGACATGGAGACGGCATTTGAAACACGGTCAAAGAAACAAAACCCGAATCGGATATCTCCAAGACTCTACAATATATGCTCGCTTTCCTAGTGCACGAATCACCTGTGCCTTTACACAATTCCAATACTGTCGATGTTTTCTTAGGACAAACAAATTTTATCGTACAAATGATACAAAACCCGATCCGAGCAGTGTGATCTATACAATACGGTGACAAATTTTGTTTCTACGACATGATATTAACTGTTGATATCTACTTAAAAATAGATGTATGCAAGCAAAGGTGTTCTCACAAAGTATATTAAGAAACATCAGAAAAACGACTAATCAAGACAACACTGTATGTACATACACATTGTTTAGCCAATGAGAGAAAAAAAACATTATATGTACATTAATCTCTTTTGCCTTTTCGGAATCTAATATCATTTCTTTAACCAAAAAAAAAGAATATAATATTATAACGGGATTCTAAATTCATTTCCCCGTTACGAAAGCCGTGAAACTAGGGCTTTTCTCCCTGCCTTCCAAGATCGCCCACATGCATGGTATGATTATATAGATCCAAAATAATTATTACCTCCAATCATAGGTGCATAGCAAAATACTAAACAAAATTCCTAGCATAATGGGTTGTCTTACAGTAGTCAGTAGAAATATATGTTCATTTAAAATATACAACTAATTTTGAAAAAGATTACGTAGTCATGTCAGTATTATAGGATTTTCGTGAAAACATGCAATTAAAGATCTTATATTTTACTTTTAGTTTAACATATAAAATAAATCCAGACGATGTGAAACTTTTTCTATTGGACTATTTAGTAGTTTCCTCTCACGTATTTCTTTTTCTTAAAGACTTAGGAAAGAGTACTGAAATAGTTTGAAGTATAAATAAACTTAAAAATCAGTTTTGTACAGTTATGATCTCAATTAGCAACAGAAATAGAGTGCTTTATTGGTTGTTGAAGTAATGTAATCAGTCAAGTCTACCTGAAAAGGAAATTTGTAGAGGTCATACACAAGAAATGAATTTAAATATATCATTGGCGATTTAAAATTTTGTAGACAAGATAATTTAAGATGTGCGTAGCTTCATAGCTTTGTATTGTTATTGGATGCGTCTGGTGATTGAACTGTTGATGAACGAACTTATTCACTTTGTGTCCCATCCACCTAATATTCCTTCGCCCCACTTTTCCTGCTCCCATACCAGCAGCAAAATTACTTTATTACATAACATGTAAACTCATTATTAATTAATTAATATTATGTATGTGTGATGTTTAGGTTATCTAAGACAAACCTTTTATGCCTTTTTTCTTCACGAATTTACTCAATAGAAATCACATTACCAAATGAAACACAAGAAGAAAAATTGAAGTCTTATTGTATGGTTATTTTTCGTCGAAATGAAAGCCTAGAAAATTAGAACAAAACGGCCGGCGGAGGCAAATATCTAATTTAGAACTGAACCTAATGAAAATGTGTATGATTTGTTAAGTAAAAAAAAAAAAAAAAAACGACTCCATTTAAATAGAGTGACACAATACTTTAAAATCTCTTTAATTTGTCTTTTCACATTAATCTAATTGTCTTCACAAAATAAAATCTCACAGAAAAAAATAACGGCAAACTTCTTTTAACTACAGATCCGCCGGAAAAAAAAAGACAAATGTATATCAAATGACGACAATACCTCATCGCTATATTATCGTCATTTTCACAAGCTCAACGTAAATTTAATAATGTTTATTTATTCTGTAATTAACACTCTATCTATAACGACCTGGAGTCTCGTTCGTCGTTATTATTATTTTCCCCCGACCAACCGAAGAAATCGCTGATCCCGTCAGACGCCGCCGCCGTTTTATTTTTCTGGTCGCCTAAGCAGCCTTGAGAAAGCAACATGCTTAGAGAATCTCCTTCTAGCTCTTCAAGATCAGCGAAAAAATCATCTGGCTGGTGCTGATGATGATGTAGCTCCGGTCTATACGGAGCAATCTGATTATCTTCATCTTCTTCAACATTTTCTAAATCCATATCGTCTTCTCGTTTTTCATCCTTAACGGCAGAGGCTGATAGAGGAGAAGGAGTGGCGGTGGAAGGCAAGTGAGTGTTGTTTTGGGAGCCACTGGATGAAATAGCGGTTGCGTTTGCGGTTGAGGATTTTGAGGGATTAGGGTTTGAGGAGGAGGAGCGTGTGGAACCGGCGAGAGCGTTACGTTGAATGGGCCAAGGATGATTATGCTCGGAAGTATATGTAATCACCAACATGTTTGGATCGGTACGGCTCCTCTCGACTTGCTTTCTTGCTGAACAACCTTTTGAGCTGCTGCATCTATAGTAACCCCTGAGAGGAACCAATCATCAAGACACATAATGGTTATGATCGGTAATTAAAATATCATAAATATTCAACGACATTAACCATTCTATTTACTATATAAAGAATGATAAATGAAGAATGTAGTGACTCAATTAATTTAATTACTAAAACGATTTTCTTGCGACATTTTTTAGTTTTTGTTATTTTGTTTCACAAAGTTAACAGAATAACATATAATAAGTAAAATATACTTATGTAATAATTAAGGCACCTTTTGTACATATCATTTATTTCAATTCATGTGTACATGGACCAAATTATGTCACAACTATCACGAGGAATGTTGTCACTATATAGGAATATTTGTAACAACTTGAGCCATGACAAATGTGGTGGTGGTGAGTTTCGAATCTTTTGTTCAATGATTGATACTTATGAATATATCGTTTGAACGATATGAGTTAGTGTAATACCTTGGAAAAGGAGAGCCTTTGATGGGTTTTTGACCGTACTTACGCCAAGCCCATAGATCAGAGGGAACCACTTCTCCGCTTGACCGGCTGTTCATCGCAGCCGGCGCCGGTATGCACACAACTTTCTTTGCCTGACTCTTCCTGCACATATACATGCATGCTTACACACGTATGGTTTTTGATTAATCTATATACACGTACGTACGTGTGTATATATGTAAGTTGTGAAAGCTAAGTTTGGTAGTGGGACATTATTATCATCAGTTGGGTTTTAGATATGATGCAACGCAGTTTTATGTTCTTTAATTGTGACAGTTCATAGATTCTCCTGCATGTGTCTTCAGCCTCAACCCTCCTTCCTCTCACGAATCTAAACAATTATATAAATATATATCGTGTTTATATAAACACAAAATTCAGGATTACATTGTATTGATCATGATAAAAGACAAAGAAAAAAATAAACTATAGTGCATGAGAAGTGTGTATATATACACACACACACACACAAAGACACACACACACAAAGAAACCATAATTCATTCTATTATTAGCATATGTATGTATCCGATTTTCCGAATGTTAATTGCGATGGATAACTTCCTATAAACCTAGCTAAACCAAGAGGGCTAGAAGTCTAGAACCCTAATTCACTTTACTCTATATATATAGTAGTGTGAAAATAATGTAAATTGAATAAAAATCATTTTGATACACATATTAACTTTTAAAAAAATTATGGGAAATATTCAATATATCTTGTATAAAGCGAACATTTAATGAAATCATATGATATAAAATCAGACCATTAAATAAAGGGGATTGATACCTTCTTTTAAGGCCGATATTCCGAGGGGGAGATATCTGAATCTGAGACGAGAACGTGTTACCATCAACCAATAGACAGTTTCTAGGACTGCTTGTGTCGACGTTGATGATCCCTCTCGGCGAGGCGGCGGCTGCTGCGGCTACAACGTGAGCCGACATGGCCGGAGAATTACACGGAGAAGAATCGTGGAGGATGTTACTATGCGAGATCCGGATTCTTGGGAAGATACTGCATTGACTCTTCACATGATCCTCCTCTGATACCTTAGGAACGAAGAAACCATTGTTGTTGTTGTTGATGATGTTATCGCCGGCGGCAGAGAAGTAGCCGGAGTTCGTGACGGCGTTGAGTTCTTGGAGGAGAGGATCGGTCATGCTTACGAAGGGATCTCCGAAGGGATTGATCTGAAGATCTGACGACGATGGTGGTGGATGCGGCGGTGGAAGAGGCCAGTTGCTCGGAGGAGGAGTTTCCGGCGAAAACACGTGGCCCCCGATTCCTCGTACGACGTCGGTTAAGTCTCCTTGAAAGTTTTCCATCTCAAAGACGCTGCACATAATCTATATATGATGATGAGTGTGTCTAGGTGTATAATATATACAACTATACAAAAGAATCTGATCGAAATATCAAGAAAACATAATCATAACGAATCAAGGAGGAGATTATGATTCTAGCTTCGTGTTTGTGAGTATGTTCTTGCGAAAATTTATGATTTCTTGAGAAAGGATTGAGAAGAGGAAGAAGAAGAAGAAAAAGATAGGTTGATGATGAAGAGAGAGACGCTGACTTTTCGTGATGAGAAGAACATCTTCTTCTCCTTCTACATGTTGATGAGAGAGATTTCATAGGAAATATAATATTAACGGATATTAATATTTAATTATGGACGGAAATATAAGTTAAAGTAAGTGAGATAGTCTATTTATTAATTATATAGATAAGTGGATCGATGGCCAAGTCTTTGTACTTTTTAGTTTAGATTATCTTTCTGAGTTTACTTGAGTATGTGAAGTTCTAATATAATATTGGTTCTTGATTACTCGGCGCAAATAATTCGTTAGAATAGATGTAAGATATTGAACATAAATTAATACTCTTTTGCGCTCGCAAGAAGAATAAAAGAGATTCATGTTATTAAATTCTTTGTGAGAGGACAAAAGCACATCATTTTTTGAATACCCTGACAAATTTTATTACTCTTTTAATTTACTAACGGAGTACGAATAAAGAGACCTCTTTTTCTTTCCTATTTTAAATTATGATTTATTGTCAATCATGGCAAGATCAGTCCAAAATGAACTTGGTTATCAATTTGATATTCATGTAAGAAGAGCATCATCACATGATCCAACAAAAAAGATCATCGATGCATCCTTTATAAAAACAAATAATAGTTTATGCCTTATGGAGTATACAAAGATCTTAAACAAATAATAGTTTATGCTATATCTTACAATTTCCCTTAATCTTGCCAAGAACAAGTAATTATTTAGATATGTTTGTTATGGTACACTTGCGAAAAGAGATGTGATGAGTGATAACGGCAAAGTTAAGAGATGCGGCCGCAATTCTCGGAATACGTTTTTTTGTAAGCCAACCAAAATCCGCCACGAAAACGTTATGACCACTAGCATTTTTATTTGTTGAAATAGGTACCCAAAAATGTTTGTACTCATGTCATAAGACATAGAGAATGGATTTCGATCTCTTTTTTTAAAAACCGATCTTGTATACTAACCCGTATTTCACCTTTCATGGAAATGAAACGTAGAGAGAACAAAACAGAAAGATATTACGCCGACCCAAGATATTAATTCATTCATTAACAATACGTGGGACTATAATCAATCATATATATATATATAAATAATTTATAGACAACTTCACACAAGAACAACTAAATGGCTAGAACGTATATATTAAACTTATTAAACTTAGAAGAATCATACCTATACAAATATATATCTTTGGGATAACATAAGAAAGTATCGTTATAAAGAAGTGAATATTTGGTCGACTTCATGTTGAACACTAATACCCACGTTCGTGCATTACAACTACACCAACAGTCTTAAACTACATTAATCCGCATACAAATCATATATAGGTGTACACAGTACACATATAGGTCATATTTATAGAACACATCATAAAAATTGGCTGGGAAAAAATCGCATGTGGAGTAGTCTATTGGAAGGCAGAGCTCATGCGAATACGATATAAACACTTAGTAGTTAGTACTGTAGTAGATTTGAAACATGAATGTCGTGTTTTAAGAACGCAAAATTTGGCCGGAATCAAGAACAAGTTGAAAATTTGAGGAAGCACAACAGATTCAAGCGTAGTAGCCCAAAGAAAACAAAGTATAATTAAATTGGTAAATGACAAATCTAACAATTATATCATATGTATATGCATGAAGTAAGAACTAAGCTTTTTTCCAGTTGTGTCCCAATAAGATGGTACACAATTACACTTAATGTAAAGCCAATACACAATAGTTTATATTGTTAATTTATTCAGTTACCTAGAGAATATTGTACACTCGTATATCTTCGTAAACTGATTAAGATTAGGCTTTTATTAAGTTATGGGGCTTTGTAGCATGCAGTCCTCTTTGTACACGTGTGCATAAATATCGACTTTACGTGCAATCTATCCCATGGCCTTTAAGTACTCTCCAAGTTCATTACTAAAAAACCCTAGTCACACTTGCTTCATCAATCTTTTTTCATTTCTGTCGGACTTCTATAAAGATACTAATAAATTCAGAGAAGCAAGATTTCTTAAAATGTAGGTCTACACATGATTATAAATGTTTTCAAAGATTAGTTGATTTGGTTATACGCTTCGATCGTATATATATATTCTCATGAATCTCATCTATAAATACCACTTCACGAGGCCTTGCTAAATTGAATATTACCATTTTCTTGCGCTAACTATAGCGATCATAACGCAAGTTAAGTCACGATAACTCTTATGACCCATCAAACCTTTAATATTACACTTGCCGATACAATATATAACAATTTGACGTAAACTTGAATTTGAATATAGATGACATACATCAATTTATGGTCTAACGTACTATGCTTCTGCAGCTGAAGTAATTTAAATGGCTAACTTAAAAGTCGTAAATTGTTTTAAAAAAAAAAATCTTAGAAGTCGTAGCTTGTCTAGTAAGAAATACATGCAGAAGTCAAAAGAAGAAAATATACTGTATAAAACAAAATAGAAAGGCAAAGAGCCAAAGAGTATTTCGGATCCATAATGATTGGTTGAAAAACAACAGATCTTTGGGAATCTGGGATGTTACAAAGAAGATAAAAAGAAAAAGACTAAACGGTGAAGAGAGAAAACACAGTAATTGCAGAGTGGAAATTAAGAACATGAGTTCTTGATCAGTCTTTTTGTTGTTTGTCAGATAGCTTGGTTCTTCTTCTTCTTCATTGTGTCAGTCGTTCCATTACATAACTATTATTTTCACCTTCTCTTTTGTTTTTTTTTCGTTGTTTAGTAAAATCATGAATAAATTGTTTTTTCGGATTGACAATTCGAGAAAAGGAGCAGGGGACTGTTTAATCGAAAAGAAACGATTTGACAAGTATTAGATGTTTTCTCAAAATTCGAGAAAAGATTTTGATAGTGTAAACGAGTATACTACAAATCGTTTTTGTAATCTTTCAAACATATTGATGCCATCCAATCCAAGACAAGTCCAAAACCACTTTTATGTACAAGATGTTTTTTGTTTCTCTCTCTTTATATAAATAGTTACATATATATATATATATCAGAAAAAAACTTACAAGGTTAGATAATTGGGGACCATAGAAACATTGCAATTTGTTTGTATTCTTCCTTAAGCCTATAACGTTTCCTATATGCATTTTCGTTTAATTCTCTTTTGGGTTACATCTAATATAAATCAAAAGATGTACATCTTTTTTTTTCTTTCTGCAATCCAAGGAAAATTTCTCTACCCTTTTTTACTTTTGCTCTGTTTGTTCTGATATTCACTTTCAGATATTTTATAACAAGTATTTTCTCATAAAGACAAAATATATATAGATGAAAATTCAAATGTGTTGGTGACAATATATTTTTCAAAATAAAATATGAAACAAAATGTTGTAACTGAATGGAATTGCATTCCAGACGAATGCATTTTTAGTTCTCTTAAAACATTAATAAAGGTAAAAACTAAAAACCTTCTTGTTTTGTCTTTGCCTCCATAGGTTTTCGAAATTCGCAAGTATATTAGACGATGTGCACAGGCAGCACAGCATAAGTTTCTGAAACACTTATTAGTGGTCGACAGATAAATTTAGGGTTTCGTCGGGTCTGATAACTGAAACCCATCGTCTCGTTTTAATGGTTTTCTTACAGTGGGATAAATTTTTCAGGCATGCATTTGTTTTTACTTGGTTAAACATGACAACCATAGTTTTGTTTAGGTGATAATTTGTTTAAATGGTGAAATGAATCCAAGTGTTGGTTTGTACAAAACATTGGTGAATTTATGCTGATTTTCATTTGTCCTTGATAATAAAACAATCTAAGAAATGTTTTAGCAGTGTGTAAAAAGTAAAAACCAATCAAGTGAACTGTACCTATGTTCTCAAAAGATATCTGTAAGACCCAACTAGCTCATTGAGCAAAACGTAATGTCGTCAGAAAAGTGAGGGAATACAAGCGATCTTAGCGAGTCGAGAGAAAGTGTAAAGTAACGAAGCAAACCAATCGTAGCACTAGCTAGAAGATGGATGAAACCAGTAAGGGGCCAAAATCTGATCCAGTGAACCTTTGGGAGCTTGAAAATTAAAAGCGGTTTTGGTGGTGAGGTCGTAGATACCTGAGCCAAAGCCTATAAAATAGATGGAGTTTGGTACGAGTCCAGGGAAAGAGCTTGCCGGGACGCAAAATGTCTCGCCCTTCCAAATGAAGATGCACATATCTCCAATGTCATCAGTGTAACACATGCATCTTCCCTCTGTTGTCTCCTCTTCTCTAAACACCACGAACAGCTGCGTTACATTGAGACTTTTTTCGAAGCCAAAACTGCTGTAGGCGTATCTGCATGCAAGAACCAACGATATATATATATATATATATATATATATATATATATATTTATATGCCACTAGCTAGCTAGAGAGTACGTATAGAGAGTAGAGAGACTAGAGTGTATATATATACCATTTGACGAGGAAACGTTCACCTCCGGAAGGTGCCTCCACGAGGTGTTCCATCTTGGAAGAAGAAGAAAACAGCTCCGGCAGATCCCACTCAGACTCGGGTGGCTCTGGAAAGTTTCGAAAAAGCAATTTATGGAACTCAGGCTTGTAGTCGTTCTTGTCGAAGTTAAGATCAAACTATCAAAGGACAGCAAGTGGTGGCCTCCAGGACCAGGCAAGTAGAATCTCCCATTTCTCTTGGAATACATGAGATTTGAGGTTGGAAAGTAGTCAAAAGGGGTTGTGATCTTAGTCCAACGCGTAGCCAAAGGGGTTGTGATCTTAATCGAAAAGAAACGATTTGACAAATATTGGATGTTTTCTCAAAATTCGACAACATATGTTGATAATGTAAATGAGTATACTGTATACTACAAATGTTTTTTGAATCTTTCAAACATATTGTTGCCAATCCAAGACAAGTCCAAAGCCACTCTTATCTACAAGATGTTATTTTTCTCTCTTTATGCATGTAAATATTTATGTATAAAAAAGAAAGAGCTTATACAAGGTTAGATAATTGGGACCATAGAAACATTGTATGTTTGTATTCTTCCTTAAACCTATAACGTTTCCTATATGCATTTTCGTATAATTCTCTTTTGCGTTACATATTAATGAAAAGTTTTTTTTCTGCAATCGAAGGAAACTTACTACCTTCTTTTACTTTTACTCTGTTTGTTCTGATATTCACTGTCAGATTCTTCCTTTTAGTCATCTTCGGGAAATATTGTGCGATTGATTCGGATGTGAAAATGGTGATGCGGAGGAGCCTCTAGATCCCTCAGAGTAATTAGGTGAATCAAGCAAATCCTGCAACGCTTGATTCTCAGGAGGAGGGTACGGTGTTTCTGCGAGACATTAAAGAAAAAAAGAAAACAAATTGAATCTTCAAGAGAAAACTATAAGCTAAAACCAAAGTAGATTTTTTTAGTTTTGAGAGGAAAAGAAGTTTAGGTTTATACCGAACAGTGTCTTGAGAGATGGTTTTTTTGCTGTCTTACTCTTCCGTTTCAGTTCCGCTGCGTAAAAAGAGAACAATGCAGAACGATTATGAGCTTTTTTTTTTTAACCGCAAAATAACCAACTTTGGCAAGTTCAATGTTATACTGACCCATGCCAGGGATATGGTGTTCATCAACGATCTCAAGGTTCTTGAATGTATAACCAAAGAAGTTTACATCTTTGGATGAGATCATCTGCAAATAAGCAAAGAACTAGTAAGAATGATGAACACGATTAAATATACATGCTAAAGAATAAAAATGTAAAGGAAATTTATATACTTTTCTCCAAGGGCCAGACTTTGAAGAGGTTTGGCAAGTAGACGGCACCTGCTCATTTAAAATTTTAATCACTATAAGGAAAGCAAAATGAAAATTGAGGATTGTTAGAAGAAAGAAGTAGATGAATATTTGAACAAACCTCATCAAACTTTTCGAAGTTTTGGGTATCAAGTTCATGCTTCACTTGTGGTATATATGGAGCATTTGACTCATATAGTCTTTCCCACTCAATTCCTCTAAACCAAGGGTGCGCCTGTAATGGAAGTCGGATCAGATATCTACCGTGAGAAACAAATTATTAAGCTTTTGGTCTTGAAAGCAAAGAGAATGATGTTTTAAGTACTTTGATTTCATGAACTCCTTTGGTTCCAAGCCTCTGTTCGACATTGCAGAGCAGTCTTTTGATGAGGTCTTTTACCTCGACGGAGAGCTTAGCTTCATCGGGGAATTTCAAGCAGGTTTTCCAGTTTACAATCTGCAGAGATGAACTGAGCAATTGTTTGATAAAAATATTATACTAGTCAAACACAATAGGGTCAAGTCTCGGATCATACCATACGCACACAATACGTTACCAAAGAACGTCCAATACATACATATACACTAGTCCAGAAAGATGTTTAAGCCAATGTATGCATACCTTTCTACATGTTGCCAGAGGCTCTTCGGAATAGAATGGCGGAAACCCCACGAGCATCTCGAACATGATTGCTCCAAGGGACCACCTGTTTCAAAACAGTTTTTAGACTATCAGCTTAATAAATTATTTGTACAGTGTAGAAAACATAAGGGTCTAGTTCACTGACCAATCGCACTCCATTCCATACCCTTTCTTCAGCAGCACCTCAGGGGCAATGTAATCGGGTGTGCCTACTGTAGAAAAAGCCTGAACAGTACACGATAGATGCAAAGACTATAAGGAAAGGTCTTAAGTAACTGAAAAATAGAACACTTCAAGGAGATTAAAGAACCAGTAGATATTTTTCAAGGGGTTATACAATTTCTTTCATTCGAGTAAACTGAAAAATATGCCCCTTTCTGACTTTCAATTCATTCTAAGTTGGAAAAGAATAATGCTTTGTGGAATATTCCAGAAGAACTTCAAGTGGAACAGAACAGAATCCACCAGAAGATATAGATAAGAAAGTCGAGTCCATACCAGGGTCCTTCTGTTTTGTTGCCAATGTAAAAGCTGTTCCTGCTGAGTTCTCTTAGGTGCAGAAGGAGGTTTGAAGAGTCTATCATGTTCTGCTGCAGGCTTTGTATTCGTATCAACAAGCTCCGCCTTAAAATCCGGAAATTTTTTGCTTTCCAGAGACTTGCTCAATCCAAAATCCGAAAGCTTGATATGGCCGTTACGAGTAATCAATAAATTATCAGGCTTTATATCCCTGGAAAATCAAAGAAATTGATCCTAGCAAATGTCAAGTTTTGATGCAAAAACGGACAAACTAACAGTGTGAGAAACTTCAAGTGCCAGTTGTTAAAACCTGTGGACGTAATTATGCCTATGGATGGACTCAATAGCCAGGATTGTCTGTGCAACATAAAACCGAGTCTCATCTTCCCTTAAGATATCCTTTCGCATCAGCAGTGTCATCATATCACCTCCAGGGAGGTACTCCATAATAAGATACAAATGTTCATCATCTTGGAAGGAGTAGCAAAGCTTGACGATGAAAGGACTATCGACTTCTGCAAGCACATTTCTTTCAGCTTTAACATGTTCCACCTGGATTTACCGCATTTAGAGTTACTAATTTAACCACAGCTGAAACTCTCGGATTTGTAGAGATGATATCAGATATTGCATTACCTGGCCTCTTCGAAGCATTTCGGATTTCTTTAGCTTTTTCATTGCATACACGCTGCCAGTAGATTTCTCTCTACAAATTCTAACCTGTAGATAAATGACATATCATCAACACACCACATAAGATCACAAACGGAAGCTTTGGTTCACAAGGCAGAGTAAAAAGCTATAAGAGAGACCAAAAAGAAGCAGCAGTACCAAAATTCCATAAATGCATGACTCATGTAGAGATGAGAGAAGATATTAGCTAAGCTTAACAAAAAGAAAGTGATAAACAAGAGAGAGAAATACCTCTCCGAAAGCACCACGGCCAATGATGCTCAGCAGTTCAAAGTCATCAACACCCACTTTCCGTCTTTGCAGACGCATATACTCTATTTCCTTTTTCTCAAAATTCTTCAATATATTCATCTTATCTTCAACAGGGACATCAGCATCAGCCAGGTTTTGTTCCAAGATGCTCCGACTGTATTCACGAGCAAGCTGATATCAGAAGGTTCAGTCTAAACCAGTAACTAGTTATTTCCTGAATCAGACTAGTCAGAGATATTTCTAGAAAACTAATCTCAACATCAAATCCACAACTTTGGATTACATAACTACTCTCAAGTTCCATTTGTAACAAGCAAAGCACATGAAGTAATTCAGAGAACGTACCGCTCTTTTCTTTCCTGCAGACTCTTCTTCTGAGTTTTATAATGATTCTCGATATATTGCTTTGCTGCAGCAACTTTCTGTTTTGTAGCATTTGACGGTGCATCATTCATAGGAGGTCTGCCAATATTCCTCATATTTCCCTCTTGTCCCCTTTTGGTAGGGCTGGATTTATCAGGTTTCTGCTGCCGTATCTGGAACCAGCTCCTTGTAGAAGACTCCGTTGCCATTTCAAGCCAATCCAAACTCGATGTAGCTCACAGTATCCGTTTCATGAAAAACCTTCACAAAAGCGAAACCCAAAATGCTTCAAAAGTAAATCAAATTCATCAATTGATGACAAATTCTTGTCTAACAACGAAGGTCAACACCGAAAATTTCACTTAAAGATCAACTATTTCACACGAATTGAGTCTAATCACTCCACATAGATAGATATACACACATCAAATTCTGGATTGTGGATTACGCATGCATAGAAACTCGAAAGGCTCGAGTCAAAATGAAAAGCAATCAAACTAAGATACGAATAGTTACAAACTCCAATTTCAAAATTAGATACGAACAGCTAAAACTCCAGGCGAGAATGGCGAAGAAGAAGAAGAAGAAAAGTCAAACTATTCCGAAGGAAAAAGTGAAACTCGATCCGAGGATCAATATTGCGCCGGAGGATCAAAGAAACTTACATCAACAATAAACAGAGATTTGGTTTAGCTCTCTCGAATTCGAACTCTTGCGTAACGCATTCACTTCAAATCCTGCAAACGGAATTTTTTTTGTTTGTTTCTATTTAATACAAAAAGATCTCCAAAGGGAGAGAGGAGCTAAACGGATTACGGACTAATAACGTTTTTTGGGTAAAGGGTGTTTTTGTCAATTAGTGTGATTTAACTGAAGCAGTAAACGCCGTCAAAGTTACTGTCACGATGACTTGATTGATATCTGATAAAACCGGTTTATTACTATTCCCGAATGGTAACCGGATCATTAATGGTGGATCGAAGTGACACGTGTCCTTAATTTGTTGGGCTTGTTTGTCGACACAACGTGACAGCACGATCACACGGAGTGGTTTTCAACGGGATGCTAACGTCAGGGTTGGAACAACTCCCGCGCGATTTGGATAAAACGCGTTTTATTGGTAAGACATGATCGTCATTGCTCCGTATGTAGGACACGTGTAAAGGAAACACAGTTCTAAATTATTGGGCCACTTAAAAGCCCATAGATTGGAATTTCTAAGAGGCCATTGGGCTTAACATAGATTGCGTTAGGTGTTAATTGAACATTCGAAATGTATGGGGGTCTTTATGCGCAAATGTTTAGTTTAAGAGGTTAAAGTTTGATTATTCACACTTATCAGTTTTCTCTATTTTGGATTTTGACGCGGATCTGTGAGATCTAGAGGAAGAAGAAGGTAGAGGAAGGAAGGAGAAGAAGCAGAGAATGGCATCCATGGGAGCAGGACCAGATCATCTCTTTAACCTGAGAAACAATTTCTACCTGGGTGCTTATCAATCGGCGATCAACAACAGTGAGATCCCTAATCTCTCGGAGGAGGATATCGTCGAGCGCGATTGCCTCGTCTACCGCTCTTACATCGCTCTCGGTAGCTACCAGGTTCGCCTTCTGTTTTCGATAAACGCTCTTCTTCTTTCGATTTTTCGATTTGTTTCGATCATGAGTGTGATTTACGTTTTTTTTTTCAAATTTTGTCTTCTCAGCTTGTCATCGGTGAGATCAATGAAGCGGCCGCTACTCCTCTGCAGGCAGTCAAACTCCTTGCTATGTATCTATCGAGCCCTGAAAATAAGGTAATTCAGGAGATTTTGAGTTATTCATTTGCTTCGATTCATGTCCTGTAACGTGCACTTAGCGAGATTTCCGATAGATTTGCCAAAATTCTAGGATTTTTTTCTTTTTTTCTTGTGTAGCTTTAGAGATCCGGGATTGTATTTAGCTTCATCTTATGTTTGTGATGTGCATTGTTGAATACGTAGTTGTTTCTGTGATTTTGGTCAGGAATTAACCATTGCTAGCTTGAAGGAATGGTTGGCAGATCCAACCGCAGGGAACAATCCTACTATTAGGTTGATTGCTGGTACTATTTTCCTGCACGAAGAAGACTATAACGAGGCTCTGAAGCACACTCATGCTGGAGGAACCATGGATCTGTGAGCTTTTTCGATTTGCTTTGTTATTTTCAGAGTGATTGTTCTCTGTCTAAGCTCTTTCCACTATCTAACTCACTGATTATTGTTTCTGCAATTTTATCAGGCATGCTTTGAATGTCCAGATATTCATAAAGATGCATAGATCAGACTATGCAGAGAAGCAGCTGAGAGTGATGCAACAGGTTGATGAAGACCACACACTCACTCAACTCGCGAGCGCATGGTTGAACCTGGCAGTAGTACGATATCATAATAAATATCCATTTTTTTTCTTTTCCAATATGGTGTAGAAGAGTGTTTCCTCATATTATTAAACTGTTGTATGATCTCAGGGTGGTTCCAAGATACAGGAAGCGTATCTTATCTTCCAGGACTTCTCCGAGAAGTACCCAATGACAAGCTTGATCTTGAACGGCAAGGCTGTTTGCTGCATGCATATGGGTAACTTTGAAGAAGCTGAGACTCTGCTGCTTGAAGCACTTAACAAGGTAAGTGATGAACTTAAATCTGTATTGATATAAACCATTCTTGGTATATTGTCATCAGATTGCTGCACTCGATATCTTGACTAAACCCAACACCAAATCAAAAGTGGCAACAATATGTTTGTTTATTGTATAATGGAGAAGTTTGAAAACATTGATGTTTATGCTCGTTGCAGGATGCTAAAGACCCAGAGACTCTTGCAAACCTAGTTGTATGCAGTCTTCATGTTGGAAAATCATCTTCGCGCTACCTAAGGTAAAAAATGATCCAGTCAAAACTGCAATCTGTGCACAACAGTGCATCATTAAGCTGACTTATTCCTCCATTCCATTTTGCAGCCAGCTGAAACTTTCACATCCAGAACACGTACTTGTGAAGCGAGCAGCATCAGCCGAAGATAACTTCGAGAGAGCGGTCCAAACTTTCGCCTGAAGGACCTCAACATCCATGGTTCGAAGCTAGAAAGCGTAATGAGTCTTTGTCACCTGGAATCTGAGTCGCTTTATAACTACCAGAAGAACTTATAAGTATATGAACAGTTTTTTCCATTGGATATGTTGCATTTTTTTTTCTTACTTTGATTTCTCACTGAAGCTTTTGTTGTTCACTGAGTTTCGAATCCAACAAAACAAAATATCTTGTTCCTTCAAATTCAGAATCTTCACAACTCTGATGAGACAAAATGCAAAAGGCCAAACTTGTGAAAATGAACATATGAAAAAGACTATACAGACCCAAAAAAGCCAGGAAAGCTATATTATTATGACTAAAAAATAAAAGATTGTGAGAGAGGTACATATATATAACGAATGGCTGCTTCCTAGAAGAACCTAAAGCCATTACAAAATGAATATCAATCAAAAATCTCATCATGTGATCTCCATTTATAATATATATCTTATGTTATATTTTATATATATAAACCATCATCATCTCCTACACATCTCCTCAAACACCATGTGGACTCAAAATCTCTATCCATCACCAAAGGGGAATGAACAAAGTCAGTAAACCGCGATCGATGATGAGGTTAAGCCATAGCCATTACGGTGCAGCTTCTGCCATCTCCAAGCAGTCTCAAGACTCTCCTTGAGATTAGTGTGTTTAGCTGTCCAATTAAGCTCTTCCCTGATCTTGCTAGGGTCACTATAAACCTCAGCGTAATCACCTGCACGTCTTGGCAAGTAATCGATCTTGATCTCAACACCGGTCGCTTTCTTGCACGCCTCAACAAACTCTTTCACCGAGCTACCTACTCAGACACACATTTGAAAAACAGTCTATAAGCAAGAGTCTTTTTCTTTAGCATTGATGTTAAGTCAAAGTCAATACCTTTCCCGGTACCAACATTGTAGATTCCGACTTTGCGGGGTTTAGCCTTTTGGAGAGCTTTAACATGAGCATCAACCAAGTCAGTGACATCAATGTAATCACGTACGCAAGTTCCATCAGAAGTTTTGTAGTCTGTTCCTTTGATCTGCGGATAAACCAAAGAAGATAAGTTAAATGAAGATCTATGATTAGAGAAGGTTGTAGCCACGTGAGTTTAACAAGTAGACTCATATAAACTTTGCTTTAATAAAGGAAACTGAAGAATATAAGTTGGTTCAATTATGTATTTTGCTCAGCTGTAAACTATTATCAGCCTCTTCTTTTTAACAGACATTCTTGAACATGTTCTACAGCATGTGCCAGCTCCTAAAGGATATTAAGAATCTGAATAAGACGAAGCTAGTAATGACTGTCCAAAGAACAAAAGTCAAGACCCTGACAGAAACTAGAGCACATTCTTCCAAAAGTTTCATGAAATGAAGAAAGTGATTTTACCTGTAGGCCAGGCATGATGCCACGTGCAGCATCAAAGCAAGCACCAGAGATTCGTCCATGCTCTCTCAGCTCAGGCCTTGGTGCTTCACCTAATCTGCCCTCTGGATCAGATCCAATCACATTGAAATATCTGGAAATCGGTTGAAAGAGAACCTCATCAACTTCAGGGGGATAAAGCAAACATTAGCTAGAACTTAGAAGAGTACACCAAAACCAACCTTAGGATCATAACTGCCATATTTGAGTTTTTAGAGAAATCCAAAATGATATCTTCTGCCATCTTCTTAGCCTTGCCATATGGATTGATTGGCACCTGAAAATGACCATATTAGTAGTTAGATCACCTGAAAATGCTCATACAACATTTGAGAAAGAAACAAAATTGGTCTCACCTGAGGAGTTTCCTCTGTAATTGGCATAATCTCAGGCTCACCATAGGTTGCACAAGTGCTTGAATAAATCAAAGTCTTTACTCCATGAGCAGCCATCGTCTCTAATACTACCAAAGTGTTTGATGTAATATTGTGATAATACCTGTAATTAGCATAAGTTACTTGTTTCACATCTACACAACATACAAGATTCAAATATTGCCTCAAAGGAAGAAGCTTTAGTATACTCACTTAAGAGGAAACTGTGTGCTCTCCCCAACATATGCAACAGCGGCGAAATGCATCACAGCGTCAAAGGCGTTCTCTGTGAATATCTTGTTGACAGCCTTTGCATCTCCGAGATCAGCATAAATAAACTGAAGCCTTCCAGGTTCTGGAAACAGTTCTTGCAAGATCTTGACTGCGCCGAGATTCCCACGTGATAGATTGTCCTGTTCAATAACCATTTAGAGATAACAAAGAAGTCTGATATGACGAACAAAGGAGAGTAAATTCAACTAGAGCCAAAGAATATACCACAATGGTGACTCGGTATGAATCTTTAAGAAGCCTTAGAGCTGCATGTGAACCGATGTAACCAGCACCACCCGTGACTAAAACATGTGTAACCCCTGGCTCATGTCTAGAAAACTGAAAAAGAAGTAAACACATAACAAGAAAAATGAAAGAAACCAATTAGAAACTCTGAGCAATGTTTCACCAGAAATCTGAAGAACTCGAAGGAAAGGAAGTTATACCACACTCGGTGTATTGAACGTAGATTGTTTAATCATGAAAATGCACAAGGCTGTAAGAGATGCAGTCAGAAGAAACTTTCCAAAGTAATTGTTTTTCTTCTTCGGGTCTGCGTAATCAAGTCCTACATTCCCAAAAGCAACCAAGATCTGTTAATATTTGTGACCAAAAACACTAAAGCTTCACACTTTGAAGCTCCAAAACCCAGAAAACTTCTCACTTATATCATCAACCAACCTAAAGTTCCAAACTTTATATCCAAATACACACAAAATTTCAAGTTTTAGAAGAATTAATTGAAAACTGAAACACATTATTCTTCGATAATCAATCTCACCTCCAAGAGACAGAGATCTATTTTGCCTCCCTTGGCTTCTTGCTCGAGTAAAAGTAAACATTTTGATTCACTTCAGCTCACGGAAACAACAGACAGATGTAAGTTGATCACCAACTCCTTAATTCAGCTGCAAAAGACCCAAAGTTTAATTTTTTTATATACAAATTCCCCAAAAATATGAAATTTCTCAGATGAAATTATAGCTAAAATCTAAGCAGCAGAACTCAGACAGAAATGTACAAAGAGACAAAAATCTGGAAAAGGAATGACATTGATGCAGCTGGGAAAACAAGAACTAATAATGAAAATTTCCGAGAAAAAAGAGTGTAAAGCTTGGGAATTTACTGAGTTACAGCAGAATATAAAGATCCATGGGAAGAAAAATCAGAAAGATTCAAAATTTCCCGGAAACCAAATTTGAATTTAAACATATCGAAAAAACAAAATAAAAATAGGACCCTAGATTGCGAAACTCTTGTCGGAGCAATGTCGGTCCCATGAGAAATGACAATGCAGAGAAAAAGAAAACATAAATATCTAAATTTAAATAAGACTAACCCAAATATTATGTCGACGAAATTAAAGTGAAATTCCGCACGAAAGATCCTAATTTCATCAAGCTCAGAGGAAAATAGAAAACCCTATGAGAGAATTGAGAGATAATGTGAATAATCTCTTAAAGAAGCAGAAACAGAAAGAAGAAAGCAAAAACGATTAAAAATGTTAAAACAGAACAGAAAATAAAAACGCCCAAAACCCAATAAAGCTGAAAGAAACGTACCTGGAAGAAGAAACAAAAAAAAGGCATTAATGGCGGCTCACGTGTATCCACACCACAGCAACAGGTCTCTGTGCAGAAAGGAGACGAACCAACCAGAATTTGAGGAAACCCCAGAGATTATCGAAAGCAGTGAGTAAGAAGATAAAGAAAGAGAAAGGGGTCGAATTTTCTTGTGGGTTTTGAGAAAGATTCAATTTTTCAGTTTAAAGTGAAGATTTTAAAGAGAAAGATGAAACGTACGATGAGGAAATAGAGTAATGCGACCTCGTAGGCGCGTTCCGGTGCGGTGAGAGAGGAGAGAGAGAGAGAGAGAGAGAGAGTCAGTCACAGGAGGCGGAAAAAAAAGTAATATTGTGAAAGGAAAATATTTTCTTATCAATAAGATAAAAATATATTTGACTTTTTTGTCAGCTTTTTTTCTTTAAACATTCTTTTGATATGAACATGACATGTAGCAACTAGCAAGAATGATGGCGCAAAGGAGATGATTCTGTATAATATAATCAAGATTAACAATTGTAAAATCTAACTATATGTTATCAACAAATAAAAGTTTAGGTAAATGTTTGTTCTGCGTCACATGCGAGGTCAAATTTCAATTTCTCTAATATTAAATAATTATATAAGCTTATGTTGTTATATTGCTAACAGTAAGTGTGATCTCGACCAAGATCAACAAGTAGATTAGTATATCGTTGTGTCATTTTTTGAAGTTAAATCCCCATAAGACATGTTTTTACATCTGTTAAATTAATTAAAAAGATATATAGACCAAGATATGTAAACTTGTAATTTGTGGTAGTGGTCGTTGTGAATCTTGTTATACAATCATACAACTCGAACTTAAACCTGGATAATATTATTATGATAAAAAATGCTAATTTACTCATACAATTTTCTATATTAATTCATTCAATTTTTTTCTCTTCTGAATTTTGAATACTCAAATCTTTATTTATGAAACAAACTATATAAATAAATAAAAATTGTAAACAATTGCTATATTGGTTTTCTATATAGATGACATGTTTTGATTTGTATTGGGAGTTTGAACTATTGTCTATTTGTTAAACAGTTCAAGAAAATAACAATTAATTCTTTAAGGTTATTTTCTAAGGACGAGCTTTTTATGGGAAAAAGCACGACCAGCCAATAAGACTGCCGCACTTGTAATGCTCTGGTAAAAAATATGCGTGGAGACCAACTCCACCGTGCTGACATGTCGGCAAATAATTTTAAGTGGTCATCAGATTCCCAAATTTTTTATTTTGTTGAATTTTTTGTTAGAACCACAATATTTTGTTACATGTAATCCTTCTAAAGTTTTTAGATTATGTTATAAAATATTTTTCCAGTGCACAATAAACGTTTAATGGTATGACTTTGCTTTTGTAAGTTTCTTTATTGAGCAGTTTAAGGAAAGTTTGTTTATGATTCAATAAGAGCATGTCGACTAAAAAAGTAAAAATAGATAAACTAGTTTCTTAGGAGTTAGGACTCGTTTTCATTAAGTTGTAATTAAAAGCTTTTAAGAGTGAGAGATGTAATAGTGACATTTTTGTGATAAATAGCAAAACAAAGCAGGTGCAATTATGCCATTCTTTTACCGATGCCAAACTGAACTCTGAAAAAAAAATTGATACCACACTTAACAATTGGGTTGAGTTAAATTAAAAAAAAAAAAAAAAAAAAACAAGCAAACAAACAACCAGGTGTATTGTTCGGGCGTTAAGAAATGTTACACCGACAAACAAAAAAATTGTTTACTTAAGAACTTAGATTACTTTTTTGTGCTTATTGAATAGTTGCATTGTTTCTTTGCGTGTGTGCGTATATTAAATCATAAGAACGCAAATAACTCTCTGTTATCCGAAACTTCTTACATGTTACATCAAAAATGGGAAGAAATACATTAAAAAGAAGATACGTACCGATAGTAGAGTAGTAGATGTTTTGAAATATACATCATGATTCATGAAGCTCCATCAAATAGTTTCATTGTGGAGAAGGCTAAATTAATGCTTGTTTTGAATGTAAATATTTGCGTGCTACATCATACTAATTGTTTAACATTTCAGGAAACAAAAGGCAGAAGATCAATAAAACCATGTACTCAGAAAAACTATAGATGTCAGGTGTTGGTCCACATAAGCATGGCACAACCCCATGATATAGCGCCACGTATAAGCATTGATTTTGATGGCTTTAAAATGTCTTAAAACGCATCGTAAGCTGCGAACGCTTTCCCTCAGACCCTCACATAATGCGTTGTTGTCTCTTCCTCTCCCTATTTACATTGTCGGTTACAACTTTCTGTTCAGATTCTCAAGAGTTATGAGTTTTTCAACTTCATCGTTTTTAAATCAAAAGTATTTCTGTCCATTTGCCTAAAACGTAGAAATTGTTGGCCCTTTGGATTTGTTCATTTGTGTGTACCCGTATTGGTGTTTCATTTTGTACGTTTTAGTTTCGGCTGGTAGATGATTTTTAGTTTTTAATTATTCAAACTAGTTACCTCTTAAATTATGTGTGACCTTTACTCTGTAAAAAAAATTATTTACAACTCACCTTTGCCAAACTAAACTGAAATTCTTGTTATCATTTTGTGGATAGCAGGATAATCAAGAATAATTGTCTGCTCAATAACCACAATTAAAGTTATAAAAACAATAGGTCTTTTACAGTATGTCATTGACTTGAACTATTTATAAACTATATCATGTGTTTTAAGAAAAGCTCTTAGTGTTTGTTGCTTAGTGCTGATAATTGATATTTACCCACCTGTTATAACATGCTCAAATCACATTCAAATTGTTTTGCTATCGCTTTATTTATTACAATTCTTTGTCGCACAAATATTTCATTTGATTTAAATGTTAAATACACCACTGTCCATTAGGAGTTTAGGACTTATGAGTACTTATAACCAGTCCTAACTATCAAATCATCCGATACATGCATGCATTGTTTTGTAGATGCATATAATTCATATTCGAAATAAATTAATATTAAACTGATCTAACTAATTAGTAATACCAAAACTAATTTGTATTACAAAAAGTAAAGTTATTTTGTAAGAAAGTTACAGGTATGAAAGCAATATATATATTGGTGTTAGCCAAGTTTGCAAACTGCAATTGCAAGCAAAGCGACGGACGACTCCATACAAGTTGACTTTCTTGTATATCATTCATTTTCCATACATTCCCCTTTCTATCTAAATCTTCTTATTGTCTTCTCCTAAAGATTGTGAGGCTTGTAACCTGGTTTACCCACCGGAAAACATGCACCCCACCTACATATCCAAAGAGTCGAAGACGTCCCTCAATAATTCAAAGCACTGCACAAAATTTTCTGCATCGATTAAAACATAATTTTTGAGATATTTTTGCGAACAGTTAATGAATATCAACTTTAAAATCCTGTAGATTTTATATGGTTTTTCAGATTACATTATCTTTGTTGGGATCCAAGTTAACAACCGTTTGTCACCTAAATCTTTTTTTATTTCATCCCAAAGTGGGGAGCAAGCAAATTTGCAAGGTGATTTGTCTACAACAAATTATAACCACATTTTTTTCTGATTTTCGATGCAAATAGAAGTTTGTGATGTAATATATTCATGCAATTTCTAAGACGAAGATAAACAATCACCCAGGAATGAGGTTTTAATATACTCTTGTAACATCCAAAAAATATTAATTTATAATAATCTTTAAACATCTATGCGTTTGAGGGAAAATTACGAACAATATTTGTACAATTCAATTTGAAATAATTGCTGGTTATGAATAAAGTAGAAAAGACATAAATATTATAATAGGCAAATTTTCATGAAAGAAAGTGTAAAAAATACATAACAATAATTCAGAGTAATATCATGGCAGGCCAACAAAAGCAGCAGCTTAGTACTGTCGCGCAGCCACAAACAGTTCTTGATCAGGTCCAAAGAGGACGTAAGCGTAAGAGCCACTGGGATGATGTCTCACAGCAGCCACAACCAGTTCTTCTTGTCGCGCAGCCACAATCAGTTCCTGATCAGGCGACTATGCATGCTTGGAGGTTGCATGTCGCTAGGCTTCCTCCTACAACAATTGTGTTATCTGTAGCTTCATATTCTAATGATGCTATGTTAACTATTGGCGGAAACATTGATGGACGACATGTTGTGAGTGTACATTTGAATTACATGGGGAAATATGCCCTTGTGGAGACGTGAACCATAGGAGAGGCAAGAGTTGCTAATTCTAATAATGTTTTGTCTAACTATAAGACTTGATACATTGATTAGTTGTAAATTTCATGATCATTATCACGGCTTTCATTTAATCAAAAAAATAAAAATAATGGGCGTAACCTTACGGCTCTCATTTTTAGAATAAAAATAAAAATAACTCTAAAAAAGGATAATCAAAAGTTCTATGCACGAAAGTTTTTCATTTTGAAGTAACCTTACGGCTCTCATGCTCTCTTATCGTAGAGGAAAGAAGAAGGAGATGGAATTCTTTTGAGAATATCATAAAACTAAAAACAAAACGATAAGAGAGTTCTAGTTGGTGTCAAGCAGCTCATTTTCTCGTATGAGCTGGGGTCATTTTCTAGTTACGCGATACACGGGATTTTATATAAAATTGTAACAAAAAAAAATGAGGAAATTTCAAAATTAATTTTTTTGGGTGTACATTTTCAAAACTATACTTTCAGGGTGTTTATTTTCAAAACTACACTTTTTAATTGTGTAAAAATATTCTAAACCCAAACTTTAAACCCTAAACCCTTAAATCTAAATCTTAAACCCCAAAATCTAAATCCGATTTAGGAATTAGTAAACCCAAACTTAGATGTTAAATTTAGAAAAAATGTAGCTTTGAAAATGAATACTATACAGGTGTAGTTTTGAAAATTAACACCCCAAAAGGTGTATTTCTTAAAATTTCTCATAAAAAATTGAATATAAAAAAAATAGTTTGCAAATAAAATCTATATAAGTATATGTATAAACATGAAACTAATTTACCAAATAACATACAACATATATATTGTTAAAATTAATATTTTCATTTAACTCACTCTTTTCATCCGACGGTTTGAAACAATTATTTTAGTATTGTGTATACTAAAAACTTCAATATTTTGTCTTTACCTAATACATTTTCACTATCATTCATTTCTTCCATTATCGAAAATGGACTCATTTATCTTTTGTCATCTATTTTACTTTCAACTTTTCCTCATTCACATATAATACATGGTAACATCTAGATGGAGTTCAAAACTATACACCTTTTTGTTATCTTCATACTTTTTTCTTCATGCAAAATAAGTAAAAGGGGTTATTTTGTTGATGTGGACAACTTATGAGAAGATAAAACTCTATAATTATATATAAGATTTATTTATAAATTATAAATAAGCTTTGTGACATGCAATATTTCTATTTCTTTCACGTCTCCTTGTCTAATTAGTCCTTTTAGGTGGCTTAATAGACGACGCACTTTATCCCATTCGCATTACAACACATTAAACATTTTTCTTTTTGAATTTATTTTGTTTGTTGATTAGTTTAAGCTAATTAAGCAAGAAAGTCTTTTCTTATAACGTTAGAATCTCAACAACTTACAACACTCTGTGTTCTGTTCTTCATAAACTCTTTACAAGAACTCAAAAGATTCCCCAAAACCGTCTCCGAAGACTCACTTCTCGAACCCAACCGCCTGTTCACGTCGTCCATCAACCTAAAAACCGAATCTTCCTCAAACATACACAAGACCTTAGACCACGCGGTTGTTGAGAATGCCCGTAACTCCGTCTCCTCGATGTTGCCATTAAGATCAGCAAGAGACGATACCGCCAAAACATAATCGCCTTTCTCGAGTTTCCTGCAGAACCTTTCTTTGATCAGAGACGATGGCGGAATCCTGTGACTCCGTCTCAGATGTTCCCATGTCGCTTCCATCACTTCTTCCTAATCAACCAAATGATACACATAAAGACTTCAAATCAATCAAATGTTACAATTTTGTTTTCTTTCTCACTTTATGTTCTTCTTTATTACCTTTCCTGCTCTGCTAGCTTCAAGCACCATTTTGAGATGGCGTTTGGCATTGAAATGGTAACCGTGACGCAACATCTCTCGGTACGCGTAACCGAAATCATCCCACTTTTTATCCGCAGCGCATGCGTCAAGCACCGTGTTGAACGTGTACGTGTCCGGCAACACTCTCGACTCGAAATCCGAGCCGCTCTTCACATGATCTCCATCTTCTAACATCTTCTGGAAAAGTTCTCTGGCTTCTTCGAACAACCCGCCTTGTAGATAAGCCTTTAGCATTATGTTGCAAGTGACTAGGTTCGGGCTGCAGACCTCCTTCATTTGACCGAAGATGTAAGCTGCGTTCTTGACGTTTCCCGAGTCGATGCATGCTTGGATCAGGCCAGTGTAAGTCACCACGAGAGGCTTACTTGCAACTCTACATATCTTCTTAATCTGACATTGCATGGTAAATGATTAAGTTCATATTCTTGAATAAAGCGTAAGGACTGACTACTGGAGTTTACAAAACTTTACCATGTTAAGCCCTTCTCTACACCTTCCCGCGCTACAGAGACAGCGAGCAAGGTCGTAGTAGAGAGCAGCTGATCCGACTATACCACGGCTTTCCATGTCATCAACCGTCTGTATAGCCTCGTCGGTTTTATCTTCTTTCCACAGAGTATTCACAAGAACTGATCACAGGTAGAGAGATGGTTAATCTTCAGTGGAGAATCCAAAGAAACAAAGAACAAAAGAGTTGACAAAATACCTCTATATGCTAGAGCATTAGGGATAGAAGATTTCTGCATCTTCCTGAAGAATTCATGAACTAAATTGTATTTCTCACACGCAAGCATCACCTGCTTAGTCACAAACACAGTTCCACCACTCAACCGCGTTGATATGCAGCGTTAATTGTTATGAGAGAAGAAGAGATATTTAACCTCCATGACGAGGCCGTAGGTGACAGGAGAAGGCTTTTGCCCTCTCTGCTTCAACTGTTGCAAAACCCAGAATGCTCCTTCCCACTGCTTCCGTTGAACACATGCGTTAAGCACCTGTGTGGTCAAAAAAATGTCCCAACATTCACATTAGACTATAGATATCTTCATCAGAATGAGACAATTATAAAATTACTAACCGCATTGTAAACAACAACGTCTGGTTCAAGCCGGGGATCCCATTTTTCAAGTGTCGTTGGCTTGAACTTCTTTTTCGGTGGAGATCTCATTGTGTCAATCACATGAAAGAGTTCCTTGATATGCCCAGCTTGTCCAAGTGTGACCGCAATTGCACGGTATGCCACCATATCCGGATATGATGAAATTTGTAACTGGTGAGGAAAACAAACGGAAAAAAAACTCAAAACTATATCAGAAGCAACAAGAACACATAGAGGCATGGCATAAAAGTTTTACCAGCATTGCGTGGAAAACATTGAGAGCTTCCACAGGCCTCCTTGACTTACCAAGCACATTTAGTGCAGTTGTATAGATGATTCTGTACCCAAAATGGTAAAATTTGTCCTCAGTTCTACAACTAAATTAAAACAGGTTCCTAATGCAGTAACTCCACAGCTCCACAGCTCAGTTTTAGAATGGTCAGTCAAATAGTTTACCTTAGCTTGTTCGATTTGTAACGGTCTTGCCTTTGAAGCCACTCGATGACTTGAAGAACTCGTCTCCAGTTTCCTAGCTTCCCTAGAAAGTTGATCAGTCTCATTATAGTGAAATCTGTATATCTGATTTTGGCACTCCTGATCGCCTTGGAAAACTGCCACTCAGGCATATTGATGTCTGCACCATTCAACCTAGCCAAATAAACTTCCTTAACATAAATCCAGCTGAATTTTATAAAATAACTTCATGAGAAATGTACTGATCTCATCACCTAATATCATCTGCAGTAGCATATAAACTTATCAAAATTCAATATCTACCTCCTAATTTATTTCTTCTATGTAACTGAACCAAATCAAGATAATAGCTTAAATACATACACTTTTGCCAACTTCTCGATTCTGTCTTCCATTTCCTGTCGTGAAGTAGCTGGCTTGTCCACTATGTCACTGGACTCATCAGAAAACCTAAAGGCAGGACTTTCATTGTCAAACAAGCTATCATCATCACCATCATCTTTCTTAGCACCCATTCTCTTTGTTCCACTCAATTTGCTTCTTCTTAAATCATGTCTCTCATTGGCTAATCTCTCAATCCGCCTTTCTTCAGCAACGAGATCCAATCCATCTCCTTTGAAACCTCTCACAATCTCTTTCGATGCATCAGGGGAGCGTTGATACTTAACCCTTCCCCTGAAGCTCTCATCTTCTGGTGCAATCACTGAAGAAGCTTCCCCACTCTTACTCCATTTTCCAACGTTTGTTATTCTTCTAAATTCTTCAACAACTTTGGAACCCCCTCTCGGAACCATCTCCTGCTTCAAATACCTTCTCCTATCATCTTCTTGCGCAGTCGCTGAAGATTCATCATTCTTGCTCCATTTCACATCTTTGGTTATTCTCTGAATTCCACTTTCTTCATTTCTCTTGAGGTCTCTCTCATTACGTTTATCTCCCATTACCATCTCCTGCTTCACGTATCTTTTCCTGAAGCTCTCAGCTTCTGGCGCAGAAGATTCACCACTCTTGCTCCATTTCACATCTTTAGTTATTCTCTTGAAACCTCTCTCATTATGTTTCTCTCCGATTACAATCTCCTGCCTCGAGTATCTTCTCCTCAAACCTTCATCTTTTGGCTCACCGCTCTTAGTCTTCACATCTTCAACATCGCTTCTCGACTCTAATCGTTTATCAGAAACCTCATTTCTCAATTCCGAATCAACATTTCCACCTCCACCACCATCATCCTCAACTTTATCCTTGACCAATCTGTCGAATTTCTTCTGCTTCCGCGCTGTTTTAACCGATTCCATGATTTGCAGGTACTGATCGAAACTGGGTTTGAATCCGAATCCTCCATCGGCCGATGTTTGCAATCCAGCCTCCTTCGTGTTCAAATTCAAGCAGAAGATTACCTTCGTCTTTGATTTCCTCGAATTCAGACGAACGAATCGCCGGCAGCTGAAGCACGCCTGAGGAAACACCGGTTTCCGCAGAGAATTCTTGCTTTCGTCGAAGAACGAGGCGTTCACGAAGGCATTCGTCGATATCATCACCGCCATTTTTCTGCAACTCAAAGTTCGAAATCATTCAGAGGGAAGCAATCGTCGTTGAACCCTATCGGCTATCTTCCCGTCCGACGTGGCTAGACGAGTAAAACTACTTGACGTTTTTACTTTAATCAAAACTAACGCCGCGTAGTTTCAGTATAAAGAAACGGGATGTCTTTTGATGAAACGTGGCCCAACAATTATTGGGCCTAAGTTTTTTTATTGTGTGATGTGAATTCAGCATCTACATTGTCCGGTTCAGTGAGGAAACAAGAAACAAGATATTGTGTTAACCGGTTTGGTCAGCACTCAGCACCATAAAAGAAGACACTTTTTAGATCTTTTGTGTTGATATGAGTTGAAACCAACGCAGAAGATGATGGTAATAATTATAGAATCCAATATTTTCTTGCTAAAAAAGGGTCTTCAACGGTTAAATACAAAAGAAAATGATGTAAAGCGAGTCTAATGAGTCATGACTCGTGTTAATTAAAAGGTTAAAAAGTATATGTTGGACCTACTTCTTTTGATGTTGTAATAATCATTGCTTAATAGTTTCTTTTTTCTTTTTCATCTTCATGTGGTTCTAGAATAAAGCATATACTGTACAGTATTTGTTCTTGTAGTCGTCGATTGTGAGGACAAAAGTTAAATCTTGGTTGTTTTGTTCATATGCTATAAGTGATAAATATTTTTTTGGTCTTAACTGGTTTTATCCGTTATGGTGTGAAGTTGTAGAAAATGGTCAAAGAAGAGTCACGGAATGCTGTTAAGGAATGAACAAAAGCGACTTCTCAAAGAATCTTACCGTTGGATAATAGACAAAACGTCACCTAAAAGATAAAAACAAAACAAATAAAGAATTTAAAGTAGCAAAAGACTAGAAAACTTTTTGCATATGAACACTTTCACTTGTCTTAAGTCTCTTAACCATTTAGCAGAAGATCAAAACGCAAAACTTAATCTATGTAAAAACAACAAGAGGTGGGGTTCTTGGAATTTGTTTTTATTCCTACTTATGCGTGCCAAATAAATGAATCTATGAAAATACTTAAGAAATAGGACTATATTATATTGAATGGTTGGCAAAAATGAAATAGAAGACAACAGAGATGATCATTTTTTATATATGTAGTAAAGATACCAAAGATGCATTACACAAAGCATAAACACACTTGGAAACAAAAGCAAACTATACAAGTGAGAAGATGTTAAAAGTCTTCCACCGATCTTTGCATTAACTAAACATTCGGAAACCAAGAAGCCTTTTTCCTTCTCTCTTCAGCCAAAAGTACTCTCAGACCATTGTACTCTCTCAAAGACTAAAACCTTCTTAACTCTCTCTCTCTCCTCTCTCTTCCTCTTTCTCTGCTTCTGAGGTACTCTAACTCTACTCTACTCCCATGGAACTCTAATGGGTTTCCGCAATTTCCATTCTTTTCCGCTTTTCTTCTGAGAAATTTTGCACAAGAACCATGGAGGAGTCTTCTCTTGTGCGTCTCGTGTTCGTGCTCTGTTTGGTTTCGTCCTCTGTGTTCTGTTTCGATGAGCCTGACCACAGCACTCCCGCTTCTTCTGCTGTTTACATTGTTACTCTCAAGGACCCTCCATCTGTTCATTCCTCCGGCAGAGAATCGAGTGGCTCCAATCACGTCCTCACATCTACTTCATCTCAAACTTACAGAACATTGTATGTAGCAAAAAAGCCACCTCCTTTTATATTTTTCTTCAAGTTTCAATCTTTATCCAATTTGGCAACAAAAAATCTTCATTTTGTTTCCTCTCAAAATTCTGTGGAATCGCTGTTTTGGGTTTGGTCTTTTCTCAATCTAAAATGGTCCGACAGATGTTGAAATTCGTCAATTTTTAGGGTCCCAGATTACTTGTCGCTTGTGTCTTTGGTCAAATTCAAGTTGAAACCTTTTATGCTGTTGAACGAATGTGTTACCTTAATGTCCGCAGAAGGTTTGTGCTTCAAGCTGATTCCTTTTTGCTATCTAAACCTCTTTTGTTTATACATATAGGAACCGAAACGCTTCTATTATTAGAGTTCACGATTCGTTGTTGAGAAGCGTATTGAGACAGGAGAATTACATTAAGCTGTACAGCTACCATTATCTCATAAATGGATTTTCTGCGGTTATTACCCAAAAGCAGGTAACTTAACATTTTCTTAGAACACAAGTGTATGAATATGTCTAAATTTGTTAGTGTTTGAGCTCGGTCTTTTTCTCTCTGAAGGCTGATAGGCTCGCTGCTAGAAAGGAAGTAGAGAATGTGGTTCTTGATTTTCCGGTACAGAAAGCAACAACTCACACGCCGCAGTTCTTGGGTCTGCCACGTGGAGCTTGGCTGCGTGAAGGAGGATCTGAGTATGCAGGAGAAGGAGTTGTGATAGGGTTTATTGATACTGGAATCGATCCCACTCATCCTAGTTTCAGTGACAAAGTCTCTGGACATTCGTATCCGGTCCCTCCTCGGTTCACTGGCGTCTGCGAAGTCGCCAACGGTTTCCCTCCCGGTTCTTGCAACAGGAAGCTCGTCGGAGCACGCCATTTCGCTGAGTCGGCTCTTAGTAGAGGAGTCTTGAACTCATCTCAGGACGATGCTTCGCCATTTGACGGCGAAGGCCATGGCACGTAAGTGTATGTTGATTCAACTATATTAACCACTAAGTTGTTGGATCCTGAGATATTGGTTGGTTGGTTTCAGGCACACAGCTTCTGTTGCAGCTGGGAATCACGGGATTCCGGTGGTGGTTTCCGGTCACCACCTCGGAAATGCTAGCGGGATGGCTCCTCGTGCTCAGTAAGTCCATACCACAAAATGATATTCGCTTTTGGAATCTGTTGATAGAGAAGAATGAAATGTCTTTGTCTTTTCTTGTTAGTGTGGCTATTTACAAGGCGTTGTATAAGAGGTTTGGAGGTTTCGCTGCAGATATCATTGCAGCCATTGATCAGGTAAAAAAAAAAATGTTAAAACTTTGCAACCAAAATTTGATGAAAGCGGTTATGGATGTTTTCTTTCTTTCAGGCGGCTCAAGATGGAGTTGACATAATAAACCTATCGATCACACCGAACAGGCGTCCTCCTGGTATAGCTACGTTCTTCAACCCGATCGATATGGCATTGCTTTCAGCTGTGAAAGCAGGGATCTTTGTGGTGCAAGCAGCTGGAAACACAGGACCAGCTCCTAAGTCCATGTCTTCCTTCAGTCCATGGATCTTCACAGTAGGAGCTACATCTCACGATAGAGTCTATAGTAACTCGATAGTCCTCGGAAACAATGTGACCATCTCTGGAGTTGGACTCGCATGTAAGTCTGACCTTCTTTTCTTGATTTTAAACATCAACCTGACCTTACTAGTTTCTGTTTTCTTTTTACATTAGCTGGTACAAGAACAATGCACAAGCTTGTTTTAGCTGCACATGCGCTACGCAATGGTACAACTGTTATGGATGCTATATACGTTGAAGAATGCCAAGATTCGAGTAGCTTTGATCAGAAGCTGGTGCAGGGGAAGATCCTTGTCTGCAGCTACACAGTCCGGTTCATTCTCGGTGTGTCGACCATCAAACAAGCCTTGATAGCAGCTAAGAACTTGACAGCATCAGGTCTTGTCTTCTACATGGATCCTTCCGCCACCGGTTTTCAGATGACTTCGACTCCGATGGATATCCCCGGGATTCTAATCTCCTCCTCACAAGACTCTCAGGTGTGTATAATCAAGAATCTTGAAAATATTACAACTCTGAACAAGAATGTAAACTTTGGCTCTTCCTATGTGCAGGCTTTACTCCGGTACTACAACACTTCTCTGTTTAGAGACAATGCTTCAGGCAAGATCGTTGGCTCTGGTTCGGTTGCGAGAATCGTTGGTGGCATAAAGCCTACCTATGGCGTTGTTTCAGCTCCAAAGGTTATGTTTTTCTCTGCTAGAGGACCTGACCCTGAAGACGATTCTTTCAACGACGCTGATGTGATGAAACCGAACGTAGTAGCTCCAGGGAACTCGATATGGGGCGCTTGGAGTCCTCTTGGCATCGGCACAACCGAGTTTCAAGGTAACAAAAACATCCTCATTTTCTTCTTGCAAGATTTTCTCATTTCTTGGTATGTCTTTTTTCGAGTTCTTGAAAATGTCTGTTGTTTTAGGTGAGCGTTTCGCGATGGAGTCAGGGACAAGCATGTCTGCTCCACATGTAACGGGGATCGCAGCACTCATCAAGCAGAAGTTCCCTCATTTCACTCCTGCAGCCATCGCATCGGCTCTTTCGACGACAGCTTCTTTATCAGACAGAAAAGGCGGTCGTATAATGGCGCAACGCACTGTCTTGAACCCTGACGTGAGTCAGTCTCCTGCAACACCGTTCGATATGGGTAGCGGATTCGTCAATGCAACTGCAGCGCTTGACCCCGGTTTGGTTTTCGACATAGGTAAAAAAACACTTTCTTGAAAAAATTCAAGAACCATAGAGGAGAAGCCTTTTTCACACACTTTTTTGAAAATGTAGGTTATAATGAGTACATGAAGTTTCTCTGCCGGATCAACGGATCATCTCCGGTTGTTCTTAACTACACCGGTGAAAGCTGCTCGGCGTATAACTCCTCTCTTGCAGCCTCTGACCTGAACTTACCTTCAGTCACAATAGCTAAGCTCGTTGGTACTCGAACCGTTTTAAGATGGGTTACTAGTATTGCAGCCACGGTTAAGAACGAGACGTATACTGTTGGGTGGATGGCACCGGACTCGGTCTCGGTTAAGGTCTCACCTGCCAAGTTTACGATCGGAAACGGTCAGACACGGGTGTTGAGTCTTGTCTTCCGAGCGGTGAAGAATGTTTCTACGGCTAGTTTTGGGAGGATTGGGCTGTTTGGAGACAGAGGTCACGTTGCTAACATTCCGGTGACAGTCATTTACAAGGTTGCGGTCTGACTAAATAGGCTGTTTATATTGCAGAGTTTTGTGTGGTGAAACAAACTTGAGAGAGATGTGTAGTTTTGTTTATGTTTGGTGTCCATTGATTAAAATGCTTTAGAGAGAGATGCGTAGTTTGTAAATGTGTTTGGAATGGTTTTGTGATGATTTTGCTGATGATGTTGATTGAATGAATCTAATCCAATCTTTGATTTTTGAGTAATTTGAAGTGGTCTTCTTCTTGAGCTTTTTGGGGTAAATTGTAACAAACAAAAGTTAAACCCCCAAACACAACGAAAACTTAAAATTCAAGGCCAAATAAAAAGTTATGAGAGGTAAATTCAAGGGGCATTTTCGTCAATATATTTAAATATATATGGAAGAGAAAATTATTATTTGAGGGTTTCGCGGATCCAACTAAACTTCTTCTTTCTTCTATTGCCTCCTCAGACGACGCAGAGAAGGAGAAGACATTGGAGACTCACACAAGCTAAGACCTCTCGCGCTTTCTTCTCGTCTTCTCGGGTTCCGATTAAAATTTGAAATTCCGGCGGAATTTTATATTATCCGGAGTTTCAGCTGCGTAGCTAAGTGAAACAGAGCGAGTACAATTGTTCATCGTTGTGAGCTCTCTAACCTCTGTTTATAGTGGTTCTTAAAGGGTCTTATACATAATCTTCTGCTAATTTCTTAAAGATTTTTTTTTTCCTCTAAATTCAGTTTGCTTCTGATAGATTCCGTTGAGGTATTCTGGTCCCGTTGGTTATAACTTATAAGTTAGTGTAGAAATGTTGAGGAAATTTCTTGTAGCAATTACTTGTTCCTCACTCTTTAGCCCCATTTGAAAAATATGGTTGCTTTCCTTCTCAATCTTGCATTTTGATGGATTGTTTTTGTTCTTTAGTAGGTAATATTAAGAATATTCTTGTTCATATAGAATGGGAGAAGAAGAAGACGTCTCGAGTGTTGTTGCCAGCTCAATTACAATGGATAGTGATGAATTAGGCGACAGGGAATCGGTGTACGCCGTTAGAGATGCCCTTGAATCTGCTCAAAATGTGAGTGTTGCTTCTTCCATATATATATGACTTCAGTGACTGTATTTTGTAATGGTCTTGTTCTTTTATTAAATCCACAGGGGGATTCTGATCTTTATGCTCAGCTTGTCGGAATCATGTACCTTAAAGAAAATTCTGATTTCGATAAAGTGGCACAGCTTGAGGTGTGTCCTTCTCTCCAGATGACAATCGATTCTTGTTTATTATTTGTTCTTGCTAAGATATCTTCATTTTCTTTGCAGTCACTCTTGAAAGTCCTGCAAGGTTCTCTGTCTTGCATAGATGTAGTTCACCATCGAGATCTTCTTTCTTCTGTAAGTTTTTATTGCATGAACTTACAGTTGGAATCCATATATACCTGTTTTAAGACTTCCTCTGAGTTTCATCCCATTTTATTGTGATTAGATTTTTAGGATGAGCTTGTGGGATCACACGCCTAGTGTCATGGACGCATTGGTGGACCTAGTCGTGTCACTGGTACACATCTCAGCAACTATCCCTCTAGTCAATGGATATATCATCTGGTTGAAGAGCTTTAACATTTTTTGTGCTTTTGTTATTTTCCTTCATTAGGCTGCTACTAGTGGAAAGTTTCTGGACCATTGTTTGAATATGCTCATAAGCAATTTCCTTCAGCCTTCTTTTGTGATGCATAAACTTTCGCAACCTCGTGCACTCGCCAAGAAGCAGGAAGTTCTTCCCCGGGTGCATGCTGCTCTTCAACAGATTTCTTATTTGGTTCCTCTTGCTCCCTCGAAATTAGCGCCCATACTTGCCCAGAAGATGCCTAAAATACACGTAAAGGATCATGTGAGTTTAATGTTTAGACAATGTAAAGTTGAGCTTATACTGGCGGTAAGCAGAATGAGAACTCTATCTGATTGTTTTGCAGTTGGTGGTAACGTATGTGGATAACTTGTTGAAGTTGGAGAATAGCTCGATTGGAAAAGTTGTTGGCAGCGTGATTCTTAGGGTGGTGATGGATAGGCTGCGAGATTTGGATGTAAGTAGATACAATATGGTTCTTGAATAATTTTTTTCATACTGAGTAAAATGGCAAGTGAATGATATGCTGTAGCGTTTTTTCAGTTGGAGATTGGGTGGGATGATATTCTCCAAGAGGATTCTAATAGAGGAATGTTTGATATGGAACTTGAAGATGCAGTTGAAGGAGCTATGGATGAAGGAGACGAGGTGAGGTTTTATCTCTTACTGTGAATATTTGGAATTGACCTCTAGTTTCCTGGATAGGATATGTTACAATCATGTATAAATCTTGTTTCTGTGCAGTTTCCAGTGGGGTCTCTAAATCAAAATACTAGTGATGGAAATGTAGTCTCTGAGTTGTTGGACAAATTGATGGTCCTATCTTTTGAGCATCTTGAATCATGTCAAAATTCTGGTCGTCTGGATGAGGTATGGCACCAAATGGTAACTTCATAAACATATCTTTCCTTTCCTTTGTGGTAGATTCATTAATCTTTTGGTGGTTCTGTATTTTATGATTCGGGTGTAGGTGTTTGAAATCCTCTTCGAGTCGTTTGAGAGCTACATTCTGAACACGTACAAATCAAAATTCTCACAGGTAGGCATCATAGCTACCACCTTGCATGCTTTAATAATCCGTAATTTTTTTGCTTAGACTCACTTTGACTTCATCTGCAGTTCTTGATGTTCTATGCATGCTCACTAGCTCCTGAAACTTGTGGTGTAAAATTTGCCAATAAGCTGTTGGACATATATCTCTCCAGCAACAAACCTCGGGTTACGAGGCGAGTTTCATTTATTCTTCATGGTTTAGATTTCTCTGCATGATAATAAGCAAATTTTTTTCTAATCACACCACTTGTATATGGTTTTTGTTTTCTCCTTTGACTCAACAGGATGAGTGCAGTGGCTTATCTAGCTAGCTACTTGTCTCGTGGAAAGTTTTTGCCGGCTTCTTTTGTGGCTACCATGTTGAAAAGGTACAAGAGAGATTACTAAAAAAGGGACAAATGATTCCAAGTTTCACCTTGTCGTAACATTGTTTCTCTTGTGTCTGAAATCCTAGATTGGTGGACGAGTGTGAGGATTATTGCAGAACATGCAATGATGATGTTAGGCCAGAAACACATCAAGTTTTCTATTCTGGATGTCAGGTATAGTCCAAGTTTAGAACCTTCTTATTGGCATTTGGAATCATACGCTACTATGTTATGTATCGCTTAAAGTTGCTACTTTTTTTTTGTGACTGTAGGCAATCTTGTACGTGCTATGCTTCCGGATGAGATCCATTTTGAATGTTCCTTGCTTTGAGTTGCAGATTACACCATTGGAGTCGATTTTATCTCACAAACTAAACCCATTGATGGTGACTTACACTTATCATTTTTCTTTCTCTCATAGCTCTCAACTGTTATCTTAAGTAGTCTAAACTCCAAAGAATCAAATGCATTAAGCTTGCATCATATTCTTTTGGTGTGAACAGGTGTGCCTTCCGTCTGTAGTTTCCGAGTTCCTTAAACAAGCCAAAGCTAGTGGTCTGTTCATCGTCTCAGAGGCCTTCGTTTTCGACGACCTACTCGAGTCTGAACTCTCTCGTGCGTTTGGTGGCTATGAAAGGCTTGATACATTCTTCCCCTTCGACCCTTGCTTGTTGAAAATCTCTAACAGGTTCACCATCTTAAACTTTTGTTAAGTCTTAGTAGCTGCATTGCATAGTTTTTACTCTCCCTTGTCTCACCTGTTTTGTTTTAATGTTTCTTTTGAAATCTTGAAGCTTTATCTCACGGAACTTCATGTACTGGTCAATGGTGAAAACGACTTATGACGAAGATGAGGAGGATGAGATGTGTCCTGAGGTCATAGTGAATGGAGATGCAGACAGTGAGGAGGACAGTGACGATGACGATGACGTGGATGTTGATAGCGAGGTGAACAAGATGTCTATGACGCCTAAACACTCCTTCATGCTCGAAACAGAAACACTCTTGAAGATGCCTTCTAGAATCAGACCAATCCACTAGTCCGTCCTACTGAATCCTTCTGAGTTCTGAATCTACTGGAGTGATCACAATTTTGCTTATTAGGCTTCTTTAATATGTAGTCTCTTTTTGCAAGTGCGTGTAAATCTAAACACACTTTTCTTTATGAACGAACAATATATCGCATCAAACCATAATATTAGGATTTTGTATGGAAATTTTGGAAATGAATCGAAGTTGGCACCAATCGTAGACCAAAAGTATTGTTTAATAGCTTTGTTCTGGGTTTATTCGGTTTGATGAGCATAAAAGACAATGGAAACCAATTTGGTAATTTGAGAACCGGTTATCTGACTTAATTTGGTTCAACTTTCAAGTATACAAGCTGAAATGCTTGAATTTACCTGTGTTCTAAAACTCGTTAGGCGGTACTAGGGTGCTCCGTCTCCCTCTAGCGATTTTCTTAAAAGTCGGAAATAAATCGGAGAGTACTCGGAAATTAATTTTAAGTACATTTTTAATTTTTTATATATAATACATCAATATGAAAATCATATACTACATTATTACCAAATAACATTCTTTTTTATATATAATACATCAATATAAAAGTCATATACTACATTTTTAAGGTTTCATATTGAATGAAAAGTGTCTTTACACACTTTGGGCGAATTGGGGCTAATTGTGAACAAAAATCAAACTTTAATCCATTAGATTTTAACATTTACTTATTGGTTTTTATAAAAATGTGAATGTCAAAGTACGGTCAACGGTTGACCATATCTTTACTCTGTTTTTAAAAAGTCGGAACGGCAACCTCCTTCTGACGGTTTTAGGACCGCACTTTTTAGAACACAGGAATTTACCCTTTGATGATTTGGGCAATTTGGTTTGCTCTGTCTACAATTTCGGTAGTTGTCACGAAATGGTTCGATGTAAACCGGGAAATGCTCATCCGATTTAGACCGGTCCGCGAACCAGCTGAGCAATCTCCTCTTTAACCTCAGCGTCGGCGTCTAGCAACTCTAGCTTCCTCGGTTTCGTTTAATCAGCAAAAACCCTAGAATCTCTCTCTGCTCGCTTCTCTTTCGAGCTCAACGCCACTGAAATCATGCCTCCGAAAGCCAAAGCCAAAGATGGAGCTCCCGTAGAGAGGCCTATTCTCGGCCGTTTCTCTTCTCACCTCAAGATCGGAATTGTAAATCATCTCTCTTATCTCCTTCTTTTTAATATAAGAATCGAAGTTGAGATTCATTTGAAAGAATAATGAAACCGTAGATTTACTCATCGCAATACGTCGATGAAAAGTGTCTTTATTATTGGTGATTCATGAGGATCTACGAACTCATACAGTGGAAATGAACATTGGTGATTCATGAGGATGCGATTGGTTTCATTGTGTTTGTTACTGTGGTCTATTAGAAGGTTAATCCACTTTTAGAAACTGCTTTTGATTAAGGTTGATTGTAGAATTCATGTGGAGACGATGATGTAGAGAGAATCATGCATGTAAGTGTAACTCACCATGGCTTTTTGTTTGTTGCATCGCAGGTTGGGTTGCCAAATGTGGGAAAATCTACTCTTTTCAACACTCTCACAAAGCTTGCGATTCCAGCTGAGAATTTCCCCTTTTGCACCATTGAGCCTAATGAGGCTCGTGTGAATATCCCCGATGAGAGGTTCGATTGGCTTTGTCAATTGTACAAGCCAAAGAGTGAGGTATGTTTGTATACTTGTGCTACGGTATAATAGAACATATGAAGCTGCTTAAGCTGACTTCTGCCTATTGGTGATGCCTCAGATTCCAGCTTTCTTGGAAATTCATGACATTGCTGGGCTTGTTAGAGGCGCTCATGAAGGACAGGGACTTGGAAACAACTTCTTGTCCCACATTCGTGCAGTTGATGGAATTTTCCATGTTTTACGTATGTTTTTTTTTTCCTTCTTTTCTTTATATTTCATAGTGCCAGCTTTGTTTTAGTGTGATCTGTGGTTAAAATGGCGATTAGTAACTTTTCGACTGAACATGTGCAGGTGCTTTTGAAGACGCTGATATTATCCATGTCGATGATATCGTGGATCCTGTTAGAGATTTGGAGACCATTACTGAAGAATTGCGGCTAAAGGTGAAATAAATCTATAGCAGATATTGACCTCTTAGCTTGTGAAATCCTTTCTGTGTATCTTAATCCAGTTGTCTGTGGTTTGTATTAGTTAGATCATGTTATTCATTTTTTTTTCCATTGTTGTTTAAGTTTTATTCCAAACTATTTGGTTCGAATTTAGGATATTGAGTTCGTTAAAAAGAAGATTGAAGATGTCGAGAAGAGCATGAAGAGGAGCAATGACAAGCAACTGAAAGTCGAACTTGAGCTCTTGCTAAAGGTATGCTTCTGAATAGTTCGGCATGCAGTCTTGTTCTGTGAATGTTCTTGGTCATTCATTATTATTTGGCTGAAAAGATGATTGTGCCTCTCGAGAATAGGTGAAAGCTTGGCTGGAAGAAGGAAAGGATGTCCGATTTGGGGACTGGAAAGCAGCTGATATTGAGATTTTGAACACTTTCCAATTGCTTTCCGCAAAGCCCGTTGTTTACCTGGTGAGTAATCTTGAATGTGCATCTCCTTTTTTAACCATTCGACAAGTTTTTTTTTGTTTTCAAAAGATTCTCGCCTCAGCTTACAAAATGTAGAGCCATACACACTTTCTGTGAAACTGTTTGATCGCAAGTTTGACCATAATGTATTCTGAACTATATGCTTTTCTAGTTTGTTTCTGTTAAATGTTTATCTCAGCGTACGAATTTTAAAGGCATATTGTTGGACCTTTTGTGATCATTGATTGCTCTCAAATTTAACTTGCAGATCAACATGAATGAGAGAGACTACCAGAGGAAGAAAAACAAGTTCTTGCCCAAGATTCATGCTTGGTACTTACATATATCCCTTGACAAATTATGTTTAATAATATGTTAACATTTTGCCCCTCTGTTTCTGCAAAGTTTTCTTCTACGATGATGTGCTGACATATTACTTCCCTTATTATACTTCTCCTAAACCAAAGAATTATTGTTTCATCGTTATGTAGGGTTCAAGAACACGGTGGTGATACTATGATTCCTTTCAGTGGTGTTTTTGAAAGGAGTCTTGCTGATATGCAACCAGACGAAGCGGCGAAGTATTGTGAGGAAAACAAACTGCAAAGGTTAGTAATATTAGAATGGCGTAGCCTTCCTTCAAATGAATAGTTGCTCCAGAAGATGAGAATCTATATGAACCTGTTAACGTAATTCTAATGACCATTTCTGCTTTCATAGCGCTCTTCCGAGGATCATCAAAACTGGATTTTCAGCCATCAACCTCATATATTTCTTCACAGCAGGGCCTGATGAGGTATTACAATCCCACTTTACTACTAATTTACTGGGCTTCAGAACACGCTTTAGTTTCTGTTTCATAGTGTATGGTCACTGTAAAGTGTCAACTGGTGCATTTACTGGAATTCGATGGTTTACATTCATCAATGATATTTTGTTTTGCAGGTGAAGTGCTGGCAAATACGACGTCTGTCAAAGGCTCCTCAAGCTGCAGGGGCCATTCATACTGATTTTGAAAGAGGATTTATCTGTGCCGAGGTTTGTCTTCTCATTTCTCTTGAATCTGGTCATTTATTTTTGAATACCATAAAATGATGCTTGCATATACTCATTTTCATATTGGTATTGATTGCCTATCAATGATTTGAATCAAAGCAGGCCTGTAAACATCAAAGTAGAATCCTAATGCAATTCATATATAGATTCATCAGTTTCACAAACAAATCAATTATTTGTATGAGTAGAATGCTTTTGTCCATTCAAAGTTCGATGTGGTTTATTCCAATGTTGTTGATATCATAGGTCATGAAATTCGAGGATCTCAAGGAACTTGGCAATGAAACTGCAGTCAAGGTACTTGTCTAAAACCCCTTTCCTCCTCCCATCTCTGAAGGTTTCTGGAGTAACCTTTTAAGGAAGCTCTCGATCATGCGTTATATTCTTGTTGAAGATGGCATTGTTAGATTAATCGTCCTATTAATTAATGCAGGGCGCAGGAAAATACAGACAGGAGGGGAAAACGTATGTCGTTCAGGACGGAGATATCATCTTCTTCAAGTTCAATGTTTCCGGTGGTGGGAAGAAATGAGATCTTGAAGCTTTATCTACCTATGATTGGTATCCTCTGTGGATCTTGAAGCTTTATTCAGTTCCGAGAGAGGAACCAAACTGTATTTTTCTGTTTTTGAAAGTTGCAGTTTTCTATTTACTTACCAAAACACAACAGTATTGTAACTCATGTTCCTTTTTGCAGTTAGCTAAGACATGTCTTTGCCTTGAGACAGAGCATTTAAGCCTGCTGTATCTTTTAGTACTCTTTCAATAAGTTTTTTTTTCTACTATTTTGAAACCTAATGTGAGGCTTTTTGAAATAGTCAACAAGTTCGTTGAAGAATGCTGCAGGAAACAAATGGAAAAACTGACCTTAAGAAGCAAATTATATTGGCATTACAAGTTCCATTACTACAGATCTTCTGGATAAGATCATAATCAATAAAACAAAAGAACAAAAGAATAATTTTGGAGTTGGTCTCCTCTACACAACGTTGTGAAGAGTTGTTGATCCTGTTTGGCTCTTCTTAGTCTCTGAGGAGGAATCTTGATTGGAACAAGCTTGAAGAGAGCTCTCCGGCGCTTCTTCCACCGCTTGGCTGCTCGAAAACGAGTTTTCTCCATTCTGTTTGCGGAGCCAAGCTTCATGAAGCTGCAAAACATACTCCAAATGCCACAAAACTTCTCCCATCATTGGCCTGTTCTTCCCTTCATCAGCCAAGCACTTCTCAGCTATCTCCCCATACTTCTCCAACGACTCAGGACTGTAGTTTCCCCTCAGATTAGGGTCGATGATCGACTCGAGAGATCTCTGTTTCTGCCAGCTCAAAGCCCATTCCGCAAGATTGATCTGGTCTTTAGGCAAAGTCGGGTTTATAACAGCTCGAGCACAAACAACTTCGAACAACACAACACCAAACGAGTAAACATCTGACTTCTCTGTCAACTGTTGCCTCCTGAAGTATTCCGGATCAAGATAACCAAAACTCCCTTTCACAGCTGTACTCACATGAGTATGGTCCATGGAAGGTCCAGCTTTCGACAGCCCAAAATCAGACATCTTGGCCACAAAGTTCTCGTCTAGCAATATGTTTGTTGTCTTGACATCTCTGTGAATGATTCCTCTCTCAGACCCTGTGTGAAGGTAATGCAATCCCCTCGCTGACCCTATACAAGCTTCAAGCCGTTGCTTCCATGATAACGGAGGAAGGTTGCTTCCAAACAGATGGCTCCTCAGAGTCCCATTCGCCATGTACTCATAAACCAAGATCATCTCATTATGCTCATCGCAAAACCCAATCAAAGACACAAGATGCCTATGCCTAAGCCTCGAGAGCATCACAATCTCGGTTTCGAACTCAGCTAGTCCTTGCTGAGAATGCGGTGTTGCTCGTTTTATAGCTATGAGCGTTCCATCTTCAAGCTCTCCTCTGTAAACTTTACCAAACCCTCCAACTCCAATAGCTAAACCATCATCAAAGTTCTTGGCAGCTGCACGAATCTCGGCAAGCGTAAACTTCCTACCCATTGTAGATGCTGCAAGAGTGTTCAGCCTCAGCGAGCCACCTGTTGCTTTAGCGTTTGCTGTACTGTTATTGACATGCAAGAACAACGGACGCCAGCCAGGAGGATTGTTGCCTTTGGAGTCATCTGATTTGCTTCGCCTAATCTTGCACAAACACACTACAAAAGTCACCAAGAACGCTACAAGAATGATAGCTGCTACTCCTGCACCAATACATATCCAAATCATCCGCATCTTCGAGTCATCCACCGAGTGACCACTCGAATCGAACCTCATGAGATGAGCAAGATTCCCATTCTTGCTCAGCTTGAATATCTCAAGACCACTTAGAAGAGCGTCGGTTCCAGAAGCACCAGCGGATGTGTCAGGTCCGAGCTGAATCCAGAGAACGTCGTTCTTGGAGGAGACAGGATCGAAGTAATCTTGATGAATAGCCTTGTTCTTCCCTCCCGCATGAGCATAGATATCGAAGTTACCAGCAGCGGTCTTGTTGTTGATGTAAATCTTGAATATCCTCTGGTTCTGCTTATCAACAAGCAGCTCACAGAAATGAAGCCTAACCAGGTAATCGAAATTCGGATCCACTTCGAATCTCCAAGAAATGTTGAACCTTTTCTCCAAGACTTCAGTGTTCGTCATCGTCCTAGCGGTTTCGTAAACAACAAGAGGAGCCACAGGTGATTCATTAGCCAAAGCATATGTGATGTTCGAGCTGTTCTTGACCTCTTCACCGGCGTTCTCAATCACCATGTAGCTGGAATCTGTTTCCCAAGTCCTATACAGGTTAAGATCATGGCTTGGACCTAGCTTGGGACCACCAACGTTAAGCCTATACATAGTCTCCATCCCTCGTCCTCCCAAACCAAGCTCCACTTCGCTTCCACCTACTTTAGCAACAGACTCCTTGAAAATCTTGTCAACAACAGGAACAATCTCAATAGCATTCACAAAGCCGAACGATTCTTTCTCCGGGCTGAAACTCAAAACCAGCTTCTCCGGTCCGAGAGGTAAAAGAAACTCTTTAACCAGAGAAGAGGCGGTAGAGTTGTGGCCAGAGCTCTGCAAGATGAGATTTTTATGAGCGATTTCTCCAGGGATGTTCATGTCAAGCATCAGTCTCATACCATTCGCGGAAACGCTGAAAGAAGACTCATTCACATTGTGGTTTTCCATGACGAAAGGGCTGAAATGGAGCCTGAGAAAGTAACTTCCTTGAGGTATACCATCAAATGTATAGTTTAACGTGGTTGGGAACACACGAGCAGACTTGTAAATCTCTGAGAAAGCAGAGCTCTTGATCGGTGACGACGCAGTGGCATCAAATCCTGTTGAGCTAAGGGTTAAACTGTTGTTTGGAGACAAATCTCCAACCCATATTCTTCCATCGGCTTTCGTTGAAGTATTTGAGCCACAATCCACAAGAAAGCTCTTACCTTGAGCTTCTCCATAGCCAACAACACAAGTGAAGATTATCAACAGCACACATAGCAGAAGTTCAAGAAACTTTTTCCTCAGCTTTGACATAGCCACTATAAACAAAGACCCTACCTAAGCTCCTCCAGTAATCAGAAATTTGCCAAATGTGTGTGTTTTTAAGTCAATTTCAGAGAAGAAGCAAAGCAGAAACCAAAAGCTATTTTTTAGCAAATCAATTCTAAAATGCTGAAACTTTTATTTGAAGTTGACAATCCAATAACAAACCAAAGATCCAAGCTTTTGTACTCTTCTTACTTTTTTCAGTAAACAATCCAATAAGGAGCTAGATCTGAATGGAATACAACCGAGAAGAGTCCACAAGAAGTAGATTCTTTCAGTTAAAAACAAAAACCCAAAATGGAGATGGAATCAAAGCGAGGAAATGAAAAACCAAGAAGAGCAAAGATCCGGGTTTCAACAAAAGAGGAAAAAGTTTCTGTGAGGAGAAAGAAACAGAAAAGTAAAGCTGATAGGGTTATCTGAAGAAGAAACTATGAACATGGGTTGTTTGTTGGAACAGATTGGAAAAGAGAGGAGAAAGAAACAATAATAAACATTTCCTTGAATATCTGTTTTTTTTTCTTCTTCTTCTTCGAGAATTATAAAAAAAAAAATATATATATATATATATATATTTTTTGTACTTTTTATTAAATCTTTGTTTGCTGCTTGTTTGTTTCTCTTCACCAAAGAAGTCAAGTACTCAGAACCCCTTCATCATCATCCCTCCCTTTTCTTGTCACTTTGAAATTGATAGCAACTCTATAATAATGAGAAATGCCCTATAATATTTACTAATAATTAAAAGATAAAATCCGTCTATTTTCGAGTGTTTTGCAATTTAAATACAGTAACATATGCTTCTTAACTACTACATAAAAAAAGTAAAAAACTACCTAACAATTTTATAATACAGAATAAACGTTTTGAGATAATTCTCATTTCTTAAGATAGAAAAAGAATGAAATATAAAGATTCTCAGTGAAAATGAAAAAAAAAACATAGAATAAAGGAGAAAGAGACAAAAGATAAGAGCGGTGGCAATAATAGGGAAGTGGGTCACATGCACCTGTCCGGTAGATCATCAACATTCATTAAATAAACTTCTACATGAAATTCCAATAGTACCATTGTTGCAAGTTGCAACATCCGTCTCCATCGAGTTATGTGAAGGTTGTTTTTGTCTTTTAGATGTTCTCTTGGTCCGTACCGTCCCTAGAAGTACTTACTACGGAAAAAAAAACATTTGTTCACATATCATATTCAAAAAATCACATCTATTTATTTTTCTAATTATTAGAAGTTTTTAACGATATGCTTGTCCATCTATTTATTCTTATCTTTTAACGGCTTAATGTAGTAATGTGACCATTGTTTTTACAATTAAGCATGTAAGATGTAATTAATTGGTTTGCAAACTTATAAACTCGGAAAAGCATTGGAAATGTGTCGCCTTTGTTATTCAAATATTTATTATTAAAAAAAAACAATTATCTCTTTTTTTTTCGTTTTTTTCTTTTTTAAGATTATAGTGATTGGGGCAATAAAAGAGAACCATTATTTACAATTTACAAATATGTTTGTGATTCAGAAAATATATTTCAAAAACCATTTTCTCATAGGAGATATATTGGAATCGTATAATTCAAAAACTATATTTTATAGTATATACATTGAAAATGGAACCGTGTTCCAGTGGAACTGCAACAAAAATTTCTACAAGTCTCTAAGTCATTTACATCTCTATAACATTGTCTTGTAAGTTTTTATTATGTAATAATTTAACAAAGAATTTTACTTTTAATATCAAGTTTTTTCCTACAACATTAACTTTTAAAATACTTTTTTCTTTTCAACAACAACTTTTAAGATACCATCATCAATCACATACAAAGATTTGTGATTATCTGGTGCACCAAAATGGTACCTTTGATTCATATAAAGTCTAGAACATCTTCAAGAAATATAGTGTGGTAGCTAGTACTATAGTTATATTTAACAACCATGTGAAATGTTTAGGCAATTTATGCAGATTTAAATAGTTAAATCTTAAATCATCCACAAAATCTTAAGCTTACTTTTTTTTTCCCTTTTTAACGCAAGGTTTAGCCTCTTTGACTGGTTAAGAAAATTCTTATAATCAATTACAAACATTTGAATTCCTTGATAAAAATTTGAAACATTTTAATTTCTTATCAAAAAATAAAGTTCCACATATCTTTTCCTTTTAACAATTCTATCATATCATGAGATTATCAAAATCATCAAACTGTAATCTCATGTAAACAATGAGGGAAGAAATGAAACGAAATGAAAGCTTGTAATGGGGAAGTAATCCAATATTATTTGGTAATTGGTATCATGGTTTTTTTTTGAGTAACTGCAGTTACTATATATGGATAACTTGAAAATTAAAAGACGAAAGAGCAAATTTTCTGACATATAACCTAATCGTCTTCCATCTTCTTAATTTCTAAGATTAGATATTCACTTTGGAGTTTGAACTCAAGCAAATAAACCTAAGAAGCAATTTTTTCTTTTCTTCTTTTTATTTTGCGGTGGAAAACAAATCTAGTCATTTTTTTTCCGATTTTGCTTCATCTCAAATAGCACAATATATAGGGTTCGTGAAGAGTTCAATTGCATGCTCATTGCTCAACAATTCGCAGAGAGAATCAGTTCTATAATCCGCCATCGTTGAGTGTTGTACACAATTTGTTTTTGAAGATTTTAGGCCCATTCACTGGATCAGTTTTCTAATCTACAACACTCTCTTTACCTCTTACGTGAGATGTAAGGAAGCTATTGATAAAGCCAAGACTACCTTTGAAGAAGTTGAGAGAGTTATGTTTCCTAAATGTTAACTCTATGCACTCATTTAGGAATTCGAAATTTGGTCAATGAAAATTTCTGCGCCAGATGGATCAGAACAAAGAAAAGCCCAAAAATCTCACAGCAAACAAAGCTTTGAGAAAAGTTATTATGTTTAGGTCATTTGGTTTTGAAGTTCTTGATCCATAAGACCATAAGGAAGATAACTTCCACATGAAGTTATTTCTTTATGGGCTAGGTTACTTGTTTCATGAGCAATTCAGGATACACTAAAACCAATATCAATATGGGAATTAGATTGTTATTAATTCAAACCTTTTAAAAAAGGTAACACAACAATGAGAAAATAACGAAGTCATGAAGACAATACAAGTCAGATTAATAATAACAACAAAAACAATTCAAACAATAAAAACAAAGTGGAATTATAATCATATGAGGACATCAATGGGAGGTCTTGGTTCAGAAGAACCAGAGACGACTTCATCATCTTCAGATGATCCATGCAACAAAGTCCTCACTTCTGCTATAATAAGCTGAGTAAGCAACAATCCAGAGATCAAAGCCGCAGTCATCAACATATAAAACACAGCATCCCAACTAATCGCAGCGATGTAACCCGTAAGAACAGGTCCAATAGCTGCACCAACCGATCCTGTTCCATCTATAATAGCAGTCACTGTAGCCAAAGCCCTAGCATTTCCTTTAAGCGACTTGTGAGTACCAAGATCAGCTGCAACCGCGGTTGTGATCAAAGCATAAGGTCCATTCACAAACACTCCAGCGATGAACATAAGGATGATATTGATTGTCATCGAGACATGACCATAGGTTCTGTAAAGAAACAGAGCTGGAATTGTCAAGTAGATGAATCCTCCGGCTGTGATTGCTCTCCCTTCGAGCTGGTCAGAGAAATAGCCAGCCAAGATCCCTCCAACAACACCTCCAACATCAAATAACGTCGATAAGTTTCCTGATGTCTCTTGTGACAAATGCTCTCCTCCGATCTCAGTCTGGCTTACGTAGAAAGGAAGCCAATAGAGGAAAGTGTAAGACACAAGTTTCGTGAAGAAGAGACAAAACGCAAAAGGAGCAACACCAGGGATCTTCCAAGCGGCTAAGAACCCTACAGCTCTTCTGTCGAATCCAGTAGTACTCATCCTAGAGCTCAAGAAGCTCTCTGTAATGGTGTCACCGAGCCTCATCGTTGAATCAACTTCAGTTCCATCTCTCTCAGCTTCCACAGCAGGAGGGTTCACAGGCAAGAACAAGTAAACCACAATGCCAAGAAACGTGATGAGCAAGGCAGGACCAACAAAAGACCATCCCCAACCGAACTTCAAAAGTCCTGTCGCGATCAAAGAACCAACGATGTTCCCTATCGACGTGTGAGCACTCCACACACCCATAATCACTCCTCTCCTCTTCTTATCAAACCAATTCCCCAAAACCGCAACCACACAAGGCCATCCGATAGACTGGAACCACCCAGCCAGTGTCTGGATCGCTAGGAAGTAGTAGAAACTATGGATGTTAGCCCAAAAGGCAACCCCAAACAGAGCGGTGAACACTCCTGTACCGATCATACCGATTGTTAGAAACGTCCTGAGGTCCAAACGATCACCTAAATGACCAGCGACGAACATTCCAACCGCGTAAACAGAGAGGAAAGCCAGATCGATTTGTCCGAGCAAAGCTGTTCCGTCTGGACCATCGAAAGGAGCCCATCCGCTATTTTCCGTGGACTTGAAATGTCCCGTTGATGGTTTCGAGAGCGTTCCTTTGACGATGCTGTTAGGTTTTCGAGTTGCGTGGAAGGCAAGGTAGGCGATGAAGGTCAAGACGAAGACCAGTGCTTGGTATTGCTTGAAAGAGAGTTTCCCTGAACGCTTAAAACGTTCTAGGAAACGGATACCTGGTGGTTTTATCTCTACGTAGAGGAATTCAGATGAAGTCCAAGACGCCATCTTGGTTTCTTTAGCGGCCAAAACCTGAAAATGAGATCAAGACAAGAAAAAGTCAAAAAGACAGAACAAACAAGACATTTTAAGAACGATCTTAACGTTGAGATTGATTCTTTATCATCTCTTATAAACAGTAAAAGAAAAATAATATATCAAAGAATTTGAATCACCTTTGAAATTTCGAAGAGAAGAGAAAAACAAATCTCTTTCTCCTCCCTTCTCTGGTTTTTTTTCTTTCTGCAACTTAATGCTTTGGAAGATTTTGTAAGGAAAGAAGCAGTATTTAAATAGGTTAAGGACGTGAGAGTGACTAAGTTAAAATTACTTAATCTTGGGGTCTATTTGATGTATTTTATTAGTTTGACTTTTGGTTCATATGTTTGACTTTACTATCCATCCACTTTTTCAAGTTTAGACTTCACAACATGTACGCACATACGGTTAAACCAGAAGTAACCATTGGAGAACATTTCAAATGATGAAATCAGATTTTATTAGAGGAGGAACAAAAAAGACTAGAAACAACAAATATCCGTTAGTAAAATGGAATATACCCTAAGGCTTATATAATTTTTCTTGAAAAAGGAAGCAGATGAACTACAGACTGAAGAGCTTGTTCTTAGTTATAAACTTATAGTCTTTGAAAGGAAATTTTAATTTTGTATTATCTATCTTATGAAAGATTACCAACTCAGCTTCTTGAAAGATTCAAATATGGAACAATTAATGTATTTTGACTTTTGTGATTTGCTGCTATCTCATGCTTTGTATCTATCAAGTGAGGTGCCTTTTACTGTTAAGAGATTGCAATCCACAGCTTATGTTTAATTTTATTTTATTGTTGCATTATTCTAATGAATGTTTTCTTCCAGTCGGTCTGGTTATTCCCAAACCGGTCGAGAATTGAGTTTAAAAATATAAACCCGAATATTTTGATATCCGGGAGATTCGAACCATTCCTCTCTCTATTGTCGGACCATCACAAGGAGGGAGTGGAGTTAAAAACACGAGTTGACTTTTTTGACTCAACACGAGATCAATGGAGATCGAAAAACAATCAAGCTTGAACAAAGGTACATTGGCTTCCATAAACTTGCCAATATTGATTTTTGTTTTGTTTTGTTTTGTTAGTGGTTAAATAAGTTATCTCTTGTTAATTTGTTTCCTAAAGATGTGAGTCTATCGATGGAGGAAGAGAATGGTACGAATCCTAAGATCAGTAGGTACTGGATTCAACGTTACGTTCTCTTCTCAAAGTATGACGAAGGTATCAAAATGGATGAAGAAGGATGGTACTCTGTGACTCCTGAAGAAATCCCGATCAAACAAGCTGAGAGATGTCGTGGCAAAGTGGTGATTGATTGCTTCTCAGGCGTTGGTGGTAACACTATCCAATTTGCTAAAGTGTAAGAAAAAGTAATGAAGTATGATAAAAATGGTTGTGACTTGTGAGTTTGTTTATTAAATCATTTTTTTTTTTCATGTTTTTATAGATGTTCTTCTGTCATTGCTATTGACATTGATCCAGTGAGAATAGAGATGGCTATTAACAATGCAATGGTTTACGGTGTTGCTAATAATGTGGATTATGTCGTTGGTGATTTCATCCACTTGGCTCCATCTCTCAAAGTAATCTTCTTTTCTCTATCCACTCTTTTTTTTTTTGACCATTTTTGTTGTTGAGCTCATCTACAAGTTGCATATCGACATTTTTGCTAGGGAGATGTGTTGTTTCTTTCGCCACCGTGGGGAGGACCAACGTATTCCCAAGTCGAGAGCTTCAAGCTGGATATGCTCCAACCAATAGACGGGTAACAATAGATTAATCTAACTCATTGATGTGTAATGTGTTTCAATAATATATGCTTAATGAAGTTGTTTATTTTTTCTTCTCAAGGTACACACTGTTTAAGATTGCGCAGTCCATTACGTCTAATATCATAATATTTCTACCGAAAAATGTTGATATAGCACAACTTGAAGAACTCGCTTGCCTCTCGTCGCCTCCTCTAACTCTTGAGGTACTTATTTACTTAACACAAACACTGAATAAAAAAAAAAGAGCACTAAATGAGAGCTAATTTTTATTGCCAAAACTCTTTTTACTCACATGTTGTGATTTTTCATTTCAGATAGAAGAAAACTATGTTGGAGGCAAACTCATAGCCATAACAGCTTATTTTAGTTGCAATGCGGTTTAGTTGCGAATTTGGAACCATTGGTGGCATCAAAGGAACTATATTTCTGCGTCCGAAACATATGAATTTACTTTTGTCATCCATGTCCTAAATTTTTATGATTTCTTGAAGAGATGTTTCATTTTTGTTAATTTTGATTTATGATTCTTAAAGACACTTAAAACTCGTTCTATCATCATTAGTTGGAGGACTTGACTTTTGCCATCCATTTCCTAAACTATTATGATTTCTTGAAGAGATGTTTCATTTTTGTTAATTCTGATTTATAATTCTTAAGGACATTTGAAACTCGTTCTATCCTTCAGTAAGTTCAGTTTTTAGAAGTGTAATCTTATCATTAGTTTACTTTGCGACTGGAATAATTAATCAGCTTAATCATTTATATTATAAAGTAGTTTAACATCAAGCGGGGATAGCTCAGTTGGGAGAGCGTCAGACTGAAGATCTGAAGGTCGCGTGTTCGATCCACGCTCACCGCATTTTTTTTAACATTTTTCTTTCTTTTCTTTTTTGTGATTAGACCGGTCAGGAATTACGTTATAAACCAAACCACTCAAAATAATTACGAAAACCGGCTATTTTCGTAAACCGAACATTTCGATTTCCCGGAGAAATATTTGTTCTTGGACCGTCGTCGAAGGGTTTTTCAGTTTTTAACCGGCGTCGAAACACGACTTGGCTTGACTCTTTTCAATTCACGAGACTGATGCAGCTCAAAAAACGATCGCGCTCGAAGAAAGGTAACACTCGCTGCTCAATTTTCGATCCCTCGACATAAATCTAGTGCGACGTAATCCAGTTTTTGAACTTTTCCTGTTGTCTTCTCCGATGGAAAAACCCTAATTGAGTCTTCCGTTACTCAGGGATAAGAAATTCGTCGATAGAGAGAGACAATGGCACGAGCCCTAAGGTGAAAAAGTACTGGATTCAGCGTTACGACCTCTTCTCGAGATATGACGAAGGTATCGAAATGGATGAAGAAGGGTGGTACTCTGTGACTCCTGAAGAAATCGCCATCAAACAAGCTGAGAGATGTCGTGGCAAAGTCGTCATCGATTGCTTCTCAGGCGTTGGCGGCAACACTATCCAATTTGCTAAAGTGTAAGAAGCTCAAAAACAAGTATCACTACTGGGTTTGTGTGATGATTTCTAAACCAAAGTTTCATTCTTTTGTAGATGTTCATCTGTAATTGCTATCGACATTGATCCGAAAAAGGTCGAATTGGCAATCAACAATGCAATGGTTTATGGAGTAGCTGATAATGTGGATTTTGTCGTTGGTGATTTCATCAAATTAGCTCCATCTCTCAAAGTAATCTCTTTTATCTGCAAAATTAGAGATTCCTCTTGACCCTTTTTGCTCTTGGTACTAATGAATCAACTCATGTCTTGGTTTCTAGGGAGATGTATTGTTTCTGTCGCCACCATGGGGAGGTCCAATGTATAACAAAGTTGAGAGCTTCAAGATGGATATGCTCCAACCAATAGACGGGTAATAACATTAGTTACATCTGTACATTTTTGTGCTCCATGATCGTTTGATGAAGTGTTTGTGGAAAGGTACTCATTGTTTCAGATTGCACAGTCCATAACGCCAAACATCATAATGTTTCTACCTAGAAACGTTGATTTAGATCAATTAGAAGAGCTAGCTTGGCTCTCCTCGCCTCCTCTTACTCTCGAGGTACTTTAACTTAACTTAAAACGCAGCACTTGTCAAGAAGAAGAAGAACAAATAGGAGAGCTGATTTGATTGCAACACTCTGGTTTCTTGATTTGTGGTTTCAGATTGAAGAAAACTGTGTTGGAGGCAGATTGAAAGCAATTACGGCTTATTTTAGTTACAATGCGGTTTAGTTTAGATATTTTGAACTATCTTTCTGCATCTGGCAAATAGAGAAACTGACTCCTGTAATTCATTATCTGGTCTTATGATTGTGTAATTTCTTGAAGAGACTTCTTTTAAAATTAACACATTGATTTCTTGGGTAACAAGTAAAAGGTTTAGTTGTGACTTAACTTTATGTCTTCCTTGTGATTTCAATTTGTCAAAGACAAAATCTACTTTGATGAAGAGGTAAACTCTTTTATTAATTAAAATAAAAGAAAACAAAGACAAACATGATCATGAACAAAAAAGTAACAGAGAGGCCACAACGGTGTGTACATGATCATGTTTCATAACCCCAATTGTTTTCTCCGCGAACCGTTGCTTCTTCTTCGGGTGTGAAATCGTTCGTGACGCTGAAGAAATCACGAACCTCTTCGACAGTTCTATCTTTGACCATATTAGCGACCGTGTCACAAGCAAGACCAAGAAGATTTTTGATGTCCAGATAGTTAGCAGCCAGAATAAGGCTAAAGAGCGTCGGATCATCCACCTGGCTCATAAAGTCAGCGTCCCACTTCTTGAGCTCCTCTTCGGAGGAAGAAGAAGAAGAAGACGAATCACCTTCACCACCATCGGGGACGACGACAGGGACGTGTTTCTTGCAGTACTCGATCACAATGGCGAGGATAGCGCCGTCGACGTTAGCAAGAGGGACTCCGTTTTGGACGCAGTCATCTTCGATCATGTGAGCTATGGTCTGCGACTGGAGAGCCACAGCTTCTTCAACCTCGAAGATTTTGTCATCTGCGCTCCTTAATACAATGTTCTTCGCCAACGTTGACATGATTAGTTCTTTGTGGAGATTGATGATGTAAAAACTAGGAATTAGGGTACGTGATTTGATGTGATGTGGAGAATGAATGAATACAAAGTTGTGAACCGATGCCATGTATATTTAAAGGATTTTGAGTCGGTTGTTTTCTTCGTTGTCGTAACATGATTTGGAAATATATTGTTTCCCCAAAGAGAAAAAGGAAATATGTTTGTGGTTTTTTTTCTTCTGATGAAATTGTGTTTTGTTTTTCTGCAAAAAAAATGGAAATATATCATTGTTTCCTTTTATACATTGAAACTTTTGTTTGTTTGTGATAACCCCTGGAAAATAAATAAAATAAATCGTGAATTACAGCGCTTATTCAACTTCAAGCGTGAGACATATCTCTTTCGTTGAAAATTAAGATACACATAAACACTATCCAAATCTTGATCTCCGATCGAAAAAGTACTAATTTTTCACTGAAATTTCTCAAATCTCGAAGACCCATTTCTCCGTCTTCCTTGATCTGATCCTGGGGTTGGTGGAGGGTTTTAATTGGTTAATGAGGAATCCACACAGCAATGGAAACCTTCGGAAGCTGGAAGCTGACGGAGAAGAAGAAACGGAGGAGAAATCGTGCCATAACGGCTTCGGAGTTGGTGTCATCTTGGGTCTCGACGGTGGCGCCACCTCAACTGTGTGCGTGTGCGTCCCATTCTTTCCGTACGGCGATCGTTTACCGGAGCCTCTTCCAATCCTCGGTAGAGCCCTCGCCGGTTCAACCAATTGCAACAGCGTTGGAGGTTCCGTCTCATCTCACTCTCCCCAATTTTGAATATTGCTCATTGTTGGAGGACTTTTCTGGGTTTTATTGAAGTGCGATCATTTTAGCTCCGGTCAATAGAAATTGTCGGTGGATTTTGATCCTTCTGACATCTGCTAAGGAGTGTTTGGCTTTCTTTATCTTTAATTCAACCAAATTCTAGTGCAATGTGGCATTTTCTTAGCTGATTCTTGTCGTGCTTGTTTAATCCTGGAATTGGAATTGGAATTGGAATCGGAATTGGATTTGATCACAAGTAGTCTTTTGCCTTATGTAGTTATGGCACCACTTAGATTCAACTCTTTTAAGCCAACTTTCAATGTATGCAGAGACTGCAGCAAGGGATTCACTAGAGCAAGTTATTTCTGAGGCACTTGTACAAGCAGGTTCAGATAAATCAGATGTCCGTGGTGTGTGCTTAGGTGTTTCAGGTGTAAATCATCCCTCAGACCAGAAAAAGATTGAAAATTGGATAAGGTGCTAGTCATGTCAGGTGAAACTTATGGCTATAGGAGTGTCAGGTGTGAATTTTCTCGATCTTAACCGATTCTCGTAATTTGCTTTTCAGGGAAATGTTTCCGAGTCATGTCAAGGTGTATGTTCAGAATGATGCTATAGTGGCTTTAGCCAGTGGAACCATGGGAAAGCTCCATGGCTGTGTTCTTATCGCCGGTACAGGATGTATAGCCTATGGTTTTGATGAAGATGGCAGGGAGGCTCGAGCATCTGGCGCTGGACCAATCTTAGGTGATTGGGGAAGGTAGTTCTCTTTCCATTCCTTGTTTTATGTCAGTTTTACCTCTTATAAGGTTTCAGAGATGCATGAGCTAAAACTGGGATCGAGCTATAGACTTTGCCATACTTATAAATGTATTGAGAGATTCTTTAACCGATAGTTATGTGAATGATGATGTGATGATTTACAGTGGCTATGGAATTGCTGCACAGGCCTTGACGGCGGTGATTAGAGCTCACGATGGTCGTGGCCCACAAACGATGCTTACAAGTTCCATCTTAAAAGCACTTGGACTTTCCTCTCCAGACGAACTCATAGGGTACCTTCTCTTCCAAACTAATGAGTCGGTCTCAAAACGTCAAAATGCTAAATCTAATGTATCTGGATGTAGGTGGACTTACGCTGATCCATCATGGGCACGCATTGCTGCTCTTGTTCCTCAAGTAGTATCTTGTGCAGAAGCTGGTGATGAAATTTCAGATAAGATCTTGGTTGATGCAGCTGAGGATTTAGCTGTAAGCGTTAAAGCTGTTGTACAGAGACTTGGTTTATGTGGCGAAGGTGGATTCACATATCCAACACTCTTTTTTTATCAAATTTTCACCACATAGTTTCCTAATACTGTCAGAATTATTTTCCTCGTTGCAGATGGGGCAGCTTCTTTCCCAGTTGTAATGGTGGGCGGTGTCCTAAACGCTAACCAGAAATGGGACATTGGAAAAGAAGTCTCAAACCGCATCAACCGTTACTTTCCAGGGGCTCAAACTATCATACCAAAGGTTCATCATTCTACTTCTCACTCACTCTCTCTCTCTCTCTCTCTCTCTCTCTCTTTCCCAACGACTGAAGTAAGTATATACTGATATGGATTTTCAGGTAGAGCCAGCTGTTGGAGCAGCATTGTTGGCTATGAACTTCTTAACAAGTTAACAAGCCATCGGTCACATATTGCTTTGTTGTCAAACATCAATGTTTCTTGAATCTGTAAGCATGCCATAGTGTGATTAGTGACATATTTTTTCTCTTGCTTTGGTACATTTGTACATTAGAACAAAAAAAAAAAAAAAACTATCTTCACGCCCAATTCTTGCTATTGATTATCTTTTTTGGCTACTAACTTACTACATATACCTAGATAACCTACCCAACCACGAAGAGAGAAACATTGACAGAGGATGTGAATTTATACAGCAGATATGCAATGAAACTTTTGTGAAAGAGATTTCGTTCATATGCGATTTCGTCAGTAGACTGATACTCTTTTTGATTCTCCTTTTAACTCTCTCCGGACAAGCTTCAAGATCTCGATAATCTGTGAAGATGAAGATACAAAAGTTTGATGAAAGTATACTATACAATGCAAGCTTCATATAATACTATGAGACAGAGAGAGAGGAAGAAAGATTTGCTTACGCCAGGGTAATGCTTTAGAATTGGTGAGTAATGATCAAGAGCTATGTAAATTTTCTTCAGAAGGTCCAAGAGAGATTCGATTTCATCGCCAAGGAGATCAACCTATGATTCAAGCAGCCAGATGAAAAGGATTATCATGCTACTACCAAGTGGTCAACGAAAGAAAACAACAACAAAGGGCTAAAAGAAGCTTCAAAGTCATCAATATCAATTGTGAAGACTCACCTCAGTCTCAGCCTTTTGGAGGTCACAGGTCTTCTTCTCCATTAGTTGCTTGTACATTGATTCTCTTGCATTGAGTCCATCAACTTCATCTAAAAGATCACTCAAATGCCTCTGCATACTTTCCAACCTACAAGTCAACAACAAACTCTCGTGTCTGTCAAATCAAATACGACTGTGTCTAGCCATAACATTATACGACACAAGAGATTTGAGTGTACCTAAGATTTATTTTGTTCATCTCTTCGGCTACCAAGCACTCGGTATTATCGAAACATTGACTCCATTTATCAAGACTTAGAGCCGTCGATACAAACTGTTTCTCAAGTCTCTTTTGCTCTGCTTCTGCTGATGATAACTTCAGCTCCGATTCCACTTTCTCATTTTCGGTTGTCTTCATATTCTTCCCAACTAGCTCAAGCTTCTGTCTCAACTCTGATATCTCCATCTCATAACCCTCTATAATCTTCACTACTTCTTGCTGATCAATCTGAGACTGAAGATTGTTACTCTGTTGAGAGGCCATCTCAAGTTTCTCCCTCTCTGTAGCCAAATCATTCTCAGCTATCTGAACTAAATCCTCCTTCTCCTTCACAAGACATTCCAGCCGATGAATCTCTTCTTTTAATCTTTCCTTCTCAGCCATTTCTGATCTCAAAGCATCTTCTTTCTCTGATACATTCTTGTTCAAACATCCAAGTCTCTTATCAGCTTCCTTCAAAGCTTCTTTGTATACCACCGCGCAGTACTCTTCTGCCATGCAGGACTCAACAAAAGAGTCTTCAAGATCAATCTTGCTCTCAGAGGATTCTTCTTTTGCACACTGAATCTGGTTCACAAACTCTCCAAGAACAGACCAATAGATAGAAGCTTCAACATGAGAATCCTCAACATCTGATTCAAGCTTCTGGATCAACTTTAAATGATTTTCCTCAACTTGAGAAAGCTGTGAGATCTTCTGATCAGCCTCTGCAAGTGAATCTTTAAGCTGAAGGTTTTCTATAAGCAGAGAGTCCAATTGGCTCTTCTCATCACCCTCTGATGAAACCTTATCCAACTTTGAAATGATCTCTGGGATCTTCCAGCAAATCATCGACAGCACAAGATACATCCCCTGCTCGAAGAACAAGGTATGACATCGATTTGGAAAATTAGGTATAAAATTGGTAGGGATTTTTGATGAAACTAATTGATTTAGGTCGAGTTACATTTTTAATTAGTTAGATTGTTAATTAGGCTAGGGAATTTTGCTAGATTGAGTAATTGTTTCGAATAAGGGGAATGAGCCCATTTGAGCTATATTATTTCGTTTTATGCAGTTCGATAATTGGCTACACTATCGGAGAAGGTGGGATGAAGTTATGTGGGAGCAGGTCGTGGCTCTCAGGGCAGAGAATGAGAAGCAGGAGAAGCATATGCGTCAGCTTCAAGGCGACATTGTGCAGAACAAGAGGGAGATTGAACATCTCAAGGCACAACTTGACCACCTCCTGAACAAGAATCTGCGTGAGCTGACCTTGGGGCTTTGACGAGCCGGCTTTGACCATGTCTCCCCCTATGTATTGAAGCTAGCTCTATGTATTTCCCTATTTTCCAACCTTAATGACTCTAGTTTGTGTAATTTGTGCTTGTTTTAATGACTCTATGCTTGCTTAATGTTATAATGACTTTATGCTTCTAATTATTGTACTAGTTTGCTCATTTTCTTTTTGCCTTCTTTTAATTACACGAAACAAAGTAGATAATGCAAACCAAGAAACCGATTTCACTATCGAAATTAAGTACAATGAAAACAAGGAAACATCATCCTTAGCAACAAGATATCATCCAAAACAACAAAATCCCATTAATAACATCATCCTTAAAACAACAAAATACCATTAAAAACAGAGGCAAAAACAGAGCCTCCTTTAGTTCCAAAGATGCTTCAAAGTATTGCACTAACACTTTGAAGGTATAAGAAAAGTATTGCACTAACACTTTAAACCTTCAAAGTATTGCACTAACACTTTAAACCCGCAAACCAATTATGTTAACACTTAAAACCTTCAAATTAACTAAAATTTGTGTGCCGTCAAAAATGAAAAAATATGACCGATTCATATCCTGTAAAACAATGACGTGTCTGTAATTTTTAATTTTTAAAATAAAAATAATAAATTTAAATTCTTCTTATTTTTTCTTTAATTTGAAGTTACAAATTAAAAAAAAAAAAGAAGAAGAATATTTTCTCTTTCTTCTTTCCATTCTACGACAATCTTCTCTTTTGAACAAATGCAATGAAAACTAACCAGATCTCAGTTATTGACTTCAATGAAAACCATATCTATTTAATTATATATTACTATGCAAAACCCAAACCTCATGATCTACTCTAAAAGGCAAAGCTCATTACTGCAATTGAACACACGTTTAAACAAACTCTAAAATCATATTACAGATTTTAATTATTTGACCAAATCAAAATGAAAACTCGGATCTATTCTTTTTACAATAAACAAATTTGAAGATAATGATTTGTTCATGACGAAAGGGATAAATATATTGTGTAGATTAGAGCAGTTTGAGGATTCCGGATGGCTCTGTCAGTCATAGCTCTGTGAAATTCACCCACATGCTCTACAACCAGGTGAAAGCTTCACATTCTAAATCTGATCCCAAATTTCATCAATGCTGAAGTTTTCCGACGAATTGATCAAATGATTTCTGAATTCCCATTTACAGAGCTTTACGAGCAGGTTATCAAGTATGAGGAATGTTTGTTATTTTAAAAAACAAGTCCAAATATACGAGAGATGAATATTGAGGATAGTGAGTATCCCTTCTCTCTCTTCTCTCTCTCTTTCTTTCCTGTCTCCAATTGCGAAATCAATGGAGATTCAGAACTTGAATCGATTTTGTACCCGAAAACGTTCGGAAATCATGTCTTTAGTGATGGGGGGGTTCCTAATCATCGCGGCGGAGCAATGGTGCTCAAGTAAACTCTTCTCAGCGGTGGAATTTTTTTTATTTGAGGCATGGTTTGTGTTCAGTAATAAGTATATCGTATGATTTTATTGTATAATTGAAATCTGGGTGAATCTGTTTTTTGTAGTATTTTTATTTTATTGTATGAAGATGAAGAACGGGGAAGATGAAGATTCTTTGTTGTATTTTTATTTTATTTTAAATGCAAATCAAAATAAAGAAACAATAACTTGTTAAAAAGGATAATTATCCCCTATCAATATTTTAGTATTTACTTCTAAACTAAGTTTTCTTACCGCCTCTCAACTTACCGACTTCATGTAATAGATTAATATTTTACACTCTCTATAAATAGGGAATTCAATACTTGTTATTGTAATAAATTCAAGAGAAATTTGCCTAGATGACCCAATTATACGTCGTATTTAGCTAGAAAGGAAAGTGTATTTTTATGTACATGCAACTTTTCAATAATACAATTATGCCCCTTCTCTCTCATCACCTTGTTTACTCCACAACTTTATCTCTCTCTTTCTTTCTCTTTTCCTCTCTTCTCTCCCGATTCTAATTCTGATTTCCTCTCTCTCTCCCTTTCTTCTCTCCTAATTCTGATTCTGATTTGAGATTTTTATTTACCATGAACTATGGCGGTGGTGACGCAGTGACAACACGGCGACAACGATGCGGCGATGATGACGCAGCGGCAACGTCAACAGCGCGGCAATGACACGACGACGAGAACAATGCGACAGTGACGGGGCGAGACAACAATGCGGCAATGATAACGGAGCGACAATGACATGGCGATGACAACAATGCGGCAACGACGATGCGGCGACATCGATGGTGATGGCGACGACGGGACAAAAACTACATTTTCACTTACAAGACTCTGAAGAGAAGATTCTCCAATCACGTTCTGACACACAATATCTGATCTGACAACACCATTTTTGAAGGAAAATGTACAATATTATTTAAATGTACTAAATCTTTCAATAACTGGTCATCTTTGTTTGTAGCCTGCTAAAAAAAATTGTAACACGAATAAAATTTTATATCATTTTTTTTACATTGTACAATATTGTTTTTACGTACTATATATTTTAGCAATAGTCATCTTTGTTTGTAGCGCGCTAAATAAAATTGTAACACGAATAAAATCTTGTATGATTTATTGTTTGTTATCCATCTAACATATTTAATATCCCGTAAAATATAAACTTAAACGTAAATATACATGTGTACATGTGATATAGTAATTGTTAGCATGTATCAAAAACATGTAACTCGTTAATATAATATATCTCTCTTTAACTGACTTGTTGTTCATTACATTTTTCCTTCGTCCCGTCACCATTTTTTATATGATTATTGTTGTTATCTATTTAATATATTAAATATTCAGTAAAATATAAAGTTAAACGTAAATTTATATGTGTATATATGATACAATAGTTGTTAACATGATCCAAAAATATGTAACTAGTTTGTTAATGGTAAATAAATTTCATAATTGTTTCTTGGAGAGAGGAGAGAGAGAAATGCATTCAGTTTGTGAAGAGGCCACATTCAAGAAAGAGAAATGCATTAAAGTTTACGGTGGCCCACTTCGGAGGTACTATTTAGTATTTCACCACCATTTTTTGTATAAAGTATCCATACCCTTCCCTATACTTCCCTTTTACCTAAATACGGACACTATACTTCCCTTTCTCCACCATCCTCCACCGAGCTCTTCTTTCCGTGTTTTATCCACGTCGTCTCAGAGCCTCCCTCCGAAATTTTTTTGTGTAACCGGTCAACCGCACATCAGCCATCCATCGCCTCCGTCTGACAATGCATCCCTTAGCTATCACTTCGATTCCCTCAACAAGCTGGATCACCGGTTTCCGCCTTCTTAAATAGTCAATCGGCGTCGTCTCGATCGAAAGAGTCGATTGAGATTGTTGATTGCTACTTCGGACTTAGGGCTCTTTTCTTCCCAACAGGCTCCCTCCGAATCAGGTTACTCCGCTGTAAAGCCCAAGACATTTTACTCATTGTTCATATCTGAGCCCATTTGTGATTTACAATAACGTCTCTCTTCGTTGTGTTTTATGTCACGACCTCTGTTTTTTCATCAGACGAATTGGCTCCCCGGCTTCTGTTACAACTCATAGAGGTCATGTTTCTTCGTCTTTTGCCTCTCTAATTTCCCTTTGCCATTTAATAGCAGTGTACTAAATGTCATTACACTCATATTCTCAGCTCAACTCAATACCTGAGCGTTGCATATGACTATAAATACCGACAAGGTATTAAGAAGATAAATCGTTTTTTTCTCTGTTCTCTCTCTCTCGCTCGATAATTCGATAATCTTCTGTGTGATTCGGTTGAAGCTAGCGGATCTGTTTGACTATGGTGGAGGTCTTGTGAATCCAGAGCAGCAAAACCAGGTGGTCATGTATATGTTTTGTATCACCGATTCGTATGTTGTATCCTCTATCTGACTCGAATCTTTGATGTGGTTTCTTATTTTCCTGTCCTGATTTCATTGTAAAGATTCGGCTACATAAGCTGTTATATAGGTCGTAATCCAGTTGCAATGTGGCATATAGTTAGTCGGAGTTAAAAGCTGTGATTCCTGCTTTTCTTTGAGAATTATTCTATCGTTCATGCTTTCACTTTAATGCTTCTGTTATTCTGTACAAAACGTCAAGGGCCATGGAGACTGTCGTCAATCAACATGGTCTTGAATTGAAGCTTTCAAGTTATCACGTCTTCCCCAGGCTGGTGGTACGGTGGTACCCAAATAGAAGATTATGGCTCTGCACATTTGGCTGGTATATACATCTTTCCTCTTTTGGTTGAGTTTAGAGTTTTGTGTATCATGTGGTTATCCTTGTGCTGGTCTTATTGTTTTGTTAAATTCTCAATCTCACGATAGGAGTGAAACAATGAATAAAAAAGATGCGAAGTCAAGTGTAAAGAGAAAGAGGGGTGAATCATCGTTTTCTTGGGAGCAAAATATGTATAATTCCCAGATATTTGATATTCACGGGACAGTTGAGGAGACTAGAATAATAAGCAAAGTGGAAATACCAGGTAACCAAGTAAGAATGATTTTGGAGAAAAACCAAGAAACACAACCTTTTTGGGTATAATTTAAAAGCTAAGAAACAGACCTTTTTGTTCAAAAAAAAGAAAGAGAGATTTGCAACCTACAATTCTGTTATTTATGCATGCAAGTTACCGACATATATACCAAGGAGAAGCAAATTGTGCGTTGATGAATCTCTTTTCTCTATTGCATCTTCTACTTTTGGGATGATGGTGAAGGTGGATGAGATACTATAGAACTGGGATACAATCCATTCGTCGTTCTCTGTCGTGAAGACACAAAGCGGCAACAACTTGAGCAATGGAAGTAGCAGCAAAGCTCAAGGAGAGGAACCGAAAGGCGACGGGGATAGTGTCAGAAGTGGAGAAGAAGGCGGATCAGAGAGTAGAGACAAATCTAAGAGGAAATGGTTCAACTTGAACCGTAAAGGATCAAACAGAGGATGTGAAGACTCTGAGAGGCAGAGCGGAGTGGAAGAGAAGGAGACAGTGAGAAAGAAGAAAGATTTGAGATCATTGATGGAGGAAGAGAAGAAGACGAACAATGTGGTGGTGATGAGTTACGACACGAACTATTACAGACTCTCTGCTGACATTGCCAAGGAGACTTGGATTGTCGGTGGAATTCAAGATCCTCTGTTTCGAAGTCGAAGCTGGAAGAAATGATGTTCTTGTTCTTTATACATATTTTTCTCTTTTTTTCTCTTGTGAGTTAAAATCTTAAAATAAACCTGTTCTCGTAATAATATTAGTGTGAATATATATGGGATTGGTTTCATCAAATGTTTCACTTCTTTGCTTCTCTAGAGTCTGCTCTGATTCTTACTACATGTCATCTGTTTACAAATTTTATATTTTGTGTGTGTTTTTAGTTTGTATGTTTGTAACAAAGACTTTAAACTTTCAAAAATTACGATACGACTTTGATTTTCATTGCAACTGGATCTCGATCTAGAATTGATAGCCGATGTTAGTACGATCAGCCCAAGTGTGTGAAATTGGTTAACAGGCCTTTCAACAAACAATAAACGGTTAACGGGCCTTTCAACAAACAACAAGCGGAAAAGGCACGCTCATGATATGATATATATCCAAACACAAATACAAAATCTGATTAACAATGAAGACAAGCTTTACTTTAACGTTTACTTTGGAGGAAACTACGAGGAAATGAGCAAGTAAATTGGGTTGGTACGTATTACAGAATTAAGAATAGTCAAAAGAATGAGCATCTTTTGTCAGGTTCTGACTCGGAAGCAATCGTTTCCGAGCAAATGTTTCCGAGCATCAGCCTGGCTTTATATAATTTTAGATTATGAATGTAAATCAAGCTTAAAAATCATCATTCATAATTTTTTTCGTCACAAATATAAACATTTCAAGCAAATATTAAGATAACTATATAAAAATTATACAATTTAATTAAATTAAACTGTCATCAATTGACGAAACTAATGAAAACTCCATTATCATCAATATCGTAAAATTTTTATCATTGCTTCACACTCTCCGTATGTTCTTGACTACCCAAAATTAAACCGTCATCAATTGACGAAACTGATGAAAACTCCATTATCATCAATATGGTAAAATCTTTATCATTGCTTCACACTCTCCGTATGTTCTTGACTCACCCAAAATTAAACCGTCATCAATTGACGAAACTCATGAAAACTCCATTATCATCAATATCGTAAATTTTTTATCATTGCTTCACACTCTCCGTAGGTTCTTGACTCACCCAAAATTAAACCGTCATCAATTGATGAAACTCATGAAAACTCCATTATCATCAGTATCGTAAATTTTTTTATCATTGCTTCACACTCTTCGTACGTTCTTGACTCACCCAATTTTATAAGCATATTTTGTAAACTTTTTGGCGTTATGCAGATTTTGAAATATAAGAGATAAAATATTGACAAGATTCAAATGACAATTAAAATATAAGTAAAAAGAACTTTGTAATAGTCACAACCCACGCATCGAGCGGGCTTAGCCCTAGTACTTATTAATGCATCTTTGTTAAATCCAGAAATGACGAAATTTGAGACTCGTGATGGAGATATGTGTCTTGCAGACAGTGCTACAACGCACACAATACTCAAAGATAAAAGATATTTCTCCGGTCTCAAAATTAAAGATTCCGTTGAAAGCGTGAATACCATTTCTGGTGGTGCAAAAATAATATTGGGCTCTGGAAGAGCCAATTTTTCAATGCCAAGGGGAACAAAGTTTGAAATAAATGATGCATTATATTCCCCGAAGTCTTATAGAAACTTATTGAGTTTCAAGATATCCGTAAAAATGGATATCACATAGAGACTATAAATAAGAATGGCATTGAAATCCTTTGCATCAAATCGGAGGGACAAATATTGGAAGAATTGAAAATGATGTCCTCCGGATTATATTGCACAAATATTACTCTGACTGAATCATATGTTACAGTAAACCCGAAGTTTACTAGTACATTCAAAATCTGGCATGAAAGGCTAGGGCATCCAGGTTCAGTCATGATGAGAAAAATTGTGCAAAACTCAAATGGCCATCCGTTGAAATACGGGAAAATTTTAGAAACGGGCGAGTTCATATGTAATGCATGTTCTCAAGGAAAACTCATAACTCGGCCATCACCAGCGAAAGTTGGGAATGAATCCCCTGTGTTCTTAGAGAGAATACACGGTGATATATGTGGGCCTATTCACCCACCATGCGGACCGTTTCAATACTTTATGGTATTAATTGACGCATCAAGTAGATGGTCACATGTGTGTCTTTTGACAACACGAAATACGGCTTTCGCAAGATTCATTGCCCAAATAATCAGGTTGAGAGCACAGTTCCCTGATTATACTATTAAGAAAGTGAGATTAGATAACGCTGGTGAATTCACTTCACAGCCTTTAATGACTATTGCATGTCATTGGGAATCGATGTTGAGCATCCGGTTCCACATGTCCATACACAAAATGGCATGGCTGAGTCTTTGATTAAACGGTTGCAACTGATTGCAAGACCGTTAATAATGAGAACAAAACTCCCAATTTCTATATGGGGTCATGCTATTTTGCATGCTGCAGCGTTGCTCCAAATACGACCAAGTGCTTATAATATATATTCCCCATTGCAATTGCATCTGGTCAGGAGCCAAACGTATCCCATCTCCGTGTTTTTGGTTGTGCGGTTTATGTTCCGATAGCACCGCCACAAAGAACAAAAATGGGGCCACAAAGGAGATTGGGAATATACGTTGGGTATACGTCACCGAGTATTATTCGGTATCTTGAACCTCAAACTGGTGATATGTTTACGGCACGTTTTGCCGATTGCCATTTTAATGAAGATGAATTTCCAGCGTTAGGGGGAGGAATTAAAGAGGTTCCAAAAGACCTCACATGGTGTACACCGAATTTGTTACACTTTGATCCCCCGACAAAACAACGCGAATTGGAAGTTCAGAAAATTATACATTTACAAAATATGGCAAATCAATTACCAGACGCGTTCACAGATACAAAAAGAGTGACGAAATCATATATACCCGCTGCAAACGTTCCATCAAAGATAGATGTTCCTAAGGAACAAAATGATGGAAGCATAGCAAATGCACCCAAAGTCCAATTAAAGAGGGGGAGGCCGATGGGCTCTAAAGATAAAAATCCCCGAAAGAAAAAGAATTTGGGAGAAAAGGTTCAGAAGAACCTTGTAAAGAAATATGTCTAGAAGACATAAACAAAATGGTTTTTGAAGAACCAGAGAAAGAGATTCGTCCAGAAGACGAACATGATACAGAAAAATTTGAGATTTCCATCAACTTCGCCCAAAATGGAAAAGTATGGACAAGAAATGAAATAGAAGATGATGATGGAATATTCTCTTTTTCTGTATACAAAGAAATCTATACTATTAAAGTAGAGGCACAACAAAAGAAAGTGCACTAACAAAGCGCCTATCCCTGTAGCCAAACACTCATTTAACTAGTAATTAACACTTAAATCAAACCGGTTGAGAGATTTCGATTCTAAGTTCAAAACCGGGTCGCAATTTCAATCCAAAACCAAAAACCTAAAAAGATCAATAAAGTAAACACGAAAAATCAGCGCCTAATTCCATATCTTAAGCAAAATCTAAACATAAAAGGAATCTTCCAAAAAATAAAACGTATTAAACTTTCCTCATAAATTTCGAATTTAAAGTATTCCAGCTCGATCTTTCCAAAACTATCGGTGTATTTCTTTTTTAGAATCCAAGATATCACTAACAGTAATCAAAAGATATTCTCTTCCAATCAAAATCACGGGAGTCTTTCCACAATCTATGCAAAATTTAAGGAGAGTTAAATGATTGAATATCCCTCTCAAAAGAATATGCGTGTGCTAATATTTTGAAACCCTAAGAAACCCTCCCATCACAAATACTATAAATACAGTAGAAGAAACCTTAGAAAAACTCATAGTTTTCTAATACTCAAACATAGATGACTTTTGATTTCAGTATAGATGCTTTTTTCTTCCAGTTTTTATATATTATAAATCTTTTTGCTAATAAAAAACTATCTTCTATTTTTAACAGATATTTCATCACCTACATGAAGAAGAAGACGAAATCATAGATCAAAATAACGGTATGAGGCAATTACACTAAATCACTTCTTTATATCACATTCTCGATCTCTTCTAATAGCAATTTTCAATCTGTTTCAGGATGTGAAGAAGGAAGACGATCATGTTTTCTCAAAATCCTATTTTCAAGTATGATTATTTCTCATAACTTCACAAAGCTTAAGATGTCAAACCTTACAGGTCTTCTTGGCGAATCCGTGAGAGAGTTCTCCACATTTGGATGCAGTTCATGGCACTCTCTGGTGAAATAATGGAGGTAATATATGGAGACGAAACTGTAAGAATTCATCCAATAAATCATGTCCAGTATTTGTTAAAGTCCTGCATACATGAAAACAATCAATCAACAAATCAAGAGGTCCATGTTACAAAGAGTTATGTCGGAATTTGTGAGTCTATCAACTATTTTTCTACATCTTGGTGTCTGTATGTGATGATCGATCTACATTTCAAAAGTTTCTTTCTGGTCTATAGCTATATTACTCATATCTTCTTTATTGTCTCAGGCTTGAATCAAGAGTCAAAGATTGTAAAGATGAAAAGCAGACATCAAGAACAACATAGAAGAAAACTTGACCGAGCCTAGGAAGTCATCACCAGAATTATACTTTAGCATCACTTTCTATTTTTTGTTCGTCGTTTTAGAGATGTAGGGCATTATTGTTATGTCTTACTAACATGTTATGTTCTTTTTATTAGTGGTATGCACAACTTCTAAGATATTTCAAATATATCAAGCAAACGTAAAGTTCCACTATGAGGTTAGACATTAAAAGGAAGTTGTGTTGAAAGAAGTGCACAACTATGGAACGCTTAAGATGTTCTCCTGTTTCTTATACTACTTTGTCTTTATATGACTAGAATAATTTTATAAGTAGTTTGGATTTGTATATACATCAAATAAAAGCATGACTTTAGACTCTAAATCATCATGTAGATTTTTTTTTCAACTGCAAACATATTCCTATATAGTTCAGTACCAATTCAAGATCGAAAGCTCACGGAGAACTAACCTTTGTCGTCCACGCTCAGTTCAATTTTTTGGGCTTTGTCTCAACATGATTCAAAATCTCAGAAACGGGAAGTAAAATTTGTTATAGGAAAGAGATGACAAAGACTTTACCTGAGATTATGGAAGCTAACGACATCAGATATTGATGCTAAAGGTTGTGTTGATGGAGAATCACAGTGAGAGTCGCGAATCTCTCAAAATAGCTTGAGGCTGACGTGAAGACGATTTGAATCAACAGAAATATGTGGTCTAAAGAGATGTAGAGATTCTCACCAGAATCACATCTAATTCTCACAGAGACAGGAAAAGAAACAGGTCAGTTTCAGGAAATCAGTTTCAGTATAATGGAAGACTAAAACTAAAAGAGATGTCAAGATAGTTACCTGTCAGTAAGAAGGAAGGCAAGGCATGTTTTTTCAGCTCAAGGTGGAGTAGCTGAAAGGAAACAAAGAAGATTTGAGAATTGGGAATTCTCATAAAGACAATTAAGGAGTCACGATTCTTAACAAAATTAAGAAGAATAAGTAGATGATCATGGTTCAAGAGATTTACCAGGAGATCATCAACAGAGCAGAAGAGGTCCGACTTATCATTGGAGAAGCTGCAAAGAAGACAAAACTGAAACTCACGTTTATGTTTCAAATCCTAGGAGTTTATCACAACGATAAAGGAGAAGGAGGAACTTACCGGAGTTTCTTCTAAAAGATACAGCATCGGAGACTGATGCTCAAAGTCACGGCGGCAGAGGAATCACTGCAGGTGGAGCTAACGTCGGATCACAAATTGGATCCGTCACCGATAAAAGAGAGAAGCTTCTCAAATTGGTTCAATTTCCGCAAAGAGGGGAGAAAGCTTCACGCAGGATGAACGGCGGCAGTCAGGATCGTCGGCGTCATCGGATTCGCCGGAGAAGACGATTACGAAATCACATGCAAATCGAATCGCATATGGAGCTCACGAGGAAGAAGAACTATGTCGAGCAAATGGATGAAGGCATGATCATATAATTAAAATAATACTATTAAATAATTGAGGGTTAAAATATGATTAAAAAAACATATGTTGCCATAACAACATTTTAATCAAATTTGAAAAAATATCCAATTTTAGAAACTTAATATCTATGCTTTTGAACAAAAAAAAAAAAAAAACTTAATATCTATGCTATTAAAATAGATACCGAGTTATTGCATAAATGTTTTCATCTTACTATTTTCATGTTTACTAATCTTATTTTGATTTTGATGCACAGAACTAGAGAATTTATAAATGGAAAAGCAATCAAAAACTTTTTCTTGAATCACCAAGCAACTAATGAAACGATCAACTGTTAATCCTCTCTATGACGTATAAATAAATAGTTTCTCCTTATTGATTTACATATCTTTATGATGGCAAGTCTTTCAAAATAGGTTGGTAAATCCAAGTTAAGCTTCTTTCGAAAGCAATACACGTCCGCATTTGGAAAAATGAATTTGTTATAGATATTGAATTTGAAAAGTTACCAAAACGAAAAAAAATCAGAGATTCTTGTGTAAATATCTACCAAAAATTACCATGCCATAAAAACACCGTGTGATAATATTTTGAAACCATATTGATTGAAAACCTAATGAGCCCATCTTAAGAAACTATAAATACAACGTTCACATGGTAATTAGTACATAACGGGTTATTGCATAGATGTTTTCTTTCTTACTATTTTCATGCATAAATACAACCAAAAACTCTTAGATGAATCACCAAGCAACTAATGAAACGATCAACTGTTAGTCCCCATCTATGACATATAAATATATAGTTTCTCTTTATTACTTTACATATTTATATGATGGCAAGCCTTTCAAAATAGGTTGGTGAATCCAAGTTCAGCTTCTTTCGGAAGCAATACACACGTCCTCATTTGGAAAAATGAAGTTAATCCTAGCAAAAGAACCGTCATAACCTTTCTATAGATATTGAATTTGAAAAGTTACCAAAACGAAAAAAAATCAGAGATTCTTGCGTAAATATCTACCATAAAAAATACCGTGCCAAAAAAGTACCGTGTGATAATATTTTGAAACCATATTGATTGAAAACCTAATGAGCCCATCTTAAGAAACTATAAATACAACGTTCACATGGTAATTAGTAAATAACGGGTTATTGCATAGATGTTTTCCTTCTTACTATTTTCATGCATAAATACAACCACAAACTCTTAATTAGATGAATCACCAAGCAACTAATGAAACGATAAACTGTTAGTCCCCATCTATGACATATAAATATATAGTTTCTCTTTATTACTTTACATATTTATATGATGGCAAGCCTTTCAAAATAGGTTGGTGAATCCAAGTTAAGCTTCTTTCGGAAGCAATACACACGTCCGCATTTGGAAAAATGAAGTTAATCCTAGCAAAAGAACTCATAACCTTGCTATAGATATTGAATTTGAAAAGTTACCAAAGCGAACAAAAAATCAGAGATTCTTGTGTAAATATCTACCAAAAAATAACGGGTTATTGCATAGATGTTTTCCTTCTTACTATTTTCATGCATAAATACAACCAAAAACTCTTAGATGAATCACCAAGCAACTAATGAAACGATAAACTATTAGTCCCCATCTATGACATATAAATATATAGTTTCTCTTTATTACTTTACATATTTATATGATGGCAAGCCTTTCAAAATAGGTTGGTGAATCCAAGTTAAGCTTCTTTCGGAAGCAATACACACGTCCGCATTTGGAAAAATGAAGTTAATCCTAGCAAAAGAACCGTCATAACCTTTCTATAGATATTGAATTTGAAAAGTTACCAAAACGAAAAAAAATCAGAGATTCTTGCGTAAATATCTACCATAAAAAATACCGTGTGATAATATTTTGAAACCATATTGATTGAAAACCTAATGAGCTCATCTTAAGAAACTATAAATACAACGTTCACATGGTGATTAATACATAACGGGTTATTGCATAGATGTTTTCCTTCTTAATATTTTCATGCATAAATACAACCAAAAACTATTTCTTGAATCACCAAGCAACTAATGAAACAATCAACTGTTAGTTCCCATCTATGACGTATAAATAAATAGTTTCTCCTTATTACTTTACATATTTATATGATGGCAAGCCTTTCAAAATAGGTTGGTGAATCCAAGTTAAGCTTCTTTCGGAAGCAATACACACGTCCGCATTTGGAAAAATGAAGTTAATCCTAGCAAAAGAACCGTCATAACCTTGCTATAGATATTGAATTTGAAAAGTTACCAAAACGAAAAAAAATCAGAGATTCTTGTGTAAATATCTACCAAAAAATACCGTGCCAAAAAAATTCCGTGTGATAATATTTTGAAACCATATTGATTGAAAACCTAATGAGCCCATCTTAAGAAACTATAAATACAACGTTAACATGGTGATTAGTACATAACGGGTTATTGCATAGATGTTTTCCTTCTTACTATTTTCATGTATAAATACAACCAAAAACTCTTGAAATCACCAAGCAACTAATGAAACGATCAACTGTTAGTCCCATCTATGACGTATAAATAAATAGTTTCTCCTTATTACTTTACATATTTATATGATGGCAAGCTTTTCAAAATAGGTTGGTGAATCCAAGTTAAGCTTCTTTCGGAAGCAATACACACGTCCGCATTTGGAAAAATGAAGTTAATCCTAGCAAAAGAACCGTCATAACCTTGAAAAGTTACCAAAACGAAAAAAAAAATCAGAGATTCTTGCGTAAATATCTACCATAAAAAATACCGTGCCAAAAAAATACCATGTGATAATATTTTGAAACCATATTGATTGAAAACCTAATGAGCCCATCTTAAGAAACTCTTCATGTTTACTAATCTCATTTTGATTTCGATGCAGAGAAGTTATGAATGGAAAAGCAATTAAAAACTCTTTCTTGAATCACCAAGCAACTAATGAAACGATCAACTGTTAGTCCCATCTATGACATATAAATAAAATGATCAAACGATCAACCAAATTAAAATTAACAGCGAATAATTGTATAACTCAAAAAACTAAAATCTTCGAAAATCACAACATCTCGTGCTTCTCAATATTAGACACAAGCAAACCAGTAAAGCGACACATATTTATGTTATATTATTCAGACGCTGATTTCGGTTTGATTTCGTTCTCTCGGAGTCAGAATCTAACTTCAAATAGTAACAATTTTTAACTCACCCAAATTTAACTTTAATAATCTCATATTTGTTTAATCTCATCCTTGGATAATCAAAATAACATTGATTCATCATTATATATCACAAACATGCATACTTATTTTTCATAATTGTATCAATAGTTAAAATGTTCTTTTAAAAATCACAACATCCCGTGCTTCCCAAGCACGGGTCAAGACCTAGTTGATCATGAAAGTGATGATCCAGATCCAGAAACAATATCAGAGTGTCTAAAAGACCTGATTGGGAGAAATGGAAAATGGCCATCCAAGCTGAATTACTCTCCCTCAATAAAAGAAGTGTTTTTGGACCTATTGTCACAACTCCTGAGAATACAAAACCCGTCGGGCACAAATGGGTTTTTGTAAGAAAAAGAAATGAGAAAAATGAGGTCACAAGATATAAAGCCCGACTTGTGGCTCAAGGTTTTTCTCAAAGACCGGGAATTGATTATGAAGAAACATATTCCCCGGTAATGGATGCCATAACATTCAGATTTTTGATGAGCTTAGCAGCGTCTCAAAATCTTGAAATGTATCTCATGGATGTTGTGACAGCATATCTATATGGATCTCTTGAAAATGAGATATATATGAAAATCCCAGAAGGATTAAAAATGCCTGAGGATTTGAAATCAAAGGCTAAGGAGATCTGTTCGGTCAGATTACAGCGATCACTTTATGGACTAAAACAGTCCGGACGCATGTGGTATAATCGCTTAAGTGAATATTTGTTGAGTAAAGATTACGTCAACAATGCGATATGCCCTTGCGTATTCATTAAGAAATCCTCTTCAGGATTTGTGATTATTGCTGTATATGTAGATGACCTGAACATGATTGGAACTCAAAAGGAAATTGATGATGCAAGAACTCATATGAAAGAAGAGTTTGAAATGAAAGATCTTGGAAAGACAAAGTTTTGTCTTGGGCTCCAGATAGAGCATTTCCAAGATGGTATATTTGTGCATCAGTCAAATTACACTAAAAGAGTGTTAAAACGCTTTTATATGGACAAAGCAACTCCTTTGAGTACTCCAATGGTTAATAGATCTCTTGATGTTGAAAAGGATCCATTCCGTCCTTGTGAGGATAACGAGGAAGTGTTAGGTCCTGAAGTACCTTACATGAGCGCTATTGGTGGACTAATGTATCTTGCAAATTGCACTAGACCAGATATAGCATTCGCTACTAATCTGCTTGCAAGATATAGTTCGTCCCCTACGCGCAGACATTGGAATGGAATAAAACATATTTTTCGTTATCTTCAAGGATCAATTGATTTAGGATTATTTTATCCTAAAAACTCAAAATGTGTTTTAGTTGGTTTTGCTGATGCAGGATATCTATCAGATCCACACAAAGCTAGATCACAAACAGGTTATGTTTTCACAATTGGTGGAACCGCGGTCTCCTGGCGTTCGCAAAAGCAAACTTTGGTTGCAACGTCTTCAAATTATGCAGAAACTATTGCTCTCCATGAAGCATGTAGAGAGTGTGTGTGGCTCCGGTCTATGACTCAACATATACAAGAATCAAGTGGAATAGTCACAGAGAAAGAGCCAACAAAAATATTTGAAGACAATTCTGCATGTGTTACACAACTCAAAGAAGGTTATATCAAGAGTGACAGAACGAAGCATATTCCTCCAAGATTTTTCTCATACACTCAAGAACTCCAGAAAAATCAAGAAGTGGACATCGAGTATATTCGTTCAAGTGACAATGCAGCCGATCTTTTTACAAAGGCGCTTCCGACTACAGTGTTCAAGAAGCATGTTCACAGCATTGGAATGCGTCGTCTACAAAACTTGTGAAAAGAAAAGATTATCTTTTCTAGGGGGAGATTATGCTACGGTACTCTTTTTCCTAAGTCATAGTTTTTATCCCATTGGGTTTTTCTATGACATAGTTTTTTAACGAGACCGTACATAATACATTATCGGATAATTAAGGGGGAGTGTTAAAAAGGATAATTATCCCTTATCAATATTTTATTATTTACTTCTAAACTAAGTTTTCTACCACCTCTCAACTTACCGACTTCATGTAATAGATTAATATTTTACATTATCGAATAATTAAGGGGGAGTGTTAAAAAGGATAATTATCCCTTATCAATATTTTATTATTTACTTCTAAACTAAGTTTTCTACCACCTCTCAACTTACCGACTTCATGTAATAGATTAATATTTTACACTCTCTATAAATAGGAAGTTTAATATTTGTTATTGTAATAAGTTCAATACAGAAAATTCACTCTATACTTCTCCTTCCTCTCCACGTATTCCATCTCGTTCTTTTACAGTAATTCTCTCTCTCTCTCACGATCATCACCTCTTCAATTCTATCTCCTTTACACACATAGTAACTCTCTATCTCTCTTTTATTAATAAAGTTATATCAATCCACTATACATAGTGGTACATACAGTTTTTATATTATAGTTAAATTTTTTTTTTTATTTTAAAAATAAAAAATTATCCAGACACATCATTGTTTTATCGGATATGAACTGGTCATATTTTTTAATTTTTGACAGCGCAAAAAAATTAGTTAATTTGAAAGTTTTAAGTATTAACATAATTGGTCTGAGAGTTTAAAGTGTTAAGGCAATATTTTGAAGGTCTAAAGTGCTAGCATCTGCGAAAGGTTAAAAATGCAATTTTTGAACTGCGACTTTGTTCCTGTTAGTGTAACTAAAATCAAATTGAACTGGAATTAAAATCTCACTAAACCGAAGTGAAATTAAAATCTCACTAAACCATCGGTTTTCAATCCGATAGGAATCCCGAATAGCAAACCAGTAAAACTGAAATTTCTAAACTGAACCAAACAAATAAGTGATCGGCGTGTAGCTCTCGGCTGCAGCAGCAAAAACCTCTAAAACCCTAAAATTCCAATCGCTGTGTAGCTTCCGTCGAGAGAGAGAGAGAGGATGAGAGTGAAGAGGCAGAAGAAAAACAGGAGAACCGTGAGATTCTTCACGGTTTGTTTTGGATTCCGTCAGCCCTTCAAAGTCCTTTGCGACGGCACCTTCGTCCACCATCTTGTCTCAAAAGAGATCACTCCCGCCGACACTGCCATCTCGGAGCTCCTCGGAGGTCCCGTCAAGCTCTTCACGACCAGGTTTCTATCTCTTCTGCATCCTTGTCTCAAAGGCTTCAAATCCAATTTGTTTACTGAATTCTTTTTTTTTCCTTGGAACTGCTCCGTAGATGTGTGATTGCGGAGTTGCAGAAACTGGGTAAAGACTTTTCGGAATCTCTAGAGGCTGCCCAGATGCTTAGTACAGCAAGGTAAGCTTCCTTGTTTCCTCGTTGTCTGTCTAAAAATAGGTCTCTGATTCGATTGTGTATGAATCTGTTGCTCTTGTAGAATTGATTTCGTGTGAGATTAATCAATTGTGAAACTTTGTATTTGCTTGAACTGAGATTTTGGCCTTGTGTGATTTGGTGCGAGACTGTGAAATTTTTGATTTGGACACAAAACCTCTATAATAACCTTATGTAGGAAAAGTCTAGATATATTTTCTTCTCAAAATAATGTATAACTGATAAATGATGAGCTCTATGTATTGGAAATCAGATTTTGTGTAATTTATATGAAAATGATTTGCTTTCCATGTGAGTTTGTAGATGTGAGCACGAGGAGGCAAAAGCAGCAGACCAGTGTTTGTTAGATGTACTTGGGAGCAAGAACACGGAGCATTTCTTTCTTGGTACTCAGGACGCCGATTTCAGGAAGAAGCTTCAACAGGAGTCTATAGTTCCTCTTTTGTATGGACTAAGGACCGGTCTGCTGATCGATCAACCTTCTGATTTCCAACGTGAGACGGCCAAAGACTCTGAAAGAAAGCGGTTAACTATGACCGATGTAGAGAAAAGGATGTTGGTGACACAGACTGCGAGAATCTTAGCTTCTAAATACGAACAAGGAACGGTTGATGATAATGAACAATGGGAAGCTTCTCGAGATGTTTCTACAAGAAATGGACTCGGTGTTAAGGATAGACCTCAATTCAAGCGAAATAGAGCAAAGGTAATGTACTACTAAAACTTTACTAGGATTCGATTGTTGTTCCATTTTGTCTAAGATGAAGATAGCTTACAGAGAAACTAACATCCTACACTTGCAGGGTCCCAACCCACTTTCATGCAAGAAGAAAAAGAAGGAGAACAATACCGAGAAACCTTTATCCAAACCCAAAGCTGACTCTATATCTGGTGCACAAATGGTGAGATGGAGATCTGGCAGCTTTCTTGTAAAGGATGTTGTATAACTAAAATGTTTACATTTCGATTTCTGTTTTTGGGGTTTTCAGGAAAAGAAGGAAGGCGAGAGCAGTATAAGAAAGAGGTCAAGAAAACGGTCGAATAAAGGAAAATCTGATGTCGGAGAAAACTGACAACTCCTGTTTCTAATCAAGAATTTTGGTTCTGTTTCTTCTTTTTCTTTGTAGTTCTTTTATCTTTCCTCTACTACACACTTTATCGACATTTCACGCAAGACGACCACTGAATTTGAGACTCCAGCATCATCACTCATAGACTTCAAAACTTAAATACGAACTTTCTTTCACTGAAACTGAGTCCACAGCTTTTATTCTTTAATTTAAGACCAACAAGAGTTCTTGAGAAGTTGAGATGACAGAGTTTAAATGCTTGAATACAAATAATGGTAAAGTACTAGATGACATATAAATTTCATCACAGTTCCTTAAGGATTTGGCTACCATAATCATCATTGAACTTGTCGTAGAGATGGGCGTGCAGATGAGCCGATGGTCGAGTATTGCTTAGAGCTCGATCAATGTCCTGTGGTAGGATCGGTCCTACTTCTGGCAACTCTGCGAAAGAAAGACAAAACAAAAATAATGTCAAAAGAAAGATTCTGCAGTTCCCAAGGTTAGGAGGATTCTTGAACTTTGTCAATGAAGATTTTACCGTCTTCAGGCACAAGTTCTTCTGTGTCTTCCAAAACAGCCAATGTGCGTCTCAATGGTTGCATGGCAGCTTCCTTACAAAGGATTCGAATGTCTGAACCAGAGTAGCCCTCGGATTTCTCAACCAACACATCGTGAGGCAATGGCTCATCCCCGGGTTGTGAAGGCAAGAGCATCTCGAACATTCCTCTTCTTGCTTCCGGATCCGGTAAAGGTACAAGAATCTGTAGATAACACTAGCTTGAGTCCAAAACAAAAGGGAGATGATAAAAGAAGCATTCTATTTCAACTAGAAGAAACAAAATGGATACTCTTTTCTCAAGACGCCGGAGCATAGCTGCATCTAGTTCCCAGGGGAGATTTGTTGCTGCTAGAACAAATACGAGCTCATTCGTTTTCTGTAACCCATCCATCTGTAAATTGTGAATCCAAAAACCATATGTTTATTATTAGCTAATGGTCTTTGAAGATGATGATGATTTTTGTGAGATAGATAAGGTTCTTGAGCATTTTTTATTACCTGAATGAGGAGCTCAGTTTTGAGACGCCTGCTTGCTTCATGTTCACTGCGGCCTTCACCACCACGTTGGCTTATGATCGCATCGATTTCATCAAGAAAGATCGTCGATGGTGCGTGATGCCTAGCTAGATCGAACAGAACTCTGATCAACTTCTCAGAATCACCTGAAAAACATCAAAACACAAGATCGGTGTGCCCAAATATTATTACTCGAAACAAAAACAAAAAAAACTTATATGGTTAAGAGTGAATAAAGGTGAACAAAGATTTGACCTCTCCATTTGCTAACAACAGATGAGGCTGAGATGTTGAAGAATGTTGTATTGCACTCTGTAGCAACAGCCTTGGCAAGCATAGTCTGCAGAAGACGAGTTACACATAGGTCATTTAAAAACAGATTTTCAAATGGACCATGCATCAAGATTCAAGATGATATATTTTTCATGATCTAGTCACGAAATTGGTGCGTTAAGTGTTTCGTATATGAATTTGGAACGCAAGCTCATGTAGACTAAAAATAGAGTGTAGCAACTCCAAGTTTTCAGATAAGTATCAATATAAACAAGAGGAGTAAGGCATTGGAGATAGAATCATGGCACCTTTCCGGTACCAGGTGGACCAAAAAGAAGAATCCCTTTCCATGGAGAGAGTAGGCCATTAAAGTAGCTGAAACCAGAATAATAATGAGATCCAAAGCACAAAACATTAACAAGAAGCTATCAACATTGGCTTAGATAGCAAGGAGGGAACATACGAGGGGTATTTGATAGGCATCACCACAGCTTCTTTGAGCAACCTTTTCGCGTTCTCTAAACCTTTGATGCTTTCCCACTTGATATTTGGATTCCCACGGATGATATCCCTGACATAACCCACCAATTCATCGTCAATAACAAAAACACAAGAACACAATGCCAAAAGAGCAAAACAATGTATCAATAACTTACCTACTCAAACTCTCAGCGAGAGCACGAGTTTCCGCAGATTCAAAAGGTGGAAACATGGACTTCTTCCTGCAGAAGAAACATCAAAGACACAGTTAGTAACAAATTCCTCAGATCCAACACTATGATATCAAAATCCATTGATCTTACGGCTTCTCGCGGATCCCATTAGCCAAGGCAGTGTTATTACCCTCCTGCAATCATTCCACAAGTCGTAAAGCAGTTGATCATCTTATGACTAAGAGAACACAACACCATTACTGCTCTAAAGCACTTGACAGATCAAAATCACCTGAACTGGATTGGTGACTGGGGAAGGTTCTTCCTTGTTGCTCGATGATCCATCTTCATTGTGGGATTCTTCTTCAGGCAGCTTCTTCCTCCCAAACTTGGCATCATAAAACGTTTTAAATTCCTAATAAATACATAGATTTTCTTGAACAATATCGATCAATTCTCCAAGCTCGTTGCTTTTATTCTAGAGAAATCGATGTCCACTAGGCCACTGAAGCAACCATTTCATCTAATCTATAAATTCCAAAACTAAAAATAGTCTAAGCGAATTCCTCGGTTTCTCCGGTGATTCAAGAAATAAAAATGTTTTTTTTTTCCCTCTAATTTTAATATCTAAAGCAAACATAAGAAAGAGTTTGACTTCGATTTTACCCAGTATTCAAAAAACAGAAATTTTCTTTATGGCTGCATTTTCCAGGAAATGTTATTCTAAAAGGAAAGTGAGCAAGTGAGAAACAGAGTCGGATTTACCAGAAAGCTCCAGCGAGTTTGAGAAGGCTCATCGGTCGCCATCGTTAACGGATCTCTCCAGAGGAGAAGAAGCAAAGAAGAAAACAAAGACAGATATCTCACTGTCTTCTCTTCTCCAGATCGATGGCGAGGGTTGAACAACAGCTCTTGCAAACTTACATATACACAAACAACCACGTGCTGCACAGTTGGACTTTACATTTTTTTAGTGGCAAAAAATATGTTATTTACATTTTAAAATTAAATTAGAGAAATTCCAAAATCGTTTTCTTGTTTCTTTGTAACTTTCTTTTCCAAAATAATTTACATTAAAAAAAAAAAAAAAAATCTATAGTATTTTCTTTTAACCAAAAAATCTATCTATATTATAATTATATCATATATTTTATTTATGTCTGAGAACTATATTTGTGTTGAGAAATATTTGTAAAAGGAAACTCTCGGAAAGATTTTGTGAATGAATCTATACTAAAGAAAGAAGTGTACCAAATAGGAGGAAGAAGGACAATTTTGTATTGCCTTAGATGTGTCTTACAAATGAAACGAATGACTCAATTTATAGAGCCATATTCGACAAGAGTTACTGTGATGGAAATTATGACATGGGCTCCAATTTGTGTATACACGCAAAGTCTTGACTTTTGCAACACTCCCCCTTGGAGTCCATCGTCATATGTATTTGTAGTTGTCTCGTTAAAAATCCTTTCCAGAAAACCCATTGGGAAAAACCATGGTAAGGCAAAAAGAGTACAACTGTATAATCTCCCCTCGAATGACTTGGTTTCATAGGTCTCGTTGATGACGCATTCCGATGTTATGGACATGTTTCTTAAATGTTGAGGTAGGTAGTGACTTTGTGAAGAGATCTGCTGCATTCTCGGATGACCGGATATATTTCACCTCAATAGCTTTGTTTCTTTCAAGCTCTTGGGTATATGAAAAGAACTTAGGTGGGATATGTTTGGTTCTATCGCTTTTGATATATCCTTCCTTTGTTTGAGAAACACATGCAGCATTGTCTTCATATAATATGGTTGGTTCTGTATAGACTCGGATTCCACTACTTGATTGGATATGTTGACTTATTGACCTAAGCCAAACACATTCTCTACTTGCCTCGTGGAGCGCAATGATTTCAGCATGGTTTGAGGAGGTGGCCACGAGAGTTTGTTTCTGGAGCGCCATGAGATAGCGGTTCCTCCGACAGTGAAAACATACCGGTTTGTGAACGAGCTTTGTGAGGATCAGATAGATACCGCGTCTGCAAAACCAATCATTTGGTCATCTGCGTTTTTAGGGTAGAATAATCCTAAATCAATCGTCCCTTGAAGATAGCGAAGTACATGCTTAACTCCATTCCAATGTCTTTGAGTTGGAGATGAGCTAAATCTTGCCAAGAGATTAATGGCAAATGATATATCAGGACGTGTACAATTCGCAAGATACATAAGGGCACCAATAGCACTTAAATATGGTACTTCAGGACCAAGTATCTTTTCATTTTCTTCAGGTGGTCGAAAAGGATCTTTTTCAACATTAAGTGATCTAACTACCATAGGTGTACTCAGGGGAGTTGACTTATCCATGTAGAAACGTTTTAACACTCTTTTGGTATAAGTAGATTGATGTACAAATATACCCTTTTCAGAATGCTCGATTTGTAAGCCAAGACAAAACTTTGTCTGTCCGAGATCTTTCATCTCAAATTCCCCTTTTAGATAATTAGTTGCTTCATGTATCTCTTCATGAGTTCCTATAATATTTAGATCATCAACATACACCGCGATAATTACAAATCCGGATGATGTTTTCTTGATGAAAACACATGGGCATATAGGGTTATTGATATATCCCTTTTTGATCAAATGCTCACTTAGGCGATTATACCACATGCGCCCCGATTGTTTTAACCCATATAATGACCTTTGTAATTTTATTGCACATAATTCTCTTGGTTTAGAACTTAATGCTTCTGGCATTTTGAATCCTTCGGGGATTCTCATATAATATCAGTATCTAATGATCCATATAAATATGCTGTGACGACGTCCATAAGACGCATTTCTAGATTTTCACTAGCCGCTAGACTCATCAGAAATCTAAATGTGATTGCGTCCATGACAGGAGAATAAGTTTCCTCATAATCGATTCCAGGTCTTTGAGAAAAACCTTGAGCCACGAGACGAGCTTTATGTCTCATAATCTCATTATTCTCATTTCTTTTTCGAACGAAAACCCATTTATACCCAACTGGTTTGACTGATTTGGGTATGACTACGATAGGTCCAAACACCTCTCGCTTATTAAGCGAATCAAGTTCGACTTGAATTGCATTTTTCCAGTTTTCCCAGTCATGTCTCTTTTGACATTCAGATACAGATTTGGTTCTGGATCTTCGTTTTCCTCATTTATTTCGTTTGATACAAGATATGAGAAAAACTCATCAACATCATCCATTTCATTTCGATTCCATATCTTTCCATTATGAATGTAGTTGATAGAGATCTCATGATTTTCTTCGGACTCGGGAAGTTCGATATTTTCATTGGCTTCATGACTTGTTTCTCCTAAAATACTTTCTGTTATTTTAGGATCATCATGCTTTCAACTTCCTTTCGCTTTCTAGGATTTTTATCCTTAGAACCAACAGGTCTACCACGCTTCAAGCGTGTTTTAGACTCACGTGTATCGTCTGCCTTTGCACGTTCATGTGGTATTTCAATACGAGCAAGGGGCATTTGCAGCTGGTATATGTGATTTTGTTACCAATTTGGTATCAGCAAACGCATCAGGTAACTGATTTGCTATATTCTGCAAATGCATAATTCGTCGAACTTCTAGTTCAATTGTTTTGTAGGAGGATCAAGGTGTAGTAAGGATGGTACACACCACTTGATATCCTTCATTTCTTGCTTATTTTCTCCCCCTAGAACCGGGAATACTTTCTCATCAAAATGGCAGTCAGCAAAGCGTGCCGTAAAGACATCTCCCGTTTGTGGTTCGAGATATCGTATAATAGACGGGGAATCGCAACCAACATATATTCCTAATCTTCGTTGCGGTCCCATCTTTGTACGTTGTGGTGGTGCTATAGGTACGTATACCGCACAACCAAAAATTCTTAGATGAGAAATATTTGGTTCTCGACCAAAAGCCAACTGTAATGGGGAATACTTATGGTATGCACTTGGTCTTATTCGAATAAGAGCTTCTGCGTGTAAAACAGCATGTCCCCATACAGAGGGTGGGAGTTTTGATCTCATGATCAATGGTCTAGCAATTAATTGCAAACGCTTAATTAATGATTCGGCCAAACCATTTTGCGTATGAACATGGGCCACAGGATGTTCAACATTAATCCCAGTTACCATACAATAATCATTGAATGCTTGAGATGTGAACTCACCAGCATTATCTAGTCTAACTCCTTTTATTGGATAATCAGGAAACTGAGCTCTTAGTTTGATTATCTGAGTTAGAAATCTCGCAAATGCCACATTTCGAGATGATAATAGACAAACATGTGACCATCTACTTGACGCGTCAATCATTACCATGAAGTAGTAAAATGGTCCACACGGTGGATGTATAGGTCCACATATATCACCTTGGATTCGTTCAAGGAATTTTGGCAATTCTTTATCAATTTTGGATGGTGATGGCCTTATTATCAATTTTCCAAGAGAACACGCGGCACACGTCATTTTCTTTCCTTGGTATATTTCTTGCATTTTCAAGGAATGCCGTGTGAGTTCTCAATAATTTTTCGCATCATAGTAGTACCAGGATGGCCAAGGCGATCATGCCATATTGTGAAATCATCAAGATTTCTTTTGATCACTAGATGTGACTCTATCTCATTTATATATGTATGATGCAAACCAGAAGGGAGTTTTGGTAACTTTTCCAATACTTTCACTTTTCCTGATTTTTCAGAAGTAATATACATATACTTCTTTCCATCCTCAGTCGCTGACTGAGTATCAAACCCTTGAAGGTATATATCTTTAAAACTCAACAAATTCCTTTTTGAATTTGGAGAAAATAATGCATTATCTATTGAGAATCTCGTCCCATTAGGTAATGCAAAATTAGCGTTACCAGTTCCTTCAATCAAGTCTGCAGGACCTGAGATTGTATTGACAATAATCTTTGTCGGTTTTAAATTAGAAAAATATTTTCTATGTTTCAGAATAGTGTGCGTTGTTCCACTGTCTGGTATACATATATCTCCATTATTCATCTTGGATGTTGTTCCATTCGTTTTGTAATCCATTTCTGAGATCAACAAAACAAGTTATATAAATAAGGTAATTTTATTAATCAAGCAAACAGCACACAATAATTATACATTAATAGTTAAAAATTACACAATAATTATACATAAGTAGTTTAGCATCACACAATAATTATACATAAATAGATAGTGCAAGCATTATTAATTTTAAACATTTCACACAAGTGGCAATTATTTATAACACAATCCTTGGGATTTCATGAGTCACATGGCGGATATTTCAGACTTCAGATGGGACGGTGTCATCGAAATCATCTGCAAAGTCAGAAGCATCGAGGTGGGTTGTTCCCTCTGAGTGCTCTGCAAGGTTTACTTCTTTTCCTTTGCCTTTGGCAGAATCTTTGTACAATGTACAAAGGTGCCTAGGAGTACGGCAATTCCGGGACCAATGTCCTTTTGTACCGCATCTGTAACAAACAGTCTCTCGCTTCTGGGAGGTGTTTCCTTGGTGCTCTTTTTCTGAAGATTGATCAGAGCGATTCCATTGGAATGACCTTTTGTTATTTGGGTTGTATCTCCCACGTCCGCCACGTCCGCGATTGTTTCGACCTCCACGACCTCGGAAAGAATTGTTTTCTTTCACCGGTTTCTTTACATCCAATGCGTTTGCTTCAGGAAACGCTTTGGATCCAGTAGGTCGAGTCATGTGATTCTTTATGAGGAGCTCACTGTTTTTCTCCGCAATTAGGAGTGCCACAATCAAATCAGAAAATTTGGTGTATCCCCGCAACTGTATTGTTGTTGCAGGGTGATGTGATCCTTGTGGAATGTGGTGTACGTTTTCTCAAGCATTTGAGCTTCCGTTATGGTTTCACCACAGTATCTCAGTTTGGCCACAGTTCCTAACACGGCGGAATTGTAGTTAATCACTTTGTCAAAGTCTTGGAACCTCAGACTTTGCCACTCATCCCGAGCAAGTGGAAGTGTTATGTCTTTCTGATGATCAAACCGATCTTTCAGAGACTTCCAGAGCTCTTTGGGATCCCTCGTGTGTGCATAATCATATATGATGCTCTCATCTAGGTGTCTTCTAAGGAAGATCACCGATTTCGCCTTTTCTTGGGCCGTCGACTTATTGTTCTCTTTTATGGTTTCTGATAACGCAAGAGATTCCAAATGAAGTTCGACATTCGTGGTCCAAGAAATGTAATTAGCACCAGTGATGTCCAAGGCCGGGAATTGGAGCTTCTCGATATTTGCCATTATGTCTAAAATAAAATAACACAGAGTATTATTAGCAAAATAATTTTATTTAATTTAAAATATGCGTGGAGCTGGAATAAATAACGAGATTACAAGAAATACAATTGCATAAAACATTAACATAAAAATCATCACATATTCTTCTGGAGAAAATTCTCCAATATATAAACTATAAATTGCAACAAAAATATAACCTATTACAAAAATTAAAAATAGATTAAGCATTTTTTTTCTTTGAGGGATTCGATGAAAGATAAATTGTTTGAGTGAAATGAGTGAATGAAAAATAAGTGTATTTATAGATTAGAAAATACTGTTTATTAGCCGTTTAAGTAGCCGTTAGAAAGTAAAAAAAAAAACTTTTGGAGAATTAACTTTATGACCGTTGGAAGTAAAAAAATAATTCTATAAATATATAATAATTTAAAAATGTTAGAAAATAATTGTTTACTAGTTCAGATATAAAATATAAATTTTAACAGTAATTATGATTTAAACAGAAATTTAAAGATAAATATATGGTGATTAATTCATCCATATAATAACAGTAAATAAATAAATATGGTGAATGAATCAACCATAAAACAAATAAAATAAAACATGTTAAATATGGTGACTAAACTCATTGAAATAAAAATTGCAGAACAAATAAATAAATAAGTATGGTGACCAAAATCAACTATAAGTTAAAATAAAGCATGATAAATAAATAAATGAATATGGTGATTAAAATCAACCATAAGTAAAAATAAAGCATGGTAAATAAATAAATGAATATGGTGATTAAAATCAACCATAAAGATAGAGTAAATAAAAGAATAACAGCAAGTAAAAATATTAGGAGGTTAAACCGTCCATTATGGTGTATAAAACAACCACTGTAAAAATAAAGACAAATTGTTGCCGGGGCGGCGAGCCGCACTCCGAGAATGGTAAATTTAATTTAGAATTTAGAATTATAATGGCAGAGTGATCGTGCTGATAACGTGTTATAATTATATCATATATTTTATTTGTGTCTGAGAACTATATTTGTGTTGAGAAATATTTGTAAAAGAAACTCTCGGAAAGATTTTGTGAATGAATCTATACTAAAGAAAGAAGTGTACCAAATAGGAGGAAGAAGGACAATTTTGTATTGCCTTAGATGTGTCTTACAAATGAAATGAATGACTCAATTTATAGAGCCATATTCGACAAGAGTTACTGTGATGGAAATTATGACATGGGCTCCAACTTTGTGTATAAACGCAAAGTCTTGACTTTTGCAACAATCTCTAGTTTTTAACCTCTTTAATCTACTGAACGGTAGGTATAGTGGCATGTACATATAGCAATAGGGTGCCAAATTGTCAATTGACATATCATTGTTAAAATATTTATTTATATATAAATTTTGAATATATTGGTAGAATAACTGGTAATTTTGGCTTATTGACCTTGTTATATATAATTTCTAGGGAAACTATACTGAATAATCATATTGACAAGCTAAATTAACAATCTAACCATTAGTTTTTTTTTGCTATGATACAAGCTGTAATTTCTACAATAATACTCATTTTAGCCTTTGTTATTTTCGGTGAAAATATGTACTGTACTATTCTTTCGTATGTGGAATAGAACGAAATATTTTCTTAAACTAGGTTTTAAATTTTTGTGTTTAGGGTTTAGATTTTTGGGTTTTAGGGTTATAGTTTAGAGTTTAAGGTTTATGTTTGTGGGGTTTTGGATTAGGGTTTGGTTTTTTGGGTTTATGGTTTAAATTTTGGATTTATGGTTTACATTTTGGCTTTAGGATTTATTGTTTAGTTTTTTGGGTTTAGGGTTTAGATTTTTGTGTTTTAGTGTTTATGTTTAGTCTTCTGGGTTTAAGGTTTAGATTGTGAGTTTAAAGTTTAAGATTTAGATTCATGATTTATTTTTCTATTTAAGGTATAGATTTTGTGTTTACTTTTATGTTTTTAGATTTAGGGTGTAGTGTATGGATTTAGTGTTTGTATTTAGTTTTTGAGTTTAGAATTTAGGATTTGGGTTTAGGGTTTAGGTTTTTGGATTTTGGGTTTAGTGTTGATTGCTTTTATTTTTGGGTTTAGAGTAGTTTTTTTAGTTTTGAGTTTTGATTTTGTATTTAGGGTTTAGAGTTTGCAATGTAGTGTTTAGGGTTTATAGTACAGTTTAGTCTCAATTATTGTACATTTATATAGTATAGTTCTCTTCATGCCTAAGAGAATTAAAGGGCCAATGGTGTAACTTCACATTCTACTTTATACAAAAACTAATTTTTTTTCTCTTATGGCTATAAGCTTAATTATTGCTCCTAATAATAGTATTCAGCTAATTGACCCTAATTTCTATACTTACAAAAACTAGGTGGTTGGTCCGCATCTTGTGCGGGCATAACATTTGAAAATAATAAATTTAAACAAATATTTAATTACATAAGTAATATAATTTAAGATGATTGACTTTTAAACTTATATACTTATATAAAAAATTAATATACAAAATTAATATGATAAAATCATTTAAGTTTTCATTACGTTTTGGATGAGTTATTTATATACTATATCAGTCAATTTCATATATTTTGTATTTTTAAAAATATTTTATTATGTTTTTATTTTATTTTAGTGCACAAAACCATATCAATTATTTTAAATTTATTATTTGTTTTCTTTAACGACTTTGTGTTCTTATTCTTCATAATTTTTATCTTTCGATTTTTCTAACTTTTTTTGTTGTTAAATTCTTCTATTGTTTTTTTTTCTTATTTAATTTTTTTTTGTTTGTCATAAAAGTAATTAGATTAGATGAGGAAAGAGGAAAAAAGAAAGCCTAACTCGTTCTTTTAGAGATTTAGAAGTGATTCTACATTGCGCCGGCATGAACTGTATTTTACAATAATAAAACTAAAGATTTGTATCATTTGAAAAACTATCAAATTATACTCATTAAAAACATCTAAATATTCATACCAAACCAAATGCATTAGAAAACTACTTTATATTTTATATATCATTTTATTCAATTTTCAAAACTACACCTCTTGAGGTGCCAATTTTCAAAAATACACCTCTATGGTATTTATTTTCAAAACTACACTTTTTCATGGAGTTAAAGAACTCTAAACACTATAATATAAACCCAAAACCCTAAAATCTAACATTGAACCCTTAAATCTAAACCCTAAACCCCAAAATCTAAACCCTAATTTAGGATTAGTGAACCCAAATATATATATTAAAATTAGGAAAAAGTGTATTTTTGAAAATTTTCACATTATAGGTGTAGTTTTGAAAATTTGCACCTCAAGAGGTGTATTTCTTAAAATTTCTCTTTCATTATTTTTGTTCTTTCAAAATTTTCATGTGTTTTATCCTACAAAAAAACAATATTCCTTATTATACAACGAAACTGAATACTAATAATTTTTTTTTCTTTATTGTCTATGTCACATTCTTCTTTTTCCGTTTCTTCCGATTTTTCTTCATCTTCTTCTTTTCTTTCTATTTCTCTTCTTCCTTGTATTCTCATTCTTCTTCAATTAATTGATCGTCTTTGTATCACTTGACTCTCTCTGATTGTTCGTTTTCCCGAAGTTTTTCCTCTTTCATTAGTAACTTTTGTTTTCTAACTTTTTATTCTTCTCGTTTTTATTTTCTATTTTTCCAGCTTTGACTTCTTATTCTTCTTCTTCTTCATCGTCTTTGTCTGATCTGTCATTTTTTTCTTTTCTAGTGGTTTTTATTCACCTTCTCGGCTTCTTCTTCGTCTTTTATGTATGCGGCTAATTATTCCTCTTCTTCTTCTCCAACGATCTCAACTTTTTTTTTTCTCTTTTTATCGTCTTTTTCTTATTCATCTTTTTCTTTTCTCTTTCTCTTTTTTCACCTTCACATTCTTGTTGGTGTTTTTGTTTCATCCTTTTTATCTTCTACTTCCTTTTTTTTTTCTGATTTTTCTGTACCCTTTTTTTGTTTTTTTGATATTTCTTCTTCCTCAAGTATTTTTTTTTTTTTTTGATGAAATTTCAAATTTATTGATTTTGAGAGAGAAATTTACAAATGGTTGGACAGAGTAAAGAATAAAGGAAACGATGAGATTGTAAAGAATAAAGAATGAGTGTGGAAAGTGTCATGGTGTTTGTCCTTTCTCGAACCAACGTCGAAGTAGACCTTCGAGCTTATGAGGCATCGTATAATGCAGTGAAGAAATTCTGTTTCTCATTGCCTTGTCCACAGTTCGGCCTAGTTGGTGCACGGAGACCCAACTCCTTCGGTGCCGTCGTGCGTTCCGTTCCCGCCATATGTAATAGACCACGGTTTGAAAAAGGAGGCGCAAGAGAATAGAGTCCATAGTACCGCTTACATGGGACATGATAAACTGCAGAGTATCAGACCAATCAGGCGTAGCATTGTTCCCTAGAAGACCTCTAGCCATAGACGACCAAAGTGTGTAAGTATAAGGACAGGCAAAGAACAGATGATCCCTAGCTTCGTCTCGCTCCCCACAGAACAGGCACGGCTGGTCCTGACCCCAGGACCGCATCCTCACACCCGTAGCAAGCCTATCGTGAACACTTAGCCATATGATAAACGCGAACCGTGGCACTCCCTGAGTAAACCACACGACCTTACACCAAGGAACCTTTCCTCGAGCTTTGCGGATTTGTTCCCAAGTGCAGGCTGCAGAGAACTTCTCTCTGTAATCATTTCTTCCTCAAGTATTTCATTTACTTCTTATCACATACATCTTCTTCAGCTTCTTATTGATCCGCTTTTTGTCTCTAGGTAAATTGACTAAATTGAAGGATAAATAGCAAGTGACTGCTATATATTTTATAGCAAAATTCCTTTATCAATTTCTTAAACCACATTCAATTAAGAATTTTTTTTGACAACTCTTTTCATTTTGAACTAAATATTTTTAGCTTAATTTGCTATAATTGTTGTTGTTGTACAAAAATTCACTTGAAATTTTAAGAATAAGCAGTGCTATTATTTTATCGATATGATTTGAGCATAAGATTAAACAATATAGTTGTTTTTTTATTTCCCTTTTCATTAGAATTTTCAAAGACTAAAGTTTTCATTATTATTAAAAATTTCAAGAACTAAAGATTTTAAAAACGCACACAAAACTAAACCCTACACCCACCAATACAAACCCTACCTTCTAAACCCAAACCCTACAATAAACACCCCCCCTCCATACAGTACACCATACCACATAATAGACAACTCTTTTAATTTTGAACTAAATATTTTTTGATTAATTTGTTATAATTTTGTTTTGTACAAAAATTCACTTGATTTTTAAAGAATAAGCAGTGTTATTATTTTTATCTATATGGTTTGACCAAAAGATTAAACAATTTAGTTGTTTTCCTACCACGTTAATTACCCTTGTACGGGAAATTTTTGTTTTAAGCATAATAGACAACTCTTTTCATTTTGAACTAAATATGTTTTCCTTAATTTGGTGTGATTGTTGTTGTTGTACAAAATTTTATATGATATTTTAAGAATACACAGTCTTTTTATTTTATCGATATGATTTAAACAAAAGATTAAACAATTTATTTGTTTTGCTATTTACCTTTTCATTAGAATTTTTCAAGAACTAAGGTTTTCTTTTTAAATTCAAATTTTGAAGAACTATGGATTTTAAAAACGCACAAAAAAATAAGCCCTACACCCATCAATATAAACTCTAGCTTCAAAATTCTAACCGTACAATAAAAAATCCCCCATCCATACAATACACCATAACCACATGATAGAGAATTCTTTTAATTTTAATGAAATGTTTTTTAGGATTAATTTCTTATTCACTCCACCTTGATTAATGAAGTTTTAAAATATTGTTTTGGCTTAATCTTCATTGTTAATAATAAAATATTTTTATTTTTGTTCAAATATGCAATATTCATGTTATATTAAGAGGGATCTTCTTGTATTATTTTTCAAAATAAAAGCATCCTTAGATATAAATAATCGAAGAAATTTGTAAACAACTAAATTTACACCAAATCAATCCGATAATTTTTCATTAAATTTCTTTTGTATTTTTTTTCATATCCTTCTTCCAAATTTTCTTATACCTCTTCGTCTCTCTCTCCTTCTTTATCTCCTTTGGTTTTCCAACTATTGATTCTTTTTAAAAACATTAAAATATATTCAAATTTTTAAAAATGCACCAAAAACTAAACTATACATCCACCAATATAAATCCTAACCCCACTTATAACCCCCCTAACACCCTAAACCCTAATTCCACATTATTAACCCTCTCTCCCGTACCATACACCATAACCCCAAATTATAAACTGGTTCTGAAATTGCTTTTATTGTTTAGTTTTTCTAAAAGAAGTTGTTGTTATTTTTCTTTTGAATCGGCAATGTTCATATTAAATTGATAAGGAAAAAATGAATAACATATATTTATAATGGTTGCAAGTTGTGCGAAGAACATATAGTTATTAATAAATCTACAAACACCAAATCCATCATTGAAATACTTGAGGACGAAGCTGATGATGTAAACAAAATAGAGAAAATGATGTAAACAAAATACAAAACACAATTCCAAATTCCATCATTGCAAGGACTTGATGAGGAGAAGTGAGTCAAGTGACAATATCTTTTCATAAAACCCAGCAACAAATATTCATTTCTAAGACATAAGACTGAGAAACACATCGGCATCACCAGAAATATAAAATACCTCCAAATTTCCTTGAACCTGTAGCTTTTAATGCTTGGGAGTCAACAAATTGTTTACATTCTTGTTATGCAAATAAAATCACAGCTTGCATCCTTGTGGCCAAAGAAAAGGAAAACAGTTGTTTTGTTTTAGAAACTGTGATGGTTTGTTGAATTTCTTGATGTGTCTCTCCTCGGTGGTTTGTTTCTTTGGAATTTCAATCTCTCCATTGGGGTTTATGATGTCTCAATGAGTTTTGTGTAGTCTTATTGGAGATATCTTGGTGAGCAAGGCGAACTAAGTATTGTGGGCCATTGAAGCCCGTTTATGAAGTGAAGCTCCGTGAAGCCAAACGGAAGAATATTCTAGAGAAATCCTATTGTGATAAGGATTAAGGAAGATTTACATTATTTGGTGTTATCATTATGTTAATGTTAAACCCTATATATATGGTCTTATGCTCTTGTATCAATAACACAACTCAATAATATATTTTCCTTCTATAATATTTGTCATGGTATCAGAGCAGACGATCTTGTGATCTAAATTAAAGCTTCCGCATTAGTTTAGTTTAGTGGAGATGGTGATCCTTGGCGTTGAAGAAGTTGAGGAAGTGACGATGATGATGACGTGAAGGGTGGACTTGAGTTTTTTTTTAATTGAAAAGTTTAGGTTTTGGTTTTTATTATTAATTAATGGTTAGTTTCTATTTTATAGCTTAAGAGCTTTGTTTTTTAAAATTAAGTGGGGTTTTTTTCAATTTTTTTTTTATTGATTGATTACAAAGGATTTACGAGAGTTAGTTGTTGGGAGATTGTTTTGGTTAATGGTTATGGCTTTCACGGGTTATTAGTTATATTTTTTGAGATTGATTCTTAAGTTTAGAATTTCTCAAGGTTTTTGTTTCTCCTATTACGGGGGAGTTTGGTTATGGGTTTAGGGATTTTTATCAGGAGCGCTCATGTTTTTAGGTCATTTATTTTTTAGTCCAATTTATGGGCTGTCCGAGACAAGGACGATTATTTGTGAATTGCAGGAGTTTGCTTCCACGGGATGTTATTATTCCCTTTCTTTCAAGACCAAAGACGAGCATGTTCCATCCCTATTGACTTGTATTGCCATCCTCGACATGATTGTCCACGACATAGGTGTTCCGCATTGTGACTGCAGATTTTGCGTTTCGCGTCCACCTTTGTCGTGCGGGGGAGTATTGGAGATATCTTGGTGAGCAAGGCGAACCAAGTATTGTGGGCCATTGAAGCCCGTTTATGAAGTGAAGCCCGTGAAGCCAAACGGAAGAATATTCTAGGAAATCTTATTGTGCTAAGGATTAAGAAGATTTACATTATTTGGTGTTATCATTATGTCAATGTTAAACCCTATATATATGAGTCTTATGCTTTTGTATCAATAACACAATTCAATAATATATTACCTTCTATAATATTTGTCAATAAGTTATAGAAGTTAATATATCTCCAATAAGTCTCTTCTTATGTAATAACCCTTTCTTCTCTCCTTCTTACCTACTTTATTTCCTTAATCAGTAGAGAGGTTCATCATATCAATGTCAATGGGAAATTGAAATCACTTTCGACAACATAACTTTCGCTAATTAAACAAAGAGAGTCAAAGAACAAACCTCTATCACGAGCGAAGCCATATGAAATCAAATAGAAATCACTTTTTGTGGGTATCAGATACCCTCCTCAGAGATGTAAAAGCATTATGACCTTTTTAAATTATATTATATCGCAGAAAAAGGAACTTTAAAAGGGAAGGAGTAGTTCCGGGATTACCTAACTGTAGACGATGCCTATGAAGAAGAAACCCCTTGCTACCGACTCAAACACAGTCACAATGGATTTACACATCCACAATTTACGTCTCAGGGGTCATCTTACAGTAAGACCTTGGAAAAAAGAAAACAAATAGACACATCATCGGTTACTAAGCTCCACAATAACAAAAGGTCAAACCAAATATCGTTACATTTATTGAAACAATATGCTTATCTTTTGATAAAAGAAGAAAAAGTAAACAACCAAAAATAACTTTACATCTACTGAGTACCTTTGATATCAAGTCACCTGGATCTCATGAATCCAAAGGACGTTATTGAACACGAATTGTAACAAAACAAACGAAAACATGAGACACACAATTTAAATCCACCGAAGACGATAATCAACGTATTAGTATGAAGATTAGTCATGAACCGTGTGGTTCATCTGAAGTGATACATTAATTTATAATTAAGGCATCCCTTACGTTTTATATTAGATAACTGAACAATCTAATATTGAAACAACCACTTTTTTTTTTTTAATTAAATTAATTAAATAACAATTCAGCGGAAGTCTTTAAATAAATAAATAATAATAAATCAGGTTCAACAAATAAATTCAAATAAATAATTAAAGGAAATACTAGCAACCTAAACACCAGGTACTAGCAAGTCAAATAATGCAAAACAATAAAACATAAACATCCTATCATCCCCTCTTCAGCCTTGATTCCGCGATCACACAAATCTTTTACCTGCAACACATTGGAATGGAGTTGCGTAAGTATTTAATAAATACTTAGTGAGGCAATCACTCTGCCTACAGGCCAATTACGCAATTTACTAGATATTTAATAATATTTATAAACTCCAATAATTATTAAATACCATTTTCCAATTATTAAATAATTATTAACAATTAAAACTTCATTTCTCAATTATTAAATAATCCTCATAATTAAATAATAATTTTCCATATTTTAAAATAATTAATATAATTATTTTAAGCCATTTAATTAATTAAAATACTCATTAATTAATTAAATACGAATTAAACCAAATAACCAGATAACCAGATTAATCAATTAAATTAAATCAATTTAAACCGGACCAAACCGGCTTGTGTCGACCGACACCAGCTTGGTGTCGGTCGACACCGGCTCGACAGCCCGATGCCAACATCAATAAAACTGCACGAAAATCACATAAAACACCAAATCCACACGAATTACACCCAAACAACACTAGATATCACATAATCAACATGAACAACTCAAGAACAATTAATCAATCAAACCAAATCTAGCAATTGCGGACCTACAGTCATGCACTCACCTCAAATCGGATTGAAAACAGAGAAAGGAGGATGAAACAAGGAAGAACAGCAACAAGGAGCCTCAGATCGACGAAGAACTCCGGATTTCAGCTCGAAATCGCCTCTCTTCTCCTTCTCCAGTCCGCAAAACGACAAAAGAGAGAAGAGGAAGCGGCTGCAGCTTTTTATTTCGAGTTCTAGGGCTTCCTGGGCCCAAACCGGCCTAAACCGAACTTAAATTGAACCAGAAATTGATTTTAACCATTGGTGTCGACCGACACCACCCTGGTGTCGACCGACACTAAAGAAAAATCACAATTCTTTGGTCTACGGATGTTACAAATATAAAGGCGTTATACGAAGATGATGGTCATTGTTAGTAGGCATTGAAAACACTTTATGCTAACAAAGAATAATACAAACAGTCCGCGCCATGTAACATTGTTAGGTTTTGTGCAAAACAACCTTCAAACAAAATTCTTTTTGCAAATCAAACCCTCAACTAAAAACCGTGCAAGTCAATCCTATTAAGTCAAAAGTCACCCGCAATATAGGACATATGTATATTTGTGACAAAATTTAAAAGAGTTTTGTGCAAAAAAACCCGCAGAGTAAATTCTTTCTGCAAATTTAACCCCTAACTTAAAAAATATGCAAATCAAAACTCGAAGTCAGAAATCACCGCTGAAACGGACCTATGTGTATTTTTCGTTAACTGTAAACATCGATTCAAAACATCATGCCATTTACAATATTTTAACTAACTATTTTATCAAAATTAATTTTGAAAAACAAAAACAAAAATCTTCAATCTCTCTTTTCGTACTCCTCCACCACTATAAGTTTTTCTCGAGTAATCTTGTACTCCCTCCATTTCATATTAGTTATAATTTTGAGTAAAAGTATTTGCAATGTATCTAGATGTATTAAGCATATCCAAATAAATTGCAGTTACATTTTTTTTTCAAAACGACAACTAATATGAAATGAGTTGATTTTCTTTTTCATGATATCATTAGGTTTCAAAATCAAGCTTAGATTTTTTGTTTCGTTTTATGTTTGGTGTATCGTGTATGGAAAAAGGAATTTGTGTGATTCTGATGCTTATTTAGATATTAGATTATCTAAATATCATAGTAGGAGTTTAGATATTAGATTATCTAAATAAATATCAATATCACACAGATTTACATAGTTCCGTTTTGATAAAAAAAGTTAGTTAAAATGTTGTAAATGGCATAATATTTTGAATCAACGTTGACATTTAACGACAAATACACATAGGTTCATTTCAGCGGTAATATCCGACTTCGATGTTTGATTTGCATATCTTTTAAGTTGGGGGTTAAATTTGCATAAAGAATTTAGTTCGCGGGTTGTTTTTTACAAAAGTATTTTAAATTTTGTCACAAATATACAGATGTCCTATATTACGGGTGACTTTTGACTTCATAGGTTTGACTTGCACGGTTTTTAATTGAGGGTTTGATTTGCAAAAAGAATTTAGGTTGAGGGTTGTTTTGCACAAAACCCAACATTGTTTCTTCTTATGTAAAGACTTGTTTGTGATCTGTAGAATATGAATCAAAGGAATTAGTTAACAATATATATCAATGACATAAATTTTTTGAATGAAAAGAATTATAATTTGACATAATTAGTTGAATGAAACAAACGATCATTAAACTTGTAACATCCGTAAACCAAAGAATTGTGATTTTTCTTTAGTGTCGGTCGACACCAGGGTGGTGTCGGTCGACACCAATGGTTAAAATCGATTTCTGGTTCAATTTAAGTCAATTGAAATCCGGTTTAGGCCCGGTTTAGGGCGGAAACCCTTGGGTCTTGAATAAAAGTCGAGCAGCCGCTTCCCCTTTCCTCTGTTTTGTCGTTTTGTGGCGAGTTTGGAGAGGAGAAGAGATTTGAGGCGATTTGAGGTGTTGGTCGATCGATTCAAGGCTGGTTCGTCGTTGTTTCGGAGCCTGAGTCATCGTTGGTGGCTGCTGCGTCGCTGTTCTTCGTGTCCTTCGTCAGATTCATCATCTTCAATCCGATTTCCCCTCTTTCAACCTAAAATTGAGGTGAGTGCATGACTGTGGGTCCGTGATTGCTAGATTCAGGATTTGTATGTGTTTATGTGGTGATTTCGTGATGATATTGATGTTTGATTCAATGTTTATGGTTGTTTGAGTGATTTCCTGCGAATTTCGAGTTTCAGGTACTGTTCATAGTCCGATCTGGTTTTCCAGAATCGGTGTCGGTCGACACCAAGCTGGTGTCGGTCGACACCAGAAGGCTTGTGTCGGTCAACACCAAGCTGGTGTCGGTCGACACAGGCCGGTTAACTCTGGTTAAAATCAATTTAATTGGTTTAATTGAATTTGGATGGTTTAAATCAATTGGAGATGGTTTAATCGATTTTGGTTGGTTTAATTCATATTTAATTAATTAATGAGTATTTTAATTAATTAAATGGTTTAAAATAATTAAAATAATTATTTTAAAATATGGAAAATTATTATTTAATTATGAGAATTATTTAATAATTGAGAAATTGAGTTTTAATTATTAAAAATTATTTAATAATTGGAAAATGGTATTTAATAATTATTGGAGTTTATAATAATTATTAAATATCTAGTAATTGCGTAAATGGCTCGTAGGCAGAGTGATTGCCTCACTAAGTATTTATTAAATACTTACGCAACTCCATTCCAATGTGTTGCAGGTAAAAGATTTGTGTGATCGCGGAATCAAGGCTGAAGAGGGGGATGATAGGATGTTTACTGTTTTATTATTTTGCATTGTTTGACTTGCTAGTACCTGGTGTTTAGGTTGCTAGTATTTCCTTAATTATTTATTTGTTTATTTGTTGAACCTGATTTATTTTTTATTTATTTAAAGACTTCCGCTGAATTGTTATTTAATTTATTTATAAAAAAAAAATGTTGGTTGTTTCATTTTGGTATCAGAGCCTAGACGGTTTTAGGACTGTTAGAATTGCTAGGCTTTAGTATCATCCCCTTCAGCTACAAGAGATTCCGCGGTGAGTTTATGTTTGTTTTGAGTTTTGGTTGCGTGTTCTAGTGTGCTCTTTTTGGTTCCATGAGTGAGATGGACGAGTAGCTAGAGGTTGTGGCGCGAGAGGGCGCGGTGCTCGAGGCCGTGGTGGCAGAGCGAGAGGCCGGGGCCGAGATTGTGGACTTCGGCGGATTCGGGAGAGAGTGTGGTGCCTAGTGTGGCGATTGCGTCGGTGACCCAGTCGATATCCATGGCGAGTGAGGCCAGTGTGGATGCGAGTGTTGGTTTGGGAGCGGGGGCTGCTCCGGGTTGGGGTGGTGCTCCGGCTCAGGGTCTTGATGACTTAGTGGTGGGTTTGCTGACGCAGTTATTGGCTCGTTTTCCGCCAGTGGTTCCACAGGGGGCTCCGGGAGTACCTCCAGTGGCAGAGGTGCAGCAGAGGGCTGCGGGATTTGTTCAGCCGCAGGCTGTGGGTTTGGGTGCCGTCCTATTTGGATATGATGGGGCACATGCAGAGGATTGGTACGCCGTTTTGAGGGCGGAGTTAGCCAGAGGAGGCGGAGTGGCGTCAGAGATTGGAGCGGAATTTCCAGTCTATCAGATTGGTTTAGTACCAGGTGGAGTTGGCAGTCCACTATCTGAGTGGAGATGCACATTTGTGGTGGCGGGCCATCGAGGGCATAATGGTTGTTGTTGTTGTGTGTTGTTCATTATCTGTGATAGAATTGTGGAGGTTCTCAACGCATTGAATGTGTAGGGACCTTGTTAGTGGGCGGTTTTGAGTCCCACGTTTTATTCGACTCTGGAGCATCGAATTGCTTCATTACACCGGAGCGTGCCGAGAAGAGTGGCATCCGGAGTAGCGCGGCGAGAGCGCGGGCATGGTCAAGGTGGCGGGAGGTGGATTCTTGTCTACTTTGGGCCGTGCTAGAGGAGTCGAGATCGAGATTGCGGGGCAGTCAATGCCAGCAGACTTAGTCATCAGTCCGGTGGAGCTGTATGACGTTATTCTCGGGATGGACTGGTTGTCACACTACAGAGTTCATCTGGATTGCTACAGAGGTAGAGTGGTCTTCGAGCGAGATGCAGGGAGGTTGGTTTATCAGGGAGTGAGACCGACTTCCGGGAGTATTGTGATATCTGCTATTCAGGCCGAGCAGTTGTTAGAGCGGGGCTGTGAGGCGTATCTGGCGACGATTTCTATGTCTGAGTCAGGAGCTGGAGTTGTTATGGGAGATATTGAGGTTGTCCAGGATTTTGAGGATGTCTTTCAGTCACTGAAGGGATTACCACCATCTCGGTCTGATCCTTTCACGATTGAGTTAGAGCCGGGGACAGCACCGATATCGAAGACGCCTTACAGGATGGCGCCAGCTGAGTTGGCAGAGCTGAAGAAGCAGATAGAGGACCTTTTGTCTAAGGGGTTCATTCGACCGAGTGTTTCACCGTGGGGAGCACCGGTGTTGTTTGTGAAGAAGAAGGATGGGAGTTTCAGACTTTGTATCGATTACAGAGGTCTTAACCGAGTCACTGTGAAGAACAGGTACCCACTCCCGAGGATTGATGAGTTGTTGGATCAGTTGAGGGGTGCTACTTGGTTCTCCAAGATTGACTTGGCATCGGGGTATCATCAGATCCCGATAGATGAGGCAGATGTCAGGAAGACTGCTTTCAGGACGCGTTATGGGCATTTTGAGTTTGTGGTTATGCCTTTCGGTTTGACTAACGCGCCGGCAGCCTTCATGAGATTGATGAACGACGTGTTCAGGGAGTATTTGGACGTGTTCGTCATCATTTTCATTGATGATATTCTGGTATACTCGAGGAGTCAGGAGGAGCATGCGACTCACTTGAGGTTGGTTCTGGAGAAGCTTCGGGAGCAGAAGCTTTTTGCTAAGTTGAGCAAGTGCAGTTTCTGGCAGCGAGAGATGGGATTTCTTGGCCACATTGTTTCTGCAGAGGGAGTTTCTGTGGATCCGGCTAAGATTGAGGCTATCAGAGATTGGCCTAGACCTAGTAGTGCCACCGAGATCAGGAGTTTTCTGGGTTTGGCAGGATACTACAGGAGGTTCGTCAAGGGGTTTGCTACCATGGCGCAGCCGATGACGAAGTTGACTGGGAAGGATGTCCCGTTTGTTTGGTCAGCTGAGTGTGAGGAGAGCTTTAGTCAGCTCAAGGAGATGTTGACTACTACACCAGTGTTGGCGTTACCCGAGCCAGGGAAGCCTTACATGGTGTATACAGATGCTTCAGGCATTGGTCTTGGTTGTGTGCTGATGCAGGAGGGCAGAGTGATAGCATATGCTTCGAGACAGTGGCAGGGCAGTGAGCGTAACCGTCCTACACATGACTTAGAGTTGGGAGCAGTGATCTTCGCGTTGAAGATTTGGAGGTCTTACTTGCTAGGTGAGACAGTACAGGTCTTCACGGATCACAAGAGTTTGCAGCATATCTTCACTCAGCCGATGATGAACGCGAGACAGACGCGCTGGGTTGAGTTCTTGGCGGATATCAGGTGAGCATTAACTACCATCCGGGCAAGGCTAACCTAGTGGCGGACGCGTTGAGTAGACGGAGGTATGATTCCGCAGTTGAGCGAGATGTGGAGTCTCTAGTTGGCGAGATCAGTACCTTGCGTTTGTGTGCCATTTCGCAGGAGCCTTTGGGTTTAGAGGCAGTGGATCAGGCGGATCTACTTAGCAGGATCAGAGTTGCTCAGCAGAGTGATCAGAGTTTGCTAGATGCGACGAGAGTGACTGGTTCTGAGTATGAGGTCTCTGCGAATGGGACTATCTTGGTTCGTGGGCGAGTTTGTGTGCCTAAGGATGTGGAGTTGAGACATCAGATTTTGGGAGAGGCTCACGCGAGCAAGTTTTCCATTCATCCGGGAGCGACCAAGATGTACCATGACCTCAAGAGGTACTATCATTGGGTCGGGATGAAGAGGGATGTAGCAGACTGGGTTGCGAAGTGCAACACTTGTGCCTTGGTGAAGGCAGAGCATCAGGTTCCGGGTGGTCTTTTGCAGAGTTTACCCATTCCAGAGTGGAAGTGGGACAGGATTACGATGGATTTCGTGGTTGGACTACCTGTTTCGAGGACTTTCGATGCTATCTGCTGTTTTGGCTAGGAAGTTTGTGCGAGAGATTGTGAGGCTGCATGGAGTGCCAGCTAGTATTGTGTCAGACCGTGATCCCAGATTCACTTCAGAGTTTTGGAGGCGTTTCAGGCAGAGATGGGCACTAAGGTGCATTGAGTACAGCTTATCATCCGCAGACAGATGGTCAGTCAGAGAGGACTATTCAGACTTGGAGGATTTGCTGAGGATGTGTGTGTTGGATTGGGGTGGCCATTGGGCAGATCACCTGAGCTTAGTTGAGTTTGCATACAACAACAGCTTTCAGGCGAGTATTGGCATGGCTCCATTTGAGGCTTTGTATGGGAGGCCATGTAGGACACCCCTATGCTGGACCCAAGTGGGGGAGCGCAGCATGTATGGAGCTACTTATGTTCAGGAGACGACAGAGAAGGTCCGTGTTGTGAGGCTGAACATGAAGGAGGCTCAGGACAGGCAGAAGAGTTATGCAGATAGACGCAGACGAGAGCTTGAGTTTCAGGTTGGAGATAGAGTTTATCTCAAGATGGCTATGTTGAGGGGTCCTAACAGATCCATAGCAGAGAACAAGCTGAGTCCGCGTTTATGGGTCCGTTTCCAGTAGTGGAGCGAGTTGGGCCATTGGCTTACAGGCTGGAGTTGCCTGAGATTATGAAAGCCTTTCACAAGGTTTTTCATGTGTCGATGCTGAGGAAGTGTCTTCACCCTACAGAGGAGTTAGTGGCTAGGATTCCAGAGGATCTTCAGCCAGATTTGACAGTGCCGGCAGTGCCTGTGAGGATTTTAGAGAGGAGGGAAAAGGTTCTGAGGAACAAGAGGATTCCCTTACTGAGGATTTTGTGGGATTGCAGTGGTTCTACAGAGGAGACTTGGGAGCCAGAGGCAAAGATGAAGTTGAAGTTCAGGAAGTGGTTCGACAAGCAGGTCGAGGAGTGAGCTTATTTCATCTTTGTAGCCTCAGTTGTTATTTTTGGCTTTGGTGTTATTGTATTTTCGTTTTCGTTGTAACGATATACATTTTGGAGTTTTAATGAGATGCAGTTTTTCCTCATTTTGCCTTGTGTTGTGAAATGGTATTCGGATGTTACACATGTTTGACCAGTTTTTGGTTGTGAGACGGTCTAATCTTATGGTTATAGACATTTTTCCGGAATTTTTACTCTAAGGATTGCGATCCTGAATAACTCATCATGTTTTTGGAGACTTCGTTCTCTGGCAGACTCTCTGGGTGCAAGTAGGCCTCAGTTGAGTGTAGCTTATCTGGGTGCAAGTAGGCCTCAGTATAAGCAGTTTGTTCATCTGGGTGCAAGTGGGCCTCAGTATGGACGTTTCGGGTTCGTCTGGGTGCAAGTGGGCCTCAGTGCGGACCGGTGTGGACTTGTCTGGGTGCAAGTGGGCCTCAGTACAAGTGGTTTGTGTGTTTGGATGATGAGTTAGGAGTGAAAATTTCTTGGAACGTGCTTATGACATAGGATTTGACATATGTCTCGGGGATCAGGTGAGGATCTCCAGTGTTGCGGCCTTGCGAGGTCGGGTTTTTGTGGTCTTTGTGACGTTTGTTTGGGATTCGAGGACGAATCCAGTTTAGTGGGGGAGAGTTGTAACATCCGTAAACCAAAGAATTGTGATTTTTCTTTAGTGTCGGTCGACACCAGGTGGTGTCGGTCGACACCAATGGTTAAAATCGATTTCGGTTCAATTTAAGTCAATTGAAATCCGGTTTAGGCCCGGTTTAGGGCGGAAACCCTTGTCTTGAATAAAAGTCGTGCAGCCGCTTCCTCTTCTCTGTTTTGTCGTTTTGTGGCGAGTTTGGAGAGGAGAAGAGATTTGAGCGATTTTGTTTCGATCGATTCAAGGCTGGTTCGTCGTTGTTTCGGAGCCTGAGTCATCGTTGGTGGCTGCTGCGTCGCTGTTCTTCGTGTCCTTCGTCAGATTCATCATCTTCAATCCAATTTCCCCTCTTTTCAACCTAAATCAAGGTGAGTGCATGACTGTGGGTCCGTGATTGCTAGATTCAGGATTGTATGTGTTTATGTGGTGATTCGTGATGATATTGATGTTTGATTCAGTGTTTATGGTTGTTTGATGATTTCCTGTGAATTTCGAGTTTCGGTACTGTTCATAGTCCGATCTGGTTTTTCCAGAATCGGTGTCGGTCGACACCAGAAGGCTTGTGTCGGTCGACACCAAGCTGGTGTCGGTCGACACAGACCGGTTAACTCTGGTTAAAATCAATTTAATTGGTTTAATTGAATTTGACTGGTTTAAATCAATTGGAGATGGTTTAATCGATTGGTTGGTTTAATTCGTATTTAATTAATTAATGAGTATTTAATTAATTAAATGGTTTAAAATAATTAATAATTATTTTAAAATATGGAAAATTATTATTTAATTATGAGAATTATTTAATAATTGAGAAATTGAGTTTTAATTATTAAAATTATTTAATAATTGGAAAATGGTATTTAATAATTATTGGAGTTTATAATATTATTAAATATCTAGTAATTGCGTAAATGGCTCGTAGGCAGAGTGATTGCCTCACTAAGTATTTATTAAATACTTACGCAACTCCATTCCAATGTGTTGCAGGTAAAAGATTTGTGTGATCGCGGAATCAAGGCTGAAGAGGGGGATGATAGGATGTTTACTGTTTTATTATTTTGCATTGTTTGACTTGCTAGTACCTGGTGTTTAGGTTGCTAGTATTTCCTTTAATTATTTATTTGAATTTATTTGTTGAACCTGATTTATTATTTATTTATTTATTTAAAGACTTCCGCTGAATTGTTATTTAATTTATTTATATATAAAAAAAAATGTTGGTTGTTTCAAAACTATTGAAAACTAAGAAGAAAGAGGAAAGAGCAAATAATTTCTTATATATATATAATATTTTCATTAAGGGTTAGGGTTTTTATCTAAAAGTATTTTAGTGAAAAATCAAATTCATTTTTTCTAAAGGAAAATTCAAAGATTTAATTAAGATTTTCATTAAGGGCAGTTCGGTAATTTCGCGACTGAGATTGAATGTGGTGGCTCCATTCGAAATTTTGACTTCGCAAATAATATATTAGATATGTTTAGCTTAAGTATGACCTCATAAAAAAAATTCTAAATTCACTGCTGGGTAAATAGGTGTACAGATAAAAAGGGTAAAAAATAATCTGTAACATATAAAATCATACACATAATAGAATCCTAAAGTGTCATATGAAAATTTGGTGAATTATTTTATTATTTTAACTTTATAAAAGGTCTTATTTTCCACTCTAGTTTTGTAAACAAAAAAAAACACCATGTTACTTTCAAAATTAAAACACTGCATGTATTTATAAGGTGTTAAAAATCCTTTTTTCAACATTCATAGCTTTCCTATAAATGATTGCGGGTAAAGCCTAATTTTGACTTCAAACTTATTAATCTGTGGTAAAAACAATACAGTAAAACCTCTTTAAGTAATAATGTTGGGACTTTGAAAATTTATTATCTTATAGAGGTATTACTTTATGAATAAATTCAATATTCATGTATTCTCATAATCTTCGAAAATTATTCTCGATATGATAATATATTAAGAAATGAAAATATTTATTCATTAATATGACATATATAAACTTGAAATTATTATCAAATCTTTTGGATATCATAATAAAACATATATTATTAGTTTCTATAAATATTTATTTATATAAAATTTGATACATAATAAATGTTAAAATTTTATAAATAATTATAGCTACTAATGAAGTTGAAAATGATATGTTTAGAACATATTTAACAATTTTACATGCATATAAAAATTGCATTATGAGTTTTTTATATAAGAAAAAGTTAAAGATAAACTTCAATTCATAATTTAATAATTGGTTTAGGCATATACAATGTATAATTTTATATAATTATTACTTTAACTTATAATTGGGACCATATTTTTACATAAAGTTTCAAAAATATTATTATCTTATCATCTTATCGCATTTTGCTTATTTTTACATTGGCCCTAATTGGGACCGGAAAAATTTATTATCTTATAGTGATTATTACTTTATCGAATATTATTTTATAGAGCTTTTACTGTATTTGAAGAATAGATTTTAAAACAATATTTTTCGTAGTGTACTAGTGTCTAAAGAGAAAAGAGGGACGAAAAGATGGTACAAAAAAAAGAAAAGAAAAGTGGTTCAAAAAATATTCACCAGATTTTTTGTTTTGTTTTGGCTCTTTAAAATGAAATACAAAGATTTAGTTACGCCATTACCACAAAACTGGGGCACACTGACTTCACGTGCTTTCTAGTTGCCTCTTTCTCTTTCTGGGACACAAAAAATGTTACAAATATGGATATGAAATTAATAACGTCAACAAATTCAGATATTCATCAATTTTATCTCAGTTTCATGATTACTTCGACGTTTTTGATAGTGGACCTTAGCTCTCTAAGAAAATTTGAAGCCTTATATTACCCATAAGCTAGTATTTTGGGACCCAAAAAAATTTCCAACTATATGGGCCTCAAATATAGAAGAGGCAAAGAAAGCTTTAAGGTTTTTTTGTTACCTGCACAAGACTAAAAGATAAAATCTTATGATATAAACAGGGATATATATTAAGTCATCCAAGAAAATAAGAAGACCTTTATATTTAACTAATGTTACGTAATGTAAACAAGAAAACACTACAAGAAGAAGAGGAGATAAACATTAGTATTTATGATTTCATGCATAAGTCTAAACAAATCAAGAAAACACTATTCACTCATTTTTTAAATGATTTGTGTTATGAATGTATCTATTGTCACACGCAAAGACGTTCGTTAAAGCTGTCCTGGGCAATGGCCTAAAATCAAGCTTCTGGTTTGATGTATGGACACTGTTAGGACCTCTCATCGATGCCATCGGACAGCAGCGGCCAAAGAACTTACAAGTCAATATAAATGCACGATGTGTGTACTTCTTGCGCATGGGATCTACAGCAGCCAAGATAAGATCTGGTGGTAAATCTACACACTTTCCTCACAAGAATCCCATTCCCATCCCCTACATTGAGGGATGACTTCTACACTTGGACGGTAAACAACATCACCTACAATGGCTTTAATGCATCTCGAACCTGAGAAGCAATGAGGCCAAAGGTAGATCCAAAGCGATGGGCTTCTTCTGTGTGGTTTGAGGGCTCAGTTCCTAAGCATGCTTTCAATATGTGGATTACACACCTCGACAGATTGCCAACTCGATCGAGACTTGCCTGTTGGGGGATTCCAACCTCAGTAGATTGCTGTTTCTGTGGAAGGGAAACAGAGACAATGGACCATCTATTTGTTCGGTGCAGATTCAGCACTCAAAATCTTGTCCTCCGCTCTTCTGAAAATTGCTCCAACACCGGTTCATTTCCAGTCTTGGCCAGAGATCCTCTCTCGGACAAGTAACGACTCAAACAGAGCTCCATCTCTACTGCACAAAATCGTGGCACAAGCGTCATTTACCATATCTGGAAGGAAAGGAATAACGTCATTCACAATGGATGTCATTTACCACAAGATACCATTTCCAAAGCATTTATCGGCAAATCATCAACACTATCACGGCTAGAAGAAACAGGAGGCGCTTCGACGGCCTCATGCTTCTCTGGCTTCGGTGAAAAGAACCTTGTGTTCTAATCTTGTTTTGTAACCTTGTTTTTATCTCTTTTTTTGCCAAGGTTGCTTATGTTTTATGCTTTACATTATGTATCCCCTAAACTTTCATTATGATATGATCCAAAGCCTTAGCCCTAGATCTTGTAGTTGCTCCTAGATAAGCTATGATGAACTCAATAGATTGAAAGATTATCTAGCTAAGCCTCCTCTTAATTTCTAAACTTTCTTTAGAGCTTTAAGGTTAATTCTTGGAAGTTGTTTTCTTATTGATTATAAGAGGACCTTATATAGATCCTCAAACAAACCGACTTAACATAATTAAAAGGAAAAATATCAAAACCTTAATCTAATTGTAAAAAGGAAAACCATTCCATTGATCGTATCATTACTCCCCTCCTCGACTAGGAGCTTGTCCTCAAGCTCCAACTCTAGGAATGCTACTAGCAGCCTTATTCATCCTTCCAGTTTTCTTCGTCGTATGGCTCATCCTCTTGATTATCTCCATCCCTGACTGGCATTATATGAAAAAGCATTGGATTACAAGCATGATCCCGCGTGAAGAGCTCATCACAATTGAAACAAAGTCCTTTTGCTTTTGGCTCTGCCATTTCTTCCACAGTTAACTTCTTCCAATATTTTCTCGGTGTTGCCTGTTTTGCTTCTTCTTGTTGAGGCTGAAGAACTCCAATAGATCTTCTTGCTGGCGCGAGATGTCCCCCAAATGTGCGAGTACGCTTGTCATTATCGATCTGACACTCATTATCTCTTGCATACTCCATTGCTTTAAAGATTTTGGCTAGACGAAGATACTCGACCTCCTTACTTAAGCTATCGGTCAAACCTGCACAAAATAGCCACGATTGCTGATCTACAGTAAGTTTTGTTTGTCGTCCGAGACACTCCTCAAATTGTCTGCAATAATCATCGACGGTTCTTGTGTGTCTAAGGTTTGATAACTCTCCCATGGGATTGACTGAATCTGCTTTACCATACCGACTCTTGCAAGTCTGTTTAAACTCTCTCCAGCTTAGTTGTTGAGTTACTAAACGCCTCAGATTATTGTTCCAATGGTATGCTTTTCCAGTCAATACAAAAGTTGCTTGGCGAACCCGTGCCTCATCGCTAATCACTCCCTGGTCTGTAAAGTAATCCTCACACTTCTGTAACCATTCAATAGCGTTGGTTGTACCATCATACGATGGAAAATCCATCTTCGCTGCTGGAATAAGACGCTTTTCATGGTTGAGGTCTCGATCAGAAGTCGTTTTCCATGTCGGATCATCTTGAACACGGAAATCATTCGGAGGAAAACCTTGCTGGTGTTTGGTACTCCAATTGGTTTTACGTTCCAAACACCACCACCATCGGCATGGCGATGTTCCTTCTCCCGCTCCACCGATTGCTTCTGCAATGCGCCTTCAGTTGGAAACATATTAGACCCTATGCTTGTTGTCGGTATATTAATACCGGTTTTGTTTGGTGAACTATCTGCTCCTGGTTCTATTATACGAGAAGAAACACCTCTGATTTTCTGGGTTCCACTTAAAAGCTCAACATCAAGTAGCTGTTCTTCTGTGAATTTGACTGGTGGTCCACTAGCGAGTTTTCCCTTCTGGTTTGTGCCTGAAACCGAAGTCAGCGATTGAAGAACAGCTGTGTTACTCTCCGTAGCAGCTGCAGTAGTCGCTGAAGTTTCTTGAAGAGCTCCGATCTGTTTTTCCACCTTATCGAACCTCTCACCAAAGCCATTAAATCGTTTGGTAAATTGCTCCATGAGAAGAGCGAGCTGTGCCGCGATCGTAATATTGTCCGTCATAGGATCACTTGGCTCTGATACCAATTTGATATGATCCAAAGTCTTAGCCTAGTTGCTCCTAGATAAGCTATGATGAACTCAAGAAATTGAAAGAGTCTTTAGCTAAGTTTCCTCTTAACCCTAAACTTTCTTTGGAGCTTTAAGGTTAATTCTTGGAAGTTGATTTCTTATTGATTATAAGAGGTTCTTATATAGATCCTCAAACAAACCACTTAACATAATTAAAATGAAAACTATCAAAACCTTAATCTAATTGTAAAAAGAAAAACCATTAAAAATCCCAAAACCATTGATCGTATCATATTATCAATGAATATTAACATTCCTAAAAGAATGTATCTATCGTTGAAAATATTTAGACATTTTTTTTTTAATGTGGTTTAAATAACGTTTTTAGCCACAAATAAAAGATCCAAGTTCTTTAATTTGGATTTAAAATATATTTCAAGAGATTTTAATAACAATAAATATCAACTTTCTTAAATTCATCCAAAATAATCAAATTCATCAATTTACCAAACCACAGATTTTGGTTGAATTAATACACTCTTGACAAACACCATACAGAAAGAAAAATATGAAGAGATGGGAAAACTTATTTATATTCTAGTTCGCTTTTCATGTTACTTGTATAACCTAAAAGAAATTATATTAGCTCAAATATTGGATACAGAACATGGAAGTTGTTTCTCAAAGAGACCAAGCCTATAGTCACCAAGCTTGGTTTTGTAAGCAGATGACTTGTATTGAGACCAAGTAAACTCTTTATAAAGCCAATCCTCTTGCTTTGGGACAAGACATGATAATGGTGCAATCTTCTCGGTCAACGGTGGACCTGCGAAGTAGATCATCGATAACCTTGACTTCTTTGTATTTGTGAGCACTCTGTGTTTCACACTCTTGAATCTTCCGTTAGTCAACACCTGCAATAGATAATAGGCCATATAAAATATATTAGAAATGTGTGATTTGGTTTCAAATTAGTTGAGGACAAGAATAAGATGTTGGATTCATTTGTTCATGCCAAACATGATTCATGTAATATATAAACCAAAAGAAAATATCAATGCAATAGTATCGGTAACGTGAGGGTATGTTTCTATTACTCTAGATAGACTTTTCAACATTATACCAATATATATATATATATATATTATATATATATATATAGTTTATATACAAAAAGAGAGTCAACGACAGAATCTTTAAACTAATGATCCGATCATATTTTAACACAGATACTTGTTCAAAATTTAATATTACTTTTAATTATAAATCCTAAAAGCTAAGCGCAAAGCTGAAAATTGTGGAGCTACCTTTTTTTGGTTCTTAATAAGATACAATTTTACATATAACAAAACATCTATACATATTGAATTCAGTTTATATGTGATTAGAATATTCGTATAAATTTGGATATACCATTTAGGTTGTATTTGTCCAAAAAAAAATCGCCATATGTGAAAATTTCCAATCTAATTGATAACAAAATAAAATAAAATAAAAGAGAATATTTTGCTCTGAGAAAAAGGAAAAGGTTGCAACAGAAAGGGTACCTGAAGAGTATCTCCGACAATAACGAAGAAAGAGGAGTGATCAGGTGGAACCGCGACCCAAGTTCCATCTTTGACACAGATTTGTAAACCCTCAGTGTCGTTTGATCTGAGCACTGATATTAATTGTGGATCCGTGTGCTCACCGAACCCTATCTCTTCCTTGGCCGGACTCTCTTCCTTGTCCGGGTAATGGTTCATTCTCAGGCACGAATCGCTCTCCTTCACCCTCACTAAATTGCTCAGCTTCTCCTTTGGCTCTATCTTTAGCTCTTCCGCTACCATATCCAGAACTTTGCTCGATATTCCTTTCATCTCTTCCATGTACTCTTCCACCGCCTCTCTGTTACATTTCAAAATACATTTCTCTGTTAAAAAAAAAAAACAGGAGATACAAGACGAAGCTGGGGAGCTCTGTTTTTCCTTTATTTAAAGAATATGCTAACTCTGTAACGAAATGAGAACTGATTACATGAGATTTTCGGAGAATGATTATATTATCAAACAGACTTCCTCGAGTGTAAAATCTTTTTTTTTTTAAACCATTTCTCAAATTCTTGATTGATTAAACCGTTTTCACTGAAAACGCATATGAAAGAAAAACAGAACATCCCCTGTCCGCCAAACAAGGCAACTCCGAATCAAATTTCATGGCCTTTCAAGAAGTTATTTTCCTAGAAAACTTTTAATTATTGGTTTTACCTGAAAATTGTAGGAGTTTGCTGGAAAACAGCTGCGGTTTTGGTAGACTCAAGATGATTATTAGCATTGAGGAGAATATACTCAATCCAGCCCATGTCACCTTTGGATCCGATCTGTTTACTACCGTAACCAAACGGGTCGGTTGGACCCGCTTTCTCTTTGAGAGAGTGAGGCAAAGCAAAGAAGTTGTTGGCTTCTTGCTCCAACTGGGTCATAAGATCGGGTAGGACCCCATGGCTGACGATTTTGAAGAAGCCAAACTCCTCGCATGCCTTCACGATTTGGGTTTTGGCATCTGGCTCGGTTAAGTCCACAACCGGGATTAAAACCGGACTCGGTTTGCATTTTGGGTTCACATAGACGTCGCTATCAAAAGTGGCCGGCTGTAACAAAACTACCATGGTTTACGAAAACTTATGTGAAGAATAAAAGATTGTTGAAGATCAAAGTAAGGAACTTTGAAAGAGAATAAATTTGGTGAAAAGGGGGTTTTAGCTTAGCTTTAATTTATAGTCTCTTGCTTGTGGCCTTGTGGGTAGGGACGAAGATTTTATTTTTATTTTTGACTTTTAATGCTGTTTTTGGTTATTTAATTATTTTTAATTGTTAATGTAAATTTAAATTTATGGGGGTGATTCATTATAATCTTGGTAGGATTTGAGTGTTGTGATTTTGATTCAAATTTTCTAAAACCACATATTTTGTTTCTATTTTTTAACTAAAAAATTATACCCAAAACATCCTAAAATCATAAAAAAAGATCTCTTAAAATCCAATATATATATATATTATTTCCAATAATAATGGATTTTGAAATAAAATTTTCAAATCATTACTTCAATACACCAAATCTTAAAAAGATTTTTCAATTTTGTTTTAGTAACATTAAATTTGTCATTTTAATACAAATCATTCTAACTTTTAGTTTGAATACATCCTCTAAATCTTTTTTTCTGGGTATTTATATATAACAAGATTAATTTATTTTGGTAGATCTTGTTTTAATTTCCTTTTCAGATTGACAAATCAATGGTTTAATGAAAAGGAAGAAATTCTCTGATTAGCTAATAAGAAATTATTGGCGCTTCACAAATCATATTTTAAAAGGAGGAAACTTCGCTGTTGGTGTTCCTAAAGGCTAAGGTTTCCTCCTCAAGACATCTATACATGTTGTGGGACTACGTACTAACGTACCTTCTGCCAGTTTTTTTTTAAATCCTTATGGTTATGGGAATGAAATGGTTTCTGTCCATAATACTTTTTTTTGTTAATTATAAATTTATACTCGATGTAATTTTTTTTAGTGTGGTTCAAAATATGACCCTTTTTTTTCTTTATTGTAACTTTTTTTGAAGGGTGAATTAGGTGTATATCCATATTGAGAGTCCAAATTAAACTTATAGGCATATGAAAGTCAAAATGAAAAGAGTAGCCAATTGCACTGTTTCTGGACGAAAATGCCCCTACAGAGAAAAGAGATGATCAATGTATACTATACTACATATATTACACACATGGAATAGTATTGGGGTCGGTGTTTCTATCAACGAATTCGAGCGATCTTAAACATGAGTCAGTGTTTGTATCAATGAGTTCAAGCGATCGAGCACACACACACATCAAAACCAAAAGAATAAAACAATAGAATGGGGATCGAAACATTTATAAAACAATTTAAGACCACACTTAAAATTGCAACAAAATAGTTCACCATTGTTCAATTATGGGTGTTTTTAAGATTTAGAATAACCGTGAATCGATCTGATATAATTATGAATGAGTCAAATAATGTATGGAAACTGATTTTATAATTTGTTAAACACAAAGGTTTTGGTTAATCTCGGTGCTGCTGATGATTGAATCAAATCATATGGAATCAAAAGTTATGTGTAATTGGGAAGAGTTTTCGCGAGAGAGGGTCTGATTTCTAAGATCGCGGCAGCGGCGGCAAGAAATCCGAAGAAAGAAACAATTCATGCTCTAAAATCTGAAACTATGGTTCTTTGTTCTACTGTAATAATTGTTGCTCACTTGCTCTGGTGAGATTCTAATAGCAAACTAATCTTGGGAATGTGTGTAAGATAGAGATCGGTTATTACGATCATGTGTTCAAGAACAGAAAGTGACGTGTACATAATTTATAGACTATATCTTAGCCGGACAGGCTATTTACTTAATTTCACCTTTTTTTAATTGTCATACATTCATATTTCCCTTTTTTCAATTAATGAAAGCAGTAAATCTAATATATTATTTGCAAAGTGAAAATTTCGTTTAGAGGTACCACATTCAATTTCAGCTGGTTGATTACCCACATACCCTTAATGAAAATTCTATTTTTAAATTTTCATAATTTCCTTTTTTTAATAACAGTTTTTTTGTCAATTAGTTAATTAATTAGATAATATCTTTTTATTTTATAAAAAATATAATCAGTTTTGATCTCCCAAAATTAAAAAAGCCCAAACCTTAAAAATTATATTCACGATTAATTACAAACTCTAAAAAATCATATTCACGTTAATATATAAGAAAACCTATACAAAACCCTAACTCTAATACAACTAATAAGAACATTGATCTTCTTTGTATTCTTCTAACTAGGTTCTAGAGAAAAGAAAAAAAGAGAGGTGAGCTATTTCAAAACTTTTTCGAACCATGATTTGGTTACCTTGGGAATATGTGAACTCTAATACCATAAACATAGAAGTCTTCGATACATACAGATGGTATTTTCAATTTTCAGTTTCCAGTTTTTTTATAATGTGTTACTACTTTTTCCCTGTCTCTCTCTTTAGTTGTAGTTTAAAGGTATATTATACATAATTTATTGGTTTTGTTTTTGTCTTATCATGATTATCAAGGAAAAAAAAAAAAGAAGAAGATGATGATCGTTGTGATGAACAAGATGACGGTGATAAGTTTTAGCATCACATACAAGTTTATTAAATTATGTTTGCTTTGAGTACTATTATTTAGCTGATTTTGTTATAATGTTGAACTAGAAGTGCATATCTGGGAATTAGGTTTCCACCAGCTGAATGCAAACTTGCAGATTGGTTAGTGCCACAAAGTAGGAAGGTGCTTCCTTTTCTTTTTAGATTCCTCTTTTGTGTATTCTCCATAAAAAAAATTATTCTGCTAATCATATTGGACATGGTTGTTTCCAGTGAGTATCTGTTAGAGGATGATGAAAGAGACGATCAAAGCGATGGTGGTAGTCTAGGGAAATCTCTTAGCTCTGTTTACAGGAGTCTAACATCTTATGAACAATGCAGGAGTCCATCACCTTAATCATTAACAACGTGGGAGTCCAGATTATGGTAGACAAAGAAGTCATGCCTATGACCGATCGATACGGAATGTAAAATAAAGTGGCTTTGGCTTCTCAGTGTTCACTTGCTCTAAGGGCAATACAGAAACAGAAGCTACCAAGAATGTTTGTGGCATGGTATTTCGGACATACAAGAGTAGATTTTTTTGGGGTGGTTTTTAATGTTCTGTGTTCCAGTTACATGATGCTTTTAATATTAGCAGAAGGAAGTGGAAGCAGAAGTTCAAAAAAAGGTGACGATTACAGTGGTAACTGGTGAGGATGATGTAAATTGTTTAAGCATTGATATCATATTTGTTTATTATTAGAGATGTTAATTTTGTTGGTTATTAGTTACGTTCTCACATGGAACCAATAAAAGATTTCTTATGGTTTATGTTTTGGATCAAAATCAAATATTAAATTGGCTTTGATATGATCCCATACAAGATCTCACTGATATGGCTTCTAGGGGCGGCTTAGAAGGGGGGTACAAGAGGTGCGATGAACTGAGGTTGATTGGAAAAGAAAAAAAATTAGTAGAGAAAAAGGGGCCAAAACAAAATATTAGTATAGCAAAAGAGGCACATTAAAAGGAAAAATTTGATTATTGACCAGGGCTTATAAACCCTGATTGGCTTCAAGTACGGTTAGTGACGTTGGTTTAAAAAATATGTAAATCTTTTCGTGTGATTTCGTTTTGCTCTTTTGCATGTGTTGAGACATCTTAATGGTGTTATTATCTAAACAGTGAATACTTTTGTTCTTATCTTGGAGGCACAAGGAGGAGAAGGGACCATAATATAAGCAACAAGTATAAGAGACAAATACCCGACTTAGTCATAACAGCCTTTAAATTTAATAACCAAAGCTACACATTACATGAATACAAGCAACAAAGTAAGGAGTCTTAGTGTAAGCTAAGTTTATGGCAGAATGGAAATCCTTAAAGTATAGCATTACTAAACTTCTAAGCTAAGATAATAGTATAACGAATTTGGAAGAATTAATTCACTGAACACTATTTGTGAAGTGCCATTTGAAAAAGCCATACTATATATGTTAGTTCTAGAATGAGCCCCACTCAAAAAATATCATAGCATGAAGAGATTTGTTTGCATGTAATGCAAGAAATAAATTAACATGTAAACTACTAATTTCCAAGAGGAAATTATGAATGAAATAGATGTTGAAAAGTCTTTCAGTGTATTAAAGAAACTTGGTTTTATATATATTTTACCCTACTTAGAACTCATATTAAACCTCATTGAAGGTTTTAGATTAATGTAAATCACATACCATAACAAAGGGGTTCAATATAATGTTTTTGGTAGGAGGTAGTACACATGAAATCAAGAAACTGTAAGAATAATATTAAGTGCCTCATATATCACGTTTTGCAAACATTGTGTAACTTACTTAAAGAAAATCGAGAGAACTGGAGATCCACTGAATAATAATGATCAAAGAGATAGAGAGAGATTTATCGTAAGATGGATATAGAAAATCATGAGAGTAATGCATAGTTTCAAAGAAAATGAAATATATTTCTGAGAAGGAGGAAAAACACTAGAACTGAAAAGGAGAGAGAAAAAAAATATGAGTCGAATAAAGAGAGAGACAACGCAAAAGAAAAAGAAAGATGAGTGGAAAGAAAAATGTGATGAAAAAGGAGAGGGGCTGTAGAAGAAAAAGAATAAGAAAAAGACGAACACAATAAACAATAAAAAGAAGAAGCCAAAGATGATGACTTTTCATAACGTGATTTTGGAGATCCAGAAAAGAAATCTAGAGAGAGGGAGACCTATTGAGAATAGTGATACTTACTGAGAAAGATATTATGATTGAGAATACCAATGATCATAGCGAGAGACATTAGCAATTCCATGGTAATCTATATGTAGCACCTTTCTCTTATAATACTATTCTAGCAACAATTAGTGATTGTATTTCTTATTTTGATGTATAGGTTGTAGAACAAACAAACATGGTGTATTAGTGTTTGATTATGATAGTTTGACATGTTATGGTGCTTTGAGATATGTTAATTGTGATTTGGTGTTTGTTGCTCAATGAGCCTTATTGGAG